CCCCCCCCCAAACTCTCTACGGTCATTTCTCGGACATTGGTTTTCCGGAATTTAATATTCCGGAATTTGACATCGAGAGGGGTCCGCAAAAACGACAAGTTCATGGGACATTTATGCCGAACTTTCTCCGCTGATGAATAACAAAATAAAATACAAGGATGAGCATATTAATAAGATTTGGATTTTCAACACAAACATCCTGTTTTCCTCCATTGACTAATGTTTCAGACACCGTTCTGGAAAACGTGGACATGCACTGTCATGATTCATGCAATTGATGCCCACTCCAGGTGCGGGGAATCTCCATTTCCGCATCGGCACTTACACTTAGACTTTCGGCTCGGCGTCAACATAGACTTAAGCAGACGGGGGTTACTTTGTTTTGGAAAACCCCTACGCAAGAAATACTACCGCTCCGATATCGTCGGATCAATAATGTGCGTGTGACGTCTGTCTCAATGGTATCCCGACATGTTTAAGCCGGTCGCCACGGAGAACATGTTGACAAGACGCAATTCAACCTCGGTCGAGAGACGAAAAGAGCTTTGATTTCGTGGACATTTCAGCATGGAATGATCCGGAAATTTCATCTATGTTCAAGATATAAGGTATGTATTCAAGTCCAAACTGCACTAGAAATTGGGTAGGTACCTTATATGCAAATACGCTACCAAAGAGAATGCTTCGAAATGATGGTTATCCAGGGATGCGTTTGTGCCGGGTATATCAAGATCGTGTGTAATATACAAAGTTTCCTCACACGAAAAAGAGGTTTAAGCTTGCTCACCAAGTGCACGCATAACGTCGACACTACCGTTGGCAACGCTTGTGAACGTGTTGACGAGCTTCTTCACCTCGGTTTCGTTCTGCGGTGAGCCCCACCCGCCTCCTCCAGGAGATTCAATAATCACCCGATCCCCGGGATGAACACTTGCCGTGTTTTTCCCTCCAAGGTTGACCACGCGCCCATTTGACTTGACCCACAAGTTCTTTCCCCGTTTGCCACACTCTCCACCCTCTAGGCCGTATGGTTCAGTGACACGACGCTCGCTCAGAATAGATACCTTCATCGGAATGCGGAATTCAATATCTCGGATGATACCATCACCTCCGCGATGCATTCCGCGGCCTCCACTGCCTGGCCGAAGGCAGAAGCGCCGAAGAACGACAGGATAACGTTTTTCAAGAGTTTCCGGATCAGTAATTCTTGTGTTGGTCATGTTGGTGTGCACTCCAGAGGTTCCTGCCCATTTGGGACCAGCGCCACTACCACCACAAATTGTCTCGTAGTAGCCAAAGCCGTTCTCTACCTCGTCTCTGCCAAAAGTGAGGTTATTCATACCTAAAACGGGTCAGCAAAATTGAAAATCCCTAATTCCAAATTGCATGCATGCTTACATCCTTGACTGGCAGACGAGGCCTTGAATGCTTTGAAAATGACATCAACGATTCTTTGGCTCGTCAGCACATTGCCGGCGCAGCAAGCTGCCTCAGGACTCGGCCGTAGGAGCGAGTTTTCGGGTATTTCGATAGTAATCGGTGCAATGGCGCCTTGGTTCAGTGGAATATCTGCGTCCACCATACAACGCAAAGCGAAGATGATTGCGGAATGACAGATGGCGATGGGCGCATTCCAATTTCCTTTTCCACAGTTAGTACCTTTGGTTGACAAAAGGCAGCACTCCAATTACTTACCATAGGCCTCTGGTCCGGTTCCATCAAAATCGAAAACAGCGGAGCCAGTCTTCTTATCGATTGACACCTTGAGCTGAATTGGAGTTCCGTCGTCCATGTAATCAACTGCTTCGAGCTCCGTGCGGTCCTGCCGCTCCGCAATATCTTTCAACATGTTTCGCACTGCCTGTTCTGAAGCTCCCTGAATCTCGGCCATGTATAATTGGACAACGTCGAGGCCATAGTCACGAATAAGAGCCTGAATCAGTTGAGTGCCTCGGTGGTTAGCGGCAGCTTGGGCCTTGATATCGGAGATGTTGTCTCGAAGGCATCGTGTCCCACTGCATCCAGGGTGCTCAGATGGCTTCATGAGAAGATTTATCAGTTCCTCCTCCTGGAACTTTCCACCCCTAACTACCTTGAACGCCTCCATGACTGCTCCTTCCTCCCACAGTTCTCGAGAGTTCGGCGGCATTGATCCGGGAAGCACTCCTCCAATATCGGCATGATGGCCTCGAGAAGCCGTCCAGAAGATAATGTTTTTGCCTTCTGCATCAAACACTGGGGTGATGACGGTCAGATCAGGAAGATGGGTACCTCCGCACATAGGCGAATTAGATAAAATAACATCTCCTGGCCTAAGATCATTTCCCCAATGGTTAATTTGCCATTTAACAGCGAACGCCATGCTTCCAATCATTGCCGGAACGTGGGGCGCATTGGCAACTAGACCTCCATTAGAAGCGAAAACAGCACAGGTGAAATCAAGTCGCTCCTTGATATTGGTGCTGACACTGGTCTTCTGAAGAGCGCGACCCATCTGTTCGGCAATGCTCATGAAGCGATGTCCAAAGATTGACAGTTGAATAGGGTCCACCTTGTTGGATAACTTGTCATGCACATGGGGATCAAGGTCAATAATCACCATGGCGGAAAGGATGGTAGCCGTAGCATTCGGCAGGACGACAATGGTCTGCGTGTTGTCAATGATCATGGCGGGACCTTGTATCTTTGCGCCCTGAGAGAGGGTGGGAAGCTGATATGTTGGTGTCGCAGTCCATCCCGATGGGGCGAAGTAGACCTGGCTATACTTCGAGGGCTTTGGCGGTGAGGTCTCTATTAAGCCCTTCAATTCCTCCAGGGGAGAACATGATTCCTCAATAACACTCTTTCCGGTAGACCGGACACGAATGTCATCCACAATGACAGGTCTATCTGAGGGAGTGAAGCCAAATTCCTTCTGGTGGGCGTCGTAAAACGCCTTGACAACGCCCCCTTCCTTATCAGTTTCCTGAATCATCAGGGGTGTGTCACTGCCTTGGAAACGCAAGTTGTAGTAACGATCCGTTGAGATTTGAGCATAATTGCAGCCCTGATCCAGCAGCGCTTGCTCGGCTCTGTCCTCAATAGTCTTGAACCCAGTCATGAGCGCCTCCGAGCAGCCAGACTCATAATTTAGAGCAGATGGCATGCGCTCCTCATGCGAAATATCAGCCAGGGCCATTCCATAGGCCGACAAAATCGATGAATATTTATGGATCAGGACCCGCCTAATGCCAAGAACCTTGGCAATTGAACAGGCATGCTGTCCTCCAGCACCACCAAAGGACGCTAGGTTATGACGACCGGCATCGTGACCTTTCGCCTCGGTGAGTGCTCGAATCGGTCTGCACATTGCTTCATTGGCCACGTCGAGAAAGCTAAGAGATATGAGCGGTTGTGTTGCGGTAAAAAGGGTGGCTCAAAAACACTTACCCGGCAGCGACCTGCTCGAGCGTGAGTCCCAGATTCGTTTCATTGTTAATCTCCTTTGTGAGCAGAGCAAACAATTCTCTGCTTCTTTCGACATCCAATCCCTCGTTTTCGTTGGGGCCGAAAATTTTGGGAAATGAATCTGGAATAAGTCGACCCAAGACTACATTGGCATCGCAGACTGTCAATGGACCGCCTTTTCTGTAGCACGCCGGTCCAGGGTGGCTTCCTGCGCTGTCCGGACCCACGGCAAATAACCCATTTCGCCAAGTCAAGATACTGCCACCGCCAGCGGCGACAGTATTGATATCTAGCTGAGGACTTTGGATTGTAACTCCAGCAGTAGTGGTCTCAAAAATAAGCTCCGGTTCGCCCGCGTACCGGGAAACATCAGTCGAAGTTCCTGTTGAAATCGGTCAGCGATTCAGCATTACTTAAATACTGCACTCAAGTCATGCTGCTTACCTCCCATGTCAAAACCAATCACCGGTGTCCCATCGTTATCATCGAAGCTGGTCTTCGCATAGCCTGTTACGCCTCCCGCAGGCCCGGAAAGAATGGCTCTGAGACCAGAAAGTCTATCAAAAGTTAGTCAGTCATACAGACATCTTCGTGCCGTGTGCCGCACCTCGAAAACTCTACAAGGCCTAAACAGCGATGATCAGTACGTGTATTTTTTTTGGCATATAAGCAAGAAACTTAGTCGTACCTCCGTCGCTTTGCATAAATTCGCATCGGCAGTTGCTTGACTCCAGGTCGGTAAAGCCAGATACAAATCCTTCAATGTATTTCTTAATCTCCGGGGTGAGATAAGCGTCCGCAGTAGCTGAATTTCCTCTCGGCACAGCTTTGATCACTGGAGCTAACTCGCAGGACAGGGAGATATTTGTGAAGCCAATATCAGCCGCTATTTTGCCAACAGCTAGCTCATGATCTCGGAACGTATAGCTGTGCATGAGACAAACTGCTACTGAGCGGTAGCCGACATCGTAGAGTTCCTGTAGGTCTTTTCGGACCTTTTCCGTGTCTAAAGAAGCATCAGCGAACCTTGCTCTTCTACGTGCAGAAATTGCCCTTGCCGTACCCATTGGTTGTAAAATTCTCACGGCCTCGCCAGTGACGCCTTGGACAAGATCTTTGTCCGCGGAAATGTCGATCTTTTCCGGCACATTGCTTTCAGACCACGCCTCAAGCGTGACTCGCTCCGAGACCTCAACGACCTTGCTGTACAAAACATCGGGTTTGTTGATTGCAAGGTCAAACATGCGAGGACGAGACTGGTTTCCAATGTGTAATAAATCCTTTAAAATTCACAAGGCGTTTTAGTGCATAATCTTTCCTTGGGCATAGTAAAATCACATACCTTGAGACCTTCAGTGACAACAAGGGCCACGTCTGCACCTTTTCTTTCTAATAAGGCATTTGTAGCGACAGTGGTGCCCATTCGAATGGACTCTGTTCGGCGTTAGAATTCAAGTAGTTGCAAGTCAGCGTTACAGGAGAAAAGCAGTACTTACCGACTCCTGTCAGAGAGATCTTTTGTCCTTTCGGATAGGATTTGCCGGTGGCTCTTTCTAAAACACGTCGAATGGCTTCGACAGGAGCATCTGGGTAATTACCCGGATCCACCGAAAGAAGCTTTAACACAATATCATTTTGGCCTGGGACAGAGGCAACGCAATCCGTGAATGTTCCACCTCTGTCAATGGCAATACGGATGCCCGGCTCAGGGGCTTTGGCAATCATCTTGGGTTCAGGTGCCAACGATGCTCAACGCATCAAATGTAAGGAATGAAGATGAAACAAAAGTAAATATTTGACCTTACATGGTCCCAAATGGAAATTGGACATCTTAATATATACAGTCAATGACAACTATGGTTCTTGTCCCTCATTGCACCGCGAACCTGCGAGTTGGACCCCTCCACGCTGATCGGCACGATAACGATCTTGCCGACGGTTGATAGAGTGGAGGGCTAACCGACGAGAACGAGCAAATCTTCGGCAGCTACGACCAGTCTTCCGTTCCCTCAGTCGCCCATCTCGTATGGCCAATGAGGAGTCTCCAACGTAATTCGATAGAAAACGCAATGGAAGGCGGATAGCTATCGAAGACATGTGGAGCACCAGACAACCGGGTCTTGATTCTGAAGCCGATCGTTTGCCAGTGTGGAAACTCTAGAAGAGATTACTCTACTGGCCTGCAGCCTTGCAACTTAAGTTAATGGGCCCATAGAAGGGCGCGCGCTGAGCCTGCGTCCAAGATGCTCGGGCTCGCGTCACCATAACCGCGGTGAAAGGTATCGATCGGTCTTATTACTGCAATTTATCGACACGAGCTCGAACCAGAAAAGCCGACTCAGACGCGAAATTGTCGAGCCATCTGCAGTCTCTCGGATGCTCGAGCCGCATTCCTACATGAAGCACCATCTCTCGCGAGTAAAAGCTGCCAGAAGCTGGTGTATGGCGGGTAGGATAACTTTTAGTAGCCGTCAATCGCACCTCGTGTCATGTGTTTGGATATTTCAGGCCCTTTTTTGTTATACATTAAGCGTTGCATTTTGACGCCATGGTCCAACGTTGATATTCATTGGCTGTTTCGTGTGCCGCACTCTTGTACTGTACAAGTGATGTTCCCTGCCACCACATTTATGATACCATGGGTTCGCGATCCCAACCACCTAAAATTCAGCCATGGAAATACCATTCTCGACCAACACACGATGTAACCACTCACTCGAAAGTTCAGAATTCTGAATCATTTTGCAAAAAGAACAGTATCCGTCCTGTCCAGCATTCAAATACGCTCAGTCAAAAAAGAGGCCTTCAACCAACGGAAGGCTTGCAAGAAAAGTGAAGCCGTGAGGCGGTCGCTGTGTTGGCAATTCGCTTAGGCGCACACCTCACGAAGCCCAAAGCTGCAACCCGACAGATTATTTGTTCAGCTTATAGGGAAATTCGGATATCTGGGCGTCAGATTGTCGTCAAAGACATGTTATAGCCAAATAATTGTCGGTCTAAGATCAATCGAGCACACCGCCTACTATCGACATTGCATTGCGGAGGTCCAAGTCTCCGCTCCTCAGTTGCAACAGTTTAGCCAGCAACGGAGGCTTTATATAACTCACCTCAGGACACGCTCAGCGAGCTTTCCTGCCTTTCATCTTAAGGACAAATTTCCATAACATACAGAAATAATTTCCATTTTAATACCCCACCGCTCCGCCAATAAACCCACTGTCGACGCAGAAAACCCGCCATCATGGCCGGTATGGTACTGGTTCGACGAAAATATCACTGGCCAGAGGCGCAGCTGAATATCTGGGTTATTATTATGCTAGCGGCGGCAGCAACGGTGCTGGGCATCTTTGCTGATTTCATCACTGTCCAGCATACCCTGCGATTGGGGATTCCTTGGTAAATTAATCCAACCTAGGTAATACATTACATGGACACAGAAGGCTGATAACATCTTAGGCTCTTTCCATTCGAAGTTGCTACAGGGTCCTTGGCGATTCTATTCATCATAGTAATGCTGGTCCTTATTGGTCGACGCATGTTGCTGCCAGGAATTGTGCTAGTAGGCACTTTCATCCTCTTTGTGCTATGGCTCACAGGGCTGGTTGAGACATCAATCACGCTCTTCGGCGCATCGAACAATGTCAACTGGAATTGCCAGCGCTACGTGAACGATCAGAAAGTTACAGGGCAAAGCATCAATACCTTGGCATGGCTTCAGCAAAATAGCATATGTACGTTCCCATGATACTGTGGCCAACAGAAATCGATAAGCTGACAATCATTTAAAGGTCAAAGCTGGATGGCCGCATTTGCCTTTAATTTGATCGGCACGGTATTTTTGCTTTGGATGTTTATCATGGCGGCGCAGGTCAATCGGGACGAATACGATTGAAATCTGGACGAATATTATGAATCTCCTTTAACAATCCATTTCTTGAACACCAAAATCGTAACTCCGCACGTCTCCTTTGGAGATAGATGATACATCGACGAGTAATGACAAGACAATACAAATACGTGTTGTGAGAATTTCGGGAAGTATCCGGGAGCAATGGCGTTTGGGGATTTTAAGACCTTTTACTATAACTCCAAGCGAACTGGGTAGACATCTGCATTGAACGGCTATATCATTTAATATCGAGCATCACGAGCGATTTTTTTGGTAATTGCAAGAAGATAAGAAGATATATTTCTAAAGCCAGATTGTATTAGGCGAAGCTAGAGATATTCGAAAGGGATATCAATTGAGAAAAAAAAATTCTTCGTATAGATGCGACTCGCATTGTCGAAATTAGTTCGAGAACTTCTCGGGGACCTTCTTTCTAAGAGGATATTAGCATTGCTCCTGTGAAATAAGACCGAAAAGAGTGTAGCTTACCCAGTGAACTTTTCGAACACACCGCGAGCACCGTCGGTGATCTTCTCGTTGGTGCTACGGTCAAGGGTCTGGCCGTGGCCGTACTTCTTCTCGACAGCATCGAGACCTAAATCTTCGTGTCAGTAATTGTCGGATTCGATCGACTTCGTTTATAACTGGCTCCATAGACACGCACCCTTGTCAACGTAGTCCTCCTGCTGGTCCTGAACCGGGGGGTTTCCGCCTTGCTGCTGAGAAGACATTTTGGATGGAGTTGAGAGATATGAATCTTAATGGGATGCTTAACAGTCTGTGGGATGTTTTTCTGCTGGAAAATCAAGTCCAAAGATCTGGGGACGGGCTGGGCTATTTCTACTCTGACATGAACGCTTGTTTGGGGCTGGGGTCACCAGGGTTTTACGTCATCGGAGGCTTACACCAGCTGAAGGTGGGGCGGCACGCGAAATGAGCACAGATTGGTTACGGAGTACTCTATAACCCCCGGCTCGGTACTCTTTCACCTCTGACACCGACAGAGATTCTATAGGCCCGTAATCTATAGTAGTCTATCAAGGTCTGATAGAGTACGAAGTCTTCCGCCATGGACTCTGCCTGGGTTGAGTGAGTCAAGCATGTGAAAGGCTTTGCTTTGTTGAAGAGGACGATGGTCAACAGACTTCCTCTTCTCCAGCCCACTTTGATGTGTAATTTATTGATTTGTTAACTATGGCCATCGACTTCATTTGCAATCTCTCAATTGATTCTGTAGATCGATCGCTGGGGTGCAGGACCCTGAATCTACGAGGAGAAATCGCCCACGAAGAGCTCAGCAATGCTTGGGGCGACCGGCAAGAGGCCCCACGTCGGCTACTCCGATACCTTCTAACAGCTGGCCGGCCACGCTACAGCGACACCTTGTGGGGACTAACGCCTCACAAGGCTTGGCAGTGATGTCCTTTTTGAGAACAATGAGAGTTGATCCATGCATATAGGTACTTCGTACATGGAGTTTCAAGAGGGGGAACAAAGGATTATACGCTCTGTTCCATAGCTGTTCGTAAACTGTGCCCGTATACACCAAATATGATCATCTAAAAGTGAGGCAGCCATTTCTCCATCTGGCAAAGCTCGTCATCAGTCGCTTATCGGCACGTGCCGCTAAGATAAGGCTTCGCATATCTCTTGCGACTGCTATTGACATGAGTCGGAGACTTGTCATGGGTTTGATTCAACTCCTAGTCACGGATCCTGCAGTTCGCCAACAAGCAATGGTTTGACCCTCGCCATTCGGGAAGATGGCCAGTCCTCGCGTGTGTGCTAGCATTTTAGGTAAATTCTTGAACTGCAAAGTCGCTGTGTAAAGCGTGTTGCAACCAATCTGACGTGTTTAGGCGCGACTTCGCATGACCTCGTCAACTTGCTTCGGGTGCCATCAGAGAGATTTGATTCACAGGATATCGATAGAGCTGAAGGGCCTCCAAAAAAGCGTGCCCGTCTTACAAATGGCACCAAAGATGGAACATCATCTCCTCAGCCCAAAGATTTTGTGGTTTTGGCCTCTTTCGGATTAGACGTGGTACGATCATCTCACCTCTTCCTCTTCAAACAGTTGTTTCTGACTGCGCGTTAGATTTTCACAGCGGATTCTGACAGCGCTCAAGTATTGGATGATGTTGACTCAACTTCTGTCGAGGATGAATGGGATGTAACGGTTCGGGCCATCATAGAGACGGCGCCATCCCAATATGATATTGTTCTCGCCAACCCGACCACTGGCCGTTGCATGACCCTCGAAGCCTTATCGGATACCCTGCATCAGGATTTTGAAGACTGGCAGATTGCGCTTGGGTTGGGAACAAGAATGACCTCTCGTGCACTCTCTACTTTTCGGCTTCGTGTCCCTCGGTCAGACAACAAGGGGCGACTAAAATTACGGGCAAAGATACTTTGGCGCATCGCGCGGTCGCTGGGTGACTGTCCAAAGAGTGATAGGCAGCGTCTTCTTGAACGATATTTTGCTACTGGGAAGCCCAATCGAGCAAGTCAAAGGCTGCTTCAGGACTTTTATGAGTCGGTTCACGTTCCGCCGACAGACCAAGAGGTGCATCCTGCTGTGCAGAGCGACTTGGTCGATTGTCAACTGTATCCCTTCCAGAGACGGACTGTAAATTGGCTTCTCCACCGAGAGGGGATGGAGTTCAATTCTTCCGGGCGGCTAACTCCGTACGAACGGCCAGAAGGCGAACTTGTTCCCCCGTCGTTCTATAGCGCCACCGATGCAGAAGGACGTCCGTTCCATTTCAGCCATCTGCTCAATTACGTTACAGATGATATTTCAAACGTTTCTTTTTCTACATCAAACGTTCGAGGGGGAATCTTGTCGGAGGAGATGGGTTTGGGTAAAACCGTTGAACTAATTTCGCTCATATGCCTTCACCGGAGAACATTACCCACGCAGGAGCTCATATTCGATCCCTATTCCCACGAATATGTAAGACCTTCATCCGCGACGCTCATCATCACGCCGCCTACTATCTTACAGCAGTGGCAAAAGGAGTTAGCCTCTCGCGCACCAAGTTTGAAAGTGATGGAATATAAGGGAGTAAAGCGGCAATGGGCAGCTTTAGGCAAAGAATGGTCAGAAGACACGGCATTAGGAGCTACAGTATCAAACGACGAGCTTGTGTCAATCTTGATGGAACACGATGTCGTTTTGACGACATACTCTGTGCTGTCAAGCGAGATTCATTACGCCAATGCTCCCCTACAGCGAAACCTCCGACACTTGAAACGTTACGAGGCAAAGCGAAGTCCATTGGTCCAAATTTCTTGGTGGCGAGTATGTCTCGACGAGGCACAAATGGTCGAAAACGGCGTCAGCAACGCTGCAACTGTTGCTCGCCGCATCCCTCGGTGCAATGCATGGGCCGTTACCGGAACTCCATTGCGTAAAGACATCAGAGACCTTCTGGGACTTTTGATATTTCTCAGATATGAGCCATACTGCGAGACGGCCGTTTGGAATTCGCTCGTTCAGGGTCATAAAGATGCCTTCCGATCCATTTTCGAGGCCTTGGCCTTGCGCCATACGAAGGATCTTGTAAGGGATGACCTTCGCCTGCCTCCACAGACGCGTCTTGTGATTACTGTCCCGTTCACTCAGATTGAGGAGCAGCATTACAGCCATGTCTTCCAGCAGATGTGCGACGATTGTGGACTAGACACGGACGGAGGACCTCTCAGCGCATCATGGGATCCGGATAATCCTACGACCATTGAGAAGATGAGAGGTTGGCTGCGGCGACTCCGTCAAACATGTCTTCATCCCGAGGTCGGCGGTATCAATCGAAGAGCTCTTGGCTACCATAATGCTCCGTTGAGGTCTGTTGGCGAAGTCTTGGAAGTAATGATTGACCAGAACGATGTTGCTGTGAGGACGGAAGAGCGATCTCACCTCATGTCCCGTATAAAACGAGGCCAAATGTTCGAAAACAAGAAGGAAACTCAGAAGGCGCTAGATATTTGGATGGAAGCACTTCGACAAGTTCAAGACATTGTCGCGGATTGCAGGGCTTCTCTCATGAGCGAAATGAAGAGGCATGCGGACGTGGAAGGCAAGTCGGTTGGGACGACAAAAACGCCAAAGAGAAGTGATTCTGATAGCGAGGACGAGGAGGATGAGGATATGCATGAAAAAATGGGTCGCATTGGAGCCCACCGTTTACGGCTCCGTAGTGCACTAGAAATTGAGCATATATGCACATTCTTTGCCGCAAATGCTTATTACCAGCTGAAGACGAACCCCGACCTCACGGAACCAGATTCTGATCGATTCGCAGAGTTGGGAAAGACGGAAGAAGAGTTTTACGAAAAGGCCAAACTTCTTCGAAAGGAAATCCTATCGGAGGTACTTGGTAGGGTCAACAAACTAATAGACCGAATGGGAAAGCAAGCAAAGACCAAGGGATTCACGACGATACCGGAAATATTACCGTCGATGACCTCTGGCGGTATTGAAAATCGAAAGGTTTTGGAGCGGCTTGATGAACTCACCGAATCTTTGAATGAACAAGGAGAGCAGTTGGATCAATGGCGGGACAAAATGGTCAAGCTGTTGATTCAGCCTTTGGTCGACCAGGAAGAGGGAATGGAGCTCCAGGGTGACGAATATGAAGTCTCGACGAAACATCAAGAGGAAGTATACGTCTACATGGATGCTCTTCGTGCGACAGTCGCCGATCGCCATGGCGCTTTGACGGGCCAGATTAACACTCTCATCGAAGGCGAGATGAAGATTGCCTTGAGTAGGGCCAAGGAAGGCGAAGGGCCGCTACCAGCCCTGCTGCAAGAAGTTCTCGCTACCCGGGCAAGATTAGTGCCGGAAAAGTCCCTTGGATCCATCCGCGGTATCCTTTCCGAATTGCGAAATCTTGCCACGGCGCTTCGATGGCAGGAAGACGGTGGCAGCAGCCGTGCTACTGCGGAACTGGCGCTTGTCGAAGGAGAAATCCAGCGCCTGCATAAAATATCGATCGCACAGACGAGGGCTTTGGCCGGCCTGGAAAAGGAAATGGAGCTATTTCGACAGACGATGAACTTGCGGCTAGATTATTATCGGCAACTCCAACAAATCTCAGACACGGTGGCACCCTTTGAACCGGCGGAAGATGAAGATGTTGATAAAATATATTCCTCAATGGAAGACAGCGAAAAGAAGCTTGCAAATAAAGTCTCATCGCTGAAAGCCAAAGGACGATATTTGCTTCATCTCAGGAGCGAATCTGACAGCAAAGAGACACAGCGGCTGTGTATCATTTGTCAACAAAATTTTGAAGTCGGAGCGCTCACTGTTTGCGGCCATCAATACTGCAAGGATTGTATGCGGCTTTGGTGGGCTCAACATCATAGTTGTCCTATCTGCAAGCGACATCTCAAATTGACGGACTTGCACAATATTACGTATGTAATGATTCTTGTGTGATATGAGATTTTATTAACGTGGAACAGATACAAGCCTCAAGACCTGCATGTTCAGGAGGAAGCTCAAGTGGCCGACGATGTCGATCAGAGTGTCAAATCCAGCCCTTCTTCCATATACTCAAACGTCAGCACCACAACGCTGAACCAGATCCAGAACATTGATCTGACCGGGTCGTTTGGAACAAAAATCGATACGTTGGCGAGACATATTCTTTGGTTAAGGGAGCACGACCCCGGCGCCAAGTCGCTTGTCTTCTCGCAATTCCGCGACTTTTTGCAGATTCTTGGGCCTGCGTTTCAGCGGTTCAAAATTGGATACACCTCGATAGATATGAAGAATGGAATTGAGGGTTTCAAAAACGATCCGGCGGTACGTTGATTACTCTTTGTCTTTTGCTAAGCGCCGGCGCTATCGGCGAGAAAACGGAAGCTGGCCTGACATTCTTGGAATAGATTGAATGCTTTTTGCTGCACTCTCAAGCCCATGCTTCGGGTCTTAACCTTGTCAACGCCACCCACGTGTTTTTATGTGAGCCTCTGATCAACACTGCTATTGAGCTGCAAGCCATTGCGCGAGTACATCGGATCGGTCAACAGCAGCCAACAACCGTTTGGATGTACCTAGTGAAAGATACGGTGGAAGAAGCCATTTATGATATATCGGTTGCCCGACGTCTTGCACACATGGGCGGCCGATCGAGAAGCGTGTCGGGAGCAACTACACCTGCGGTGAGTGAAAGGGAGCTAGATGCGGCCAATTCGTATGAGCTGCAGCAAGCGCCGTTGAGCAAACTGCTCGGGAAGCGGGCTAGCGAGGGCGAGGTGGTTGAAAAGGAAGATTTGTGGAATTGCCTGTTTGGCAAGTCGCGGAGAAGATCCAATCTTCCCACTTCGAGTCCGCTGGCGACTGAGGTTGGCCGACACTTGCGGGCCACTGCTGCCGAAGAGCGTCGAGCAAACGGCCAACCGTGACTTTATTTCGTAACTATTGCATTGGATATATACGGGAGTTTGGTCTGGATTTACCATATATCAGTTGGATACCACCTTTCAGTCAACATTTACGGGGCGCATGGACGTTTTTATCATTGGACGCCTGGCGCATATCGATTTTCAGAGAGCTTTACTTTGTGCCAGGATAGAGAATACAAAGAATTTTTGTTTCTGTGCAATTTTCTTTCAATTTGTGCAGTATGTCACGTGACTTCCGGTGAACACTCAAATATGAAATGTTTGATCTTTAAATGCTGCTCTTCCTGTTGGACGGGTGCGTAATAAAGACAACGATGCTGTTTTAAAAAAACCCCTGTCGATCTCTGGTAGTGATAATCGGACCGTTATCAATTTTTCAAGACAACTCTGTACAAGACGTGTAGTCCGTAGCGATGATGGCGGAGGAAGTACCCGGTTTAACCATATTAGCCTGATTTGAGTGGGAAACAAGCTTTATGTTCCTGGTGGCCTCGGTGGTGGCACTTTTGTCAGTTGTCAGCCACCACGAGTGAGAAAAGACGAGTTGGTGTCGTCAGGGCCAAGGCCGGACCGAGGGGACCAAACCCAATTTAGGTTTCGGGCGGTAGATTTTTGGGCGTGTCGGATCCACCGAGATCCGTGCTGAGATGACGAATAACTAATTTCCCGGGGGGACTCCAAGGAGGCAAAGACGCGCATCCTGACTGTACTCGTACTCTAGTAATCCCCTGTGAACCAGGACACCCACACAAGTCAGAAATTGCCTGTATGATATCATGCCGTCATGCCGTCATATCCCCTTGCCGTAATGTACCAAAATATCTCCGGTTTTATGCCCCAACATTCATTTTTCCATTTTTTCACAGCCACCAGTGCTGTCGTCACTTGCTTATACCACGACACAAGACTTCCCCGCCATCCGCTCCAGAGCCTGATTTCTCAAATACACACAATCGGTCAGCTCGCGACATTACCCGTCGCTAATTAAGCAGGAGAAAAATCTGCGGGAAACTGCTGGAGGGGTCCTATCCTGGAGGTTATATTTCGAAAGGAAAAGAAATTCAGTCACCACACTCCACGGCAATCCGGAAGGACACGGCGACGACAACTTCAACCTCAACTTCAACAATCTCCATCCACATCAACCATTATCATCATCATCATAATCCGCCAACATGTTCGGTCTCTCATACTGGGTTTTCCCGCTCGTCTCAGCGGGCATGTGGCTAGGCATGCTCCTGGCCATGTTGATTACATGGGAGGCTGAAGGACATCCTCATTATGCTTCGATGGAGTCGGGTCAACGCATTGCGTACATTTCAGGTGAGCAACAATCCCTTTGATGTGTTTGGTCTGGAAATTGAAAAAGAGACTAATACCTGTTTGTAGACATTGGCGCCCAAGGACTCAAGCCGCTTTTCATTACCGGATGTGTCATTACCACAGTCTTCCTAGATCTCTCCTTTGCGTCTGAAAGATGGCTGCGACACCGGGGTAGACTGGCGCGAAACGTTTCCATCTCTGAGAAGATTCTGTCGGGGCTCTCTATCGCCTTTGCCATTGCTGGTACCGCTGGCTTGATCTTGTTATCAATCTTCGACACCCTTCATCACCCTCGTATGCACGATGGTTTCTTGGTGCTCTTCATGTATGTCTCAATCCTTCCGTTTGAGCTTATTACAGTTTCATAATCTGACAATGGACGTGTTTAGTGGCGGCTATGTCATTTCTGCCATCTTCATCTGCGCCGAATACCAGCGCCTAGGCATCAAGTACCGCCAGTACCGAGTTCTCCGGTTTTCTTTCTGGATCAAGCTCACTTTCATCATCACTGAGATTGCCTTGGCTATTGGTGAGTTCTGTCCTGTTCTCTGGATCTATCAAGTGACAGTCAAGCTAATGATTATGAACAGCCTTTGGTGTGTGCGGTCACGAATCCAAGAGACAGGCTGCTGCTGTTCTCGAGTGGAGTAAGTCTTATGAAACCATCCTGCTATTGATCACCAGATGACTAATTGAATATCCAGTCATTGCTCTCATCTTCACCTTTTACGTCTTGACCTTTTTCATCGATCTTCTCCCGGCTGTGCGGACCAAGAACAAGGCTGTGCGAGAGGCCCAGCAAGAAATGGGCATCAACCCCGCTGCTCCGGCGCCACACGATGGCCAATTCTTTGAGCCTCCGTCTCACAACTCCCTAGACAGCCGTGCCGGTCTGACCAACGATGGTCGCCACTACCGTCAACCCAACTTTTAAAAAAAAAAATTCCCGCCTCATCTCCAAGGATCTTTTTTCCTTTGAACACATCTTTCTCTTCCCGTTCTACCAAACTAATACCATACACGTGGAGTTGATCGGATCATTATACTCTTTTTTTTTCTTTTCATTAGAACCGTTCTCAAAGAGTTTTTTCTCTGGTTTTTGCGCTAGCATCGCATTACAGCCGGCGCATTTGTTATGAATGACGAGACTGATCCAATGATGATACACTACAGGGTTTTATGGCGTTGGGGGCTATCCGCCTTGTCTTTTATCCCAATGTAATTTCATCAGCATGTAAAAGCTGGCATTGTACATTAGACTGTATATTAGTACATTTTTTTTTCGTCATCATACCTGAATTATTCTCTTGGTCATACCTGTAATTCGAGTAACATGTCTCGTGTCGTAGTCTCGGTTTGGGTTTATCTACCTATGTGTTATATCTATGTATATAGTTTGGCCCGTATCCATCCACTCGCGCAAGCGCATCGATCCTTCCCTATCGTCTTTGCTACAATCTCCCTTTCCTTCATAATACCATCCTTCATCCTTGCGACTATCGTGTTGTCTCCTCATTCATTTCCTTCCTCTCTTGTCCTTTCCTTCACTTTACCAATACTTCCGTTCCCTTGGATTTATCATTCTGTTTTATTTTATTTATTCATTTATAATTTATTTATCTTACCCTGTATTTTATTTTTTATTTTATGTTATTGTACGGAGTAGAAAAAAAAAAATTAAAAGAAGAGGGAAACACAAGGGAAAAAAACCGAGGGGAAAAAATGTATGCCAACATGCTAGGGGCGAGTACTCCGTAGGAGGGATTAAAGAGGCGGGTGATGAAGTAGAAGCAAAAAACTATGGGGAGGTTGGAGGTACAAACCCTCTGAGGGAAAGTACCTTAGAGATGGAGACCGAAAAGAAAAAAAAAGAACGACCTCGACGCGACTCGAACGCGCAATCTTCTGAGCCGAAATCAGATGCCTTACCATTAGGCCACGAGGCCCACTTGGAAGTGGATTAGATAAGATGCTTTGTAGATTGTATATATACCTTCTCTACCTTTAGGTATCTTCCAGTTACACATTACCTCTCTTGTTGCACTTTGCTTCACTTGTTGCACTTCTTCACTTTTCTACCGACAGAAGACAGACCGACAGAAGATAGCCTGACAGCGTTCAGCCGCCCGTTGCCGCGAGATGCGCCTCGGTGTGCCTTGGTGCAAGTAACTTTACAGTCCTTACTGTACTCCGAGGACTCTATAGCATGGCAACTTGGCAGCTTGCAACCAGGCAATTAGGCAACGTGGCGATATGGTGATAGCGACGGGGCCTACGAGTCCTCGGTCCTCGGTCCTCGGTCTGAGGGTATGGAACCATGTTCGTAGGATCCACGCGCGAGGGGCCAGACCAAGGGACGTTGGACCCTTGGACACAAGGACAGTTCCTCGGTCGTCTAATGTCTATGGTCTATTGTCTATTGACTATGTAACCTATAGGCTACAGTCTACAGCCTTGGATGTACAGCGTACTCTGTATATCAATGTGTAGAAGCAGGTAGGTATCTCATGTCTGGTAATTGGTTTATTTTGGATTCTGCATGTATCTACAGAGTACGGAGTACGGTCTACCTGACTGGATTTACTAGGTGTATAGGAAGTTATGGAATTGTAGGAAAGAGTATAATATACTTAGACCTATTAAAATTTTTCAAAAACCTTGAAAGGAAACCCCCAAAAAAAAAGAGGATGAATATGTAAACGAGGAAAGAAATAAAATAAAACAAACAAGTTCATTATATAATCAGAGAAGTACAAGATAAAATTCGTCAACGAATGTATACTTTTACCCGGAGAAAAGAATATCCAATAAAAAGACTTGATAAATAAAAGAAAAACTTGACACAAAATTAAAACCCCCCCCCCTTTTGAATTAAAAAATAAAATAAAAGAAAGATAGAGAAACAAAACAAGATTGTAATATTATATTGCAAAGGGAATCGAGGGACAAAAAAAAGAACTCTCCCTCGGGGAATCGAACCCCGGTCTCCCGCGCTTGCGATTCCGTATTAAGCGAAATTGACAAGCGGAAATCATAGCCACTAGACCAAGGAAGATGTATACGATCCGTTGGCGGATCGCCTTGTTGTGACCAACTGAGCTAACTGAGTTGTTGACTTCGGTAGGCTTAATGTGCTTTATATACCCGTTCTCTCACATCACCACCACTTATGATGTTGGATGTGTCTTTTATATACGGATACCTGCCGCTCACATCACCCCTTCTTCGCTGTTCGTAGCTCGGTGTTGTGCAACTTGCAACTTGCGCTCGTTGGATGTTGAATTGTTGATGGAGCCGGAGGCTGTGACTGATAGGATCAAAGCCGCGATAATCTACAATATAGATTTTAATTTGACATGGTGTGTTTGTGATTCGTATCATGGTGGATCAATAAAAACACAATACAAGAACATAGCACTCTCTTCAGCAGCAGTACGTACTAGAACGTTCAAAGCAAGCCAGACCAGCAAGCTGGGCATTTGGTAAGGTAGCGGAAAAAAAAAAACAAAAAAAGCAAAAACAGCCAAAAAACAAAAACAAAACAAAAACAAAAAAGAATCGGATTTGAGATTTTCATTCCATATTTCTAATGTACACCCTCGACGCCTTGAATATTAGGTAGGTAGCTAATAGTAATGCCTAATATAATACATCCAGTAGTGCATATCCAGTATTAATGGTATGCATTTTTACATGTATGCGTATTTACATGATATGTCAAACGGCTATATAAGAGAATGGGGAGAAAAGAAATGGATATACACTGATCATGAACTTTAATGCGGGATGCATTGGTGCTTCTTCACAAGTACCGCTTTTCAATCTTCTCTTCGTAGGCCTGGACGAGATCGCCGACTTGGAAGTCGTCCCAGTTTTCGAATCCCATGCCGCATTCGCTGCCCTTGCGCATCTCGGTGACGTCCTTTTTGACGTTTTTCAGAGACGCTAGTGATCCTGTTTGACGGTCGTTAGTATCGTACATATTGAACGGGATCAAATTAACATGAAAGAAGATGGGAAGGGACAATAAAGAGGCAAGAAGTAAGATGAATTGCGAAAAGTAAAGTAAAGTAAAGTAAAGTAAAGTAAAGTAAAGGGAATAACATACCATCAAAAATAACTTCCTTGTTCCTGAGAACACGAATCTTGGCGTTTCGCGCGACAACTCCGTTGCGGACTTTACATCCGGCAAAAGGCTTGGTGATTCTGCTCTTGACATTGATATCAAAGACCTGCGCCACCTCTGCTTCACCGAGCACACGCTGCGTGACGCTGGGAGCAAGGTGCTCAGACAAGATGCTTGTGATGTCGTCGACGAGACGGTAAATGATATTGTGATCGAGAATCTTGACACCGGCGGCTTCGGCCTTGCGCGAAATGTGGGGGTCAATGGGGAGATTGAACGAAACGACATGTCCCTTTGCGACGGCGGCGTGGTCAATGTCGAATTCGCTGACAGGACCAACGGCGGAGCGGAGAATGTGTGCGCGGACTTCTTGGTTGCCCAGAGCGGCGACGGAATTGATGACTGCTTCGACGGAGCCGCTGACGTCGCCTTTGACGATGAAGAAGACTTCTTTGATACCACCGCTACTGCTCGAGCGCGCAGCGGCGTCGAGCGCTGCCGCGGCATCACCATCTTGCACGCCGGAAGCGAGGAGTTTCTCACGCTCGCGCTTTTCTTGCTCGACTTTGCGCTGGTCGTTGATCACCTCCATGTCTTCGGCCATCTTAAGGCGTTCTTGTTTCTCAAGACGAAAGTCGATTACGCTTTTGGCCTTTTGTTCGTCGGGTGCTTGAAGAACCTCGTCGCCAGCCACGGGCTGCTCGCGCCATCCGTCGACTTCGACAGGAGTTCCTGGTCCGGCGGCCTGGACTTCCACACCCGCTTCATTGCGAAGCGAGCGAACACGGGCCCAGGTTTGACCGGCAACGATAATATCTCCGGCATGCAAGGTACCGCGGCGAACTAGAACAGTGGCAACACGGCCTGCCTTCTTGGTCGTGGCTTCGAGGACCCAACCTTCGACTTGGCCGTCGGTTTCGGCTCGCATGTCGAGGATTTCGGAGAGCGTGATGGCGGCTTCTTCGAGCTCCGGCATGCCCTGGCCTGTCTTGCCGCTGACGCACACAACTTGTGTGTCGCCGCCAAAGTCTTCAACTTCCACGCCGTGTCGGGCAAGATCTTGCTTGACGCGCTCAATGTGCGCGTCTTCCTTGTCAATCTTGTTGATGGCGACTATGATGGGCACGCCGGCGGATTTGGCGTGCTTGATGGCTTCAATAGTCTGGGGCTTGACGCTATCGTCGGCAGCGACAACCAGAATGACGATATCTGTGACGTTGGCGCCACGTTGGCGCATGCTGAGGAACGCAGCGTGGCCGGGAGTATCGAGGAAAGTGATGAGTTTACCGGACGGCATAGGGACGGAAAATGCGCCAATGTGTTGTGTGATGCCGCCGTGCTCAGAAGCCGCAACGGACGACTTGCGCAGCCAGTCCAGGAGGGTTGTTTTGCCATGATCGACGTGGCCCATGATTGTCACGACAGGAGGGCGCTGTGGGAGGAGAGACTTGTCCTCAGCCGGAGGTCGGGCTTGCAGGTCCTCTTCTTCTCCACGGTCGATAATAGGCTCATAGTTGTATTCCATGGCGATGAGACCCGCAGTTTCGGCATTGAGAATGTGATCGTGCTGTGTATCCTCGAAGCCAAGCTCTTGCATTTTCGACACAAACTCGGCGAGTCTAACTCTAAAAGCCTGTGCCAGGTTGCCCACAGTAATATATTCCGGCAGCATAATCGGTGTGGGTTCAGCTACGGCTTTTTGTGCCGCCTTATGGGCTTGCTTCTCCTTCTTCTTTTGCTTTTTGCGTTCACCTTTCGGAGCGTACTCTTCCTCTTCACCGACTTCATCCTGCCAGTCCTCTTCATTAACGATAAATTCGCGATTCTTCGACTTGCCCTTACCGCGGCGACGGTTGCTCTCCTCTTCGACCGCTGAAGACTTGGGCTTCGAGTCTTTTGCAAACTTTTCCGCGCGTCGGCGTTCCCGCTCCCGACGAGCTTCAACCTCCCTGCTCTCATAACCACGCAGTCCTTCGCGTACGGCGTTTCCTCTGGCTAGGGGCTCGTCGACTTCTGGCTGCTCCTCAATGTAAGAAGCACCCCCGATCCCTTCAGTCGCAAGGCCAGCATCTTCGCTCTTCTTTGTGAATCCCACAAACTTGCCACGTCGGCTTACCTTTTCTCTTTGGTGACGCTGAACCTCGAACTGCTCCAAGTGATCAAGAGCCAAAGCCCCAGAGGGGCGGCCTTTGTCTGTAGCTGCCGAAGAACGCCGATTGAGGTGCTTCCAATGGGAGCTAACATCATCTCCAACCGCTGAAGACCGATCGCGATCTTCGCCGATTCTGATCGGACGAGACTTCTTCTCCGACTGGAAACGGCCTCTTTGACCCTTAATATTCGTATCGCTATCCTGTTTGGAGTGATCCCTCTGGTACTTGTCGCCGCGCGACTGACGATCGCCACGCTTATTGTAAGGTTTCTTGTTTAGAAGCGCTTCTCGTTCTTGTTCCTCCTCTGGCGAAAGAGACGCGCCTTTTCTGTATGCACCTTTGCCGCTGAATGCGTGATGCTGCCCGGGGCGGTGTGGAGGACGTGCCGAGGATTGTGTCTGCTCCGATGCTTCATTCTGCTTGGCTATACGTTCTCGCAGAGCTTGTCGCTCACGCTCTTCTTCCGCAGACAGACCACTGCTGAACGAGTTTCCCCATCCACCCGACTGCTTATTTCCAAAGCCTCCCATACCTCCCCATCCTCCGGACTGTTCAGATGAGTCCTGTTGGCGGGCCGCCGAAGACGCAGACAAGTGTCTTCTCTGATTGTGCCATTGAGACGGAGTCGAGCGCGCGAAATATCCAGGCGTAGCGGTAGTCGCGTTTGCAGCAGAAGAGCCATTAGTTGAAATGCGATTCGCGCAGAATACGCATAGGTGCTGCCGGGTAGATTTCTAGAGAATACGTTATTTAATTTCCCTTGAGTTCTGAGTAAAGAAAAGAGTGCGTCGAGTGGAAGAATCAGATTCCTTTTCACGCTTCTGACAAGCATGCCAATTCACCACAGCCTTGGAAATAATGCCCAGGGGTTCGTGGTCAGAGAGAGAATTCTATGCCAACGTACCTGCCATAACGCTCTTTGCGCTTTCATGATGAATACCCACAACGCGGCTTACTGCTCCCCAGCAGGCAATTGACTAAGGCGGAGTATATTCCAGGCCCACTGAATCAAGCCATATATTTTCCAGCTAAGAGAGAGAAGCTGTAAATGTTGAACAGATGAATGTGTGCTCAGCGACACATAGTAAATCAATCTGCAGCTCAGGGAAAAAGCTTAGGGAAATATTGCAGGAATCGGAATCGGCGAATCGGACCCTGTAGTGGATAAATTGCGGACAGAATGGAATATACCGGTCAGACTCTACTCATCACTGCACGGACCAACACTCAGTACTCACTCAGAGATATCATATCAAGTGTAAACGATTTTGCAATTATGACGAGACTCGAAGCCAACCATCCTTATCAATGAATCATATACCCATCAAATGCTCAAATCCCGATTATTTTGTAACGAGCTGGTCTGATGAATGGCTAGAAGCGGGCAAAGGAAGTCAAATTACATGGCCAAAGTGTCGAGCCGCGGCACAGAATATATGCCAATAGAAGCCAGATATGAAGCAGATCGTGCAAGCCTCACAACGATTGCAAATAGACATACTGGAAGTTTGGTAGGCAGTGAAAAATAATACAGAAACATGCATGAACATCACGTGAAAATTTATCAATCCTTGGCATATCATCCCGAGACAGGCACGGCGGTGTAAGCAGAACATTAATGATAAATGGTCCTAACAATGAACAGCCAAGCATGTTGATGCATAGCGCTATACAAACAAATTAAGTGTAGCAGAGACAATAGATCATCCCAAGGCGCCCTCGATTTCGTCAGGTATCGAAATCAGTTTAGCAAAAGTCAAGCCAGATTCAAATCAGTTCCGAAACGCCAAAACTCTTAATCACATGCACATCGTCAGCCAAAGAAGTAACCGTTATGGAGCAAGAGTGCAGCTGGCCTTGGTATCATTTCTTCGTCAAAATATTGACCCTGGCATAGAGCTCGCTCGGGTCAGTAAACACATGCCACACATCCCGAGGGACATGCTTGAAAGCCTCTTCAAATCTCTTATCCTCATTCTTGTCTGTCTCGTTCATTTCAAAAATGTCAGTCACTTTGCGGATGAAAATAGCCCGGATCCAGTGAGGATATTTCCGGTACACTTCCGCGTACGCTTCGGGGTCGCTCTGCGTCGAATCACCCAGACAGATGAATTTCCGGTTCGGCAGCCAAGAGTGGATCTTCTCCATACGGTCGACTTTATACGCTTGCGTTCCCTGAGTGAGGGATGCGAGGAATCCTGCGAGGTCCATCCATGATGCGTCGCGCAGAATAATGGTGCCATCGGGATAGTACTCCCGACGGAAACTGTGCAGGAAAGGATACAAGTTGTAGGGAGATGCGGAAAGATAGAACCATGATGGGTTCAAAAGTTGGTTGATGTGGGAATAGAGCTCAGGCATACCCGCAATAGGCTCAGGCGGGAGGGCAAATGTAGTACGAAGAATGCCAATAGGGCTTGGAGTCAGTGTGACTTTGATGCTATCGTCAATGTCTATTTATGAAAAACCATTAGTGATAAATTTTTAAACGTATAAAAAGTAATGAGTTCAAAGACCGACCTGATATGAAGCCCCATCCTTCAGGCTCTGCAAAGTGCGTGGTCATGCTCACATGATGCGCTTCTTCGCCGTCAATCACAGCGATGTGCTTTGCGCGATTGTCAGGATGAGGATCGCCGCCTAGGCTGATGCTATTGTTGCTGACGCCATTACGTCCACTCGGTCCCAACTTGGCAACGGAGCCGTTGTGCAACAGAATGTTTACGGTGCGCGCCGGCAAGATGGTATCGAACATGGGCTGAACACGTTTGCGAATAAGGGCTTCTACGGCCGCTTCGTCCTCGCCTGGCTCGCCCAGGCGCACCTTCTCCGCAACATCTGCGACGAACTTGCTGAACCATTTGCCGCTGTTTCGGCGAAAGTAGGCGACGATAAATTCTGCTTGAAATGGCTGGCGGCGCAGATTGATTGCACTGACGGGCCGATATGCAGTGTTGTCCAACAACCAGACCGTATCCTCGGCGGTGACCGGCCGCGCAAACGGGTTGTAAGAGCCCAGATAAGAGCTCGCAGAGTCAAGAAATGGGGCCTGCATGCGGGAAGGCATCGCGGGAAGCTCGTGCTCAACCTTGGGAAAGTCACCCGTTTTGCGGGTTTGGCGTTCTTGCGGAGTCTCCTCCATCTTTTGTCGCATACGATCCACGTCTGAATTTATAGGCTCCATCGCGGCTAACGATATGAAATGATATTTCAAACGCGCGTGTCAAATGATATAGCTAAGGCTGAACAAAGATAAAGAGAATATATTGTATCGGAGAGACAGTGAGAAGGACGTGTGATCTCGAAAGAAAGTGTATCAAGCGCGGAAATCTGTAGGCCGACGCGCAGAGCACGATTTTCACTTAACGGATCAAAATATAGAGGTATCAGTTAAGGACAGGATACTGATAGAGGAGTTAAATCAAAATATAAGAACACATGAACCAAAGAATACTGAATAATGAGATCATCAGGAGTCGGGTGGACGAGCGGACTCTCAAATAGGTTGCCAATAATTTGCCCATGGGGGTGGCGGGCGACAGACCCCTCGGTCATGCTGATCGACGGTCTGAGATCAGCGATTCATCTCTTGAGATGGGGAAGTTAGTTCAGTAGAGACATGCGAAACCAAGCCTTCCTCGACCAAACAGATTTCATAGGGGCAGACTTAGCGGAAAGTCCGCCGAGACTGCGGACGCCAACATCAGAAACGCCATGTTAGCCACCAGCGGAACATTTGATATCAAAGAGTCAAGAGCATGGGACCGAAAAAGGAATGCGAGACCCTGTCGCTTCAGCCATGGGATGGGTCAGGCTCCCCACCTGGACAGGGACAGCCCCCCTCGTGCCGACCAGTCATTAGTTATTGTCAGCATTGAACCCAGTTGTGCAGCTGTCAAATCCAACATTAGCGCGTTGATTATCGCAATTGAAACTGATGTTCGAACAAAAAGACCAGAGGGGACTGCGCTCGAAGACACCCAGAAATATTGCAAAATTGTCATTAATCTGTCGTATCGTTCGAGCCTTGCAAATGAATAGGTGCGCAGGACAGATACTGAGTTGGACTTATGATGCTAAGCTATAGCGTTAGTCAAGATAGCATAGATAGCTGTCTGATTCCTGCGCCTAAGGCGGAACAAGTATAGCTGAAGCTCGAGAGCTAAAAGTCCAACCTCGTCCTTAAAAGAAGGCGGCAGCTAAAACGCCGCTGGACCACGGTCCAAGTCAGCGCTACCCCCAAAATCATAGGGCTTTCATGAAAGTACTCCGCAGTATTTGATCAAGCTATTGTAGATTCATAGTCAGCAATATGTTCAAAAAAAAAAAGATAGAAAAGCTAAGACCTCAGCTGCAACTCTAGCGGCACATAGCCAGAACCTTGTTTAGCATCGAGGCTATGGGTGTCTGTGCAGACATCCCCAGTCAGCCATGGGGTTGGAGATGTCTGGGCCCTTGGTCGCCCCTGTCATCACCATGTAAGCTGAAAAGAACACCGCCCAATTTTTCTATCTTCGTACGAGAGTGTGGATATATTCACAAATTGAAGCGCATCACTTCACCTGAGTCAGGAAACCACGAAGTGTTAAGAGAAAGCGAAATTCATATGTGAAGACAAGAGGATTCTTATTTTTAGAAAGTTCTGTTGACATCCTACGAACAGAAATGATTAATTAAACACCCACCCATGATCATTCGGTGGGGGCGTAGTTTGCGCACAAACCCCTGCTACGAATGCGGAATTAGTGCTGCCATGAAAAAGGGGAAATGCTTAATTTACATCTTCAACTACAAAACTACTAATGAAGAATGATATGCAACAGGTGCAGATGAGGAGAAATTCTCTAACGCAAAATAAGCCCGCAAAAAGTGTAGTTTAGCACGGGTATCTCAGGCTACACCCAACGATGGGATTTCTCCTTGCTCTTCGCGAAACTCAATTCCTTCCCGATACGACGCTTTCCACCGTAGCTTGACCGTATTGCCCTTGCCCCGTTCTACACCATTCAGATGGATGGATTGAGTAATCCCGTTGCGCTGATGTGGCTGCATTGACCGTCCGGACTGGGGTTCCAGCTTGAGCGAGTAGCCCTATTGTCAAAGATTAGCATTAACTCGAAAAGCCAAGTAGCTGGACAGAAGATATCGATGCACACTCACCCTTGTGACAGCAACTTGGAAAGTGAGATCGGAAAGTGCCTGAGCAGAATTGTTGGAGAACCTAGCAAGAATTTCCAACGTTGGATTTTGTCCAGCTGGTCGAGAAACGGCTAGCACAACTTGAAGGCCCGAGTTGAGCACCAGGACCTCCTTCGTTTCAGGCTGATCGGGCAGAGCTGACGAGAAGGTCCATTCGTCATCAGCGGCTGCCGAGGTGGGCTGTACAGGCGCCGGAGCGGCAGGCTGGCCAAACCCGAACCCTGAAGGTGTAGCAGATGTGTGCTGTTGGAACTGGAAGGGCGAGTCCTGTCGCTGAGAAGAGGAGGTGAGGCTTGCGAATGGGTCAGCAGCAGCTCGCGGCTGAGGTGCGGGTGGCTGCTGGGACAGAGCAGGCGGAGGGGTGGCGGTTTGCGAGCTCGATCCTAGGCTAGATAACGCTGCAAATGCATCATAGTTGGGTTTTGTTGCTTGCGGCGGTGGTGGGGGCGGTGGAGAAAGGGTTGGTGTCAAAGCTTGAAGAGGAGTTTGCTGGGGGGATGCAAATGTGGGCAATGTAGAACCTTTAAAACGTTAATAAAGATTTTAATCAAATGAGATGTGATTAGACAACACTTACTTGGGGCTCCACCCAGGCCAAGAGAGATGCCACCTCCTTGACCATAGCTGCTGTCCTGAAAGGAGAGACCAAGCAAGTCATCCTCAAGACCCCCGGCTTTGGGAGCATCTGTCGATACAGGAGCAGAACTGCCAGATGTAGAGGCGAAAGGTACGGGAGCAGGAGCGGGAGCGGGAGCGGGAGCAGGCTCGGGCCCTCCGAGATCGATCAAAGAGAGCTCGTTTTCTGCGTTTTTGCTGACTCCAGTCGTGGTTCCCAATGTTCCTTTGGGTATCTTGGAAGCGCCAGAGAGATCGCCCTTTTTGATCAGCTTGTAGCGCTCAATGGTTCTGTGTATGCTGTCGTTAATCTCCAAGAGCTTGGCCACGGCTTCTGTGTCGTCTGATTCCTCTTCGCACATCTTTTGAATCTTGGGTTGTGCGCTTGAGAGCGCAGTCGAAAGCTCCTGCAACGAACGATAAGTTAAACCTTGTCAATGGATAAAAGAATCAAAGTGACGCCACAAAAAATACCTCAAAGACATCGCCTTCCCGGATAGCATCACCCTCTCGATACTGCTGCAGCATATCTTCCAGCAGCCTTGCTTTTTCCTGAATCTTGCCCACTTCTTCCGCAGCTTTTGCCCGATAATCAGTCTTATTCCGTGTATCATATCCTGCCATGACTTTCATGAGCTTGTTAGCCTCCTGGAGGTCCGCAGGTGTGCCTCTTCTGATCAACTCCTGGAGCTTGGCGGACTGAGCTGCTCGTTCTTCCTCTTCCATCTCCTCGGCAGACCGAAGATTCTATCGTGACAGATTATATCAGCATAGTCCATATCACGACCGTATAGTTCGTTCGGTAAGCACATACATCGCTAGGATTGAGCACTGCAGCATCTTCCTTTCGTACTTCTGGGAACATGTACCCCTTGTAGCTCAACAACCGATGCATGTCCCTGATGAAGCCGAGATCCTCCTTGTAGCGTGAGGTCTGACATATTGTCTGACGCCATTCCTCAATGGCCTCCAGAATCCGCAGCTGGACCTTGGTAGGGCGCATGGGTGGGCGCTCCGGGAAGCGACGGACGAGCTCATTGAGAAACTCTTTTGTGCTGATCTGAAGGTGGAACGGGTAGCCGCAGTTTTTGACGCAGATATCGAGAAGCTGTCGGTGGTACAGTACATTTAGTAAATGCGCAGAAGCTCTCTAGACGGGGAAATGTCACGTTGATGCACGCACCGTCAGCGCAAGCAATGACACATTGGGGTTGCGGTGATTGATGAAATGAACAATTGCTACAGCAGCTTCTCGAGGACTGGGAAATATGGGTCAACGATTCCGTATGAGAGATCAAACGGCCGTGGGCACAGAAGCTTACGCATTGCCCTTCTTGGAATTAATAAGGTCGGCAATCTCAAGGTCCAGGGCCAGGTTCGGCTCATAGTTCTGAGGATCGCAGGCATTCTCTAGACGGCTTTGATTAGAACATATTCAGAAGAGTCGGATTCCGTAAGAAAAGAAGCATAATAACGTACGAATGAAGCGCTGCAAGACAGAGGGAGAAGGGTCGCCGAGACCGCCGAGGCGGTCCCTGGCGGCCATTCGCGCCGATGTGGCCTCCACGGTGGTGGTTTGAGAGGGTCAACAGATGGAAGAAAAGGAGACGAAGCTCCAGATTCAATAGTATATACTATTGAAGCTTGTATTGACTATGGCGAGTGTGTTGTTTGGTGTCGGAGGAGTTGAAGTGGGGGAAAAGGGTCGGTGGAGTGCCTGCCTGCTTGGCGATGATGTTGATGATCTAAACCCCCCAAAAGTCGCTCCGCTTTCATCGATTATCAACTCTATCAACCGCCGATACTCCGTGTACCAAAAACAATTCTCCATATTATCTCAACTCCCAAATTCTAGAGGAACCACTCCATCAAGTCAAATTCATTAAAATTTAAATCTATACCAAAGGAAAACAATTATCGAAATTGACTCATCTGCTCCTCACAACTTAGAATGGTCCGCCACAAGAAAGACAATTTCTCATCGCGGGGCAAAAAGTTCTCGAGCGGTCCTCGACGAGGCCCTCCCCGCGAAGGCGGCGATGGTTCTTCCTCCGATGGGAGACCTCCTTACAAAGCAGCCTGCTGGGATCTCGGACACTGCGACCCAAAACGATGTTCTGGCAAACGGTTAATGCGTCTGGGTTTAATGCGAGATTTGCACGTGGGACAAAAATACGCAGGCGTTGTCGTCTCGTACGTTATTGCGCTTCTCTTCCAGATCCATTCAATGCTAACATATATTCTCTTCCCCAGACCTAACGCCAAGAAAATCGTCTCCCCAGCAGATAAGGAAATTCTCGAAGCGTATGGTGCGGCCGTGGTAGAATGCTCCTGGGCTCGACTCAAAGAAGTGCCGTTCAACCGCATTGGAGGCAAATGCGAACGTCTCCTGCCCTACCTCGTTGCCGCAAACACCGTCAATTACGGACGCCCATGGCGACTCAACTGCGTCGAAGCGCTCGCCGCATGTTACTACATCTGCGGGCACCCAGACTGGGCAGAGTCTATCCTATCGCATTTCTCATACGGTGAAGCCTTTCTCGAGATCAACGGGTCATTACTGAAGCGCTATGCCGCATGCGAGACAGAAGAGGACGTCAAGAAGGCAGAGGAAGTCTGGCTGGACAAGATTGAGCGCGAATACGCCGAGAACCGCGAAGAAGCACAAGACGACGATATCTGGAAGACGGGAAACACCAATCGCCGAGTCATTGCAGATGACGATGACGACGAGTCCGGATCCGGATCCGGTTCTGAAGACGACGAGGACAATGAAGGGCCAAAACAAACGCGCACTCTCGACCTTCCACCCACCGACGACGAAGAAGACGAAGACGACGAGGCAGAAATGGCTGCCCTTCGACAAAAAGTCCTCAATTCAAAGGCATTTGGCGGTGGATCAGGCTCAGCGTCCCAATCGAATACCAACGCGCCATCATCATCTGCCCAAAAGCAACCAAATGACTACAGCGGGACAGGCGTCGGCGCAAAACACGACAAAGCCCCACAGTCTTCTAACGATAGCAAAGGACGTGTCCTCGTAGGCGACGAGTCCACCGGTGGTCCCTACGTTGTCGACTATTCCAAGGGACGCTCAACGCATATTCCTCGCGGTCCCGGCGCGGAAGCTACGAATTTCCAACCTGATTCGGACAACGAGGGTAATTATTCCAGTACAGACGACGAGGAAGACCAGGATGACGAAGATGATGAATTTGATCGTATCATCGACGCCACGCCCGTGACGGACAGGTCGGGTATTCAAGCCAAGCAGCGTGCTCGAGAGAGGGACAGCCAGATTAGTGCAGTCTTTTCGAGAACGTCCCTTTCTGCGCCGAAACGGTGGTGATTTGTGTCTGTTCCTTTTCTTTCCCTCTTTTTTCCCCTGCCATATTCTCTCTCTTTCATTTCATTTCTATTTTTTTTTAAATGCCATATATCATTCAAAAGTGTTGAGAGACGCAAGAGGCAACATGTAAAAACCATGTTTCGCGATATAAGTACCCTGGCGTTAGGATATCCAAAGACAGAAACCAATGAAAACAGTGACATAAATCACATCATTTTACCATCATTCTGCTATATATAAGTGCATTTGTGATTATCAGATCTGCATTTTCACAGACAAATGAGCAAAGCCATCACAAGTATCACGAGGGCTGAGATAAAAATACACAAACATCAAGTGAGATGAGTAAGAATATTTGAATTGAAGCAAACTAAAGCTATTGTGATTGATTGATTGATGGTTTCACTGATAAATCCTCAGGACAGAGAGGACTGTGAAAACTGCGATATTGAGCGACGTATGGTTCGTTAAGATTGGTAGCATCATGACCTGAGAAAAGTCATGACAAGTGAAATGTACAAACCATGTGAGTTATCGCTGTAACAGAAAAAGAAAATAAGCAAAGTGAAGCAAAGAGTAGAATCAACAAAGGAAACAAGGAGAAAAAGAGGTGGAAACAGAAGTAACGTCCACGTCAACCACGTCTGCAACGACGACCATCTGTGATTGCAAATCACTATGATATTGTGCATCGTAACCCTTGTGGCCGGCACAGGAGTAGATACATGCTGTAGATCGAAGCTACCAGGCTTGATAAATCCAGCAGTGAGAGCACCCGATAGTGTTGACTTTAAGTCGAATCTTTGCTTCGAGAGATTGTTTGGATTGGATTGGTGCGAACAGGTCCACGCGAACAGTGGATGCTTGGCGTTGACAAATAGACCCTTAAAATGTTTCTTTTTTTTTTTTTTTTCAATTTTTTTTTCAAATGACCACATCAAACGGGGTTGTGAGGGCATCTGATCTTCTTCCGTCTCTAGAAGAAGCCCAACTTAGTTCCATCACCAGTCTCGCCAACCACGCCACCGACAACAGCTTCCCCAACGGCATGTGTGTTTCCTTGATGAGTGCGAGATCGCCGCTCTTTGCGGGCACTGAGTGACTCCACGGTAGGTGACTCTTCGTCATACATCTGGCCCGCATAAGCATCTGGATAATTGGCAGTAATGCGAGTGTCTTCCATGGGCCGAGGCTGAGGGGTTTCAAGGGGGAAAAGTTCAAATGTTTGACCATTAGACAAAGTCACAGTCCGCTTGCCATTCTCATCAATCTTGATATCCTCGGCGCGGATGCTAGAACGGTTGGGCCCGGGGAAGCGCCGAGTGCGAGGGCTGACGGGGGAGAAAGGATCCTCGGCCGCAGTGCCAATGACAGCTGCAGGAGACGAGAAAGCGCCGGCGGAATATGCACTGTTAGTAGCATTTTTACCGAATTGATGGTTTCCCGAAGAGAGGTCCTTTCCAGAAGTTTTCTCTGCGGCTTCCGGCTTTGATGTGAACAATCCTGGACGAAATGGGACTTGAAAGTTCGAAGTTCGCTCGTTATTGGACTGTTCAAGAAGGCTAGCACCACGGCTGCCAAACGGGTAAACAACATCAGGCTCAATGACTGGCATGCTTTGCTGAGCTCCGTAAATGGCATGCCTGCGACTGGTGCGGGTTGAATTTGCCCGCTGAGGAGCGCTGTGCATTACCAGAGTCGGGCTGGCAGGCGAGAACGAGACTGGTCGAGCCACGTGCGTGCGTGAGGATGAAATATGTGCCTCGAATTCAGCTTGCTGTGGCGCCATGCTAGGCACTTGTGTCTGGGAAGTAGTGTTACGAGTGGAACCAGCGCGAAACAAGGTATTCTCAGCAGGCGTATTTGTCAGGTCATCGAAATTAACAAGTGGCTTCAGCGGCCTTTGTCTCACTGATTCACCTTGCTGTTTCGGCTTAGTGAGGGTCCGTGAACGCCGGCGACCCTCGACTGGAACAGCGACCTGTGTTTCGAGAAGAGTAGGATATGACAACCGCCTGTATTCAACAGAGGTACGAGGGGGGAAGCTGTCATTCAGTGCATGAGGTTTCTGTTTTAGCTGCTCGGAAGTCCCCAAGGGAGCTTCCATTGCACCAAGTGCGGGCAGTGCATAAGACCCAGTCTTCTGTTTGGCTTCTTCACTCTTCTTTTCGAAAGTCTTCAAGGTATTGGCGGCGGCTTCTTGATTCTGCAAAGCACACTTCGCCGCAGCAAGCTCCTTTTCGAGCCCTGTCACTTTAAGATTGGCGGCTTGAATTTCATCTCTCAGACTATTCGTGTCAAGCTCACGTTCAGTGACCTTCTGCTTGAGAATATCATTTTCCTGCACTAGCTCTTGAAGCTTGGTATCTGTTTGCGGTGCTGGAAGCAGCACCCCTCCGCTTAACTCTGTGCTTAGGGAATTCGCTGCGGTTTCCAAATCAATCAAGTCTTCAGCCAAGGTGCTTGTTTGACGGCGAAGGTGAGATTGGGCTTCCTCAAGTTGTTCCTTAAGCTTTGAGACCTCTTGCTTAAGGTTCGAGACCTCTTGCTCAAGCCTCTTAATTTCAATACGGTGGAGACTCTCATTTGTGTCCGCGTTCGCTCTTGTCAAGTTTAGAAGTTCAAACCCATTCTGGAGAACCTGATTGGCCTCTTTAACTTTCTTCACGAGATGCTGGTTTTTGATCTCCAACGCGGCAACACGGTCAGCATATTTGTAACCGTCTTGTACTAGACCGGCAATACGCTGCTCAAGATCTTCGTTCTCGAGCTTAATACTTTTCACTTCGGTAGAAAGCTTGGTTTGAAGAGAGTCCACCTGCTCTTCCATGGTCTCCTCACGCTTCTTGGCCTGCCATAACTCAACTGCCTGTGCCTCGGAAGTCTTTCGAAGCTTAATATAGGCTTCAGCCAGGTTCTCAGGGAGAGGTGGCGGCGTCCGCACTCGATTAAGCTGCGGCAACTGAGCTTCAGCAATCTCACGCTTGGAGTTAGGAGGGGAGGGCTGCTCGGAAGATTGCTTGTCGAATGACCGACGAAGATCGAGGCCTGGACGTTGAGGGTTGCCGGTGTCAGGAGATGTTGGGGTTGAAGAAGGTTTATTCTTGTCCTTCGTTGCAGACTTCTGCTTTTTACGAATGCTATTACGCCGGACTGTGGGAGTCAGTCTCGCGTCAACTTCACTTGGGGGAACTTCAAATCAAAGAAGGAGGCAGGTAAACAAGGGAATATAACACTTACCAGTGCGAGACTGCCAGCTTAGGAACTGCGATGCAAATCCCATTCCGAAGAAGAATTTGGTTAGCAAGCTATCAGAGTGTTGTTGTTGTGGTTGTGTCTGAAGTTTGCAGCTGTATCGGATGTTGTGAGAGAGAAGAAGGATGATGGAGGATAAATCATCCAAGCTTCGCTCGTCAGGGTGTGGGTGACAAAAGAGGTACCGAGCCAAGTATTTGAGCTGCATTTCAGGTCAGCACAATAGTCTCCATGACGATGCAGTTGGCTTTGTTTATTTCATTCACGAAGAAAATAAATCAATACAGCCCACAATTACAGCAACATATCATCATTGCAGTCTACATCAAAGAGTAGCCTTACCTCCTGTTCAGACCACATAGCATCCTCACAACCGGTAGTTATATTATCTTGCCAACTTGTATTCTCTTCGGTATAGTTTTCGGCGCTCTTCAAACTTTCCTCAAGTAGCTCTATGCGTTGCTCCTCCATACTCCAGTGATCATCCCGCGAATTCTCAAATGCACTGCCCTCAAAAGGTGACACCAGCGCCTCAAAGACCCCTAGCCCGACCACTTCTCTTCGTGAATAAGCAGGCAGCGTGCAGTCAGACTTCGAAAACTCTTCGTGATCTGGAACGCCCTGCTTTTCTAGTGGCATAGACCCCGCCAATTCCACGGGCGGACCATTGGCTTGGATAGGTAACTTCGTAAATGCTTCCTCCAATGCTGACAAGCGCTTCTGCGAATGTTCTTCGTGCCTCATTAACATCTCGAGCTCCGGAGCTAAATTCGTTTCCCCATGAAGTTTCTGGCCAGCTAATGTACACTCACGCTCATCCTTCGCCAGATGGCATTGAGACTGGAGCGACATCTGCGAAGGTAAATACTGTGGCTGGGGACGGCGTCTCTTCCTCGACATTGTTCTCCCCATATGCTGACCATGACTGTCCTCGCCGAGGCTTGATATTGGGACTAAGCCCCCTGTTCGTAAATCATCACTCGGAACGCGAGATCGCTTCCTGAAAGACAAAGACAAAGGAGCCATGATAGGAATGCGTGGAGATTAACAAGAGCATTGTAGGCAACGAGGGCACAGATTTAATGCAGTATACGACCTCCAAAATAGCAACGTAGCAATGACTAAGGACATGAGCAAAATAGTCTATAAATCGAAATGGCAACAATATGTCATCAATGCAGCCGAATATATGTTCAGGAAATGCAGACTTGGAATCACGGTTGCAGTCCCACCTGCATATTGTCCTATACACAGTAGCAGACGTGGTGATTAAAAACAGTAACAAGCCACGAGAACTAAATATCCAGAGCATTTTTGCAGCGAAATGCAAAGATAAATTTGACCCGAAGCCAAGCCTATGACGACGATGAAACATTCAGGGTCAGTTAGAAGGTCAAGGGGGCCGAACTCCCTTTGCTCCTAAGGGCGACGGGACTGTGCACCTGTCAGGCCGCACGTCCAGGTGCCCTAGTCGCCCATAAAAGGGTAGCATTTTTGCCTCTTCAAGGGCCTTGAAACGAGGTGGTTTCTGGCATGACAGCGATGAAGCAGAACTGAGGGTAGTCCCTCGTTTCTCGATGGGTAACATGGGCGGCAACTGAGGAAGAACGAAGAGAAGTTGATTATTGAGAGATCGACAGGCGTCGTTACAAGAATGCAAGCGCCGTTTCGCCAATGATCGGATCCAAGACCCCCTTGTACGTAACTTAACTGTCAGAAGGAAACTTAGCGACTTTCGCTTCGGCCTGCAAGCCAAAACATGAGACTAACAGGGACTAGATCTTCTCATCTTATCGCCAAATCTCTCGTTGTTTGATGAGCTTTGGACAAGTATCGGACATTTAGCTCTTCGATCCCAAGGTGTACAACAAATGGCGGACAGCGGCTTCGATAGTCGGGATCGACGCCGGAGGCGGAGCCCTTCGTACGCATCCGAATCTGGAACCGCTTTTCGACGTCGAGACAGCCACGATCGAGGCCATCGCAGCTCACGCCGCCGGGATCATGCCGACGATGATGTCGACAATGGCCGAAGTGGTCGGAGAGAAAAGTACAGCAATCGAAAAGACCGACATAGGGACCGAGAACGGGGCAGACATGACAGAGATCGCTCTCCTAAGCGCCAACGACGGCGCTCATATTCACCTCGCGATCACAAAGAGGAAGCCGAAGAACGGCAGAGGCGCCGCAGACGAGACGATCGATCAAGATCACAGGAGAGACGACGAAGAAGACCTAGTCCTCCTTCGCGATCACCTTCACCTTCCTACTCCAGTAAACGCTCTCGAGGTCCTCTTCCCAGCCAAGAAGAATCTTTTCATGGACAAGGTTCCTCCAGACAGCCCTCTCGGCGCGATACCGATCGAGATGCCCGAGCCAGAAACGACCCCGAAACGGATGACGCTGTAACCAAAGCTTCCCCTCCACCGGAGAAACAAAAGCCAAATTTCGAGCGGACTGGTGCCCTAGCTCGCGAGACAAACACTGTAGAAGGAACGAATATAGTATTGAAGTACAACGAGCCGCCTGAGGCAAGGAAACCCCCGTCTAGAGACGCGTGGAGACTATATGTATTCAAGGGGCCGGATCTGCTCGAGACGGTGGAAATATTCACACGATCGTGCTGGTTAGTAGGCCGAGAAAAAATGGTGGTCGATTTCCCCATTGAGCATCCGAGCTGCAGTAAGCAGCATGCGGTAATCCAGTTTCGACATATTGTCAAGACGAACGAATATGGGGATAAGGATGCTAGAGTGAGGTATGTACAAGTGTTATGCGTAGTCTTCGATGAAAAAGGCGCTATGGAATTGTTGCGCATGGTGAGCAAACGGGCGTAAATTCAGTGCTAATTCTTGCGTTTAATAGACCGTACATTATTGACCTTGAGAGTGCCAATGGAACTAAGGTCAATGGCGAGAAGATTCCAGCAACGCGCTATGTCGAATTACAGGACAAGGATATGGTTCAGTTTGGCCTCAGCACGAGAGAGTATGTCCTAATGCTGCCTCCGGGATGAATACAGAGTTTAGACTTGATGGACCCAAAGTATCCATGGGTGTTGCAAGCAGAACTGGCTATATGGGAAGAGTGAATCATGAAAGCCTTGAGGACTTGTAAAAGTTGATGCACATATTAACAACCATAATGCATATATTACACTTGAGTACCATTTAACGGGCAAACTATTTCAGCTAAAAGCTGTTGATTCATTCATTTCCTTTTTCTCTGCTTCGGCTAGAATTATCGAGCAGCATCGAGCAGCATCAACCATTTCCACGAAATCATTATGGTACAACGTAGCAAAGCATAACAGCGTTAGGGAAAAGATGCTATGATCAACGAAAGAAATTACTGCCTGATTGTTTAAACTCGTTAGCCTTCTGCAGAGATCAAGATCTGGTTGTGAAGACTCACTCAAATCCATGTTCCTCGCTACTGAATTCGTTGGCCTTGCCCTTGGCCTTGCCCTTGACCTCTGAAGCCTTGCCCTTTGCCTGGCCGGAAAGCTCAGACGCCTTGCCCTTAACCTCACCAGCCATTTCTTGGGCGCTGGCGGCCGCCTTCTTGGCATCGAGTCCGAACGCGTGCTCTAATTCTCAAAATTAGCATACTGACAAGAAACTCCTGAAGCGTCAAGAGCAAGAACATATGATTGGAGCGAAATAGGACGATCCCAATTAGGGTTGGAGGAGTATGCTCTTCTTCGAACAGTGTACTGAGAAGGACAGGGGAGCCGTTTGTGAGAAACGTAAATATGAGCAGTCGCACGGCAAATATGCCTAAGGGGTAGAGAAAAGTGGAAATTTATCGATCTAGAAAGATAGACGAGGAGATTACATACGGCCTTTCTCAATGCCTTTCACCAGCTCATCAGAAATCTTATGGTCAATCTTGTGTGCAGCGTTCTTGACACTGTCAACTGGTCCCCTGTTTGCCACACGAGGGGTAGTGGTGAAGGTCCTTCGGCCAACAACCTGAATGGTTCGGCGGATCATGAAAGACATGGTGATTGAATTTAATTGAGAAGCCCTAAGAAAAATGAGGGTTGTTTACTCTTGGGAGCAATGGATGGCGAAGCTGATGGGTGTAGTGGTAATTGAGGATGGAAGATGGCTTTTTAACACAAAATCGATGATTAGAAGAAGAGAAAGTATCCCGAGGTAAAAGAGTTAAATAGTGTAAGGAATGAAGTTGGGGGAGGCGAACTCTTGGGGCAGCTGGACACTTCCGTCACAGGAATCCCTATGCTCCAAGCTCCCAAAAAGGTAAACTGTGTGGGGTTTCGCTTCGGCAGCTAATTTAGGCTAGCCCCTGCAAATACGTCATGCTTACTAGCAGGATGCCAAGTCTGGGGTCAAGAACCTTACCCTAATCCAGGAAAGGTTATAAGTCAACGTAATGTCACGACGAAAGTTGGGTGAAACGATGATGGTAAATATGAACTCGTAAGATGCAAAGGCAAGTATTATGGAGAATAGTGAGACCGCATTGCCAAATTGCAATCGAATTTCATGGAAAAAGGGATCAGGCGTAACTTGTGACGTATTGAAGAAAGGGTCTAAGTTCACATGATTTGATCCAGGGGGATGTACCTTTTCCTTGTTCCTTGATCACAATAGTGACACAATCTAAGTGGATGGAAACTTGTCACCCTGAGAACAATGACGAAATGCTGGCGTAAAATTCACACAACAGCAGGTACCAAAGCATGCCATTTTAATCGGAACAGGGGGCCTGTTCTCCACACGAAAGAGGGAAAGCAGATTCTCTCGTTGGAAATTAAGCGTGCGATTAACATCATAGTATCAAAATGAAGAATATGAAGCAGGACAAGGAAAATAGCCGATTGATGACCGAACATGAGGGGAAAAAATGTAACGGAAACTATAGAGCTGACCACTCTTAAACATAAAATGAAGCCACAAACCACGTAAATGCCGTGAATGGAAAACTAACAACATAGACTCACTGGGCGTCAAAATTAGCGAGGCAAAGTTCCAACCCACTGACTATTCGATCACAAAAACGTTTCTGGGTCTCGCGATTAGACAGGTCAAAATCTCCATCCCACCAGATGCATGCTTGGACCGCTTTCTGGTATCTAAGGCCTAAGTCAGAGAAAACTGACCCTGCTTGAACATGATCGAAAGCGGCGAGAAATTCTCTCATTTCGTCGTTGCCATCCTGTTCTCGTCCATTGCCTTTGCTAGAATTTGGATCAATCAAAAGCTGCGAACGCCCTATTTCTAGGAGTATCACCCCGAGGCTATATATGTTGGAGCTTCGGAAAATGTTTTCTGTGCCAGCTTGCTCATTGTGAAATTGATGAAATTTCGCGGAAACATAAGGTGCCCAGTTCTTTTTGTCATCTAGAAACAGCAACACATCTCGGCTGCGCCATTTTTGTTTAATCCAAGGCGAAGAGTGCAAATAAAGCAAAGAGACGGCGAGAGTGAGGGCAAGTTGCAGACGGTCTCGAACTCTCATGCACGTTGCCTTGTCCTCTGATTGCAGAATGTCTCGAAGACATCTCTCTTCAAACCGCGGTGCGACTGTTGAAGCCCGATAAAAAAGATACAAGTGCTGATCGTCCACCGGCACATAGCCAAGATATGTCTCAGACGGCGAAAGTCTTGAGAGACATGTACATAAGTTGTCAATCTTTGCTGTAACTATGTTTGGGTCAGCACAACCACGTGGTACTCTGCAATCTTGGTTATCCAAAGAGCGTTTCCTAGAGATGTCTGCAGTATCGAAAACGAATGAAACTCGCTTCCTCATTTTTGATTTTGAGCTGGAAGTTGTTATGACTTCGGCTTTCGAGGCTGATTTGGGGGCCCTAATAGTAGATACCATTCTCGATTTGACTTCCAACGCTTCGATCATAGATCTCTTGGTCGAATCGTATTCATCAACGTCCATTCTGCTTTCCATGACGGATTGCGCTTCTTGATAGACGGCCACCAGCCTGAACACAGGCTGAGGGGGTGAATGGTCAACAGTCTGGGAATGCTTTGAGTTTGTTGGAAGCGACAATCTAAGAGAATCACGCTCGAATTCCAGGCGTAGATTGAATCCATGGCAGTGACATTTGACAGTCTTCGCCAAAGCCGAATGTAGCCAATTCAGGTGCCGTTGAAAGGCAGATACGGACGACAATTCTATACTGCTTTTTTGATTGACATGGACTGTTTTCGAACGTTGGGGGACAGCTTCCGTATTCCGACTCTGCAAGATATTGTTGACGATGTGATTGTAATCTTCTATGCGCAGTCGAAGATCGGCTAAGAGTTGTCGCAGGCGGTCTTCGCTACCTGCGATCCGCCTTTTGGTCATAGGAGAAAGCTTTCGGTAGGCCAAAATGTCGTCTTTTATCCCTTCGCGTTCAATTTGCTTCTGCATTCAATCTGAGCATACTGATAATTTCTTGGGAACAGATTGCGCTCACCGACTCCGTAAAAGAAATTCCCTTTCCGGAAGAGCTAGTTTTCTCCAGAGCCTTTTGGATATCTCCGAACGAATATATGCACAATGCAATTGCGTTCATCGCCGCCTCAAAATTCTCACCAAGATGAGCCCTAAGTTGAGATTCCCACGCAGAATCTTGCCAAACATTTAAATCTCCGACATTGTCGTCAACAAACATTGCCTGCACTTCCTCCTTGGTTTTAAGACCGGCAAGCAGTTTAATACATTGTTGTATAAACCTCTCTTTCCACATAAACAACTCGGTCCGTATCCTTAGGTTGATGCCCTTGATTTGGTTTGTTGAGCGGACAAGGCCCAAAATTGCCTTCTTGCCGCCGAGACATTCTATACCAAGACTGACCACAGATATCCCGAGACTCACAGCATCAAGGGCGGACATTTTGCAGCGAAAGATGGACCCCGTTCGATTTTGCTTTTGGATTAAAATAAACATGGGCCATCGCTCGCAGCTATTCGTATGCTCCCAATCGATTCATGGTGCTGTGGCTGTATAAAACATCGCCCTCGGCTGCCACAACCCCTGCTGCGCAGCCTGATGCCCTGGAGGCCGGGGCTCAGCCTCGCTGACCATGGCTGCGGAGTCGCCAACACTGGTACATCACCATTCTGTCGAAGTTTTGTCGAGATTTTGTTGAGGCAATTCTATCTTTACGGTTTTTTTCGGTATTTTCATGAAAATATGGCAGACAGTGCCGAGATCGGATTTGCTGGGGACGTCGTCCAAGTTTGCATTTCAGCATCTTCAAAACTACTAAAAGAAGCCAGACAACACGATGCCGGAAAGTTGATTGAAAAGCAACTGCAAGATGATGTTGACAGGCTCCGCTTGTGGGCTGACGGCTTCGAGATAAAGGCGGGAGAACTAGACATATTACTTGAGAAAGATGATCAGATGAAGACCGCAGTAATAGCTAATCTGGGTTCTGTGGCCAGCCTTTTGTCTAAGGGTGAGTTTTCCAAAGATTCTCACACCAAAACTTTACTATCACGCTTTGACGTTAATTACTGGTTTTAGCAACCTGTAGATTCCTCCAGGACAAGGATTTGAGCATACGTTTGCGAACGTTGGTTGAAAAGGCCATCTTGATCGAGCCCCGAACAGAGCACCTGTTCGACTACAGCTCCGATGAAGAAGAGCAAGGCCCAGAAAGAGTGCCTGGTGATCTCAGGGCGGGGCAAAATAAAGAGGATGGTGAAGATGAAGTTGATGAAGCTTGGTCAGCGTTTTGCGAGGACTTTTCTGATTTATGTCAATTGCTTTTCGATTTTGCGCCATTTCTCATGGAATTACAAGAAACCGGAATGATTTCGAATGAACCTCAGGAGGATGACACAACAAAACCCGTAACGAGTGGAGAACAGTGTGATCTTCCTCATAAACATCTCAGACGAATGATCATGGACAAGTTCCCAGAAGGCGATCCGCAACTGATTGAGAGAATCGCGACCGAATGTTGGACTTTGTATTGCGGACTCAAGGAAGGCTACGCAGAAAGTGAGAAACAAGCGCGAAAGGATGCTCATAGCGACAGGGACTCAGGTAACGGTTCGAAATTACAAAGCAAAGCCGTCCGAATAGCCCTTTCAATTTTGAAAGACTTCGAAAATAGCAATGTGGAGAAGAACATATGTTTCGATGAGCATTTCCCCCATTCTTACAGTTTCCCGGGAGCTCCCAGTCCTCCTGTTCCATTAAAGATTGGACCTTTGTTTCTTTGCACCATCTGTTCGAAATTGGTGCCGGTTTTCTCAGATGTTGATATATGGCGGTAAGATGTGCTTACAAACTTCACAATGATCGCATCTAATTTTTACTCTTTCTAGAAGACATATTTTTGATCATATTAGTCCCTACATCTGCACCTTTCAAGATTGCCCAGAGAGGCAGCATCGGTTCAGCTCCTTATCATCCTGGACTGACCACGAGTTTAACTGCCATCGGAAACCATCCAAATGGCAATGTATATTCTGTTTGCCCTGTTCAGAGCAGTCATACATATATTTTGGCCTAAGAAATTTCGAGGCACATCTTGATCTTGTCCATAGGGAATGTTACTCGGCCGAGGACAAATTTTCCATAATGGAAAAATGTAAGAGGAGCCCTGTCAAGAATACTGCCAAGAAAGCAACATGTCCATTCTGCGCAACCGAACTTCAAAACAAAAGAAGGATGATCGCAGGACACGTGGGCAGGCATCTAGAAGATATTGCACTTCCAATTGCGAGCATTTTTCTCGCGGCAGAGGAATCGGATCGTGAATTTATCGACTCAAATAGTGCTGGGGTCTCTGATAATTTACTGTCCAATCCTGAACATAATCTGCCGTAAGTGCCCCTCAAACTGGATCAGTGGTACCTATACTGATACTTTGCAGAAAGTGCAATGAAACCGGCTCCTGCCTGTGGGGGCTTTCAAAAGCAGATTGGAAACATGTAATTGGGGGTCGGTCGACAGAGAACGAACTTCATAAGCATATGAATCCACAACATGATGCAGATCCGCTATTCCCCGACTTCCCATTCTCGTGCTTTGAACACGAGTCAAATCAAGAGAGTAGTTACGATCAGCACATGAAGTGGAAATACGATTTGGATTCTGTGCTAGGAATGAACTATGATAATCAACCTCATCACTACGCAAAATCTAGAGACTCAGTGGCTCCTTGCAGTTCGACTCCTGACAGAGAACCAGAAGATGGTGGTCCAGAATTTCCGGCGCTTCTCCGTTTGATGCGGTCGAAAATACATCATTATGCTGGCGAAAGGCCCTCTGAAAACATTTTCGATGAGAAGGTCCAGGAATTGGAGAGTCCTGCATCCAAAATAATACAAGAGCAACAACTTCGAGAAGAACTTCAGAAAATCTTTTTTCGTCGGGCGGGATTTTTATTGTCTAAAAACCCGGGACCTTTTACGCCAGAGCACAACAACAATTCAAGTTTGGTTGATGAGCCGAGAGTGTCAAGCGAAACTGTCACAAGAGACATTAGTTTCTGCCATATTTGCGAAGAAGTAAATCTTACTCTCCCAATTATATACTGTAAGATTGGAAAGTGCAGGAAGCGCTGGCACCGCAAGTGTCAAACTGCTCGAGATGTTATATATCAAGAATGTAAGTGCTTGACACCTATCTCATATTTAATAATCAGCCTTTTTTAGCTAACGTTTTCTAAAAATTTGAAACTAATGGTTTCCAGACGATGGATATTGTGATTCATGTTTTGAAGAGGAACTCTTGAGTCTCGTAAGCGAAGATGAAGATGAAGATGAAGATGACAGTGAAGGCGAGGAGGATGATGACGAATAGATGAATACTCTCACGGAGATGGACGTGGTAATGACAAGAAAACGACCATCCGCTACATGACCAACACTACAACATGGATTTTCTGATAGTCATGAAATGAAACTCTACATCCTTTTCGCTATTGTATCCTAATTATCACGGAATCTTTAAAAGTGAAATTTCATTTAAAGGCGTGCAACATGCCAACAACAACTGGATCAAATTTTCTTGTCCATTGATACATGCTATGATTCAGCTGCTTGCCTAAAGCCACCACAAATGATCGAACAGTCTATCCTCCATGGAACTATTGCTGCAGAATTCTCAGCCGACAGAGAAAAAATTTGCTCAATAGCTCTATAGCGAACCGCAATCATCGACAAAATGTCAGACAAACAAATTCACGGAATACCAATCTATAGAGGCGCTGCCGCAGACCAAAAAGACGAATGCGAATGTTACACTGCTACACACCCACATTTTCTTGACAAGCCTCCGTCATGAATCGTACATATTCTACTAATTTTCCGAACTCCAAATCGTCATATTCAAAAAAATCGTGTATATAGTAGACTTCAATATAGATTTACGGTGCAGTATATCCCAAAGAACCAGCCCATCTAATCCGCCAATCATCCAGTGATCTTATACATATGTAATTGTAACCCATCGTGAATGATAGCTAACATGTCTATTTAGCCAATACTTTGCCACCCTTGCGAACCCCTCCATATACGTGCTCAAATCGAGGTTCGGTCCCAGGTGCAGGGAGGCTCTTGACAGTCTTGCCCTCCGTCTTCGTTGCAGCAGCGTAACCAAATCTTGTATAGATATATCAACGCCATCTAAAAGTAGTTGGCCAGCTTTTCTCAGAAAAGAATGTCCTTCATGAACCCGTAACGTACTGCATAGCAATGTCCTTACCGTGCAATAACAAGATTTCCTTATCTATAGCCCACCTTGCTTTGACAACGGCCGGCGCATCTCTTGCGGAGCGCTTGATAGCCTCCACAACAAGAAGGTACCCCGGAGCCTTTTGCGCGCTAAACTTGCATATGTTCGCGTGATCTGCCTGGATAGTTGCGTGGCTCACGCCGCCTTTTAATGGGGTCGCGGAGGCCTCATCCACGACCTGACCGATACTTGTTAGTATAACACTTTGATATCATCCATTTCCTCCCGTCCTTTTCTTATGATTAATGAAATGAAAAGGGAAAAAGAATCAAGCAAAAGAAGCGGCCGGGTAGGGGGAAAAGAAAAGAAACGAAAAGAAGAAAAAGAAGAAAGCACGTACAATTTTCTTCGTAAGTCCAAAATTCATCGGCAACCCCTCATGGAAAAAATACATTTGAAAACGATGATCAATCGACTCAAAATAGCGAGTTATCCCTGCAAGCGACTCGCTCTGCCGCTTGAGCGCATTCACCAACCGTGGGGAAGTGTGAAGGACCGCCTTGGGCACCATCGCGCGGGCGATTGACTCTAGGATTGATCCCCATTTGGCCAAATCGGAGCCAAGGTGCGGCGTGCCCAAGAACAATATCCCGTACGTAGAGAGATATATAGAGCGCAGGTGTTCCACGTTCTTTTTCTGGATGGTGGACGAATACGTCAAGGCGGATTTGACTACTAGGCCGCCGAGTGAGTGGCATATGAATACAATGGGCCGTTGCGTGGCTGCGTCCCCCGCCAGGGACCGGTTGGCACAGAGTTCGGAAACCAAAGTTTCGGCGTGCCTGGGGATATTGTCTTTGGATGCGCCGCCTACGCCACTTGTGCCAGTCATGAAGGCTGCCACGTCGGCGTTGTAGCCGTAGGTAAGAATCCGGACTCGCTCGTTTTGGAGAGAAGACGGGAGAAGATCGGCGGGCCAGAATACGGAGGGGTCCTTTGTGGTCCAGGTCAGATATGGATGGCCATGGAGGCCGTGAACCAGGACGATACTATCTGTATTAGCCTCTCATACAGCCAAAGACAGAGGGGGGAGGTAGTGTAAAGACGCACTCAACGAGAGGATCCTCGGCACTGTAAACCTCGCTCAGTCCGAATCTCTCAACTGTCGCCCCATTTGATGTCTTGACTGAAGCCTGATATCATAGTCAGCATTTTTTATCCTTGCTTTTTTGCTTCTAAATCCCACAATCCTACGATTCCACAACCCCCAAGCCCAGAAACTCCGCAACGGCAACGGCAACCCCTTGAAGGAGGATCGGCATACCATTTCTCAAATATACTCCGTCTATAAAACACTCATATTTTCCAAAACTTGGGGGTAAAAGACAAAAGATAACTGATAAATGATAAATGATAAATCTTCCAATATATGCAGCACAACTTTTTCCCCTGTCTTTTATTTCTCGCACAATGCACAGAAGTCCTCGTAAAGCAAATATACAATCTCGTACGTCCGTACAAAACAAAAACATCTCGAACAATGCGGACTACCTCGACTTATTTATCTTGTACAACACCACAGCACAGTCGCAGCCGCAGCCGCAGCGTAGCGCTCAAGCCTTCAATTGCAACATTCGACACGAATTAAATCGACTGATGCACATCTGCGGCTTGCGGCTTGCGGCTACAAGGGGGGTGTAAGAAGCTCTAGCCAATAGATTTGTTGCCAGTCGCACTGCGCGGCGGCTATCGGGCGGCTATTGAGCATTCTGCAACTTTGCCGCAATGCACGGTGCATAGTGCAGGACACATGAAACACGTCGTGTGTCGTATATATCGTGTTGTAGGCTGTGACGCTTGTCGGATACTCAGAGTCTATGTTTAGTGGAATTCTATTTCCCGGGGTTAGGGTCCAGTGCTAAGCGCCGAGGTCTTTTGCCGATGAGAGCCCAGAGACCTGGACCAAAATAACCACCGTACCACATTACCACGACACCAGGACACCAGAACACCAGGACAATATGACATGGATATATCTAGCTCTGTAAACGTCAAATGGAAAGAGCACGAATTATGTTTCGTGGGCGGTCGATAATCCTTGAAAAAATTGTTATCCTTGGCACGTTCAGTAAGCAGGAGAAATGCACTTGCGGTCTCGCCATAAGCTGGATTGTAGCGGACGTCAAGAAATACCGCGTAGTTACCGGCAGGAAGGTGAGGATGAAGGGTACAGGGTACACCGTATGATACATGCTACAAGTCTAGCAGACTATCTGGTTGATAATAAAATAGGTAGTGGATGTAAAAAGTGATATACAGTGGCGTAATGATAAAGTACATATGCCTTTAATATAGTCAATGTTGTTATATACCTTATATTCATAATTTCCTTCGAGTCGATGTATAAACAGTGTCTCCTACATGTCAACTGCCGAGACTACAACGAAACAATATACGCCATATGACGAGCAGAGGCGTAAGAGCTCCTATGCGAACAGAAAAATACACAAACATAGCAATCGGGAAGCTCCATACACTGTGGTATGCGCTCGTTGGCTCTCTCGCTCGCTCATGCCAACGACGCATCATGCAAATCGTGACTCAGATGATAAAGCAGAAAGCAATATAAGAAAAGTAAACAAATATTGGTAATAACGTAATTTCGCCTTTCAGACACCAAAATGAAGATAGTTAACCAGCAAGCTTATTCTGCACACGCTCACAAGGCAGCTGGCCTGGCAGGCATTCCCAGAATGGCGAGAAGAGACGTGCCCTATGTTGTCGCAGTTATATATTTCTGTAAGGCGACCAAGCAAGCTCAGCTATGCTTATACTTCTTTGATAGTGTTGATACTATGTCGAAGCCGCGCAAATGCTCTTGAAGCTACCGGGGCATAGGAGAAAAAGGAAGTTTGACGAAAGAAGACCATGATCGAGCCTGTCATTTATTTTCCTTTGAACACTGGCTTTCTCTTCATGACGAATGCGCTCAAGGCTTCATCTCGGTCTTCTGTCGTGAGAACCTTCTCGTAGCATTCAATTTCGTTTTGCTCGGCTCCTTGCCAGCCATCTACGGCCTGTAGTGCGGCCTTGATAGCGAGTGGTGCACCCTCAGCAATGACGGTAGCAAGCTTAATTGCCTCGTCGAGTACTTTTTGACGAGCCACGCCTTCTTGCTGCGCTTCTTCCGGCGTAATCTCCACTAGGCGGTCGCAGAGGCCGAGAAAGTATGCTTCAGGCCCACTGACCTGTCGACCGGTCAAAATAAGATCGCGCGCATGTTGAGGCCCGACAATCATGGGCAGGCGATAGGTGCCGCCCGCACCAGGAATTATGCCTAGACGTGTCTCAGGCAGACCAACGCGTGCGGAGGAGCCAAAGACTCGCATCTTTGTGCAGAGCGCAAGCTCGAGGCCGCCGCCGAATGCATTTGAAGCGATTGCAGAGATGGTTGGGATAGGGAGGGAAGCAAGAACGTTAAAGGCGCTCCGCAGGTAGGACAGGAAAACTTTTGTTCTACGAAAACAAGTGAATGGTTAGTCGAGATTTCGCAATTGAGATTTAGAAAATCGGGATTCTCTGGTGGTTGAATAGGAACATAAAGCTGAAATGGACGGGCAAGAACCGAATGGCGGAAAAAGGCCAGAAGAGGGAAACCTACTCATCATGTGTAAACTGTTGCCGCTCTTTCAGATCAGCCCCGGCGCAAAAGCAATTGTCTACGTCACTCGCAATTATGAGCGCCTTTAGGGACCCTTTGCTGCCATCGTAGCGTGCTGCACTAATCTCCGAATTCAACTGCGCCAACAACTCCCTTGAAAGCGCATTTCGAGCTTTAGGCCGATTTAGCGACAAGATACGAATGGAGCCCGAGTAAGGAGCATCCACATTTGTGACCTTGACCATGGATGAAGAAGATGAAGTGGAATAGCATCGTGCCGCGGCAGGAGCTAGAGTAAGAGCGTTTGAAGAGATGTATGACTTTGCACCAGTTGTATATTTTGAAGCAGTTGAATACCCGCGACTTCGTGTTCTCAAGGAGTCTTGTGCTGAAGAAGTGACGGCAGGTTGTCCAACGACAGCGACCGCGCCAGAGACATTGCTGATGCGGGGAAGAGCATTCTGCCCGACAATAGCAGTTGTCGGAGACGCCCGTAAAGATGAGAAGATTGGGGAACGCATGTTGTTTGGATCAAGGAAAGGGAAATGGAGGAGTGGACGCGGTCAAAAGAAGAGCAGACGAAGCTGAGCAGAAAAGAAAAGAGCAACTCTTTCGCGGTCAGGATTGTTGGGAGGAGGAGAGGAGGAGAGGAGGAGAGGAGGAGAGGAGGAGAAAGGGATCACCGCCTTGAATTGTTGTATGTGTTCATAGAGCAAGAGCGGGTACGTGTGCGAGGTGCGGGTACCTTGCTGTGGGGCTTTGGGCGCAGGGTTAAAGAGGAAAAAATGGACCCTGTCGATGTTACGCGTGTGACATCTGCTTGGTAGATTAATGCGACGGAGCTATCAATTTGCCTTGGTTTGCTAATGTCCCGTCTCATGATTGGCTTTCCACTCTCTACAGAGTAAGACTACAACCTGTTTACCTTGTCTACTGGGGCTGCTCTTACTGTTTCCCATGTATCTTTGTTCTCCACTCGGTTCGCTTTAGTCCGACGGGTAGATGCGGGTGTGGGGGAAACGCGGGGGAAATCCTCCGGGGTGCCGAGCAAGCGAGAAATCACCTGTGGGACTCACCATTTTCAATTGTCGTGCCCCTGATTGGCCCTTCTCCTTGTCTCCCATGTACCGCTGTACTGCACTCATCTCCTGATACCTTCATTTCTGAAACATCCCTTTAGGCATAAAACACCTGATCAGATTGACGATCAGCCAATCGGAAAAATATCAATGCTCTGCAGATTGACGGCTTCAAAGTACCCCCTCTGTAGCCTTGTAATTGGCCGATAGCGTAAATGCTTGATAATGCAAAGACCACACCAGCGACCCACAAAAGAACCAAAAAGTCCCCTCAATTCTGCTGACACGGCCGTGCCACTCGGAAACGCCAGACTCCATTTCATATGCTGAATGCCCACTCTATCTTGATCATCGTCATTCATGACATGCGCCGAAAAAGCATAAGATCCTAGTATACAACTTGCGAGACCAAGGACGTCTATTCTAGGTACTCCACAGGAAATCGCCCAGATTGAATATAATCTTCGACCTCCTCGTCGCTAGGCCATCTGCCCCAGCCTGGAACCAATTCCACCTGCTCCCGGATCAAATCGATTGTATGCTGCGACGTCCTTTCATCAGGTTCAGATATCTCCCATTCGAGGTCCAAGCCATCTGATTCCTTCCAGCTCCGTTCGACAAAGACGCGCAAGGCCACCAGAGTTCTCCGTAATATTCGCTCGCCATTGCTCGATTCACCGGCCACTGCTTCGAGCTCTTGAGAGTACAGTCTCATCCACTGGACCAGAGAGAAGAGTGCGTCATAGTCTTGAAGTAGGCCCAGAACTCGTACGAACGAGTGCAGCACAGCTGGGGCCGGAATTTCAAGCAGAGATGGCAAGAGGGTTGATGAGCCGATGCCTTGCTCTTCATTGGGGTTCCACTCAGCAGGATGCAGCGGAGCAATGTCATGCAGAGAGAAATTCAGCGTAGCCCCAACAAGCCTTCTGAAGCAGTGCTGGATGATTTGAGAGCTGCCCTCAAGGATGATTGTCCCTTCTTGCCATTGACGAGATAGTTCGACCCCCCCTTCCGTAGCTGACTGACACTGCGCCCCAAGACGTAGCTCGTAGCTCCCTAAGATTGCCTTTTCCAGCCCGATGCAGACGGTTTGAAATGCTTTCCCGTCGATGTCGATGCCAAAAAGTTCCATTTTTGCCATAGTCTGGCGTATGATCTTCCAGGAGAGAACGTCGTGCCAGACAGGTGCACTTTTGTATTCCCAATAGCTGACCACTGCGCCATCTCGGGCTAAGGCGCCGAGCAAAGAATACCAGCATGACCGATATGAAGAGCCTCGAGCCGTAACGAGAGAAAATGCATGAAGCAGAGGTTTTACTCGATTATATGGTCTTCTCTTGTCAGCTCCATGCTCAATCAGCGCATGTTCTTGGCGAATATCAATTGTTGAATACGGAGCAAATCGACAGAATAAGTTGATCAGGGAAGAGAAGACATTCTCAGGTATTGCACGAAGTTGTTCCGAGGCAGAGGCTAAAAGCGTTTCCGGCGGCTGAAACACGCTTGCCAAAACTGACGGTGGCAGTCCACTAAGTCGAAAATATGTCAAGCCAGCGTCTAACGAGTTGGCATGGAGTAGTAAAAAACTCAAACATCGTGGAGAAGGAGTACATCCTTCTCGGACCATCTCATCAAAGAGAGTATCCAGCGGGAGTAGTGGAGATGGAATATGTACAGCCTCTCTAGGAGAAATAGGTGCTGGATATACTCTTTTGCTGTCGCCAGGAAGAAGATCATCGTCTTCGTCAAAGGCTTGTTCCTCCGTGATGCGACCGCTTTCCAGGTCTCTGAGCTTCCTTTCCTCCTCTTTAATTCTCTTCTTGTCAAAGACTAATTTCTCAAACATGGCAAGGTATATTTCAGACGAGGGACGGAGCTTCTGGTCTTTGAAGGCAAGAAAGCCGGCCCAGGCCTCCTCTACCGTGCGCGTAGCTCGAATCCGTGCAGCCCAGATATCATGGGATTGCTCAGCCTGCGAAGGTGGAACAACCCCTTGACCGCCGCTTGCCCGACGTACGAGAGCTCTGGTTTGAATGGTTGGGCTTTGATCCGTGTCCCATCCAGCGAGAATGTTTGCAGAAAGCTCCCAATTAGTGTGGGCGTAGCCGGCCTCCTTGAGCCGCAGCATGGATTCAGTTGCTCGGCTGATGCCATCTTCAAAACCTTTATCTGCATCTATCCCGAGTTTGTCTTCTTTCCATGGCGGCCAAGACTTGGCCTTCATTGCAGCCCACGCTCGTTCTCGCAGGGTTTTCTTGTGAGCGAGCTGTACCCTCGTGACGGCCCGGTAGCCCTCACGGTTGATAATCAAGGGTGGATTGAAATGGGCCATTTTCTTCAAGAGGTTGAATTGAGCCCGCTGATGATAAGGGAGAGAGAGAAAAGGCGATTGAGATGACGGCACAGATAGCAGTGTCAATGCGCGGTTGTACAAAAATGTTAGCCTCGATACAACCGGCGACTTGAGTGATGTCCTCGCATTCGGCTCAAAACCGTGATCAGCTTCCTTTTTGCCATGAAGCGAGAGCATGGAAGTAATGCTAGGGATTGATGCTGGCCAGACTTGACGCGCATGACGAAGAAGTCTAACCACTAGAGTCATCATAGTCGATTCGTCCATTTGAGAAGGCATTCGCGAAAGTGCATCCGAGGTGTTCCATCTTCGAGCAGTTCCGCCGTCCCCCTTGACAAGGTTTTCTCGTCGAGCAGCCGCCGGGGATCTTCTATTCCTGAAGTGGGGCCGCCGGCCAAGCAGTTGATCCCAAGCGTGAGAAAGTAATATTTTCAGAGTCCGACCATTGATATTTGCCCGTCGCAAGAGAAAGAGGAGTAAGAAAGAAGGTACATTTTTGTGCTGAGGGCCTTCACGGTTAAACCTCGGGGTCGCTATCATCATGAGTCTCCACGCCGCTCTTTCTGTGTCCGGCGCGGTCAAAATCCAGGCCCATTTGACAATATCCTCAGGCCCATAGCCCCTTAATTCTAGGAACTTTATAGACTTTTCATTGTAGACATTGAATATCGCTCTGTCGAGGTGGGCTTGCAAACTCTCGTCTAAGGAAATCGGGTCGTAATACTGAATAATTGGCCAAATTTGTCTTATGTAGTCCGCCACGATAAATTGAAAGGAAAGAATATGATCCGAATGGGCGCAAGTGGATAGGTGGTGCGAGGATGGTAAATGGGACAAGGGAGACTTTCCCCTTTGCTTTGCTCCAAGTTTCCACGGCGCAATGTACGATAAATCTGCTTTTCCGTTAAATTTTGGCGGAACAGATTGAAATTGTGCAGTCGCCTCTAATGCAGAGATCAACCAATGAGATGGAGAAGGCCTCTGTGCTTTTAACTTCCGTCTACTTAGAGGCTTCGAAGTAATCTGCTGCGGTCCCGTTTGCAGGCTGGTGCTTGCATCTGGGAAGGGCGCATCATTGGCTTCGTCGGATTCGACGCAGGAACGCCTTTGCTCCGCACCGACATCGCTGACCTTGTCATCTTGTTCACCCGCGGAGCTATTTGATGAGGGTTGCGTTTCCCAGGATTCATAATGTACGCGAGTACGGATCGGACCGGAGGTGCGATGATAGGATGCCTAGAAATGACCGTGGTTAAAAGGGTTATATGAGATTCTGCAATGAAACAATGCTCACATAGAGGCATTTGTTAATGGCAAGAACGTTAGCCTCAGAGACAGTGGAGCGAGCGAGAGCTCTGCCGAAGGCACTGTGGAGCCACAATGACAGCATTCATTGGGATTCGGAATTAACATTTATTGTAGTGAAGCTTGTGTGAACTCTGAGAAACTATAACTGCACAAGACACAATGAAAGATGGAGGGCCAAAGGTAAATGTGAATGCGAACCACAGACATTGGAATCATGAAGAAGAAGTCTACGAAGTAGGTAGCTAGCGGAAGAGCAGGGCGAGAGGGGAAGAGGAGAGACAGGGGAGGGTCCATTGTTGTCCCCAATGGGTTCCGGGGGATTGACCAACTAGAGCGCCAGCTAGAGTGACATAGTGACATGGGGAACCTGGGGTAGACCGTCTCACGTGATTGTCATATCCGCGTCCCCGAAAAGGAGTTTAGCGTCCAGGCAAAGGGAACTTGTAATCTCCAACCCTCTCGAACTTTGCTTTGATCAGTCTCGTCCCTCGAGAGATTCTGCTACGATCCCCTAGTGTGCAAGGAGGCTGGCCAATTTGCTTTGCCTGGCTATTTGTATCCTTCTCTTGACGACGTGATTCGGTGGAGATTGATATTTTTGGCTTGTGCAGGTGTCATTCTTTTCGCATATTCTTTCGTGTACTCTGCTGGGCCCAAAACCTCCGATCGGCCTTTCTCGTTCGCGAGGCTCACTCAAACGAAGTCGACCCCTTCGACTACCACCAAAACCGTCTCATACAAATCCTGACAGGTATTCGCGAACCGAGCGTGTATCACGCTAGGCTTTGGTACCAAAAGTTATCTCCAAAAGTACGTTGCTTATAGCTTTCTGCGTTTGAGTCTGTCCAATATGCATTCTCCACGTTCTTGTCCTTGTCTCCTTGTCTTTAGTTGTTGTTGCTCACCACTTTGCGACAGGAAACCGCAAGGGTTTCCAGCGAGAGGCGCGTCAACACCTCGCTGTTCTTCTTCCCATATTAAACAAGGGACACAGTAGACCATCATGTCAAGTCCTGATGGCGTCTTGAGCGCTGCAACGCGCCCCGATCCTTTCTCTGTACCGGCAAAGCGCAAACGGACAGAAGGCGAAACCAAAGAGGAAAGTAATGGAGTAGTTGAGAAGGCTCACGAATCTACTACCGACTCGGCGTCGGAGAGCTTGAACACATTCCTCGAAGACATTCTGGAGATTCTAAAGCAGTCAGTATCCAATTCACTGTTGAACAGTGAAGATTATCTAACGGCTATACTTGAGCAGGCAAGATACTACCCCATCTCTTCTAAATCAACCTTTGCCAGTAGGAGAAACCGATGCCGCCGAAGATCTGCCAGCATCGAAGCGCCAGAAACTATCGGGCACCAACGATACCAGTACGATAACTTCAAAAGTCCTTGCCAAAAGATACGGTTCTGTCAGCGAATTCGCTCGTGACATCGACGTCGCATCGTCTGCCATCCTTGAGGCGCAGGATCGTCCCAGTAACGGCGCCCATCAGCAACAGCAAGCTACGTCCCCAAAGAGGCTGCTCAGTGCAGGCATTCTCGCCCTCAAAAAGAATTTCAACGCGCTGTTACTGAGGGAGAAAATGTTAAAATCGCCGCATTTTGACATAGAATTGACAGTCCCGGGCGAGAGCTCTGGCGAGGTTACGATCAAGGAGGAATCCACTGGACCTCGAGAGACTCGAGAGGTTCTTACTTTGCTGGGCAACGCGCCGCAGCCAAGGCAACTCTTCTCGAGTCTCCAGACCCCCGTCTCCTCGACACGTTCGTCCCAAGGCGAAAAGGCCGATACTTATCCACCGCTTCGCGAGGGAGTACTTCCCAATGGCATTGTAACCACAAAGATCATTCCGCTCCAATCCAGCGAGATCAATGATGACAGGATGCATGTGCCGACGTTGGGTGAACTTTTCACACCACCACCCACATTAGCGCCTCTCAATCCCCCCCGGCGTGCAAGGAGTATTGCTCCAGCTGGCAATTCAATCAGCTGGTATAATCCCGAGGATGAAGAAATCAATGCATCGCGTGCTCGCACGACGGGCCTCTACCCCTTTCACGACCTCGCTACCGGTCATTCTCTGAAGTACAATTCCTCAACTCCAGCCACGAAGCCTCTGCAGCCGGAAGGGCTTGCCAGCTCAGCAGACGCTACAGCTGATGAGAAGAGCAAAGAGGATGCCCTTTTTCGAAGCGTGTATTCTGGTTTTGCACCCACCCGAGACGACTCCGCCGCTATAGTTCCTGAGGCAACCAAAAATAGAATGTGGTGGCGCAAAAAAGGCGAGGACATTTTTGGATACGCATTCAACGTTTTTGGGGACTCCGCCTCTGAGACGGACAGAGCTGATTCTAGCGGAAAAGCTCAGCTTGTGTCGGAGGGAGATAAGGCCCTGCAAGAAGCCGTCGAGTCATTTGTTCCGGCTGATCCACCAGGAGATTTCAGCACAACTTCAAAAGAGGCTGACGATTTAGCAAAGCAAACGGATGAAATATTGAGTGAAATCTCAGACCTTCTCGAAACCTTGAATTCCTATCAACGCAACCGGAATCTATCACTGGCGTCGGATTCACGTTACGACCGTGGCAGCCAGCTCTCTGCCATGGTTGGTAGCCCTTCGAGTCCCACTTCCGCTGAGGTGGATGTGTACAACCTTCTTAAGTCTCAATTATCTGTACTAATCGCATCGCTTCCTCCGTATGCGGTTGCGAAATTGAGCGGTGATCAATTAGAAGCTCTTAACATTAGCACGCGTATTCCAGTGGAGAGTCCGTCTTATCGCGGAGTCATGGAAGAAGAGGAGGCTGTTGCAAGGGCCAGGGCTGCAGCATTGAACGCCGCTGCAAGTACCCCACCTCCTGCAAGGGCTATGAATCCGGCCTTGGCCGCGCAACCGGCCCTTGGACCTTATCAAACACCTCACACGATCGCCAATCCATACAAACAGCGACAAAGCTACTTGGCGCAGGTGTCGACGCCCCGGCCTGGTCCGCCGACAACGCATGTCCCGGGGCAGTACTTTGGGCCGACGCCAGCTCCGGGTCGGCCCACATCAGCCAACGCTCATCGGGGAAGCATCAGTGCGCAACCTTCCTATCAAACTCCTCGGCCGCCATCATCTCAGGCGCAACGTGCTCCTTACCCTCCGCAAGCCTATACGCCTTCTATGACCCGCAACGCTCAGACGCCCTACGCCCAGACAAATCCGCATCAATATTCACAGCAACAGAATCAACAAGCATATCAATATAACCAACAATTTCAGGCAACGGCTGCGCCAATGGGCCCTGGACCTAACCGATCCTATCAAACCCCTGCGCAACCTCAGTACCCGCAGAGAGCAGCCCCGACAACTGGATATGGCTCATCGCAGAGCCCCTATCCTCAGGCTAAGAGTGCCTCGCCATCCAAAACATATCCGCCTACGACCCCTGCACAGCCGCGCCAATATTATCAACCACCTCAAGGCCAGAATCCTCCACAGCTTGGTGCCAGTGGTTTTGCAACTTATATGACTGCTGAGCAGCAGGCACTGATTTTGGAGCGTCAACGGGCTCAGCTTGCGCAACAGAATCAGACTCTGCAGCAAAATCGCCTGGCTTCTCAGGCCAACATGACACGACAGACTTCGACCACGCCCCAACCGCAGACGACGCAACAAACGCCGGCTCAGCCACCCCAACAACAACAACAACAACAACAACCGGTTACGCAGTCTGCGCAGCAACCCCAAGCAAATGCTGTGAACGGTCAACCTTCTTCACAGCCCCCAGAAGCACCTTCGACCACTGGAACTCAACCAAACGGAACGCCAGTAGGCACGAATTAGTTGGTGGAAAATGAAAAGTAGATTGGAATGGAGTTTTATGGTCTATTTGGGGTGGCAGCTTGATTATCCATCTACCTGGTGTTATTCATGAGATTACAAGTCGACCGAGGCACGGCAATCTTTTCTTTTTCAATGCTTTGTCGTCCTTGTAACATTGTTCGGGAACACGCTCGCCATCATTAAGCGCTTGAGCAATTGGTTCCTTTTCGGGAACGTAGTCACTACTGGGTCACCTCTCACAAAGAGTACAAATTATGTCTTACTCTTCAATAGATGTAAATATTGATGAAATTGATCGACTGCGTTCAATGTGTTGTTACTAGCCAAATGCAATGTCTACGGTGGTATTTGGCCGAGTTCGTATATTTAAAGGACAATTATTTGTCGCCAGCAATACAAGTGTTTGATTAGAGAAAGAGTTCTTTAGCTTCATTTTATCATTTGTTTGGAATATATTAATCCTTGAATCTATGCCGGTATTGGTTCTGGAAAGACAGCGTTACTAACGTGTTGACGTACGTTTATGTGCTCTCCGTCTTAGTCGAGATCGAGCGGAACCGGAGCGCGACCCTTTCCGCAGCAAAAGTTACCCGCTTCAAATACCCGACTGTCAACACAGTGAAACTCACGACGACCGAGCAACGCAATCAGCGACAATTCTGTCAAGGCATCCGGAAACCGTAACAAAGCGGTATTATGACCCGATCGCGGCTATCTGGGGCCGCAATCAAGCATGTTGTTTCCCTTCCGACCCGTGGTTTCATCTGTCGGAGCTGCCTACAGCAAATAAGGCAGTTGAGGACATCTACTCCATTGGGATCTCCTGCACAACAGTCATCTCCCTTCAGTGCTAGCAGCAGTCTCTCCGTGTCATCTTCTTGCTCTTCTTTTCCTTGGACTGCAAGAAGAAGACGGCAAACGCAATCAGAACTAAAGGCTGCACGAGTGTCAAACGACCGCAAATTCAGCACCAGCTTCGCGGCATACGAACGGGACGAACAACCATCAAGGCCAGCAAATAATGAAATTATACCTCTGCGCAAGCAATTAAAAGAGGAAGCGAAGCTTAAAAAGAATACCGGTGGTGGTGGAAAGAAAAAAGGGGCCAGAAATGATGACAAAAGTAAGGACTGGGAATTGACTGTTGGCATTGAGATTCATGCGCAACTCAATACTGAGCATAAGCTTTTTTCTAGTAAGGGAGTCAACTCATTTGCTTGGGAAAGAGTCATTGGAGAAGCTAATTAGAAATATAGAGGCTGCGACCTCGATCAACGATTCGCCGAATACACATGTGGCTCTTTTTGATGCAGCATTTCCCGGAACGCAGCCTGTAAGCCAATTTCGAGCAGTCTGCCATGAATAAAGACATTGATGAGGTCTAGGACTTTCAAAAAGAGACATTGATACCGGCTCTGAGAGCAGCAGTGGCACTGGATTGCGAAGTTCAGCGGACGAGCCGATTTGATAGAAAACACTATTTCTATCAGGATCAGCCGAATGGATACCAGATTACGCAGTACTATGGTCTGCTTTACCAACATACGCTATTAGAGAGATTGGACTGACACTGTGCCAGAACCATTTGCCAAGAACGGTTTTCTAGTCCTCCATGACTACGATGATATTGACCCGGCAGACGGAAAGAAGGTTGAAATTGGGATCAAGCAAATCCAAATGGAGCAGGATACAGCTCGAACAATATTGCAACCCCCTTCGACACACTTGCTCGACTTCAACCGTGTCTCACATCCACTCATTGAAATTATTACGCTCCCACACATTCATCACCCTGCCACTGCGGCTGCATGTGTCCGGAAGTTACAAGGGATCCTGAAGCGCGTGGGGGCTGTTACTACTGGCATGGAAATGGGAGGTCTTCGTGCTGACGTTAACGTGTCTGTCCGACCAAGAGACCGATCCAAGCACTTTAGCCAAGGGCAAGCATACTCGGGCGTAGATGGGCTCGGGCAGAGGACGGAAATTAAAAACCTCAGCAGCTTCAAAGCCATTGAGGATGCAATTATCGCTGAGCGTGATCGACAAATCAGTGTGCTCGAAGCCGGCGGAGTGATTGAAGGCGAAACTCGAGGCTGGAGTTTGGGAAGTACAGAGACTCGCAAGTTGCGCGGCAAAGAGGGCGAGATTGATTACCGGTACATGCCTGATCCAGATCTGGGTCCTGTTATTATTGATGAGGTAGGTTACTGCAATCTTTCTTGATTGTGGATGTTGCCAAGGACATTGTATATCTAATGCACGCACGACAGAGCCTAGTACATTATATCAAGGCGGGATTGCCGCAGACGCCAGATGAGGACTTGAGACATTTGGTGGCTGATCATCGGCTTAGCGTTAAGGATGCCAAGACGTTGATTATGATTGATGATGGAACTCGCTTGGATTACTACGAGGATGTGGCAGAGAAAGTGCACATCGTGACTGGCCAAACCGATTCGGAGCAGATTTATAAATGGGCTGCAAATTGGTAGGATTACCTTTCCCCCATAGTCATCGGCCGTGCGATATAATGTTGACATTGATGTGCAGGACACTGCATGAGCTTGGCGGGCTCTTGACCGTTGCTGAAAAGACGTGGGACGAGAATCCAGTGTCGTCGGACAAACTGGCAGACATTTTGATTCATCTTTATCACAGCAAGATTACTGGAGCCACCGCGAAGCAGCTACTGGCGAAAGTGTTCCGCGGTGACATTCGTTCCATCGAAGAGATTATCGAGGAAGAGGATCTGTTGCTGCGACCCATGGCACGAGATGAGTATTTGGCATTGGCGCAGGAGTTGCTCGCGGAGAATGAGGCCATGGTGGAGCAAATCCAGAGTAAGGGACAGGTAGGCAAGGTGAAGTGGTTTGTGGGGCAGATGATGCGACGCGGGGAAAAGGGACGGGTGGAAGCGGTCAAGGCAGAAGGGATTTTGCGGGAATTGCTGGGGCTAGATGGTACTAGAGATGAGATATAGATGAGCGATCATATTAGATATGAGTCAGATAAATAGCATGTGTCGATATGATAGGATCAACTTATCTTGTGTAAATGTTGACAATTATACGAATTGGGGTGTGGAGGGAAATGTCACAGATGTGATAGAGCTTGGCATAGTTACACCTTAGGGCAAGCAGTCGGGAGTGGATAGTGGAAGGTATAGTACCTCAGGTAAGTCATGGACCTCGGGAAAGGCATGTCTAAATAAATAAAATACAGCGGTACAGTAACCCTGGAATAGCCGCATAGCCGCGTGGGAAGTAAAAAGTATCCCGAATCTGACATCAAATGATGAGTGTTAAGTCATCTCCAGATTACCTTGCAGCATCCTCTACGCTATAAACGAGGGAAACCAGACAAATCATAGGTGTCCCACATACAGAAGAGTAGAGTGGAGACTGAAGGATATCCTCGGCGGTTCCAAGACACTCGTATAACTGGCTTATCGGCATCAAGTGGATCTCTATCTAACCAAAGAAGCAAAGTTCGAGAGCGACTCTCTACAACCTGCACTTAGCGGTACGCGCGGGAACTAAACCATCGGCGAGGATCCACGAGGATCCCCTAAGTGCAGTTGAAGGCGACATCAGGAATCTAATTCTTAGCCATGTTACGTACGAGCCTTTCAACCATGAAAAAGGGATCAGAGAAAAAAGAGGGGGTTTTCTCCTTCCCTCTGAGCTTCGAAATGACGACGGAAGTGGGTGGGTGAGAAAGAGAGAGAATTTAAATCCCCATCCTTCTTCCTCTTCCTCTTCTTCTTCTTCCTTCTTCTGTTTCATCATTCCTCGGATTCTGCTCCGCATTCTTTTCCCTTGTTTTTATCTGATCGTTTGAGATACCCCAAAACTTTATTTTGTCCGCCGTCTTTGGCAACCTTTTAACTGCACAGTGAGTTACAGCCCGCATCCAGACAATTGAACGACTTTGGTCACAATACTCTAACCCAAATTATTCTCTCTCGCAGACTCTTTTTGTGTGCAATCTGATTTTCTCTTTTTAAACCGACTTTTAAGAGAATTTATTCCACTTATCTCGACACAATGACTGCCCCACCGACTCTGCAGCCCAAGTTCCTACCTCAGCGCGACCAATTGGGTGTCGTCGCTGTCGGTTTCTCCGGCGGCCAGGTACGTATATTATTTCAATCGTCTTATTGATCACAACCTCAACTTTCACAATCATCCCGATGCCTACAATTAAAATCATGACCCAATGTCCACCGCCTATTATTATGCTATACAAATATCTATAACAGGAAGACGTGCGACAAGATGAGCTAACAATTGGGTGAATCCTAGCCCCGTCCTGGTACTGATGCCGCTCCCATGGCCCTCATCGAGTCCGGCCTGCTCGACCAGGTCCGCGACGAGCTAGGCTACCAAGTGCACTATGACAACAAAGTGCACGACTACTCGGACGTGCGGCCCGCCTCTGACCCCGTGTACCGGAACATGAAGCGGCCTGCGACGGTGAGCGCCGTGACCGAGGCCCTGCAGAAGCAAGTCTACGAGCACGCCAAGGAGGGTCGCTGCGTTCTGACCCTCGGCGGCGACCACTCTATTGCCATTGGATCTATTGCCGGCACGGCCAAGGCCACGCGCGAGCGTCTCGGCCGCGAGATTGCCGTCATCTGGGTCGATGCCCACGCTGACATCAACACCCCCGAGACCAGCGACTCGGGCAACATCCACGGCATGCCTGCTGCCTTCTTGACCGGTCTTGCGCGCGAAGACCGCAAGGACGTTTTCGGCTGGATCACAGATGACATGCGCATCAACCTCAAGAAGTTGGTGTATATTGGTCTGCGGGACGTGGACCGTGGCGAGAAGCAGATTCTGCGCGAGCACGGTATCAAGGCGTTCAGCATGCACGATGTCGACCGGTACGTTCCTTTTTTAAACCTTTACCACTTATAGTAGTGTTCCGATTCCGAGTAGAATCCCCCTTTCTGACATGAATTGGGTAAAACAGGTACGGCATTGGCAAAGTCGTCGAAATGGCCCTCGGCCACATTGGCAACGACACCCCCATCCATCTGTCCTTTGACGTCGACGCGCTCGACCCCATGTGGGCCCCTAGCACCGGCACCCCGGTCCGCGGCGGTTTGACGCTGCGCGAGGGTGACTTCATCGCCGAGTGCGTCCACGAAACCGGCAGCCTCATCGCCATGGACATGGTCGAGGTCAACCCCTCGCTCGAGTCGCAGGGCGCTTCTGAGACTATCCGTGCCGGTTGCTCCATTGTCCGCTGCGCCCTTGGCGATACCCTGTTGTAGAGCAATGAGTATTGGCGGCTCAAGGAGCTTTAAGCAGCCTTATGTTATTTGTAACGACTCGATAACGAGGGGAATAGACGTGAAGCAAAAAACCTTTTCCTTTTTTTAATGTTGTAGCTTATATAGCTTTATGAATACTATAGAAATGATGTCTATTTACAAATCAAACATCAGAAAGATGACAATATATTTATACACGCGAGCACCTTGTTTGACATTGGAATGTTATGATCCTATATATTCTTTGCAATAATCTATATATTCCGCACAATTCATCTGTTGCAGCTTAATCGTCTTCATCGTCTTCATCGATGTAATAATAGTAATAATATATATGTTTTTGGTTACCAATGCCATGTATCATCTACAGGCTCTCATCACCTTCCCTTCTAGCAGCGTCAGCCGTCTGCGATAGCGAATCATGATTTGAACATTATCATGACCCTCAATTAAGAAAGACTCTGCCACTGCAGCTGCACAGTGACAGAGTGGCCGCTACTCGACGAGTACACAGTTTCCTGGTCGCTGCCGGACGGGACGCTAGAGGCGTACCAGCTTGCGCTACCGCTGTAGGTGAGTTGGTTGGATGAGGAGGACTATTAATTGTTGCGTTAGTGCGTGCTTTTGATGGTTTTGATGGTTTTGAATGCTCTTCGCGCCCCCACGACCCAAACAAAAAGCAAAGTGACAAAGAAATATTGAAAGGTAAGGTGACAAAGACAATTGAACATGAAAGATAAATGAACAAATGTGTTGCTTCACCACATTCCGCTCCACACAACAAGGAATAAAGCTGGACGGAAGCAGAACTGCACGGGTAACTTACGGTAAATACAGTAGGGGAGCTGACGGACGAGCCGCAAGTGAATGAACCGCTAACGACGCCGCAGTTGCCCTTGGACGAGGACAGGGTGAAGCCCGAGCCTGTTGATCATGGTTTCGTTAGTAACTTGTCTAGGGTGCATTGAAGAATCACGAGACGGGCTCGTGACTGTGTGAAACGAAGGAGAAACACAATAGGAGAAGAAAAAAGAATAGATAGAATGGGGACTAAACAGAGGAAAGGGGGTAATACCAGACGAAGAAGCAGTGTACGTGGCACACGTGCCAGAAGTGTACCAGACGCCCGCGCTAATCAGGCATCCATTCTGGCTACCGCCATTAACGACATTCACGTAGCCCTTTCCAGAAAACGGACTGCCGGTGGGAGAAGTGCCCGCACTGGTGGTCGTGGTGGTTGAGCCACCGCCGCTGCCGGACTTGGGGAGATATTTAATGCCAGTGCTGGGGCAGGTTGACTTGGATCCGTCTAATGTATTTGTTAGTCTTGGAATATATGCCGTTTTATCAAGCTGGATGGAATGAAGAAGAAAATATCTAGTTGGGCTGGGGCGTGTTGGAAGTAGAGTACTCACCAGGATCGGATGGCACGAATTGGCCAGTCTGAACGCTGCCCTTGACGTTAAAGTGGTACCAGACCTCGTCGAGCGCGCCAGAACTGCAGCCCAAAGTGACGGGGTGGCCGTCGCGCTGGCTCTCGAGCGCAGACTGAATCTGCGCAGAGGTGTAGGTCTTGGAGGTGGACGGGGTGATGCCGGCATCGGCAAGCCACTGGATTGTCGTGTTAGCTTGATACATAGATTGATATATATTATACAACCATTTAGGGTATGTAATGACGCATAGAAATCATAATAGTGAGATACTCACCTGGTAAGTCGGCAACGTCTTGAAGAGGTTGACAGTGTCCTGGAGGAAATCCACGAGCTCCTCCTTTGACTGATAGTTCACGTAGCAGTCGGTGTCGAATGTGCTGATACATGTGCCATGCTTGCCCCATTCATGCTCCCAGAATGTCTCGTCGTCACCGCCGGCATCCTTCCAATATGTGTTCATGTAGTCGAGAAGATCTTGGCGGCCAAAGTCCTGCAGAGTGCCAGAAATGTCGGTGTATTGGCGACTCTCGTCGCAAAAGGAGTCAAAGGTGCCGTCGCAGTGGTCGGGCCTAGATAGAGACAAACACTGTATTAGCTTAACATGTTCTACAGTAGGATAAGTTTTGTATGAATTCCATCACAGCTTCCTAGCTATCGCGTTTACGAGAAGCATGAAAGCGCGACATTACATACCACAGTCCGTGAATGGTCCAGGAATCGGACGGGCCAGTTGAGGGGCTGGTATCCCAAAATTGGGTCTGCAGAAGCTGGCCACCTGGGGCATTAAAGCAGCAGGTGTTGGATACTGCAGTCGTGTTATGGCAGCTCAATTGGGGATTTGGGCACGACACTGTCGTCCTTTCAAAGGCTGGGATATGGGCCACACGATGACCGGGCACAGAACCTCCAAAGGCGCCATCACCGTACTGCAGCATGGCCACCTGGGCCGAACCCAGAGCGACCTGCGCAAAGGTACGAAGCGAAGGGAAATTGTTCACCATGTTGCTGCAGAGTATCTTGGTCCGCAACTCATCGAACCAACTTCCTGCTCCAGCTGAAGAAGCGGCATCTTGGACGCATTTAACTGCTGCTCTGGCAATGGCGGTGTCGGAGCCCGCCGTGGACGACGAAGAGTTCGTTTTCAGCGAGCTTCCTATTAGAGCGCTCAAGTGGCTGGTGCTAACCATCCTGGACGCAGACGTGCAGAGACAGCAGTGGCGAAGGACCTACAGCAACAAGGCAGCACTACGAATGATTGAGCCCAAATGATGTTACTAAGGGATGCACGAGGTATGGTCGCGTACTGGGGATATCGAGGGATATCGTGGTTAACCTTGAGGATTAATTAGATCGATTCCGCGCACTGTCCAGTCATATCGTCCCAGTCTCACCTGTTGACGGCGAAAGGAATGTGAGAGGGTTCCATCCATACCTTGCAATTGTGCGGATATTCCGGTTGTTGCACGATGCAAAAAGGCCCTTGTGTTGATGGGGAAGCTGGTCCGGGATAAGTCAAACAACCAGGGGAAAGGGAGAGGATCAAAGCATAAGGTCCGGCCCGCAGGGGAAGGGGTCCTCAGCTCCCTATCACAGATAGCACGCGGCCCACGCCCTCGCTGGCCTGTGACGGAGCGGAGCTTATGACATATTTTATCCTCGTGGGTGGCTTCACTTGATACCATTGTCTTCCAACCCCTGGATCTATCGACCTTCCAGATACGTCATGGGGCTCATTCTTGTTTAAGCTATCTCATCTCTCTGCGGGTCCCTCGAAGCGTACGTGAGGGGAACGAATCATTGATCGCTTCGAGATCAACATGCAGTGTTCGAATTCTATCCGCCTTCAGTTATCAGCAGTGCCGGCTTAGCTAGTTGCCCTTTGGGGAAATCTTTCCGTTAAGGTAGCGGACCGTCTCAGCCTCTATCGTCGCGCTAAATGCTAGTCATCCTAGCGAGGTTTTCTTGCTTGTATCCGTGAGGGGAGCTGAGGAGAGCACTTTATCGACAAGGGGCTGTTGGAGCGGGGAGTGAAACTGTGCTCCTTTTAAGCAAAAGTTGGCCGCGTGGCTGTATAGTCATATTGGTTCAACCATGCTGGAACATGAACTGATCACGAGCAACTACTGAGATGCACATGTCATCTGCATCCCACTGGGTTCATTTATGAGGGGTGATATAATAAACGCAAGATAAATTGACGATGGGAATACCATCAACGTGCTGAACCACATCAAGTATGAATGAATTTTCTCATATGAATAGAGGATAAACTGGAGAATGATCGTCTTCAGGGTTCTGAGATGACTATATATAGATGTGTCTCTGCCCAAAGCAGCAAAAATCTTTACGTAGAAAGTATGTGAAAGGGTACAACTCTCTGCCGCTTGCAATTTCCGAAAGACAATAAAGCACTCTATTGTGGTATTGATTGAGGTTCGGATATCAAGCTCCAAATTGCCCTTTGTATAAACTTCTTCCTTGAAGGAGGTTCTAGAAAGGAATGGTAGAGAGGGCGGAGAGTCATGGGTAATCGAATGCACAGGAATCCCCTGGCAGCTCTACCTTCTCGCCCGGACTTGATCAATGGACGTTTCGTATCGAATCATCTAGATGATTCTGTTCCATAGTATCAAATCAATAGTTCTGTGTCGTGCTTCAGTTCAATAGTCATTCTGGATGCTTTTCGGTGAGATTTTCCGAGGTTTTGCGTCGTTTGGTGTTGTCGCTTGCAGCCAGGAGAAGCCCCTCGCCCCTCCGCCCTGCCGGTGATTGATACCGAACGATAAGCAGGAACATTTTGACTTTGTACCTTGACATGGTATGACACATTCACACAATTTCTCGGATCTCTCTCCGCAACTCTGCATTGTTCATTGTCAATATCAACATATTCTGTCTAACTGTTCCGCCATCTCTAGAATTATATAAGGAACTGTAGGAAATCTATATCAGCCCGCTCCAGGGGGAGGCTGCCATCATCACCACAATGAAAGGAAACACCCACAAACATCCGACCGTCGTCATCAAGCTCGGTTTGTCTCTTCTCCCTCTTGTATCTTTGGTGCATACGCACTCATCCAAGTCTCTTTTTCCAGGAACGAGCTCCATTGTCGACGAGAAAACCCATGAGCCTCTCCTCTCGATTCTCTCGACCATTGTCGAGACTGCAGTGAAGCTGCACAAGGAAGGCCACCGCGTGGTCATTGTGTCATCGGGCGCCATTGGCGTTGCTCTTCGTCGAATGGACATGGAAAAGCGGCCCAAACATCTTCCTCGGAATCAGGTGCGTGGATAAAAAGTCTCAAAGATAAAATCCAAGCTGGCTTACACTGGACCAACGCGGCATACAGGCATTGGCAGCAATCGGACAATGCAGACTTATAAGTCTTTGGGACAGTTTATTCGCACATTTACGTCAACCAGTCGCACAAATTCTATTAACCCGTAACGACATTGCGGACGTACGTCAAGATACACTTTCTAGTTTGACGTTGCAAAACTGAAATACTGTCCAGAGAACACAATATCTCAATGCACAAAACACTTTTGCTAGCCTTTTCGACATGGGAGTCATACCCATTGTCAATGAAAATGATACGCTTTCCGTTTCCGTATGTCTTTTCCCTTGCCTGTCGTTAAAGCTGGTACTGAGTCGAATCAGGAAATCAAATTCGGCGACAACGATACTCTGTCCGCCATTACCGCCGCAATGGTCCAAGCAGACTACCTCTTCCTAATGACGGACGTCGACTGCCTCTACGACAAGAACCCACGCACCCACGCCGATGCCAAACCCATTGAAGTTGTCGAAGACATTGCGAGCCTCGAGGCCGATGTCTCCTCTGCCGGCTCGAATCTTGGCACCGGAGGCATGTCCACCAAAATTGTTGCTGCACGCCTTGCTACTTCTGCCGGCGTCACAACCATTATCACTCGCTCCTCGACGCCCGGTAACATTGCAAACATTGTCCGCTACTGCCAGGCGTGCAAGCAAGGCACCGCCAGCGCCTCCCCGTCGTTTCCTCCGACTCCTGCCGAAGATCCACTGACACGTTCCATTTCCTCACTTTACCTCGATGGTCCTCCGAAACCGCCTCTCCACACACGCTTTCTCCCGGACCCGCACCCGATTCACGATCGTTACTTTTGGATTCTTCATGGTCTCGCTCCGCACGGCACATTATATATTGACGAAGGAGCGTGTCGCGCACTTGCGGACAAGGCGGGTTTACTTGCGGTCGGTGTTGTCGATGTTAAAGGCAGTTTTGGACAACAAGAAGCCGTCCGTCTAGTTGTGGTGAAGAGGCTTCCGGAGGACCATCCGAGCGGGGAATTGTTTGAGAAGACAGACCCTGAGCCGCGCGAAGTCGGCCGGGCATTGGTCAATTATTCGGCGGCGGAAATTCTCCGTATCAGAGGACTCAAGAGTACCGACATCCACCACAAGCTCGGTTATGCCGATTCCGAGTATGTTGCATTGCGACAGAACATTTCATTTCATCGGCACGAGAAGGTGAACAAGACATCAACATCTCACACTCCTTCGCCACCCGATGACTCTGGTGCCGCAACCGAGAACTGAATAGCCTCTACGAATCGCAATCGCTGTAATTATTGGTGTCTTTGGGCTTGGAAATAGACTTCCCGGGGTGTAAATCTATCCTGTTTTTTTTTTTGTTTGATATGATCAAAAGTTCAAGTTTGAAGCAGTTGAAAGAGTCCCACCAGACCTTTTTACTTGCTTTGTCACGACTAAAAAGTAGTCATCTTCATGTTCATTTTAGATACCTCCAATATTGTTCACATAGTATAATTCTCATTATTCTTATGCAAATATTACCACACGTGAAGCAATAATATCAATTCAAGCTGTCTGTTGTGAGAGAACTTACTATCTCATTACATAATAAGACTGAGTCACACTCCGTCTCTTTCTCTCGCAGGCTGAATTTTGTTTCTTGTGTGCCGTTTTCTTTGAAACATACGGTGTTTGGTATAATGTGGCTTTAAAACTCCACGGTTGTGAATAACCAGCCACAACGTGGCTTAGCGAGTCCCCGGATTTCAATTTTCTGCCGGCCAGAGCTTCACCGCCAAGGACTGCAGCTTAGATTTCTTTACTCTCACAGCCACTTTTAAACACCAGACGTCATGGGGCCTAACAACACAAAGGTATTTCATTGAGACAATGCTGATCATTGACTATATATCTGACACTGCTATAGAAGAGAAAGCGGGACTCTGCTGCCCCTTCAGCGCAAACATCCAGCGCCGACGCTGTAGACACCTCCAAGCCCACTGCCGTATTTCAGCCATCAAAAGGACGCCCATGGACCGTCAGTGTCGCTCTTCCGGGCTCTATTATCGCCAAGTACGCTTTCAACATCCTATATCCTCTTTTAACTACCAATGTCTCTCCAGCTAACCTTACCACCTCACTATGCAGTGCACAAACCCCAGAACTAAAAACCATTCTCGCCGGCCAAGTCGCGCGCGCCCTAGCCGTCTTCTGCGTCGACGAAGTCGTCATCTTTGACGACGGCTACCAAGCCACGCACACCGAAAAACACAATAAATGGCGCCAAGGCCGACGCCCTCAGGCCGACAATTACTCCGACAACTACGAGGAGAACAATGGCGAGAAACACGTATACACCGGCTACTCCGACCCGAACCACTACCTTACCCAATTGCTGTCTTACCTCGAAACTCCTCCCCATCTACGCAAGCATTTATTCCCGTTCCATCCCAATCTCAGCACAGCGGGTATTCTACCTAGTCTCGACATGCCGCATCACCTGCGGCCCTACGAATGGTGCCAGTACCGCGAAGGCGTCACAGTAGAAGACAGTTACTCCTATTCCCACAAGCCGAATAGCAAGAAGACAACCGCCGAAACCGTCATCGAAAGCGGCCTGCGCAACCGCGTCACCATTCCCGCGTCTATCCCGCCCAACACGCGCGTCACGCTCAAATTCCCGGACTCCATCTCCGCTGTCCCGGAGTCCCAGGACATGCCCATCACCGCGGAAGTCGTCTCGCCAGACGCCCCGCGCGAAGAAGCTGGATATTACTGGGGCTACGCACTGCGACCGGCATCGAGCCTTTCCGCCGTCTTCACTGAATGCGGATACGACGGTGGCTACGACGTGACACTTGGCACGTCGGAGCGAGGCCGGCCTTTTTCGGAACTTACTCGCCCATCTGTGTCTGGCCAGGAAGACGATGGCGCGGGTGCAGGCGCAGGCGCCGTGCCTACTGATTTTCGGCATTTGCTGATTGTCTTTGGCGGCGTGGCCGGACTTGAGGTAGCGGTGAAAGCGGACAAAGAATTGTCTGGCATGGGCGTCACCCAGCCGGAGGAGTTGTTTGATTATTGGGTCAATTTGTGTCCTGGACAGGGAAGCAGGACGATTCGTACGGAAGAGGCGGTCTGGATTGGTCTCATGGGGTTACGGGATATAGTTTTGCGGAATACTTTGTAGAGGTCCTAGTCCAACCTTTTTTTTTGTTCAAAAGCAAATTCATTCCACTTATTTATTTTTATTTATTTTACTTTGTTTCTCCATAAGAATTGCGTGAGCCAGAACAGAAAGTTTCAATTGATCGATGAATTGCTTCATGTTGCAATATCGTCACAAAAGTGTCATTCTCAGAAGATAGCTTCTAATTAATCACACGCGCAAATAACTCCTAATTTTAGTCTATTTGTTTTTTAAAACGTGTTTTTCATTTTTAACTTTTTTTTTAAAGGTTTTCTAGATTTACCCCTTTTTTTGAGTCTTTTTCTAGCGAACATGTCTCATATCAACGCAAACCTATCAAAGTCAGCAAACCAACAGGGGGAGGATGATCAAAGGGAAAGAACACACCGGGGGTGAGGGGATGCTACAAGTGACAATTTGACAAGGTGACAAGTCGACAATTTGGGAGAAAGCGAACGACGACACAAAGAAGCAAGCAAGGCAAAGCTCAAAGCAAAACAAACAAATCGACCCAAGCACAATAGCCGCCCAACAAACGAAGCAAACGGTCCAGGTGTGTTGAAACACATGGAAGTTGGAAACCTATATGGGAAACAGTAAACTTCACCACCAGCTAAACTCATCAGCTTCTTCAGAGACGGAGGGGAAATACTTACCTTGACTTGGCCGCTCCGTCTTGAAGGCACAAGCTCACCTCGAGTCCTCGACACTGAGTCAATGGCAAAACCTAGTAAATGAAATATTTAGTAAGAACTGTAAGATCCAACATGACCAGATTAAGCACTAATGCAAGAGAGGGGCATGCTGAATGCTGACTCCAGACGAGGAACTAACGACGTCGACGGGACCTAGACCGACGCAAGGCGCTCTTTTCACGCATATTGCGCGGCACATAATGGGGATGAAGGTATTCAGTGGGGTCAACAAAAAGACCGAGATCCTGAGAAGTACAGGAGTCAAACGAGTCATCCGACGCACTGGAACTGCTGGGGGAAACGATATTGAGGGTAGGAACAGTGATACCAGGAGGAAGTCCGCCGCTGCCGGATTCCTGGCTCAATCCTTGGGGTTGCTCATGTCTTTCCTGTGCGGAGGTGTACGACCAGCGATTCAAAAGTGTGGCAGAAAGCCTTTCACCATCACCGGGTTTCTCTGAAAGAGAAGACGAAGAGGCAGAAAGCTTGACGCGCTTATTTGCGCTCTCCTCGTTGGTATTCGAATGGGTCCGCTTTCGTCCGCTCGATGGTCCCACGTTGCTAGAATCATTCAGAGGCACGGCGGTTCGGATTGGAAGATCCCGGCTGTGAAGTTGCAGGGCATCAACCGGTCCCGCTGCGGCGTTGTTCTCCGAAAGTCCCATCAGTATTCTACTTATGTAATGCTCATCGTCTTCGTCGCCAGGAGCCATTGGCTCTCCATCGAGATTATCGTTGGATCCTCTTTCTTCAGTGTTATTCTTGTTGCAGAAACTTTCATGGAGTTCAATGAATTGCACTTTCTCCTTGTTTCCACAAAAGGCACAGTCGACCTCGATCCTGATCCACTCGTTGGTATGATTAACCACAAAATGTGCCCAGAGGTCTCTGAACGTACTGTAGGCTCGCGGACATAGAGCAATATCCTCAGAGGGACAAGCGGCAGGATGAGATATAGGCTCATGTGGATATCCGCTGCAATAAAGCGAATGATCGTCGAGCTCGTAGTCAGTCGAAAACACTATTCCACAATCCGTACAAAGCCATAGGCCAGAATGCCACTGACTGACGTGCTGCGACATGTGCTCCATGGTGGGTACCTGGTGGGAACACAAGTTGCAATGGATGTAGTGGTATTGAAAGACGATATCATCGTCAACATCTGAAGAAGGGTTGGTCAGCAAAGCTGCTTGGGAACCTCCCGGAAGAGAAGTCTGACGAACCTCATTGAGATTGGAGTCAGTCATCTGAAGATCTTGAGATCCCAGGGAGGTTCCCCCGTCGTTAGTCTGAGAGTTGATTGGATTCATCATTCATGTCTCTTCTGTGAAGTGAGATAGAATGTGCTCAAGAAAGGTGGCGGGATCAGGGGATTGGAATGAATGCTGAAAGGTTGTAGATGCGAGATCTTGTGGGTGAAGAAAAGATCTGAACGAGGGAATAACCTGAGAAAATATAGACATTTTGAACAGTTTGAAAAACTTGCGAACAACGAATGATGTCAAAGGACAAAATTTTTCGGTGATGAAGACACAGAGGGTGAACAAGTTGAACATGATGAACAGCTTCCGAACAGTTTCGTGTAAGTGCCACGTTAAGCTAAGACTTCCACAGGAATAAGAGAATTGGTAAAGTGACGAGAGTAAAGTCAATTTACATGAAGGAATGTAAGAGCTGAGTCTTGTGTATGCTTGGTGATGACGGTCCTTAGAGCTAGTCGATGAAAAGATCTGCTCTTCGTGGTCCTAGAGTAGATAAGCAGACAAACCTCATGCAGGCCTCGAAACCAGATACCATGAAGATGAATTATTTCGAACAATTCTGTCACTCTCAGACATCTTCTTTGACCACTCCGGGAATCTTTGACTCGTTACAATGCTCTCTAAGATTCCCAGCTTCATTCAATACTCTAATGAAGCCTGACATTGAACCCCAACATTGCTTTTTCCCGGAAAATGATTGAATGTCATGTAGCCCTCTATATAAATTCAGTTGCCGCTGCGAGGTCATGGCAGTTCAAAATCTATCCTTCCATTAATAAATCCTGCAGTAGCAGCATCCATACTCACCTCTTGATCCCTCCTGTTTTATACTCCGGCGCTGTCAACAAGACCCAATTTTCAAATACAAATCAAACATCAGGTCCCGAAAATCCAGCCTCGCCCTACAAAAAGAAAGTCTTGCTCGCCAGCATAATGTCTTCCAGCCAGCGCCCATACGCCGTGCTTTACCATCAATACAAGCCGAGAAACTGGTTTGACGGATATAACGAATACATTATCTCAGCCTCAAAGGGAGTGCCATCCGGACGCACTTATGAGTTCATCGCGGACGAATGCAACGAATATTATCAGCAACAGGGTGTCGACATCGAGATCGACGCCGGATGGGTGCAAATCGTCTGGAACTATGAGCAGGAACGGATCCACGGGAGAGATTATATTGAGGGTTGATAAAAATCCAGGTGCGCTGTCGAGCTGAGAACTTCAAGTTTCCTGAAATCAGCTTGCAGGATGATCTGTATTTGATTTTTGATTTTTTTTTTTTTTTCTTTTTAAAAAAAAATGAGGGGGATATTTGCTGAAAGCCCAGCGTTAATAAGTCAATAAAACAAGTTCAACTTCATACTAAAGTTTGGATATCAAATAATTTAACGTAGGAAATGCAATCTGAAGGAAGAAAACAAAGTTTTCCAATTCAGAAAGATGCAATGAACTGTGACTGGATTGCAGAGCTTAAAAGGTGACAATCGTAAATTCGTAATATGGACATGTTGAATGAGGCAATCCTGAGAAAAAGACCGAGGACGTATAGGACATGAAGAACATCACGTGAGGATCATATTGAAACATCAACAAGCACGACTGGCGGCACAAAACAGGAAGCTGAGTGACAGCCAACACCTTATCTTTTGTCGGTAGGTTGATAGACTTGATCAAAAGGATTCGGTGCCGTAGCCGAAGAGTTTACAAGAGATAGTTATTATTGCGGCACAAGCCATTGCGGCAGTTTCCTGCGGCTTACGATTCAAATCAACAGCCTAAACCAGGTCAAGCAAATAGAGCGTAAATTGCTATATTCTCTAGCTAATCGAGCAAATGCAGCGCCAGTCGAAATAAAATACGAACGTAAATATTGTTATAGACCTCCACGTAACACCCGAATACCATCAATCTTTTTATTAGCCTTGAGCGCCATGCCATTTATCATATATATCACTATGCCCCACCGCTAGAATTAAATATACTTACTGTACCTCACGTCGTTATCTAAATCACAAGTACCAGTAACTTTGCCAGCCCAAGAGCAAGGAAGGCCATCAATGGCTTCACAACCACTTGGCTGCCAGCCCCAGTGAATGCCAGCGGTGATGAAGGGGTGGCCTGAATGCTGACGTTGCCAGCAGAAGATCCGCCGCTGGCAGAGACAGTCGAGCTCTGCCTGATGCCAGGGCTAGATGTTTGCGTTGATCTTTGGTTCGACGTCGTCTCACCCACTACACTGGTCGCACTGGACTGTCCAACAACACCGCCAGGTAAAGTTGAAGCTAGCGAGGTGCCAGAGCTTTGCTGAGTAGTTGGAACGATGACAATAACAGGAGTGCTGACGCCTGGGAGCGAAGTGGTAATACTGGTGACTCCAGTTGATGCGCTGCCACTGTTCTCATGGCTATTCATTGTCGAGGAAATCGAAGCACCAATGGGCACAAGCGCGGTTGTAGTGACTGCAAACGCAGAGACAGTCGTGGATGGAACACCATTGGAGTTGGTCGTCACAATCTTGGTCGAAGAAACTCCAATACTGATAGAAAGTTCCATGGAAGCACTAGACGTACCCGAAATACTCGCAGATGCCTGCGGCTGAGAGACAGATCCGATTAGAGTGTGAGATGCGGAGGTCAAGCCCTCAGATTGAGACGCTCCGATTGGGGCGTTGCTACCTGTGTGCGTGGTAGAAGAGCCCGACAAAGCCACGTGCGAGGCAGAGGCCGTAGACGAGCCAACCGACCCGTTTGGAGAGGAGACTGCGCTTGACCTAAGAACTGTCTCACTGACTGCAGGTGTTGAAGATGCGCCAGAGAGCCTAGTAGTCCCAGTTGAAGAGACAGAACCACTCGCACTCGATTTGAAATTACCGGTTGATGCTGAAGAGACCTTTGTCGTCGAGGAAGACGAAACAGAGACGACTCTCGACGTAGAAGTAGACCCAGTCTCAGCAGTAATACTACTTGGGCCAGAAGACAGTCCCGTGGTTGATATACTGGAGGATACCACAGAAGGCATGGTGACGACAGAATGAGAGGACTCGACCGAGGAAGAGCTTGAGCCAGAATAAGATCCGGACAGGGATGACCCAGAACTGGTCCCAGAAGATGTGATTGAAGAGCTCTGCTGAGATTGAGCAGTGCCAACAGCAGCAGAGCTCAGAGGGCTGCTAGAACCAGAAATAGTAACTCCAGCACCAGTGCGAGTTGTTTGCTTAGTCGCACTAGACAAAGATGAAGCAGAAACGGTAATGCTCCCAGACAACGAGGAGCTTCCGGAGGACAGAATCGAACTGGAAGCACTACTTCCTCCTTGTGGAGACGGGGAGCCAGTAGCAGTATTCGCAGCGGAAACCTGCGAGCTGCCCGATAACACTTGAGATCCACCCGAGGTGGTGCGGGAAGTGGATGACTGAGAGGACTCAGTTCCAGATGTCAAGGTGGACAATGAACTCTTGAGAGTGGAGTGCACCGTCACAAGGGAGGTGAACACCGAGACCGTCGATGCAGGGATTCCAGAGTGAGGTACAGAGTTGACAGATGAGCCCCCAGAGGAAAACGATGATACAGAAGAAACTGAACTGACCGATGAAACTGTCGAGCTCAGACCAGGGTACGTAGATTCCTTTCCAATCCCGGCAGATGAACTGCTCGGAAAAGTTGAACTGACCAGAGATCCAGATGACAAAGACGATGAAAGCACAGGGGAGGCAGAAGCTGATCCCACCGGGGTGACCAACGGAATAGTTCTGACAATGGTGATATTGGACAAAGAGCTCGGCCCAATGCTCACGCTAGACTGACCCACTGTCGTCAGAAAGACAGTAGACTCACTGTGCGAGAAAGTGCTTGAGGAAATCGGAGCCATGGTTGACGAGGTCAGAGTCGAAATGGAACTAGTCGCAGTCGAAACCGTCGTAGTGAAAGACGGAGGCAGTCCTGCAACACTCGAAGTTGCAACAGTCTGAGTCGTTTGCACCGAAAGAGACAGCGCAGGAGATGTTGTCGTAGTCTGCACAATAACCAGAGTGGAACTAGTCTGTTGCACCACCGGCGTAGGAGAGACCGTCACAGGGCAGAGTGTGGTAGAGACTGGAACAATAGCCGTGACCAACACAGTAGAGTGAGCCGGGCAGTCAGTTACAGAGGATGAGCAACTAGTGACTGTGTAGGTCTGGGTCGAATATACGGTTGATGTGGACAAAATAACGCTCTGAGTCTGTTTCCTGTCAGTTTTTAAATAGTATTAGGGTACAAAGAGAGTTATCATACCTGGTCCGTGGGATAAACGGTATAGTTATAAACCACAACCAAAGTGGAAGAGGAGGTGGTAACTATAGTAGGTGGTGGAGTAACGACGGCATTGGAGACAGTAGAGCTCGAAACTGCGGTCACTGGAGAGGAGAAAGTATATGTCGAACTGTTGTTGATAGGGACGACATCGATTGGCTTGCCATATCCATCTAGTAACTATCTGTTAGCAAGCTCCAGAATATCGGAGAGTAGTGCAACGCTCGAAGGCCAGTGATCTTACCAAGTTGACGATAGTAAACCTTGCCGGCTTCAGAGTGAAAAAGTCAGTAAAAAAGAATTGGCCTTCTCAGCCATTTTCTCCTTGAAAATCTGACAATCTGAATAAAAGTCTTCGGATATACTCACCACGAGGGACCCTCGAGCCCAAACACAAAGGTAAGCCGACGGCCAACAGAGAGGCAAGCCTCATGAGACGCATGATGGAGACAAAGACTTTTCCTGCTCCAAGAGAAAGCAGCAGAGCAATAAGCCCAAACAGCGATGAAGTTAGAAGAAAGTAACGGTGAGCCAGGAATTAGACAGAAGAAGAGGGATGTGAGGAGGAGAAGAGAATCAGGAGCACGAAGGGCAATGAGGGCCTTTATATAATGCTTCGAATGGTCACGTCATCGGCTCCTAAGCGGAGGGAAATGCCGTGGGAAGGAGGTAGAAACCGACGAGGGAGGCAGTATCAGGAAGGAGGAAAGAGCAGGCGGTGGTGTTATATGGCAAGTGGACGAACGCATTCAGCAAGTGCATTGCTCGGCGTGGAAGAGAGACCGGAAAAAGCGGGTTTCCTAGAGAAGGACCTGAGCAGGAACCGAGACGAAGAAGAATTTCGTTACTCTATAAGGCAGAAACTATCTCAATGTCATTCTCTTGTTGCGGTCATTGCGACTTCCTGTCGACCAGATTGGGAGGGGAATATGATCAGACATCCGCTCAGCAAGATCGGCCGTGGGGCTGAATATTGTGCAGAGCACCTAACACTGCCGCAATCGGCCTCTGAATTGAGTTTTAAGGGGAATCGGAAGGAATACAAGATAATGCAAAAACCTGGCAATGGAAATTGCGCTCCAATGTGAGATGTGCAGCCGACGACAAACAGGGAAGAATTAACGAACCCAAAGAAGAGGAAAAAGGTACGATGCTTCAACGGAGTGCTAGATATGTACATGCAATGCTAAAGATAAAGATGGAGGAGGTATAATGCGTAAAATCATGCCCAATAAACAATAATATACAGCCGTGTAAGGGGGCCGAGGTATTACATATCTTCCTCTTCTTTATGAACACACAAAGGGCATCCATCGGGAATTTTCTCGCGAATAATACGTGCGTGCGTCACTTTGGCACCCACGCTGCGTGACCAGTAACCCGAATCAGCTTCAGGCGACCCACTTGTCTCTCCCAGAGCTGGCTCTTCCTCTTCTTCACCATGAGAAATTAGGCAAGAAAGATGAAAGACGTGACCGCAAGCAAATCCAATCAGCGTCTCCTTCTCTATGAGATAAATTAGCGTTTCAATTTCTCTTGAATCGATCAAGAAAGGAAGACAGGTAGGAGAAAAAGAGTGACTCTTACCATTTATAGAAAAGGCTTTCTGGCAACCAACGCAATGGCCAGGACCAGGCTCACGGAGAGCAATTCCTTTCTCATTCACGGTGTTGGATCCATTTATTGCCTCGCTGGTTTCGGTCGCGGCGTCCTCGTGAACAATATCAAATGCAATCCCCCTTTTCTGACCACTCCGAAGCGTATCCATGCCCGTTGCCACCTCGCTTCGCAGGACTCTGGCAACTCCCTCACTGATGCTGTGTTGGATCTCATAGTCTCGTATCATTCGACTGAGGCCATCCCGAAGCCCCTCAATCTCCAAACCCTCTGGAATTCGACGAACCAGAGTAACCGGGTCTATAGCGGTGCCCACCTCCTCGAGCAAGCCGCGAATAAATCGGGACTTATCCATTGAATAGTTGAGTAAGTCGTCCCAAAGATCTGGATCATCTTGAGCCTTAGCGAATGAAATGGCTTGGGAGACATCGCGGAGTTTGTCGATGATAAGGAATAGTGCCCGTTTCATTTCTCCGGTCTTGGAGAGAAGATAAACTAGCTCAGGAACATAATCTCGTTTTTCGCAGATTGCGCATGCCTTGGGAAAGTTGTATGACTGTGACGTTTTGAGAAATTGCATGAGAAGCTCACGGTCATAAATGGCAAAGAGATCAATGGCGAGATCAGCAAATTCGTCAACAAGAACCTTGCCCTCATCAGCGATGCGATCGGAAGTTTGGTGGGCATGCGAGTCAGTAGAGACTGTGTCTGACTTCCACAAAGCGCGAAGATAAAAAAATAGAAACAGTAGATGATCTGATTCCTGAAGCTGCTTGACCACGGTCTCGGGTCGGACAACTCCCTGATGAGCTTCATCCACTAGCAGCGCAATGGGCTCTGCAGTTGCTGATTCAAGCTCACTCATGGGCGCTTTGTCGAGCTGATCTTTAGAGACGCGGAGGAGAATTATCCCTGGGATGTCAGCGGAGACTGCATCGAGCAAACGGTATTCCTTGATAAGGCTCATAGCCGCATCAGCATCTTGCAGGCGAATGTAGCATTGGAGTGCTTCGCGAAGGCGACTGTCGGCGAGGTAGAGCTTTGCCAAACTCTCCATTAATATCCGCCAATCACGCCCACGTTCTCCATCCCGAATATCGCTCTCCCGTACGTCACCAGCTCGTAGTTTTCCCGATATCGCCGCTGTGACGCTAGAAATATCGAAGAGGTCCGGCGGCCATTGATCCAAAAGTTCCTTTAATCTTTGTCTGTCATGAGCAATGTAATGGCCTAGTACGACCTCATAAACTAAGGAAGGAAGTGCTGGTTGGAGCTGTGTAGTCGGTATATATGGGGTGATCTCGTCAAATTTGTTGGCTTGCGCAAACGTCCAAACCCAGTGCTCCCATCTAGAGGACGTGCCGAGAACTTTGCCACAGATAATGCCCGCAGTTGCCCATTCGCCCGAGTCAATGAGCTGTTCAATCCACATTTCACCGATACGTCTCTTTTCCTTTTCGACGGCAGAGTTGAAAGGTCTGTTTGCAGATAAGGTAGTTTGTGACGCATCATCAGCGAAAAAGTCGGCAAGACTACCTTGTTGGACTGTGGGGGTGCTGGGAGTGGAATCCGAGGCTTTCTCAGGTGAAACGCTGACTACTTCGGGATGCTGATCAATGAGTTCCCAAGCCTCTCCAAACTTCTCACGATCCTCAAGCCAGGCGAGATGATCAGACAGATCACGTTTCACGGCTAACACGCAGTCATAGGGGCTGTGGATGTAGATCTTCAAGCCAGGGGTTGCTGCTGCGGCTGGTGGCTCATAACGCTTGCCTGGCAGCGACTTGCTCGCACTTGAGTTGCTTGGGTCTCTACTTTCTGTGGCCTTGTCACTTTGGAGACCCAGGCTTCGGACGCTGACGTTGGAGCCGAAGATCTTGGTAGCATTTAGACCGGCGTCCCAGAGACCACTTCCGATGGCCTCCAGCACACGACGTTGGGTTTGTAGCGTTTCAGATACTTGACGACTTGGAAGTACGCCAAGGTGGTAGTCGACAGCAGATAATCCGCCATACCGACTAACTGAGAGTGTGTCAACACTCACTTCCTCCTTCTCCGGGCTGGCAATGTTTATGAGCCTCAATTCGGGCTGAAGCGCTCGCTGTCGGTGATGAATTCCTCGCCTGGGGGTTTCGCCAGCTGCACTCGACGAAGCATCATCTTCATCATCGGGAGTGATATATGCAAGTACGAGAAGCAAAGATGGGGTATAAAGCGATAAGCCAGATATGATACAATCAGTTCGTAACCTGGGGAATACAAATTAGCAGGTTTGACATATATGGGGAAGTCACGTCAATCACTTTGTTACAATGTCGGCACGACCAACTAATCTTTCGCCAACGTCTCGTCCAGTTCCAGCACCACCGGGATATACATTGACGACCCAAATGGTATCTCCCCAGCCGACTAATAGCTTCTCCGGCTTATTCGCCTTGAGACTGCCGAGTGACTGTTTGACCCTAGTGCCGGTCCCATTACTTGATTGTGAAGCGCGAGGCGTGTCCGGCGCTGCTTCGTCATTCTCGAGGGCATCTTCGTCAACCCATTCGACACGGCCCTTCCAGACACCAGCCATATCGTCCCAACCGGTGTGTCTGGGACGATCAATGTGACCAATACGTTTCCATGCGTATTCCTGGTCAATGTTTTCCAGGTACAGATTTGACCTCATTATTTTGACCCCATGTTCATTCATCCAAACAACAAACTTGCCTGATAAGGACCATTTGATTGTGCTAATCGGACCTTCACCGGCGTGCAGTACTGTATCCTTTCCATTGTTTGGCCCCAGCCCCAAAGAACCAAGCCATCCGGATGCGGCTATCGTTGAGCTCCCAACGGTATTGGAGGTAGAAGTCCCGGGTCGACCACCGGTTGTCAATATAAGGTTGCCTGCTAAACCGCCAGACAAATAGGAGCGATCACTCTTGAAATTCGGCGACAAAGCGACAGCCTGGACAGGGCGAGAAAAGTTACGAACCATAACATCCTTCGGATCAATGAGATTTGTCACGCAAACATTGCCGTCGATTGAAGAAGTAGCTATGTGGATCGAATTGGATGGCGTATTTGGAACGGAGGGTTGTCTTGGCGCTCTGGCGGCTGTCGCTGAGGATGAACCGGAAGAAGTCGGTCTAGTAGGCGCATACGCAGCAGCAAGCCTACTGACAGCATCTGGTTTCGTGCTTGGTGGAGGAGGGAAAGGAGATATGGATATGGAGGTCACGGAAGCAGAGTGTGCCTTGTACACTCGTAACGGCTGAAATGAAGGAAGACCTAGCACATGCTTGGGACTGTCAGAAGCTGTGCCTCTCGGTATATAGGAATCTTGACCAACTTACAACATTGCCATTATGGGTGCCAATGATCTTTTGGTGTTATGTCTCGTTAGTCTCCTGCGCGACCAAATACGGGGGAAAGGAGCTGTCCATCCCCGGAATACAAAGCATTTTAGCTGTGCGCATACCATCTTATCCCCCGCCACCAAGAAAGTGCTTGTCGCATCGCCATTTCGATAAATAGACGCCAAATGACCCGTTACTCGTGCGTACTTGAGCACCGGTTCGTCATCATCCTCTTCTTCCTCGTCGCTGTTAGTAGCTGTTCCATCGTCGGTTTTGGTATCATTCTCGTCGGTAACAGACTCCTCAAGCTCTGAACCATTGCCCACCACCCGGTCACTGGGTTCGGGCGCCATTCCCATAAGGAGCAGAGCTTGGGCGATGGGGGCATGCGTGCAAGCAGTTTGGATGAAGCTCTGGGGATACAGAAACCCTGTCACTTCGCGACGGGCCAAGGCGAGTCTAAGCGACAAACGATGATGCTTCTTCGCCTTCGGTTCCTGAACCCTCTACTTATCCCGATATGACGTGGTGGAATAGCCAGTGGTGATTTATTCACAAAAGTTTTCACAGCATGCTATGAATCAGATGTCAAACTCTTAGTTGAGCTGACAGCTTTCAATTGAGTTTACCATTATAACGCGAGAAGTATTATGCGGCGATGACATTGCTCCATAGAGCTTTGGGCGAAATCATCCCAAGACCAGGCGCAATCCTGCCGCGACGATGCTTCAGTTCGGCCTCTCAGACAAGCTTACCCAACGCTGTGCTCCAGTCGAGCCTGTTGCGTCCACGATGTTTACACGCCTCAAGTCAGCTTTGTCTACCGCGTAGAAGAGGCTTCTTCTCCTCGAATGCATTGCTGGCGCAACCAGAGCGATCTTCCGCGCAGCCAGTTCAAAAGGTTGACTCGTTGGATAGCACCACGGCTCAACGTCGAAAGACGGCTCGAATCCCTGGTGGGAAACTCTCTTCCCTTCGCAGAGTCGCAGTAGAAGCACAAAGGTCACGAGAGGGTGTCTTAGCAAGGGGTGCTCCCGGAGTCGAGCAATATTCCCGGAAAAAGGTTCGGCCCCTACTGGCAATTTTTGCTTCATTTTATGTAACTAATTGCGCTTTCTCAAGAGGGTCACGGCATACTGTGCTGCTGAACAATTCCATTTGCCTACAGTGGTGCGAATCCTCAAAGCAGAAGGCTACGAATGCGATCCCTGTGGCACCCGGCTCTATCCACAAGTTGCGCATATACAGATTCCCGTTGATTCGTCGATAAGCTCACCACTGAATGACAATATTGCAGTATCAGAGCAAGAAGGTGATCCAGGCGATGTATTCGTCTTCCCATCGGGTACAGTGGTGGCCTGGGCAGTTCCGGAAGCTGTCGTGTCTTTTCTCCTGACAAAGACTCTCCTCCCTGCGGCGGAAAATCCTCATATGGATGAAATGGAAACTGAAGATCTTGAGTACATTGAAGATCACACAAGAGTTAACAGCAATATCAAAGGCGACACAATCTTTCTGGGGACCAAACCACATAGCTTACCGGCCCCAGACGAGATACTCTACGATGCTGATGATATGGAACAAAAGGCTGCAGCAAGTTTAGAAACTGCCCTAGCTGAACAGGAGGAAGTCCTGCAGCAGCGGCAGCGGGTGGACACGACCCTTGCAAAGATCGCATTTTCCTCGGGATTGGCTCGGTCAACCAAGCTGGCCGTACTGGAGACGTCACTCAGCAATTACTTCGATTCAACCCGGCTGATCCCGACGATGCTCTCTCGGGGATCACGCTTGCCCTTCACACGGTCGTTCATCCTGCGCAAGACTGGCCAGCTACTCAACGTGCGGGCACAGCTGAACCTCTATTCGGAGCTGACAGACTCTCTGCCGGATCTCTTTTGGGACAGTCGGCACGAACTTGGGCTCGAGGGATACTACGATCAGGTTGGACGAGCGCTGGATGTCGGTGTACGCATCAAGTTGCTCAATGAAAAGATGGATTATGCGCAGGAGATTGCCTCGGTATTGCGCGAACGGCTGAGCGAACGGCACGGGCTAGTGCTCGAGTGGATGATCATTATTTTGATCACTGTGGAGGTAGGTTTTGAGATCTTGCGGCTTTACAAGGAAAGGTTGGAGAGACTGGAACGTGAGCGGGAAAATGCGCTGGCAGTAGTCAGCGCAGCTACATAAGCAGCCACGCGCAAGGCATGTGTTGCCAGGATTTGTTTGGGTCTCGGGACGAGCGGAATGTCTTGGAGGGCAGTGACATAGAGAGCGCTCTCCCCTCAGAGGATCTCCGAGAGAGCAGATTATTCGTACCCTCGGATGCGGCAGTTCTTCGGAAGGCCACTCCCATTTCCAAGCTGTTGATCGCGCGCAAAATGGGCCTCATGATCGCACTTTGCTATCATGTGTGAAGTTGCATACCTCATCCCTCGGAGGCCGTAAGAAGAAGCCCGTGCGAGTTATACAGGGGAAAGGTCGGTAGCGAAGACCTGCATAGTACTCGTACCGCTGTCGCTCTACAGACTGGTTGTACAGTTTACTCTGAGCCCCTGGAAATGATCCGCGGCAGCATATTCTTAGTCAGCAGAGATTCGGATTTGAATCGGCGTTTTATGGCGTTGCAGATGCATGCGAGTAGATAGAGACTCTCCCATTTTTCGGCCCTTTGTTTGAGCTGTTTATAGACCAAAGTGTTTCCATATAAAGGTCCTCCTTTTTTGGAAGAATGCAATTGAGAAAATCAATAATTAATGAGAAGTGCGCTCGAGAGAGAAAATGCCTAGCGGCAAAACAAATCGAATAGGAAATGGAGGTAACGATGTGTGGCATTACCAACTCTGGCAGTGTCGTCGCCTATTCTTGTTTCCCCGAACGCCGAACAATTATGGCGGGTGCGGCTAACGGAGGTATGGCCAATCACGAGGAAGTTAATTGTCCGTTGCTGCAGAATTCACAGGAGCCGAGATCAGCCGAAGATAAGATGGACCCCAAATAGGAATCAAATGAGATCACCAATCGGGATTTGACTAGTTCAGTGTGTGAAAACAATTTTCATAATTTTAAATGGCTAATCGCCATCTTCCCATGTGGAGCTCCCTTCACTAAAAAGGGTTTAAGCACCAGTTCCTTTCCTCTCCTTCCACACACGCTTTTCCTGTTCGTTGAGAAGCGCGAGCGACAACAGAGCGAAGAAAAGTAGGGCCCGGGGCTCCATATTTCCTTTCTGTCCTGCTTGATCTCGCTCCCCTCTCGCTAGTTCCGACAGGAGAGAGAGCAAGAGAAGAGGAAACGAGTGTGAGTGAAGCAATTGGGTCTTCTTCATCTCTCGACGAGCCATGGCGACCGTCTTGCAGCGAAGACAGCTGGTCAACATTCCCAGCGCCTGGCTCGAAAGAGTCGGCCAGGCCCGAACTTCGTGCGCGCCCATTGTCGGTTACAACCAGCGCAGGGGCGTCACTACACGCGACCTGGATAGGCGGAAGGGAGGTGGGTGATTAGCACCGTCATGATCAGATGATGTGAGAATCGTATGTTGACTTGAACTCTTCACATCAGACCGTGAGCGAGTTGTGATTCTCGGTTCAGGTAAGCACCAATCCTCATTCCTTTCGTTCCAATTGGTGTTTCAATTGGTTATTTTTGATGCCGACCCCATGGGGTCTGAAGAGATTCAAAAAGAGAAGAAGGAGCCATCAGAATCTCGGAAGAAAATGGAGAATAACAAGTCATGCTGACCCATTGCGCTTTCGTTTTATCCAGGATGGGCCGGATACACGTTGTCTCGTGAACTTGACCCTAAGAAGTATCAACCTGTCGTCGTTTCCCCTCGATCCTACTTCGTTTTCACTCCTCTGTTGGCTTCCACTTCTGTCGGTACTCTCGAGTTCCGTACTGCGCTCGAATCCGTCCGAAGTCAGCAAACCAACGTCGAATTCCTCCAAGGATGGGCCGACGACATTTGCCTTGACAAGAAGAGTATCGTTGTTGAGGAAAGTGTTGCGGACCAATCCCAGGGTCTTGCTCTGACGGGAGACCGTCAAAAAGTGCATGAGGATCCCGAGAAGGTGAAGGCAATTAAGGCCTCTAAGGGAGGTCTTTTTGATCTCCACTACGACAAGTTGATTATCGCTGTGGGCTGCTACAGTCAGACGTTTGGTATAAAGGGTGTCAAGGAAAATGCTTTCTTCCTCAAGGATGTCGGTGACGCTCGCCGGATCCGCAGACGGATTTTGGAATGTCAGTAGCACCTCACCAAGTGCATACAAAGATGCACCTCAATTCCACATGACAAGATTGACGAAAGAAAAAACAGGTTTCGAGACTGCTTCTCTCCCGACTACCTCTGACAAGATGCGCCGTCAACTTCTGAACTTCGCTGTTGTTGGTGGAGGACGTGAGTTACTTGGACCCCGTTCCCATCCATGATTTCCACTAATCGAATATTCAGCGACTGGTATTGAGTTCTCTGCTGAGCTGCACGATCTGATCAAGGAGGACTTGGCCAAGCTGTACCCCACCCTTATCGACGAATTCAGAATCACCGTCTATGATGTCGCCCCTAAGGTTTTGTCCATGTTTGACGAGAACCTCGGCAAGTACGCCATGAACCACTTCCACCGTGAGGGTATCAACATCCGGACTTCCCATCACCCCGAAGAGCTTCGCCTTGGTGTGCCTCAGGCGGATCAGGATGACCCGTCCATTCGCGATAAGGAAGGAGTCTACACTCTCCGCACTACAGAGGAAGGCGAGGTCGGTGTCGGCATGTGCGTTTGGTCCACTGGTCTGATGCCCAACCCTTTCATTCAGAAGACCATGAGCAAGGTCCGCCGCTTCCCGTCCCCCACTGCCCGTATCGAGGGCCGCTACTGGGAGCGCGACGAATGGTACATGAAGCAAGATGGCCGTACCAAGGGTGTCTTCACCGATGACAAGCTCCGCGTCAAGCTCGTCTCCAAGCCCAATGGCAGCGAACCTGTTGAGACCGTCATGAAGGACGTCTACGCTATTGGTGACTGTGCAGTTATGGAAGGTACTATGTACCCCGCTACAGCTCAAGTTGCCAACCAGAAGGCTGGTTGGCTCGCCAAGCGTCTTAACAAGGATGATACCGCTGAGGAGACCTTCGCCTTCAAGAACCGTGGTATCATGGCCTACCTGGGTAACTGGCGCGCTATCATGCAGGCCGGCAGTGGTGGTAACATTTCTGGCCGTGCCGCCTGGTTTGTCTGGCGTGGCGCCTACCTGACCAAGAGTGTCAGCTGGCGTAACCGTATTTTGATCCCCATTTACTGGTGAATATCCTCAAATTTCTGTCCATTTGTTTGGATCTTTTCATGATACAGTCGCTGATTGATTTTATTCTAGGATGATCAACTGGGCCTTTGGTCGTGACATTTCGCGTTTCTAAGCGAATCGCGCGTACGAAACATGTACGATACATCCGTTTTCTCCCTTTTGACGCGACATTAATTCGCGCCAAATCTGATGTAAAAACAAAATGCCCTTCTTTGTGCCATTTTATTTTATACTCTTCTTTTATTTAAATTTCCCAGCTTTTCTTTTTCATAATTTGTTGAATATAGGTTGGTTCGCAACATCATCCATATAATCGAACCAAAGATTTGTCGAACGGCTGGAGGTGTTGATGCGTCCGTGTTGGATCGAGTGATTTGAAAGATGCAGTTTATAGCAGCCGTGAGGATGTAAAATACCTAGAATGAAACTGTATCTGTTTATATGCCTTTGTGGAGCAGGATTTTATCCCGTGAATTCAAAATGTGACACAGGGGGAAGATGTAATGAAAGATTGCAACACTTTTTTATTAGGTCGCCGAAATTATGACCGTTTATGGGTACTGCTTTTTAAAAATGCCTTCTATACCATGAATTTTTCCCCCTCCCCAGAAAATGGAATTTACGCCTGTCCCAACAATTCTTTGAGAACGCCAACCTGTTCGAGAACAGCAGCCTTACTCGTACCGCCAGTGGCGTCCTTGAGCTCGACTGCACGATGGTAGTCAAGACAGCTCTGCACGTCCTCGTCAAACCGCGCATCAATACCCTTGAGTTGCTCAAAGGTCAATTTGTCCATGGGCACACCCTTCTCCTCGGCCAACGCTACGACACGGCCAGACACGTGGTGGCCCTCGCGGAACGGCACGCCCTTGCGTACTAGGTAGTCGGCAAACTCAGTGGCTAGCATCTCAGGAGCCAATGCGGCATACATCTTGTCCGCATTGACAGTCATGGTGGACAGAACACCGGTGGCAATCTGGATGCTGTCGCCGACGGTCTTGATATGGTCGAGCATCGGCTCAACACTTTCTTGCAGATCCTTGTTGTAGGTGGTGGGAAGACCCTTGATGGTGCAGAGGAGACCGGCCATCTGTCCGAACGCGCGGCCGGACTTGCCTCGGAGAAGCTCGAGACTGTCTGATGTGGTGTGTTAGATCAAATTGATTCATACTGGGAAAGGCGGGGGGAAGTAGAGAAAAGGTAAAAATACTGACCGGCATTCTTCTTCTGGGGCATTAATGAAGAACCAGTCGAATAAGCATCTGCCAGTCTGACAAAGGAGAATTCCAAACTGCTGTAGATGATGAGGTCCTCGGCCCAGCGAGAAATCTTCACCATCAAAGAGCTGCCCCACTGCATTGTCTCCAAGACAAAGTCGCGATCGGCAACAGCGTTCATCGAGTTGTACAATAGACCCTCAAAGCCCAGCTCCTTGGCCATGCCAACACGATCAATCTTGAACGGGTTGCCCGCGAGAGCACCACATCCCAGAGGGCTCCGGTTGACACGCTTGATCACGAATCGGAGACGCTCAAGTTCAGAAGCAAATGATGCAGCGTGCGAAAGGAGCCAATGGCTCCATCGGACGGGCTGAGCCTTTTGCAGATGTGTGTAACCGGGCATCTAGTTACCGTTCGTCAGCGCCGGCGCTCTTCGACCTGGATCCACTTCTCTTTCGTTTTTTATAAATTAAAACAGCCCAGGTATACTCACAATGTAGTCAATCTCGTTCTCGGCGCGGGCAATGGTGACCTTGATCAGGTCGCAGAGATAGGACTCCAGCTTGCGCAGCTCTTCGCGCAGCCATAATCGCATATCGGTGGAGACTTGCTCATTGCGAGAGCGGCCCGTGTGTAGCTTTCCTCCAATGTCCTTGCCAATGATCTCACCAAGACGGCGCTCGTTGGCAGTGTGAATGTCCTCGTCGTTGGCCTTGACAACAAAAGAGTTGCTCTCCCATTCCTCTGCAATCTCCTTGAAGCCGCGCTGGATTTCGGCAAACTCGTGCTCGGAGAGGATTCCGCCCTTGAGGTTGGCTCGCGCAAAGGCAATTGAACCGGAGATGTCTTGCTTCCAGAAGATGCGGTCGTAGGGGAGAGATTCATTGTACTTGACCATCAATGGGTCGAGACCCTCTGCGAAATGTGTCTATTAGCTTTTGTCTCTTGGAAGCTCAGTGCTGCCAAACGTACGAGTGAAACGGCCTCCCCATAACATATTCTCTGCGACAGCCTTGGTTCCGCTCATTTTGAAAGCTCAAACGTGCAATCAATTGGATCAATGCGTTTTGAGGCTACGTAGGGATTTTGTTTACTTCAAAAAGATTAAAAAAAAAATTAAATATGCACGTGTGACTCTTCTGTTAATTCCCCACGGTGAGTTTGGTTGCACCCTGTAAACTATCGGAGCGATAAGAGAGATGACTAACACTTTGATCGCCCACAATCTTCCGATATCGCCCGACTGACTTCTCCTGTGGTTGGAGTAGCTTCAATGATGATATCTTTCCCGTGCAGCGCTAAGAACAGGAAAATTCAAAGATGCTGATAGTAATTTGATACCTTATTCATCTACGTGACACATATTTCATCTTTGACATCGTTTTGGTGAAGTGCGATTGAGTGGCACGCTGATAGAAGGTTTTACTACGTTAAACTCCATTGTCACCCCTTCATACTGTGCGTGCTTTCAGTTGCTTATTGTATATGATCTGGGTCTAACTTGCGAACCACAGAAATTAGAGAGAGATACGTGAAGCTTTACACTCTGTCGTATACCGAATAGTCATATATAGTGTGGTTCAATGCATTTTTTCCATCTGCTTCTGCTCTCCTCTTTTTCCACCTGGACGAAGTGACACCTTGCATGTTTTGCGTATGAGTTTACAGGTCGCAAATATTGCTATCGTTCCGTTTAAATTCTGTTGTTTAAAAAGGCTCACCTTGGCCCTCTACTGCAAGTATTATAGAGGGGTTTCTTTTTAGCTGTTGCTTAATGAGGTTTAGTTGGGGCTTACGGCGAAGATCGGCTCTAATCAATACCCAGTTTCGTGGGGTAACTTTCGTCTTGGAATGGGTCACTGACAAAAGCCAGCTTCAAACAAGCCATTCAACAACGAAAGAGTGCCACAGCATCATACAATGCTATTTTCATACGATTTCAAACTTCTGAGACCTTGTCAAATTTAACATGGATACTCTCGATTACTGAGTCCGAGATTTCTAAAAATGACGATACTTGTCTAAGGTACCGAGAAACAACAAGGCCACAAAAGCCGAGGGGACGAGGATGAGATCCTCAGAAAAGACATTCATGCTGTCTGTGCTCAAAGCTTAAATGAAAAAAATATTTATGAGCCGACCATTGTCCGATCGATCGATACTGCGAGGATAGTGGTTTGGAGGGCAAGACAAGCAGGGCTTTATCGGTCGTGGAGCATCATCTAGGCGGCGCCACCAGAGCTCGTAATACCAGGGTGCGACAGGATCGCCGAGGAAAACTTTTGAGGGCTGGGAAATTCCATGAATATCTCGAATATAAAGAATACGAAATATACTGTTGTCAGATAAGGACATCTGACCATGCAACCCGTCTTTACAGAGCTGAAGGCTCATAGACACCTTGGGGACGCTGCTGATTGGGAGATAATATCAGCTTGCTATGTTTTGAAGCATGATACTGATGACTGTGCGATGAGAAAGTTTGGAGATTCGAGCAAAATGGTAGCCTCCTGTGTCCACGGCTGATAATATAATAGGCTCAAGCCGGGGAGGGATAGCGTCCGTGCGACGTCTACCCTTGCAAGAAAGGACCCTTGGGACAATGATAATGCGATACGACGGGCGGATTAGGGCATGACATGCAGCTCGGGATCCCGGACTATATAGGTCATGCCGGATCAGCGAATCGTCTCCTGCTACGTAAGTGAGCAGCTAAATTATCGTGTGTTTGATATATCCCTCTTTTGCCTTTCTGGTGTTGTTTTGGCCCTTGTTTCGTTCGCAAGCCTGCTCGCCTCCCGAGGACTATAATCTACCTTACTTTTCATACGGTCACTGCACACTCACCCAACCCTGATTCCAAGTCTCTTTGTTCCGCAGCCCGCCTATTTCTCACCTTTGTACGGAGTACACAACATTCCAAACTGACGTTCGCCATGTGCTCACATGCCCCCCCTAGCTTCTGATGCAGTAGGGTGGTCAACCGCAAAGCAATGGGCCGTGACATTATTGACCATATCACCACCCTCCACCTCCCCTTTCATCAGCGCCCAATTGGGATGACTCCCACAACCGCATTCCTGGTCGCTGCAGCAGCGGCATGGAGAGGTTGAGGCCGCTTCTAGGACGGCGGCATCAATAGTGGAAATCTTGTCCGCCATTACCGTTGGTTTTCATCAATGAACGGTTTTCAGCCGGGTTCTCGCACCAAGAGTTAACGGGATACGTGTCTGAAGGGGGGCAGAAGCCTTGCTGATTGTTGATTTGTTCGTACGTCGTGGCATGAGCAGAAGCAATTATTCGAGGAAAATTGAGCATGGTGTGTGCAGTGCGACATTTTCTTTTTTTGTGCATGTCTTTCAGTATTGTCATCAATGTTTCTGTCGTAAAATACTTGCTCGATGCAATTGCTTTCCGCCGAGGGAAAGAGTGTTGCGGGGTCGTGTTTGGAGCTTCATTTCGACGCCTTTTACAAATTTTTCTGACTTGGTGCGTTTTGTCCGGACCATCAGGACGAACCCAAGTATTCTGCATGGTGTCCCACTAGTGGCCTGTCTTCAGCAGAATTGACAAGGGATCGAGAGCCGCGGCCTATCACCAGAGAATTGAACTCGACTCCGCCGCGAGACCCATCTGACTCAAATACGTCTCGGCCTAGACGAGAGCATCGAGAAGCCAAACGGCAATCTGTTCCATCTCCGGTCCAACAAGCATCAAAAGAAAAGCTATACAAAGTCCACTGGGGTCGAACGATAACCAAAGGGCCATCAGTTGGAACAAGCACCAGCAGCCCTATCACAGAACAAGCTCCACATGCAAGAGCTAAACCAACATCGACAGTCAAGCGGAAGGAAATTCCACATGAACTTGATGGTCACGTTGTAAAAGCCAGTATCCCGCTGTTTCCAGGATTTGGTCCTCGGGAGCCGCCATCACGTCGGCGTAGATCGGCGTCCCTGGCAGCTGTTTTGTCTGACACTCCTCACAACGTGAATTCATCATCTGTGCGTAGACGGGACTCAATAGGACAGGGAGGGAGTCATTCCAAGCAAGGAACCAACGGCAATCGAGCCATTTCTCTTGACAAGGGGCCTCCATCAGTTTTGTCCTTGGTTTCAGGGGTGACTGGAGTATCAAATTCATCAAGCGGAAGTGACTCGACAATTACACAGAAGAAGTATTTACTCTCGCAAAACCGCAACGCTGGGCGAGCTCATGCTACTGAGCTGCCTCCAACAATACCAAAACCATCAGAGCAGAACGCTGCCGCCCAAAAGCAAATGGCCGACAAACCAAGCGTGTTTAGCTATTTGGAAGAGGGTGAAGAAAATTATCCAAAAACCCAGGCATCATTGAACGATAATCCTGACTTTCTGCCCATGAACGAGCCTCGCGCTGTACGCCGCCTCGTCGAGGCGGACGGATTACAGCATGGCTACTCCAAGGACGCTCAAAGCCATGGCCCGTCTGTTCCCCGCTCCCGGCCCGATTCTTACGCTGAGGCTACTGTTCAAAGCGAAAACCTTACGGGCTCTGAGCATACGCAAGAACAAATGCCTTATCATGACTATCATGAACATCGTCATCACGAGTCCGTTCCGGCTTCATCAAACACTGGCTTTCATTTCAGACCTATTCCCGGCTCATACATCCATACCCCATATGGTCCATCTGAACCTTCGTTTGACCTATCTCCGATCCCTAATCCTTTCCCGACGAATATCGAACCGCACAAATTCTCTAGCCACGCAATTGCAACCTCAACGCCCCAACCTCAATCGCCGAACTTTGTCTCAGGCATGGGTATTCCCCTTCCTCCATTTGTCGCACGACCTCCATCTCCCACTCGCTCTTTAAGCCCAGAAACCTCCAAGGAAGCAAAAGACGACATTTCTGGATACGAGTTACTTGCATCGAAACTCTCACATGATGGAAATGGAACGACCAGCCTTCAGATTGACGACACTTTGAACGAGCGAAGGCCTTCGTCAGGATCTATGTCTTCTCGTTGCGAAAAAGGATCCACTTCAAGTGACAAGGAAGAACATTACTCGCCAGCGTTACCCCCTTTGTACCGCAAATTTGAAACTCTCAATCATCGCATTTTCTTGCATCTGCAGGATGAAATTGCAGAGCTCGAGGAAGACCTGCGCCGGATTGACGATGCTGATGCCCAGGCGCGCAAATTCGCTGCTGGATATGATACGTCCGAACCGATTCCGTCATCTCGTCGTGCGGATGCACAGCTCTTGGGAGAACTGCAGATGAGTCGGATAGATGTGCTGGGACGGGCATTCGTCAAGATTGGACAATACAGTAAGTACAGGAAAATCTTTTACATATATTATGCATTCGTGCTCCACCTCTCGAAAGATGTCAAAGTATCATGTCTTTCTCAAGGAGATTTTTATCTCATTTTCATCTTAATGTCATGTCATATCCTCAAATGCTGTCATATCAGTTCTCATGTTATGCTTTTGCATGCTCAAGCCTCTTCTCCACGAAAGGCATCTTCGTGTTTCTCGGCGTTCCCTTGTTTATATAGTGCGCAATCTAACCGTCTGATCCCCCTTTTTCCCTTGCTATAATTCATTTCTCTCAGTCTGACACATTGAATTTCCACTGACAATCTTGATATTAGACTCAGCGCTTGCGTCATACACACAACTCCTCAAAAACCTTGAACCGGCAAAGTCTGAAGAAATCCAGACCTATCAGGCCTGGATGGCCGAACACAATCCAATAGTTCCTCGTGAAGCCAGATTTCTTCTCCATGAAGTTGACTTGCTTTCCATTCCATCATTTTCCCATCGTCATCATCACCATCACCATCACCGTCACAATGTTGACCAGTGTGATATCAGTGGTACCTGTAGAAAAGCTGCCTATCAGTCCGAGGCGGAGCTCAACATCGAAGGGCAACAACCTCGAGGCGACAACCTGCCGACTCATACTACAACATCCATTGATCAAAGAAAGGGGATGGAGGGCAATGTTTACAAAAAGCCGGAGACAGAATCAGACAGCGCAGCAGACGCGGTAGACACTCTCACGCCCTTCCAGCGAACAATGATCACGCTTCTATCAGCCTTACTCCTGCCACTGTTTGTATTCAATCTCGTTTCAGAATTTCTCGGACGATTAGTCGTTGCAGCAAGTATCGGCGGAGCGGTAATTGCCATTATCACACCTGGACGAGTAGGCAGTTTTCTGCCGGCAGGTAGAGGGTGGAATTGGGGCGTCTATGTCGCGGCGTATGCGGGGGTGTTTGTCGTAGCCGCTGGTGTCGCGTAGGATCTTGACGTTTATTTTTATTCATCAATGCTTTGCTTTGTCTATGTTGTTTCCTTTTTTTTCTTTCTCTTTCTCTTTCTCTTACTCTTATTCTGGCGAAAACGCGTCTTTCTAATTTGAACTCAGACAGTTCTCATCACGGGTCGTGGCGTATAGGGACCTTGGAGGGACAGGATAATTCCCAGGAATACGGAACTAGGTATTACGGAGCTATACGGCATGAATCACGACTTGAATGACATATTGGCGTTTGTTACCAACTTATCAGTATTTGCTTTTACGACAACGATGTTGCATCCGCTCTGCAGACATTGTCTATTACCTTGATATTTTTTTTTTAAATCTGTCATGAACCGCCGCTAGAAATTTTCCTCTGATCATTCTATTTTACGATCATTTTCTATCCATTTTCCAAGTCCAAGATTTGAACATCTCGTCATCACTTTCACTGTCAAGTGCATTCCATTTTTGACTTCACTTTGAACAATCCCTCCATCCATCTATCCTGCCCCGATATTCTACGTACTTGGCATAAGTATACACTGAAAAAATGATGATGATGACGAAAAAGTAATTCTCATCAGCTCACGTCTTCTTCCACCGCACGCGCCCAACCCAGCCCACCCAGCGCTGCACATCTTCCCTGTCGAGAAGTAACCGCACCGTATACCACGACTTTCCCAGCTCCTCGTTTGTCGCCACCTTGTGCACAAAACTATGGCACGCGCGACAGATATAGCACGTCGAATGGACCCTTTCGGCTTCCGTCATGTTGTAGTACTCCTCGTCCTCTTCGTCCTCGTCTTCATCCTCATCGTCTTTTTCATTCCGAGTCCAATTCCGAGACTGGCTACTGCCGTCTCCTCCTAGGCCTTTCCCATTCTGAGTCCAATACCGAGACTCACTCCCTCCATCCTCTCCTCTCCTGTTTGGCGTTGAACCAGTAACAACCGCAGCATGCCATCCGCGCTTGAGCGCCTTCTGCTGCACGGAGCGCGGCACAAGATGGTGTTCTGTCAGCGGGACCCAATCTCTATCGCATAACTCGCAGTGCGTCGGTTTTTGCCGTTTTTGCTGCAACGCCGCATAGCCATCTTCATCCTCTCCGCCACCGCCGCCACCTGCTTTACGATACCGTTTGGATAAAGTGGGAGGAGGGGAAGGAGAGGGAAGTAAAGCCCGGATGTAGTCTGTATATAAAGCCGTAAGAAACGCTGTTGCTGTTGGGAGGGGTATGTGTGGCGACGCCGACGATAACGACAATGAAGACGGTGGTGATGAAGACTTAGATGGGCGAGATTTTCGTTTCGATGGAGGTGTGTAAAGGGACGAAGAGGAGGTGGTGTATCCGTATGCGGTGAGGGATTCGCTGATCGAGGGAGGTAAAGTGGATAGTAGCCCCGGAATGGCGCCGATGAGGGCGTCTGCTTTGGCATCGTTGTCGCTGTCGAGGTCCTCGTTACTGATGTTTTCGTCGTCGTGGGTTAGGGAGTCGGAAATGTCGTAGTTGGTGGAAGAGAGGGACGTTGGACGAAGAGAGGATGGGGAGGAAGAGGATAGGGTTTGGAGAGAAAGAGGTAAGGAGGAGAATATCTCTGTGGCAATGTACTGGTTTATTTATATCTTTAGTATATCGTTTGCATATAGATGTATGAATATGTGGGATTAATGGACATGGGATGTGATAGTATGGATAAACATGATATTCGATTAGAGGCAAAGTGGGCAACAGTCAGAGACGAATTTGGATATTCATGCATATTCAAATGGACAGGTAGAGACTGGGCATATTTCCAAATAACAGAGATGATACAGTATCGGCTTCGAAAATGAGAAAGTAAAGTAATATACTTCAAGTCGATCAATAGAGGGCAAAAGGAGGTTATGTTTCGATGTAGATCCTCGATACTCCTTTCCGATAATGAAAACAGAAAGATATGCAGAACCAGACCATGAATCAGATTGGGAAGAAAGATGAAAAGACAGAAGAAACTCTCTGCATTGAGCTGAAATAAAAAAGCAAAAAAAGAATAGTAAATAACATTAATATTAAACTTACGTCGATAAAATCAGCTAATTCTTCCGCAGACGCATCATCATCTTCGCTGTGCTTTGCATTTTCCGGTCTGCTCTGCTGCTCTTTTTCTTCGTTTTTCTGCTCTACCCGGGCTCTTTGTTCAGTCGCTGCCGTCTTGCGACCCGGTCGACGTCTGGAGGACGCAGCGTTACTGCCAACAGCATTCTTGTCACCTGATGACGACACCGATGAGACTTTTGTCGATGTAGTCGTTGTTGATGGTGTAGATGACGTTGCCGTAGATTGCTGAATCAATGCAGTCGATAGACATTCGCGGAGCGTGTCATATTCTGGTCTTTCTTGCTCAGGTAGCATTGGCGTCATGATCTATTGATGTTGTTGGTTTCAACGTTGAATCACTGTCGAATCTATACGACAGATAGTTACGATAAATTGACGAGACTAGGCGCGACTCTCTTCTACGCAAGTTACGTCCTGACGGTCCCTCGATCTCTTAACTAAAATTCCCACTACTGTCAGCGTCCCAGGGTCCTCGCCTGACCCGATTACGGTTAACTAAGGCTAGCTATACCAGTCTGATCCCCGCCCTGTCGCCGCTAAGCCTTCCCCATTACTAGCTCTACGACAGATTAATCCGCCGGACCTCAGGTCGTGCGCCAGTTAAGTCCAGTGGAGTCTTTACCTACACTCTTCCCATAACACAACCACTTCTTCAACCCCTGAACGCACGTGGGTCCACTAGATCCTCCCCCCCAAAGACTCAGCCACACTCACCCCCGTGTACTTTATTCTATTTACCATCTCACGAAATAAACTGACCACTATCCGTACAATAATATATAACACTTTCCCATGACACTCCAGACACGAAAACCACAGAAGATCGACATCAAAAATAAAAAGCAGCCAACCATACAGAAAAAATAAAACAAAATAAGGCTCCAAAATGACAAGCGCAAACACAGCAATCCTCCCTCCTCGCCGCGACCAAGCAGCTTCTGACGTGCGCGCCTATTTTGTCAGCATACTCCAGCGCAAATACGAGGTTCCAGAGCCTCGAGCTCAAGAAGTTGCGAATAAATGGCAGCACGGGCGTGGCCAGGAAATGCGCGAGTTCAGCTATGCGACGTATCGTGCCATTTTTGGTGCAGAGGTCGGAACGATACTGAAACGGCAGACGACTGAGAAGAGTGACCGAATGGATTCCGAGTCGGAGTTGGAGTCTGAGTCTGAGTCTGAAGCTAAATTTACGCAGCGGCGAAATGGTATTTTCTCATTCTACTTTCTTTTCTACTGTTTTTTGTTTTTTTGCTTGTTTTGTAGCTACAGGGCTACCGCTTGTTTTGTTGACATGGGATGTTATGGATCATATGAATCCATGGGCAAAAAGGGAAGAAAAAGAAAAAAAAATCGCAGGAGGAAATTTTAGATGGAAAAGAACTGACAAAAGTAGCAGATACACAAATTTTGCGAATTGTCTTTGCTATAGGTGGTATATTGATTGCAATTTGCGTGGCCTTTGCGACACATAAGAATCATATCTCAGACCTTTTTCTGCTTGCTTGCGGCTGTCTCTTTTTCGCCTTGGTTGGCTTGCCGGTAAATTTCCTTTTCTCTCTCAAATATCATCTCTGGGACCAGGTTGCTGGTCACGTTTCTTTGTGAGACTCGTAGCTGATCTTCGAAATAGCAGGGCAAAAAGAAGCCGAACCAGACTTGAATATTGGGTACCCGGTTTGGCGATTGGGGGGCACAATCCAAACCTTTGTGTGCAGAGTTTTGTTTTGTTATATCGTCGTCATTGAGGTCTATAAAAGGTTAATATCATGTAATATATTCATCTGTACATGTGCGTCTACATGAATGCATTTACGAATCTATTCTACATGTCATAAAGTTTCATAAGATCCATGACAGTCGCGTTCATGTCCGTGAGTGTGTTCATCTATTCGTCATCTTCTTCCTCGTCTTCGCTGTCATCTTCATCTTCATCGTCATCATCGTCCTCGTCCTCGTCCTCGTCTTCGTCTTCGTCTTCGTCTTCGTCCATCTCACTTCCCTCTTCCTCTTCCTCTTCTTCTGCATCGTCTTCTTCGCCATCTTGCGGCTTGAGACCATAGTCATCGTGGAAGAATGCCAAAGGATGAGCTTCAGGCTTGAAACCGACCTCTGTGAAGGACTTTACGAGGGACTGTCACAATAAATACGTCAGCTTTCCGTTCACACATTCATTGAACTTCGGCGCAAAATAGTGCGCAAAATACTGGCAAAAGAAACCCACCTCCTCCATAAGCGGTGCGCATGTCACAACAAAGTCGGCTTTGCCGGGCGTGAAGACTGGCAAAATCAACCTCTCCATGACATCTCTAATATCCTCAACACCCACATCACGGACTCTCTTCAGCATGACATCATTCCACTCCTTGGGCAGGCCGCGCACGACCTGGTTGATGAAGCTAACCTGCGCCGCGCTGGCCATGCCGGGCTGGGCATCCGCGAATGAGACAACAATAGAGCTAATGGCACCTTCAAGGGCCGGTTTCTCGAACGCGCGCTCCTTGCTCACGTAGCCTTGCACAACACCCTTGGCAATGTTGTACGCCTTGAAGGCATCAGGAGATCGGTAAATGTTGAAAGTAAGCAGTCCCGTTCCGACATCTCGCGCAAAGTGAGTACCATATGCGAGACCAGTGCCACGAACTGCGCCCCACATTGGTCCCTCGACAGCGTCGAGGTAGGCGATAGCGACCATGAGTTTAGGAAGGTCTTGGTCAGCGTATGAAGAAGGACCGCGACCGGTGAAGATTCCAAAGGAAGAGTCAATCGTTGGCATGGGGACAATGTACGCAAGACTTCCTGGATTCTTGCCCGCATCGCTGAGGCAAGCGGAGCGTGAAACAATAGGTGATAGAGGCAGAGAGGTGTCGGACTTGGAGAGCATAGGGCTCCACGAAGAGACAGGTTGCTGCAGCTTGTGCACGTCCGCGCTGACGTAGGCACGGAAGTTGGAAAACTGGAACAAAAGAGAGCGAACGAGTTCGAGTTTCGAAATTACAACGTCCGGGGAAGTTTCAAGCAGTTTATTGATGCGCTTGAGATACAGCGCCTTGACGAGTGTATTACGAGCACGAGCGCGAGAATCTTGAGAGAAGTGCACCATTGTATCGACAGCAGCCATCATCTAATCGTTCCAATGAGGTTAGCATATTTACAACAAGTGGAGCTGAGATTTGAAGGCAGAGTTGAGTTTTCAACATAATGTTAAAACTTACGCTGTATCCGCTGCGCTTTTCCTCCGGAATATCTGCAAGCATCTTTGTGATTGTAGCTTTCAATCGCTAGTTAATGTTAGCTAAACGTACTTTAATGGAGAAGAACCTGTTGGGTTTCGTACCTCGACATCAAAAACACTGTCCCAAATCATTGTCTTCAACCAAGCAATTGCGGTCTGATATTTTTCCGGCTCAATCTGAAACTTTATCTGCAGAAGCTCCGCATTGCCAACGGTTGAGCCGCTCTCAATCTGATACGACACCGTATCCTTTTCGAGCTCCGCCACAACCTGCTCAAAGTCCAATTTCTCGCCGTTCCGGATTATGGGCGTATTGAAAAAGTTCATTGTGTACAATGCCAATAGTGGCTTCAGCTCAACGGGAACTGATTCCGCAGAAATCACCAAGCTAAACCGCACAAAGTTGGTAGGGATGTGCTCAAAGTGAAGGAACAGCGGGAGATCCGAGTCTTGGTCTATAACGCATTGAACCTCATTATCCAAAGGTCCCATCTTCCTCGCAAGTCCTGAACGTGCGGTGGTAGTATTAATAAAGTGGATAGAGCCCGTGCCGGGGACCTTGAAACCCTCTAGCAATTCTTGAGGAATTGGCTTATCATTTTCAGCCTTGGCTTCCTCCAGCTTCTTCTCAAGCTCCTTCAAGCCCTCCTTTCCGAGCCGCTTCCGCTGCTCGGCCACACGTTTCTTCTCATCGGACTTGAGCTTCTTGGACATCTTGGATGAAGGAACGCCAAGAAGGGAGACATGCGGAGCATCCGCAATCCATGTGCTGAGGAAGTCTCTCCAATCCTTGTCAGACCACTTCTCGAGCTCGTCGTATTCCGAGAGAGTTGCAAGATCTCGAAGCGTGGATCCGTCTCTCTTTCCAAAAAGGAAGTCATTGATGACAGCATCAGAAAAGAAGAATGCAGAGTCTTCAACAGTAAATTTGAGTTGCCGCTTTTCGCGACGAATACACTCCAACATGTAATCCATGTCCAGAGGCTTTGAGGCCGTCTCCTTCAGAACCTCAAATAGACGCTGGTTGACTTCCTTGAGTTTTTCAGTAGCTACGCTGTTGGCTACAATCCAAATAATAGAGTCAGGTCTTGCGTCATATGACATGGCTACTCCACTAGCGAGCTGCTCTTTCTCCACAAGGATATTTTCGAGGACTGAGACAGAAGATCCAGCGAGATATACTGTTAAGACATCCAAGGCAGCCACTAAAAATAAAGGCATTAGCAAAGTGTCTGAAGTTCCTTAGGATGTGTTAGACAAACTCTTCATAACATCGTTGCAGTCGGGACCGAAAATTCCAACCATGATTTCTCCAGACGATTCGTCCTCTTCCGGAAATTCGACCTCTGAGACGGTCGTTTCCTTCAGCGGCGGCGGCTGTTTGGAATCGATCCACGGCCGCTGAAATGGAGACTCGGGGTTGGGCACATCATCGACGATACCGTCCTCAAATTCCTCAAGAATACGGAGCATATCGTCGTGATCAATCTCTCCCGTGAGTACGAGGCACAAATTTCTGGGTTGATACATTTCCTTGTGAAAGGCCCGAATCCTGTCCGCTGTCAAACCCCGAAGTTGCTGCATCATACCACCAGTCTCGTAACGGAAGCCAACACCTTCAGGATAGAGGATGCGCCGAGCTTGCAAATCCATCAACTCCTCCTGGTTATTTTGGACGCCCTGCATCTCTGAATAGACAACACTGCACTAATATTAGCTGGTACATTGACTTGATGAGATAAGAAATACAAACCCTGCATCATGTCCGGTTCCGTCGACATGATGAACCTCAGTATAGCAGCCCGCATCAGTTAAGGTGGGGAAGAGAACATGCTCCAAATAAATAGGAAGCTAAAATTGCAAATTAGATTCATTCAAACATCCATCATGTACGATAACGTGTACTTACAATCTGGGCAAACCCTTCCCACCCAGCAGTATCTAGCGTGTACGCTGTATGGTCTGTTGCTGTCCACGCATTGGTATTGGAGTACGCTCTTGTGGCTAATTTATCGAGAACTCCTTTATAGCGGTAATTGCGAGAACCCTAGTCGTCAAATAAGTCTCTGCACTTGCGTCTTGCCTTTCCAAGTATACTTACCATGAAGACAAGGTGCTCCAATGTGTGTGCTAGGAAATGTCAGTCTATATAACTTCCCAAATCGTGCAAAGTCTCGATACTTACGTGCTCCGGAATCATCATGGATTTCCGTTGCCAGAGCAAAGTAGCCCGAAACCTTTGGTCCTTTTTGGTCTACGACCACTACTTTCATTCCAGTCCTTTCAGACTCATACTGGGTAAAGGCACTTGGAGAGTAGTCGGTTTTGAAACTCTGCAGAGTTTTAAAATGTGTTTTCTTCGCCTCAATAGAAGGCATGATAGCAGTCAATAGAGAATGAAGACTGAAACTGGCAAAAATGTCCCGCAAAGAAGAACTTGGCTTGCAAGTTGTCAAGAGTCGATTTCCACTATTTTCCAGTATGTTAGCAAAATCTTTGAGCGTTATTATTTTTGCCACCTCCCCCGGATATTCTTGTAGACGTGAGCAAAGTTTAAGGGGAGAGAGGTGTAATCTCTAGGCAGAGGCACGAGCGTACTATACCTACCCCTCCCTAATCTGATCCTGCCAAATCAAAGCCAATGGGAGCAGTGCGGCGAAGAGCAGACTCTTATAGAGAGCGCCCATACTGAACAGATAGAATTTACGGGCATTTGATCAGATCAATACGTAGAGACACATTCTTCCCAGAACGTTCAGAAGATATGACGTGAATACGCTTAAATATTGCAGCCCTTTTTCGGGTGCTGGCAGTAAGAAGGCTTCTAGAGGAAGTAGATGGAATAACCAGGGCGGCGCCAATAATACTTGCCTTTTCTTATAATCTCGGATCCCCGCAGGGTGAATCTATATGGCAAAATATGACGGCAGCAGTGGCTCTTTTTAAAAACCCTCGCCAACTCAGCAAGAAAAATGCGAAGAATAAGCTTGTACTGAACAAATAATATATACCAGAAGGGAAGGAAGTTGGGTCATCTCTTCACGTTTTTGATATCTTTTTCTAAGCGATGATGATCGAACCCCACTATTATATACATGGCTTTACCACGTGGGCAATTATGCATCCCTATCATGTCTATCATAGCAGCACTATGCGATGAATTCGAATCAAAATAGTATCTTTAGACGTATATATCGACAGGTTGAGGATAAGTGCGAAATCCGAATTATAAAAGTCTTGATACTTCTGCAGTGATCCGATTGCTCGGACGACGTGAGGTCATGGTTTACTTGTCACTACAAAGGGTCCTCTCCAGCCAATCATCTTCAACCTAGCGTCCCTGACAGCAGTTGGCCTTGACGCGACTGATCAGTTGTCAATCTTGTCGCTGGACGACTTTGTCGGCGATGCGGTCGCAGACAGTTTCAGACGTTCAATTGGGACAGGCCGTCCTTGAATCTGTCAGGGATGGCTCCTATCCTGACTCCGAGGCTGTCATCTCCGCCGAGCTGCCAACCAGTGCTTTACCTGTTATTATAGATCTCCTCGAGACAGCACGCCAAGATGTCAAGGTGCTTTGCGGACAATCCAGCATAATAGTTAAGAATAAATCAAGGCTAATCTTTCTAGCGTGATATCCAAGTGCTCAGCAGGGAGATTGCTCCGGACGTTGACGGCTGGATTTCCCAAGCACGCCAACTTCGCAACGACATCGACAGATCCGAAGCCGAAGCTCGTGAAATAGTCAAAGAGTCCGAAAACGGTCGACCTCTCCAGGGACGTCACAAGGATGCGTCTTCCAAGGTGGACTTCCTCAAGGATGAAGTCTATTTCAGCGAAACTCTCGTCGCAACCTTACAATCTCTCCAACGAATACAGTCTACTCTCGACTCGGTGCAAGAGGCGACGTTTCGCGAAGATTATCCACAATCAATTGAGCTTTTGGAAGATGGAGAGCGCCAGCTTTCCCAATCATGGGCGTCCGAGAACACGTTTGCCGTCGAATTGCTCAGCAATCGAGCTGTGAACCTACGGAAATCCTTGGTGCAACAAGTAGATCAATGCTGGGAGGAGTTGATTAACGTGGATAAAATTCGCCAGAGTCTTTGCATCGTCAAGGAAATAAATCGTAAGGTACCTTCCGGCAGTAAGAAGATGGCGGAAATTAGATTGCTGACTGACAGGCAGGAGGCTCAGCATCGATAAATATTGAAACGCTTACAGCTGCATTGGACAAGCTTGGGCTGCTTCAATCACGCATAGATTCATGCCACAAATCACTTGACCAATCCATCATCTCCCCTCTTCTGGCCAAAGATGGAAAGGAAGGGCATGCAACTCTGACAATTCGCGATAATAGTGTTCAGGTTGAAAAAGGAGGAGGTGATAGGGGTGTGAGTGACAAACTCGAAGATCTCAAGTCGGTATTCGGATTCTTGAATACTCATCTGCCATCATCGGTGTCCTTGGCATTATCCGAGACTCTCATGCCAAGTCTCAGCTCCCGCCTCATCGATACGTGGTTAATATCATCCGTGCCATCGTCCTTGCGCGGACTCGAGGAATACGAAGAGGTTCTGAAACAGGTTCAGCTCTTTGTTGATTTTATTCGTTTCCTAGGGTGGAAGGGAGAAGAGCCGTTGGCTGAATGGGCAAGCCGAGCTCCTCGCGTCTGGATAACGAAACGGCGGGAAGGTGCATTATTAACTGTGAGAGAGCTCCTACTAAAGGGAGCTTGGGACACGAAAACGGTGGAAAGGGTCGAGACACAAGTTTTTGCTCCAGAATTTGCGAACGCACAAGGACAAAATGGCGGACAGGATGACTGGAATGCAGGCTGGTCCGATGATGACAACGAGCCAAATGCAGATCATCCCTCAACAGCCGCAAATGGGGACGAAGAGGAAGACGTTAGCGCTTGGGGCTTGGATGAGCCAACAGATGAGAGCAGACAAGAGAAAGGAGCACGAAAACCTGCGCAAGAGCAAGGTGATGATGATATTGAGGACGCATGGGGATGGGGCGAGGATGATGATGGCAGTGAGCAATCAGAGCTTCCTAAACTAGACGAGTTGCCACACTCAGCGCAGGTCCACCAAGACAAAGAAAAAAGGCCAGAAAAAGAGATTACCCTGAAGGAAGCATATACAATCACGACCGTACCAGAGGCTATCCTGGAAAAAATTCAAAGCTCTGTCTTCGACGGTAACACACTTATGCAACCAAGGTATGACTATTCCTCCCAACATATTTCTGGGTTCACATGTACCATTCAATGTCAGCTAACGCACGTATTTCCAGTCATTCTCAATCGCCAGTAGCACCTGCAGCGGCAGGTCTCTTCACACTTCCAACACTTATCCTAGCCATGTATCGTGCTTGTGCTCCATCATTCTATTCTTCCAGTCCTAGTGGACTCATGTTTGCATACAACGACAGCATGTGGGTCACAGAACAATTGCGCAAACTCGTCCAAGAACAGTCTGAAAAATTTGAAGCATCGCCAACCACAACAAGGAAATTGACGCTTGACGGCGAAATTTCCCTTCTCGAGAGTTATGCCAAGCGAGCATACAGCGGAGAGATGGAATCTCAGCGTCGGATACTAGGCGATATGCTCGATGGCGCTCAGGGGTTCGCCAATTGTACGGTGCAGCCGTTTGCAGGGCAGTGTCACACAGCAGTACAATCCACAGTCGACTTAATCAGAGGAATTGAGCGGCAATGGAAAGGTATCCTGTCACGCTCCGCATTGCTGCAGTCAATCGGGTCGCTCCTCTCAACTGTCATTAGCAAATTCATTGTCGACATTGAAGACATGAGTGATATATCAGAACCAGAATCACAGCGTTTGGTCTCCTTTTGCAACGAGATTTCAAAGCTCGAGGACCTTTTCTTGCCGGAGCAACCAAAAAGTGGAGCAACTGACGTGGGTGAGCAAGAAGCTGTACCACTGACGGCAGTCTACACGCCTAATTGGCTCAAATTTCAATACCTCATCAATATTCTGGAAAGCTCGCTGGTAGATATCAAGTATCTTTGGACCGAGGGAGAATTGAGGCTCGAGTTTGGGCCAGAGGAGGTTATTGATTTGATTGAAGCACTTTTCGCAGATTCGGATCACCGAAGGCGAGCTATAGGGGACGTAAGGCGGAGCTCTCACGGTCGATAGTATACCAATATTCATTGTTTTCTGTTTATCATCGCTTGGGAGTATGGATTAATTATGTGGGTTGAATGGATCAGGAGTTATATGCAAACATCAAGTAAGCTTAGAAAGAATAGTAATAATATCTCAATGGGCTCGAAGGAGAAACGAGGTCTGTCACGGTTTCATACATCGTCAACTGCACCAGCATTGTGCCTTGATCAGTCCAGGATTTTATTGTTCTACTCTTCGATTCAGAGCATGGAAAGAGTGGAGTCTGGGGCCCCACTAAAGGCAGGTAAGCTATATAGTAGCGGGTGTCGGGTCGTCCCGGTTCTTTTACGTCGAGCGACCGGGCAGTTCCTTTGAGGGGATCGCTCGGGTCGAACGGCAGATTCAGATAACCTGATAAACATGGGATGACATACTTGAGTACAGCCATGTTTTACAAGCAGCAACTCGTGCGTGTCAGGCAGAGGTTTTGGAAGAGAACCTTTGTGCTGACGCACGACTTTCCAGAGGTTGGCTTGATATACTTTTGAGAGCTTATCTAAAGCCCTGGCCATGCGACAATGGGTGCAGAGCTCGCTGCCCACCCACCTTATGTCACTACTGCTTTCTCTTTTATGACGCCTCTGACGGTGTCTGCGGCAAATAGAAATATATGGAATGTTTTTGTAAACGGTTTGTCTTGTTTACTTTGACGTTGCACGCAATTGCAATCATAATTGACTCGATTCATTTCAGGTAAATGGTATCGACAGCGGTATCGCAATGCTCGAGTCTGCAATCTAGACGAGCCGGCAACATTCGAATTCATTCAAAAGGCGCAGAAATACGGGATCAGTGCTGATGGCTTTGATGAAGTGCCGTTTGCCTGTCCCTTACACACCGATCTCGATTTCGTCTATACACTTAACCTTGACAAAAAGGTTGTGACGGTATCTACATGGGAAGCTTTACCCGGCGGTGCGCTCACTATCTCGGTGCTTCAGCTTGATCTGAAGGATGTTCGGGAACCGAAAGATTTAGATTTGGAGAATTTCCGACGAAATGGAGCGCAGCCGCTGAGTAAATACACGGAGAAGACGGCGCACCTTCAAATGGCAGTGGGGGCAGATACCGACCTGCGGATTGAAATTGAACCTCCGACTTCTATGAATGAGCTACAATTCGGAATTTTTGTGGATTTTGTCTTTCAGTGGAAATTCTTTTTCGATGACCGATTGGCGTGGGCCCCTCCCTCTCCGCTCTTTGATACCCTCGCTATTGCCATCTTGCGGCTGGCTGCTTGGGATTTTGAGGTATCGCCCAAGGTTGGACGAGAAAGCCTGGCGCTTATCTCGTCTCCCATGGCATACCCATCATGGAATGCTCCATCTGATCAAATCTATTGGTTCCACGGATTCCTCATTGTTCAATGTGCTGATTTGATCACTCCATCATCACGGTTGGCTGGAGTCAAACTGGCCCAAGACCAAGTCCAAAATCAGTGTGCCAAGGGCCGTCGTGTGCACGCGATTCTCATTTCGCTGGAGTCGGTTGCGTTTGCTGAGATTGATGAGAAATCTACTCGATGCTCTTCCGCTGTTCCCCTCGTAACTAATACGTCGACTACAACATGCTCACCTGGATTTCGGATTCTCACCCACGTGCTTACATCGCCGTGCTGGAAGGAAGACCTCGCTCTTTCTGAACAATCATTCTTGTCGACGCTTCCGCCTGAGCTTCTCAGCATGGTTCTCGACACTCTAGAGCCATTGGATAATGTCTCTTTGGCACAAGCTTCGTCTGTGCTAGCTCGATGGTATTATTCATCTATTCCACAAATGGATAAGATGTCAATATTGCGGTTTTATACCTCATTTCCTTGCTGCGGGATATCGAGCGACGTCAAAGACGACTGCATATGGTGTACTTCCTGCTTTACTTGGCAACACGTTAGTTGCATTGGAGGCGAGTTGCCAGAGTTCTCGTCGTCCGGCTCGACAATTTCTATTCCTTCATGCAATCGATGCGGAAGCGAGGAGGATGAGAAAGGTTTGGTACCAGGTGCGTTGGGTGTGACGGATCGTCGTAGACGTGGTATGGGCTGCAGGGTACGAGCGCACAATCGCACGTACTATATGAAGCTCGATACACGGACTTTTGCCCAACATGACTATGCTATATATTTCAATGGGCAGCTATCTGGATTAGTGTACAAGCTCGAGAGTGCTGGGTGGGAGTGACAGCAACATCAATGAAACACTGCTGAATTAAGGGAAGCTATAGCTCTCTCGCATTTTCCTGTAGTTGCATCTTTCTGCCTGACGCGTCATAGCAATGAATAATTGGGTGGCATTAGAGGGGTGTGGTCTAGACATAATAGGGGTCTGTAGATAGGAGAGCATATATGAATCAATTTAGCATTGTTTACTTGAACATGAAATCAACATCTTTCTTTGCCCCTTGTCCAGACCCTGCATCGATGACGGGCAAGGCCCCCAAACTATACCTTTCATGTGAAGAAACATAGAGCGATGACCGTCTTGTCTTTTCCAGCTAATAGCCACGGAACAGGCTCCTTCCATGGCTGACTAATTGCTAGGGCTTGAACCATGCGGCTTTCCCCGCAATCGACTCCGCAAAAGGAAGGCGCGTCCAATAAGTTCTGAGCAATTCAAGTGTCGATAACGTCATGCTTTTCCTGTTCAGATCGAGAGGCAGCTATTCTTATTACTGACCGTGTATCCGTGAGGTATTCCTAACGTTACTTTTCCTTCTGGCCATCGCTCTTTTAGTGATCGATCATATAATGCATACACAACTCCGATGATCTCGATACGTTCGGAATACTGTAGAGCTCATTGATCGCTTTAGTGGCAAGTGTCTATACCAAAGCTGAGATGATATGTTGGGTACGGATGTATGCGTTACTTTTACTCTGTGATCTTGGAATACTGCGTGCATTTCACTGATTGAGGTTACATTAAATTTGGAAGTACTCGATACGACTAGATTTAAGGGATTGACACAAATCAACCGCTGCGTGCACATCAATATATGCATAGACATGTAGCCATCCCCCCAGGTTAGACACGCGGCAGGGTCTTTGCCCCCGCCTGTATGTGAGCAAAGCAAGTTGGTCATGAGATCATAAGCTCATACCGCATACCTCATAGGCTCTTCAACGTAAAGACGGAGGCGCTATTACAGAGTGTGCTTGCTTACAGAATCGAACCTTAATCAGAAGGAAGCGTCAATCACAAGGCCCTTTTCCTTCATATACACCTGAATCACCCCATTCTGCTCTTATCATAACAAATCATCCAGTTTCCATTGACGGGGCCGATAATATCAATTACTTGTATCTGTGAAGAGACGAGAGACAATCAGAAGATCTCCATCATGTCGAACAGCTCGCAAACTCAGCAGTCGTCCGCTGTCCGAGGCGGAGCAGGTGCGGTTCCAACGCCTGCGAATGCGGGGGCCTCGGGTAGCTTCGGCGTCAATCCGAATCGCAGAAGAGTGAGTTTTTGATCCGATAGTAAATGAGCACTCCCGTACTAATTGTTATTTTATAATAGTCTTCACAGGGCCAAGGCCTTTTTTCTGGCCTTATGAATCAGAAGCGAAACCCTGATGATGCCATGGGTGCTCAGAGACGAATGAGCGCCAGTGAGCAAGCACCGCAGCCTGGAATGTTTGGAAAGATGTGGAATAGGTATGCATTTTCGTCTTTTTCACCTTTTCCATCTACTCTACCATGTTGCCAGAACGTATGGTTTTACATATCCAATGCTGACGACTTGAAGTTGGACCAAAGGTTCTCCTCCACCGAGCGGCGGCGCTGGTGCTACCAGACGTCCTTCGTGATTGCAATGGCTGAATTGAATCATTTTAAAACCACGGGGGAAACATGACGATAGTGCTGAGGGGTTGAGCTTTATTTTGTTCCATTGCGGAGTTTTACTCAAGGAAAACGCCTCTCCACAAAAATATTCTTATTTCAATGCTGAACAATCATTTTTTGCTCGCTGAAGTTAAGCCTGGGATTCAACCGTCTGTTTAGCAATTTGCCACGGTGAATAATTGCATGCACTGTATTGTATTGCTATAATTTGGATAAAAAATAATCTATAGCGTCTAATTTTAAATGTGTTTCTTTTCCCTTATTTATTTGGGAGAAATGACGAATGAAAATGCCACAATTTCTCTAATTCTCATCCAGTCATTGGCTTGCTGTTGTAGGCTGTAGCCATTATCATATGTATGACAATTGCTGAAGCGGTTCAGTTAAGATATCGGGACCGTATCCCCCGCAATCAGCTAACATTCGGTGGAGTATGAGAGACCCACCACGGAAGACCCACAGCTCTGTATGATCGTCCCGCGTCTTCCCGCATTGCATATTTCCCACGAAAATGCCCGACCGAGAACCATCATCTCCCATGCATGTCCTGCAATACTTGGTCAAGCATTATAGTATAGCTATTTTCGGGGTTAGACAATATTAAATCCTGACCAGGTGTTGAAGAATGCAGCATGTACTGTCGTGCTGCAGACATCAGTCCAGGTATCAGACCACATCAGAGGATTATCACGTTAGCAATGGTTCCCGACGACATGGTACGAGTCGTCTTACCTGGCGACCTGATGTATCGTATCTACCTGACCTTACCTACCTACTGTACCTGATCTTCTGGATCTACACAGACCGAGTACGCGTCTTATCGTCACTTGCACAGCCAATTACTTGGACTATACAGAGTACCCTCATACTATAGTTTCGCTGATTACCCCACCTTTCTCTGACTGTCTAAGCCAGGTCGAGTAAGAAAACAGTAACCATTCTTAACTGTAACTGTCTCAGTTGCCGCCCTCACTTCTCCACTCTAATCCCCATGCGTTCATCAACTTTTCCATCTTCGAGCGAATTATCTCCGGTGGGTGGGATGCCTGGTGGCGCAGACCGTACGAGTTCTCGACTCCACTCTTTTTCACTTGTCCCATCCAATCAATCTATCTACTTACCTTACTTACTTCACATATTGGGAGTGCTACGTACTCATTCCCTGTTCCCCACACTTTCTCTTTCTCCACCGGAGTGGTGCCGTGTACCGTGTGGTGTATACCTAGGTAAGTGTGCAATGTCATGCCTTTTTCGTGCGTGTCGTATGTCCCTGCATTGATATGTTTGCCTGACAACCTCAGTCTGGGTCCTTTTAAAGTTTGGACCATTTCCCACTTCTCTCCCCCTCCATTACCTGAGGTAACCTACCTACCATACTACCTTACTACTCTTCCACTCTTTGCTCTCGTTACCGTATATACCTCTTACCTTCTATTACCTCCTCAAACGTGTTCCCGCTGCTCGATCTAGGCCCTTCGTCTCCATCATCTCCATCGTCCGTCATTCCCACGAACTCCCTCTTTACCCCGCCAGGCGTTTCCCACGTTTCCAGGACGGCTTCCTACAATTTCTTTATAAGCAAACCCTGAACCCTAAAACCATCTCCACGTCCTCCCGCCTAGCTCACTTTCCACCACCCGTTTCGGGACCTATTACCTATCTGTACAGCTTTCCAGAGCTAGCTACCCTACAGTTTATACTGCTCGCCACAGTTGCTTCTTTCCATCACCATCAAACCAACATCTCCTGCAACTCCATCGTGCTATATCAACTCTATCATCCTATCTACTATTCTACAAACAAGATGCGAGGCAAGACTGTCTTGTTCGGCGCCACTCTTGCCGGCGCCGCTGTCTTCGTGGCCCGCCGCACGCTGCGCCCCACGCCGTCAAACATCAACATGAAGGCCCAATGGTCTGCGATCCAACAGACCGATACGCGCATTCCCGGGTCTCCGGTGCCTCATGGCCGGGCGGCTCGCCAGCAGGCCATGCATGAGCAGCAGCGGCGGGAGCAGTCGTCGACTTCATAATACTCTTCCCTTTTATTCTTTCTTCTTTGTAAGAGGGGTTTGATATAGGGTAGTGGATATTTAAAGTGTGGGCAAGTCGTTCTCCTGTCATTCTCTCCTTCTCTCATTATTTTTTGGTTTTATTGTTTTAATTTTGGGGAGGGTGAGAGGAGGGCTTAACGCACTTGTAAATCGCATCTTTGGCCGCGTTTCGTGTCTGAACGAAATGAAATGAAATAATGAGAGAAATGATACTAATACTTTGAATTATAGTCATACGCTCTTACCTCTACCATCCTCTACACGATCACCTCGACTGGAGTCGACTTCCTTTACCATTTCTTCTTTCCCTTCTTAACACTTCTAGCCCGGGCTATATCGCCTTCCAGTTCTCATTCCCATACCTGAACGAGCTGCTGTTCCTTCAATTTCTTTCCCTACTTTCTATCCTTATTTCTTATTCCTGACTTTTCTCCTGTTCACTATTCTCATTCAGTGCGCATGCAGAATGATCTAGTCTCTTTTGGCAACAGACAATGTACAATGGACATGGACAATGGAAATGGGATGAAATTAGCATTTGTCGGAACTCTGAACCAATTATGCGCTGTCCTGGTTAGTTGTGTTTTAGTGTTGCGCGTCTGGACCATGGACTGGACTATTTTCCATAGTATGTTTACGATACACATACGGTGTACAATTACCGGTGTACCGGTGTACCGGTGTACAGTATATGCAAAATACCATGATCTTTCCATCACCTTCAACTACAATTCTACAATGCTACAATTACTATTACTGTTGCTATTCGTACTACTATCCGTATGCTTTCCAGTCTCCTTTTCCTTGAAGATATGATACACTGATCCCAATTTGTGTTTAACAACTCTCGCGGCCACTCCTCGACTGCAGTTGTACTTAATCGTGTAGATATCGTAGAAACCTTTTCTTTATATGTGTCGTCGACTTGTTTCCAATTCTTGTCTCTTATATCTTATTGTCTCTTATAAGATATAAAAAATACGTGATAGTTGACCAATTGTACTAGTAAATTGATTGATTAATTGCTTGCTTGCTTGATTGGCTAAGAGACTAAACAATCTAGAGCTCTGGATAAACAGAAAAGAAAACAAAAGAAGTGCAATCCATAGGAAAAGGATTGTTCGGCGGTATGGATAACAAATTGGTGCAATAGTCTGTACTGTACAATGCAGAAGCCAGCAACAACGTACGAAGAGAGAACTAAAGAAAAAGAAAAAGAAAACAGAGAGAAAAGAAAGAGAGAGAGAGAGAAGTAAACAAAGGAGAAAGAAGGGAAAAAAGGGAAAGGAGAGCAACATTCGGAAAAGGGCAAGTAATATAAGTGGGCATTCCAGGTGCAGATGCAGGTGCAGAATACCAGACAAATATCACGATTACCCAGCAGAAACGTCCATCTCGTCGGCATGTTTGGCAGCAGGCGAGGCGTCAACGTCAGGGTCTAGGTCATGGTCATGGTCATGGTCATGGTCGCCTTCACCCTCGCCTTCGCCTTCCGCAATACTTGCGTCGTCGATAGTTTCGTCTTCGGGCGCACCGGGGCCATTGTCATCGTCCTCTTCATCGTTTTCGTCGTCATCGTCGTCCTCCTCCTCATCGTCCTCCTCGTCACCGTCGACATCATCGCCGTCATCTGCAGCTTCGACATCGTCGGCATCTACTTCTCCTTCTCCTTCAGCTTCGACTTCGGCGTCACCTTCTTCGTGTTCTGCCTCCGCTTCTGCTTCAGGCTCCGCTCCATCCTCGGCCTCGTCGGCATCCCCTTCTTCCCCTTCTTCCCCTTCTTCCCCTTCTTCCCCTTCTTGCCCTTCTTCCCCTTCTTCCTCCTCGTCTTCGCCATCTCCTTCGCCCAACAGTTCACGATCAATATCGTCCAGTTCTTCACCGACTTCGGGTCCGTCAGCGCCGCCGCCGCCGCCTGGGCTGGATGCTGCATCGACAATAATACTATCGTCCTCGCCGACGCCGACGCTGGCGGCTGCAGGACTGCCGCGTGCTTTGGCCGCGCTTTTGCCTCCACGAGCTCTTGACGAAGAGGGCCTCGCGCGTCGTGATGCTGATGCCGTTGATGCAGTGGTTCTGGCGCTCTTGGTAACTTTGCCATCGCTAGCTGTAGATTTGCGCTTGCGGCTCAGAGTACTGGGTGTGGTGAGGCGGATTCGTGTCTTGGAGGGAGGCGCAAGGGCGCTGCCATTCACGCTGCCGCCGCCGCCGCCACCGACTGAGCGGGACGACTTTCCACCTGTAGCCTCAGCTGCGGCTGCGGCTGCTGCAGCGGCCTCTTCAGCTTCCTCCGCAATGGCCCTCTTTTCTTCACGGCTTCGAGGTGGTATGGCAGGGATTCCATTCTCCCATCTGTGTAGGCGCCGGCTCGCTTTTCTCAATGCCGACGCGTACGAGCCGGCTTCTTCGCCAAAATCGTCCGCCTCTGTAGGGGTCTGCAGCAGGCCAGCCAGGCCGTGAGCGTTGTGCAGGGAAGACGAGGAGGAATGGTGGTGGTGGTGATGGTGGTGATGATGATGGTGATGAGGAAGCAACATGGATGCCTCATCGTCACTGTCAACGTCGCCGGGTAGGCTCCGGCAACGGACCCACGCCCGCCACAAGGAACCTTGTCGGTACCGAGCGCGGGTCTTCTTGTCAAAGAGGGAGCGCATCCGTCGGTCGACGATAAACTCGACGCGTGAGCGTCGGTGGGTTTCGACTGCCAACTGATGGGCTGTGAGCGGTCGAGAGCGGCGCTGGCTTGTAGAAGGAGTACCGCCACGACCTTCAGCTGGTGCAGGGGAAGAGTCTAGGCCACGGTCCGCTTTGGTCCGAAGTAGGATACGTTGATGCGTCCGCTCTGATTTAGGTTCTCTACCACCTGCTGAGCGGCGGGAGCGGCCAGATCGACTGGGGCCCGAAGGTGTTTCATCATTCAAAAGTGTAGTAATGCGCAGCGTCTGAGCAGGATGACGGGAAGAGTCTGGCGGAGACGCGGAACGAGTGCGGTCCGAATCTGAATGGTATGTTTCCATATGGGAGTATCGAGCTGAAGGCCGAGAACGGGTACTGCCTCGAAAAGAGCCTATCCATGAATGTTAGAGTAGAAAGAACTAGAACAAGATTTTGACACAAAAGGTTGGGCTACTAACCATCACGTCCTGGGCTTGCGCCGTCGTCAGACGGAATTATTGAGTGGCCTGAATACCCTTAGCAAAAAGGTTCCTGATTGTTATATATATGTCCAGTGCACGACGAGCGACATCTTTATGGATGCTACCTGCAGCGCGAAATCGAGGATAAACTACTACTCACCCTTTTTACTTCTCTTTGTAACAGACGCAACAGCTGCATTGTCATTTTCAATGATCCCTGCAGATATTGTCAACCAACTGGTTACATGCATTCAAAGATATGGCAACTGACGTTTTCGTTCTTCTCTTTTTTGCTCTCCAAATGTAATCTCCTCCTCCGTGTCAACATTTTCGAGATTGGCCTGTTCTTCTGTAAGGTGCTCAAATGCAGGGACCTTGATGGGCATGCCATTTGAGCCCTCGCCTTCGAGGCCAGCTCCAAACGGACTGCTTTCCGCAGACTCCTTTGTAAAGTCACTTTCAAGATACCACCACATGAGCCACAGAAAAGCTCTTGCACGGCTGCGACTGCTGAGTGTATTTCTCATGACAAGATCGTAAAATTCCCGAGGAGGGAAAAAGTGCAATTCGGAAATCTTTGGCGCATATTGAGAGAGCACAAAAATAAGATTGACAGGATTTGTGCGAGGTATCGGATGAGCTCTGATAGCTTCCAACGTGCCGGGTTCTTCATTATCTTCGGATGCACCTTTCAAAATTGACTTCAGACGTGGCGCGTCCTGCAGCTGCTTGTAAGCATTGGGGTCCTGCTGTGCTTGCAATGATGGTATTGAATGATAGGTGCGAAGCTGGGCGCGCATTTCGGGGAAGACTGTTTGTGTATCATTAGCATATGATTTCTCTTTTTGATATAAAAAGGCCTAAGAAGTTTTCAGCTCCAACAACGACGTACAATTCAGCGTAGTGTTCATTCTGCCCAAATTCACCAGTAGGCACACCATTGCCATGTTGATAGCAGCCGCTCGGTCATTTAACAGCTTGTCTTTTAGAATTTTACTCGTCTTGCTGCTTCGGGCCATGGCATCAATGTAAATGTCCGCAAAGGTATTGCCAGAGCTGCCGTCATAGATGTTTGTAAAAGCCGCCGTCTCATCCTCAAAAACCGTCCGCAGGAAATCATACTGAATGTCCTTCCGCCACAGAGGAATGCCGTCATCCTTTTTCAAATGAGTTATTTTATTCCCGGAGTAGACCGAGCCAACTTGTGCTGCCCGACGTGAGGATGAACGGGGTGCGCTGGGTGCTGCAGACCGGGTACCAGGCTCTTCTTGGGCACTTCCTTCGTCTTCGGTGAGATCGTTCGGTCGAGAGGGCACCGGTCTCGTAGGCGTTTCGACCTCCATGGTGAAGGGACTGTTTGCGTCGTATCACTTCTACCAAACTCGCAGCGATCCGGAATTTATCGTTGAATGAAATATTATTCGAGGTTGAGTGATGGAAGAAGATGCGACACTGTTGACCGTTTCCGCGCTATGAACTTGCCAATAGAGATGGCAAAGATGGCGGGCAACCAGCGGGCTGGTGAATGAAATCAGCTGCCACTGCTTGATCACAAGCTTCGAATATCTTTTCGGATATCTTTTTCGTCCGGGATTATCAGAAAAGGCCAGAGCATCCGTTTCTAAAGGTGATCAATGATATAAAAGTGGTCTTTAATCATCCCTTTAATCGGTATACGAGCCGAACCAAGGTCGGCGAAACGATTAAGTTCCGCACCTATGTCTCTAGCAAGGAGCTTCGTAATGCTCCAAGATCAGAGCGAACCTCCGCGCAAAAGGTCTTAGTTGAACGAAAACAAACACCCTTTGAGGTTTCGGCGCAAAATGCTAGGGTGGCTGGTAATGAAGAGGAGTGCAGCTTGAATGGTTAGTAGCGTCGCGTTCCACGTCTTAGACGAGTTTCGCGACAAAAGTTGAATTCAATTCGATTGATCTAAACGATGGTTTACACGCCAAAGCGCCATATGCCAAGGGCAATTAAATTTTGTTTTTTGTAAAAATTGAATTTCACTACAAAGGGCTGATGTCATTGCAAAGATTATATTTTTCGGTCGTGGCTAAGGAAGAGGGCTGCCGCATTCATCGGGATAATTATAAACCTACAATGGCCATGGATCAACGTATATTTCGATCTTCATTAAAAGAATTCTCAAGCTTTTGACCTTTGTCATTCACAACAGACTCATAAGATTTTCTGGCAAGCGCCAGCTTGTGTCTCAGCAAGTAAATTTGCTCATTATCATAGCAATTGAATAAACCTGGTCAATGGAAGTACAGAAATGAAAAATTAATTGAACTTTTTTTTATTTGACACCCGTCCCTCCGATCACTCGGCCCTGTTGGCCTCATCAAAGAATAACATGCCAGAGACGCATTTCCCTCCTAACCCAGACGCGTGCCAGCCCAGAGCTTCCCCGTCTTCAAATCTCCGTTCTCTCCATGCGTAAGTGAGAGACAGAGATGCAAAGCTAAAAGGAACGCCGCAAACGCATCAAAGAACGACGGAGGCCATTATTTGGCTTCAGATTACCAGACTGCGAGCCGCAATTGAAGATATTTTCCGGCCCACATATGCCTCCCTCAAACGCCATCATGCGAAGGTAAATGCCCCGATTCTATATTGCCTGGCATCACCACAGACCCTCTCTCAGCTGCCGGGAGGTGTGCTTTATAAGGCACCATACCCCAGCCCATGAGAAGGTTCCGCGGACCCACAAGTATATGATCGAAAAGCAGATGAAATTTTTGGCAATTAAAAGAAAAATGCCGAGCATGCCATAGAGGACAGCAAACACGGCAGGAATTTAAACAGCCGAGATGAAAACAATTGACAAATCTATAGTGCAAAGTCAAAGAAACTTCATGTCCAGTTAACAGCAGTGAAGCGAAGAAGCCGTAACATTCGTGACGCGTGTTCTCCGAGATCGAACGTCTCTCGTCCGAGGTCGTCAAGACGCGAGCTTCGATCGGCCAAGAGTGGCAGCCGCCTGTTCTGTCTCGCGTGTCCCACGGCACCTCGAATGATGCCAGGACAAATGGAGACAAGAAAAGGCGAAAATAGGTAGAAATCAACGCTATCTAAGATATGCTCAACCGGGAGGGGTATGATAGAAATGCCCGGTTTCGAGATCCACGTTGGTAAGAAGCAGAGACCACGCCTTATCACGTAGATGATCCCACCGAGATGAAATTCTTCAGCAACACTGCAAAGCAACAAAGACAAAGCCGTGAAAGTGCATAATCGAATGAAAATCAAAAGAAAAAAAAAAGCAAAGCGAAGATGACAGAGAGATTAAAGAAAAGAAAATAATTGAAACGAAAGATGTGAAGAGAGACGCTCTGATTCGAGACATAACTCCCCTTACATGATGCCGCTCACTGCACCTCCAAACGTTAGGGTTCCGGACAAGAGAAAGAAACCAACGCCATGCAATGTTGAAGGCAGTGACGGCAGCACGTTTGGTCTTTTACCACCATGAAGCGGCGCCCGGACCACTGGGGTTGCCGTAGCCGCCACCGCTACCGCCATAGGCAGGTGGGGGGGCACCAAAACTACCACCTGGGGCTGAATCAGCATGTTGTTGTGTGACACCTTGAGGGTGTGGTAAAGACTTACCATACGCAGGAGCAGCAGCACCACCAAAACCGCCGCCACCACCAAAGCCAGGGTTGTCATACTTGCGGAAGTCACGGGTGGCTGTAGCACCACGACCACGGCCGCCAGACCGACCACCGCGCCCGCCACCACCGAAGCTGGACTCGCGAGCAATGTTCTCCAAAAAGGAAGGCACTTCCTGGTGGGCTTCCTTGAGGAGATCGATCAGATCACGGACAACACCGCGGTTTCCACGGTTGAAAAAGGCAGTCGCCAGACCAGTGTTACCGGCACGACCAGTACGACCGATACGGTGAACATAGTCATCAATGTCAGTGGGCAAGTCGTAGTTGACAACGTGGGTGACATTGGGAATATCGAGACCACGAGCCGCAACAGCAGTGGCAACCAGAATGGGGCAGCGGGCCGAGCGGAACATCTCCAAAGCTCGCTCACGCTCGCGCTGGGTGCGATCACCGTGAATCGAGGTAGCGGGGAAGGACTGGTTGATCAAAAAGTCGGAGAGCGAGTCCGCCATGCGCTTCGTCTCGACGAAGATCAAGGTCAAGCCGTTGCGGTGAGTGTGAAGAATGTCGAGCAAGACAGAGCGCTTGTCAATGTCCTCAACGTACTCAACCTTTTGAGTAATGTTCTCCGAAGTGGAACCGACACGACCGACCGACAAGAAAATGTAGTCCTTCAAAAAGTCGCGGGCAAGCATCTGAATGTCTCGGGGGAACGTGGCCGAAAACATGAGAGTCTGGCGGTTGGAGGTGGGGGGCATGTCCTCACCCTCAACGATACGACGAATCTGGGGCTCGAAACCCATGTCCAGCATGCGGTCGGCCTCATCGAGCACAAGGTACTTGATGCTCATGAGAGAAATACGGCCACGCTCAATCAAGTCCACGAGACGACCAGGAGTAGCAACGAGCAAGTCACATCCGCGCTCAATCTGGCGAAGCTGAGAGCCAATGTCGGCACCACCATACACAACGCAGGGACGAACCCAGGAGCGGTAGGCAAACTTGCGAGACTCTTCGAAGATCTGCGAGACCAGCTCACGAGTAGGGGCGAGGATCAGCGATGTGGGGAAGGCCTTGCGCGAGCGGCCACTGTAGCCCATGTTGCTGGGAAGCTGGGGGACAGGAGAAGGACCGTTGATAAAAGCCTGAGAAAGAATGGGGAAGAGGAAGCCACCAGTCTTGCCGGAACCAGTCTGGGCGCAGGCCATGAGGTCGCGGCCGTTCGAAACAATGGGAATCGAGTATTTTTGGACAGGCGTGGGGGCCTTGTATCCGGCACTGCGGATGTTCTCGAGCAGGTGGGCATCCAAAGGAGGAGAGGCGAATTCGTTGGTGGGCTCAGGGACATCGTGACCAGAAGCCTCGACCGGGATGTCGTCGTACTTGTCAAAGTTGATGCCGGTGCTCTGCTTTGAAGGATCATTGGGAAGACCGTAAAGTTCACGCTCGACGCGGGGATTAGGAGGGCCGGGAATATGCTTTCCATCCTTCCACTGGCCATCACCAGACCCACGCGCGGCGCTGTAACCACCAGAGCCGGTTGCACCTGGATTGCCGTAAGCATTACGGTTGAACTGAGGAGCACCAGAGGGATATCCATTTGCTGCAGGGTTGCCACTACCTCTTGAGTAGCCGGGACCGCCGCCGACACGTCTGGTATTGTCTTGTCAGCAAATCTGCGTCTTTTGGAATCAAGTGAGAATCTTTTGACTTACGCAGGAGGACCACCCCAGGCGCTGCCATTAGCACCGCCATCCATCACGGGAGCTGGGCCGGGCATGGCTGGGCCCTTATTCCGAAGATGGGGAGGAATGTAAGCCGAACGGCCAGCGCCATAGCCGTTGGGCTGGGGCTGGTTACCCGAAATGGAGAGGTTTCCCATATTGAGTTGATCCGCCATGTTGTAGATTTTTCGTGGTTGAGTGGGGAAATGAAAATGCTGTATTGAAAAGAAAGGGGAGTGGCGTTTTTATCTCTATTATCGACGGTCAAAAATGTTCAACTGGTCGGTGTGGGAACGTTCGAGAGCGAGGCGAATTAGACGAGTAAGGACCGGTACAGGTCGGAGATGCACGCGTAGACGAGAGACGTCAGAAGAGAGATCCGACCGATATCTGTCGCTCGTGCTGACCGAACGAAAGATGCAAAGGCCACCGGAACAACGAGAGTCGAGCTCGAAGTGTAGTCGTGGTTGACGTGACGAAGAGAAGAGAACGAGATGAGTCGTTTCTTCTTCCTTTTCGTCCGATGATTAGAAACCCGCGACGTCAGAGAGTCCTCAGAAAGTGAAACGGCCTTTCTAAGGAGCGATATGCGTGTATAAACTCAAGAGCAATACACACAACTAAAACAAGAGGGGAATCCGAGAAAAAAAGAGATGAAATACTCTTTGCGATTGAAAACGGGGGGGGAAAAAGACAGAGGGGTGAAGGAAGGGTTTAAAGGTGAGAGTGTTTGTGGAGAAAGAATCTCATACGTTTGATGGGGGAAAGGGCAATAATGAGGAAGGGTTGCTACGGGTAAAAGTACGAAGATGGTAGGGCTGCCTCGGAGCGGCAAAAAAAAAAGCTGAAAATTCTGGCGGAGAGGGAGCGAAGCGAAGAGTCTAAACTACTTTCGGCATTTCTTTTGGGCGGTATCTCATGTAAAGGGGGGTGCAAAGGGGCGACTTTGCGTTGATGGTGGTCGGCTGTACTGGTGCTAGAGTGCTTGTGCTTCTCACTCGCCAGAGAGGTACAGTTACTGTACCTTTTAACTTACGACCCTGACAACCTGGCAGGACTTCTGCCTACCTACTCGCTACTAACTAATTCTGGTACCCTAAGTAGCGCCCATTTATCCATCTCCCCAAGCTTCCTCCCTGTCAAATACCCATGGCCACCTTTCAGTTCTGTTACAGCGAAAGGCGACCTGTAAGAAGCCGTGCCCTTTCGCCGACTTTTCTTCGTGTCTCTCGCTATCTGTTCCCCAGCGTAGGTAGCTTACCTTACATGCCAAACGTCGTATCTCAACTAATCAACAATTACCCATTAGCAGTCATTTGGTACGGCAGCGGCGGCGACAGGAAGAGGGCCAAAAAGAGGACAGGATTGGTTGCGTTCCTGCGTTCCTACGTTCCAGATCTTCTTTAAAAGTGCAATGCCAACCATTTTGGCTTTCCCCGGGGGGGCCAATTATGGTCCGGCTATTATAGCACCAGTGGTCCAGTGCACGTTCCGTGACGAGGACGAGTAGGGGGGGCGTGCGCCGTACAGGTACACGACCGATCCTGAAACCAGCAGTACAGTATACACAATAATGCGCTGTCCAGTTTGAACAAGGTAGAGTCCTAGCAAATCTTCGCCCTTCCCCTTGGCCCAGTACGATCCAAAAGCCTACATGTGCGTACCGCAAACCTAGATTTCCCACCAAGCCACCGCAAGGGGCCACCAGGAAGCTTATCGCCACAAGGCACCGATGACCGAAAGTTATGCCGAAGGTGGTCTCGTTCAATGCAGATTCTCACTCTTTGCATCTGCAAAACACCTGCGCAAAAAGAAAAAAGAAAAGGGTACTTTTTCTGTAACACGTGATTGGTCCAGACATATTCTGCATCGCCAATTAAATCATTTGTTTATTCGACATTTTTTATGTTCACCAACCCGCAACTATGTCACACTATAGTACTCTTTTCCCCATATTGGCGGGTCTTAGTTGCCCGCATTTTGTGTAGAAGCAAAATCACCAGGGCCAGCACAATCCCCACGACGGCAAAACCAGACCAACCTGAAAGCGCCCCTTCCAAAAAGCCCGGTTCGGTGCTCTCCGGTACTGCATTGTCCTCGGGGACGTCGGACGATAAATCAACGGTATCTTGATTCATGCCTCAGATATCAGCAGATCAAGAGTTAAAAGAGAAGCCAAATTAGAGCTCCACGTGGATACCTTCTTCTGGCACCTCGAGCTCGCCGCTCTTGACAATCTTGACGGGCAAAGTTGGCTTGTCGCCAGGCTTTTTGTCCACATTCTCAATCTGCTGCACAATATCGAATCCCTCCACGACCTCGCCAAAAACGACGTGGCGGCCATCAAGCCAGCTGAGAGTAGCAACGATTTGTCAGCGCACATTGTCCGAGTTAAGTATAAGCATCATCATGGGCACATACGAAGTGACAACAGTAGTAATAAAGAACTGAGATCCGTTGGTGTCTTTGCCCGCATTGGCCATGCCTGACTGGATTAGTGCTCCTGCTGAAAGATGTGCAGGATGCTAATGAACTTACTGAGAAGGCCGGGCTTGGAGTGCTTGAGCTTGAAGTTCTCATCGGCAAACTTTTGTCCGTAAATTGATTTGCCGCCAGTGCCTAGATATCAATATGAGTATATCTTTGGTATAGCAGAGCGAGCCAACAGGAATCTAACCATCGCCCCTGGTGAAGTCGCCGCCTTGAATCATGAAGTCCTTGATCACGCGGTGAAAGGACGAGCCTTCGTATCCAAAGCCCTTCTCACCGGTAGCCAAAGCCCTTTTTGCACGTAAGCATCACTGCATTACCAGCGGCACAGAAACATTCATACCTGAAGTTCTCGGCAGTCTGTACCACAAGTCAACAATGTCCAGAATAAAGCTGCATTATTTCAAAGTATTCTTACCTTCGGAACGGTCTTGCCATAGAGACCAAGCACAACTCTTCCGAGAGGTTTGTCACCATGCTCGATATCGAAATAGACCTGCAATTCAATGCTTCATTAGTTGCAATTCTGGGGGAATAGAAAGCTTGAAAACACAACTGGAAGCTTCGCACCTTGTGGGTAATCTTTGGGCCCTTGAGTGCCTCAGTGCTCTGAGCAAACAGAAGCACTGTAGCTACAATGAGCAGCAGCGAGATTAAAGCCTTTTGCAAACTGGCCATTTTTGCGAATTTGTATAGTACACCTGCAAAGCAGCCACTCTCTGCGTTGGTGTTATGGGACAGAAATGGAGATGTGTCTACATCGGGACCCAGCTAGCAGCCGAGCATATGGGGCGGGGATGAACGGAGGTTGTGACGAGGCCGATCCAGCTTACATAATCCAATATTGAAGATCGCGAACTTGCGAAATGCGAATTTGGTGATATTGAGCAGGCTTGAATCCTCAAAGAAAGCTCCGTTACCGTCTGCTTCAAATTCGACACAATGGTAAGTCCTATTTGGGATATACATGCTGCAATTGCTTTGACCATATTTGCTTTATACTAATCATATCTTGCAGGTTTTCATCCTAGGTGTCAACTTCCCCGAGCAACGGCTTGTGAAGGTAATTCCCGGACGCTTTTCAGATTTATTCTCCTGCACTCGATAATCCATCAATCCAACTGGTCCCTTTGCAAAGCTGTGAAATGCGCATACGGAATAGAATCGTTTTCTCGTGGAAGTTCTCTGAGTTCATACTGACTCCGAATATAGAAGTCTCTCCAGAGCTTCTACGGCATTGGCCCACAAATTTCTCAGCGCCTGATGGCTCGCTTCCATATCCATCCAACGGCCAAGGTGAGCGAGCTGGGCAGTAAGCAGGTCACCGACATTACAGCCGAGTTGTCCAGTATGACAATCGAAAACGACCTGAAGAGACGGTTGCGGGATAACATTAGACGGTTAAGAGACATGGGTGCATACCGCGGAAAGAGACATGCAATGAACTTGCCTGTCCGGGGACAAAACACAAGAACACAGGTATGTGGTTTTTAGATGCTTCTAGCCTTGATTGGATATCAGATATCGGGCCGGATGTCTCGTTAGATCTTCCTTGGGTATCTAGAGACTAATGACTTTCGTTCTACTCTACAGGTTTCTACTGCCCGCAAGCTGAACAGGATAGAAAGATGGGCATAAATGATTGTTTGGTGTGGGAAATTATTTTGGCTGATTCAATTGGGTTCAATTGTACAACACAGTCTCGTCTTTGGCGTTGGTCACGAAGCACAATTAATATGATACACTTCAATTTTTTCTCTCGCTCGACCCAAAAATGATTCATTTGAGATGCATGCCGAGAACGGTGGCTATTTTGAGAATACTGCAGGACACATTTCTCTGAAACTAAACACATTTGTAACAAACTGCCAGGCGGTCATTAAAGCACTCATTATCTGAGGTTTTTAGTAGACAAGCAAAGGGCGTTGAGACAATAATGACTGCTCTTAAGAAGGCGAATAAGCCCCATCTGCTATCTTAATGGGCGTTTCCGATTTGCTTGGATGTCCAGCCCCCAAAGGATTTGCCTACGAATACATCAATCTGATGCAGCGTAGTAGAACGTCTTTAATGATGGCAAGTTACAGACGCGTTGCAGTGTAGCGGTAATAAATTCGTCTAAGGAAAAAACTACCCAAGAGCTGTTGCCTGCATGAGAAAATGAAAAGAAATGAAACTTGGCAATTTCCACTATTGTTACAAGTTAGAACATCTATTTGTTCCTGGGTGAAGGTAGTGTCATGGAGGGTATCATGACGCAGGAATGCTTTGCGCAGCAATGGATCTCCACCAACTCCCTCGCAAATAAAACTTAGTATCGAAGAGTGCCCATGTCTACAAGTGCATCTTCCAATATGCCTCGTTCTCCGTATTTATGCATCTCGTCTCCATTGGCTCCTAGCAGAGATTCTAGCCGCCAGATCTCTACTTCGACACGGCTGCTTTAGCCTTCTCTGCTACATCGAGGGTCTTCTCCTTGGCAGTCTCAAGGCCGCTCTGCGCCTGAGATTGAAGCTGTCGCTCTTTGCCACCCCAGCTACGGATACTGTCAGCATTTGACCGAACTATACTGCTATATCATCGAGCGGTTTCTGCCCAACTCGGACGCGCGGTGAGGTTTGACATACTTCCAGTATTCCATGAAGCGGTAGCCCTGAGTACACTGCGCCGCACAGTTGATGAAGTGGCAGCCAAAAAGGAGATAGTTCTTGGGCGTAACAGCGAGCGCATAGCGCATAAAAACGCCAGAATAGATTGCGAGGGCAGTCGTCATTCGGCCAGAGATACTGCAATGAAAGGGTGATATTAGCTCCACTGATCGTATGCGACGCTCATAATTGGCATTTTGCATTCCAAATTCGAAATTGCCTGTTCAGAAACAGTCCTCTGTGGGAGAAACCCGGATAAACCGGCATTCGGAACGATGGGAGAGGTGGCGACAGATTGCAGGGTGACTTTTACATTTCGGGGTCCTTCTGGGTGTCCATGATGGCCGCAACTGGAATTCCAAAATTGGAGACAGGGCCCCAAAAATCTGTGCGTTGGTATCCATGTCAGTATCAACTTTGTCCAGAAAAGGCTGATTCAAGTGGGGTCAAAATTTCTGAGCAAAGGGCGCGAAAGCGGATTGAGCGGGAATTGAGGCTGCAAATTGACGCGTAGAATACATACGAGTTGAGCAGACATAATTGGTAAACGGGTTTGCCCGTATCTTGGCGTTGATGGCTTTAATTGCGGCGGCCATGGTTGGAGTGGAGAGGTATGGAGGTAGAATTCAGAGAGTGAAGGGAAACGAAGTGGTTTAGTTATGTTGAGGGCGGGCAGTATTAACAAGCAGCAGCTGGTTGGCGAGCGCCCCGGGATCGCTATGGGGAACACGGAGCTAATCGGACATATTTTGTGGAGTTACAGGGAGCAAAAGTTACAGACACCAAAATTGACGGGTCACGTGCATCGGACTTAGACCGGATTCCGAAGTATGTATTTTCATCTTATGCCATGCCACGGTGGGAAGTGAGCCCGTTGTTCTGTAAGACATGAAACAGAGGCCAGACGCATTTCACATAGATCAATGTAATTTGCTCAATGCATTTGATTTGTTTTTCCCTAATGGACCATGTACATCCCATGAAACGCTTTTGGCAATGCAAGAGCAGTTGGAGCCTTCTCCCTAACGCCAAAATTGAATGACTCAAGAAATAGAAACGGTAACGGCGGCTTTAAGCTCGTCTAATGGGAAAACAAAGGCACTGATAGCTCTCGCGCCATCTGTTCGGCGTAAGAGTTGACGATTAATGGAGAATCTAACCATGTCCTAAATCGTTCATCGGCCGCCAAATCCTGGCGGGGGAAATCCTCTGCCTTGACCAGGAGGGGCTTGAAAGCCCGGCGCTCCAGAAAATCCAGCTAAAAATGTAAGAGTTAGAGATAATACACCTAAAATCGATAATGAGGAGGTAACTCACGAGGACCACCGGCAGGCGCACCGGGGAAGCCTTGGGCGAAACCAGCTGCAGAAATAATTAGTTACAGTTGCTTCATTAATTGATGGGAAGGAACTTACGAGGGCCAGCGCGACCAGGAAATCCAGGGGGAGGTGCGGATCCAGGGAAGCCAGCGGGCGGGAATCCTCCAAAACCTGGGGCGGGTCCGCCAACACCGGCGGCGGGACCGCTGAGAGGAAGTCCTCTACCAGCAGGTCTGCTAATACCAGGTCCAGCAGCCAACGTTGGAGGTGCTGCTCCTGCGGCGCCACCAGGAGCATTCGTTCCAAGACGCGCGGAAGGGTCTGCGGGGGGAGGTCCATCGACTGAGAGGGAAATGATATGAGTACCACGGACGATCGCAAGACCTAGTGTTCGCTTCTCTTCAGACTCTACGAGAGCCGGAGCGGTGCTGCCGGGAGCAGCCTGTGCCTTCGTCGGCTTGCGCTTTACACGGCGGAACTCTTCTGTATCCGCGAGAACGAGGTTCATATGCTGGAGACGTATCAGCATATATTGCTCCATCAATATGCACACGTATGCCCAACCTTGTCAAACGCCAACATTTGTCCAGTCATCTGCCGTCCGTCATTCAACGTCACCCTCATGCGGTAGTTGATCTATGTTCTCCATCAGTATCTGCACAATTCGGCCCAATGTAATTGAATTCGCTCGAGACGAAAATTGGGGCAGTGAGGCGCGGCTTACGAGGTTTTGCTATAGACATGTATGTTAGCGGACAAGTTCTATGCTAGACAGGTTGATTGACTTACCATCTTTCCTTGCTTATTGGCCGCCATCTTGAAAAGATGCACGGAGTGCGCTCAATGTTCCAAAGATTTAAATTTCGAGATCGTCTGTTCAGATGATCCTACTAGAGATATGCTGATCTGGGAGCTCTCCTCTACACTTTCTGATGTCGACGCGATGCGCCAAAGCTTCATCGATTTCGCTTGGCATTTACTACGGGAGACGGAAAAAACCATTACGGCGCATCTCAGCCTACAATCCGCTGGTCTAGGACAAAATAAGGCCAAAAGACAGCAATCATGAATTAAATTACGTTCCAAATTTCCAGAAAACATAATTTCGAACAATTCTCTACAGTGGGAAAAATATCATGCAGAGCAATACTTCTCAACTGACCTATTCCTGGAAGTTGACTCTCACTATCGAGGACAATCCAGCCGGGGCCGATTGGTCGAGGTTGCTTAGTCAGTCGCTAGGGTTTGCAAACCTGATCTGCGGCTCTTCGCTAGCGGCGCACACAACCAACTGGAAGTTCAACCTTTCGTGACCCCGACCGACGCAACGACACGACCCTCGACAATAACCGGCTTATCGAGATGGTGAGTGTGCTTGGAACGGGCTTCAATACGGAAAAATAAATCGAAACGGCTTTCGGAATTTTCGATTTGTTCTTTCGAACCCATTGAATCGACCGCCTGGAACTTTTTTCACAAATATTCGATCTGCGAAGGACGTTTGACTGACCCGGGCGATAAACATGCAGGCGGAATCCGGCAAAGACAAGAGCGCCAACCCCATGCGGGAGCTGCGCATCCAGAAGCTCGTCCTCAACATCTCCGTCGGCGAGTCTGGTGACAGACTTACTCGTGCCGCCAAGGTGCTCGAGCAGTTGAGCGGTCAAACTCCCGTGTACAGTATGTAGCAGACGCCAAAACGAAAAGACTATCGAGCCCTCGGACTGATCAACGAAATTTTTTTTTAATTGAATAGGCAAGGCCCGTTACACCGTCCGTACCTTCGGTATCCGTCGTAACGAAAAGATTGCCGTCCACGTCACCGTCCGTGGCCCCAAGGCTGAGGAGATTCTCGAGCGTGGTCTCAAGGTCAAGGAGTACGAGCTGCGGAAGCGCAACTTCTCCGAGACTGGCAACTTCGGTTTCGGTATCAGCGAGCACATCGACTTGGGTATCAAGTACGACCCTGGTATTGGTATCTACGGCATGGACTTCTACTGCTGCATGTGCGTAACCTTGCGTCCGAAATTACATATCAAGGAAACTTGAAGGAGAAAAAAACAACAATTGCTGACGGCTTTTTTTTAATAGGACCCGCCCTGGTGAGCACGTCGCCAAGCGCCGACGGGCCAAGTCCAGCATCGGTACCAACCACAAGATCTCCGCCAACGAGACCATGAAGTGGTTCAAGAACCGGTTCGAGGGTATCATCCGGTAAACTACCCGTTTGCACAAAAAAGGGGGGCACGGGGTTGTGGTTTTCTTTTTGTCTGGCGAAACCATGAAAGCCAAAAATGGGTAGTCGGTTGCACAGAGGCCTGTATCTAGTGCCTTTATTGGCGTGTCTACTATCAAATGGGAGCTTCTTTGCAATTCCGATCAATGGAGGCTTCACACGGGTGATGTTCCGCATAACCATTGGTGGTTGCGTTTGCCTATCGTGATGTCAGATGCGCCAGTACAAGGTGCCCAGATATGGAGCAAACAAAACACACAACACCAAGCCAACGGTTATATCCTGGTCTCCTTTTTCTTCCCTCGAGGAGACCAGGGGTTCTGATGACTCGTCGCTGATGACCCAGGAACATCGGTCCGCCCAAACAATTCTTCCCAAAAGGTCGTAGTTACATGACTTCGGTTGACAGGACCGCCCCAAATGTCATGATTCTCCATTCTCCCTCTGTGATACTTCATTGTTTCACGGCCGTATTACTTCTACGTAATCTTTCGTAGCTCAGTGCGTACAATATCATCGCCCCCGTTGTCTGAAACTACGACGTTCGTAGGGACTAGGACGCTAGTCATACCATGCCATGACTAGACTGGGTTCATGCAAAGACAGATGCCCGAGTCTCGCGACTGCTGCTCTGACAGGATGGGAAAAGCACTAACACAGTCTCAAACCAGTCACGAGTTTCTGAACAGTAACATTTATCTATGCAGGCTTAATATTTATAAGATTTCATGTCGGCTCAATCAGCTTATATAAAATATTTGCTATGCAGTATTCTTGAAAACTTTTCAATATAGAAAATAAATTTCGCCATGCAATGCTTAACATCTCCTCAACGAGGGACGCGAATTCAGCTAGAGATTCATTGTGACAGTCATGCTGTTACTATGAACTAGTAAAACCGGTGGTAAACCTTGGCAGAGAACTTCCAAATCGCCCAGGTATCCAAGACTGTCTGCCTCACTCTTATACGTGCCCTCAACAGGGCTCGGAAGGGTAGTGAACACAACGGCCGTTTCCTCTGACTGGCGGCGAATGAGGTCATTCAAGATCAAGTGTTGCGCGCGGCAAGGGAGATCGTTGAAGCTCAGAGGAATAGCTTGCTGCGCAGGGAAGCCACTGGCGGGTTTTCCGGTAGAGCCAGTTGAAGATCCATCAGCCGACCCTGGTGGTCCTGATCCCGTGTCCTGCGCCGGTGTGGGTGTCGATGCGTCTTGGTCGGTATGACCAGCAGAGATGTTACTGCGGTCGTAGATAGAGCGGCCGCGGCCATCTTCTTCTTCACGTGGAGGTGGAGAAGTGTCGGCGAACATGATAGATGGGCCGGGACCATCCTCTTCGGAAGCAACCTTGGTCATAGGTACAGGTTTGGATGTGAATTTTGGAATGGAGGACTGGCGAATAATTGGTGGTTTTGCTTTAGGCGTGGAGACACCAGATGCTGGGGCCGACCTGGAAGAGGATGGCCCCGGTTGATGCTCTTGTTTCAACGCCTGAATGATACGATCAGTGGGGCCCTTGGGCGGGCCTTGCTCTGGGGGACTTGTGGCTGGAGGCGCTGTTTCTGAAGACACTGGCGTGGCTTGACGGAGGGCACCGGCCAGTGCTGAAGGTGGGATAGGAATAGCAGGGTCTGACGTAGGATCCTGCCCTTTGTCGTGCGCTGCAGAGATGGTCGTGGAAGCTCCATGAGTGTGTGCTGGGGGTCTTGACGATGATCGCTTTAAGTGTCTGGGGCCTTGAAGGCTATCGCCATGGCTTCGCCTTCGCAAAATCTTCGCCGGAGACAAAGGCGGTGTAGGTTCTTCTCCAGCTATTTCATAGTCGTCCATGGCGTTCTCACTGGCTGGGCTCACCGCACCTTCGCTGGCATTGTCATGTGCTCCAAAAACGTCGATATCGCTTTCATCACTGTCATCAGAGTCCTCACTGGCACTCCCATACATTGCGTTGTGATCGAAAAGGTCGGGCTCTAGTCGATGGGTCCGCATGCCTAAACCGAGGCCCAAATTTGTCAATCCCGTGATAGTTCGACGCCTTTTGTGCCTGCCAATCAAGGCTCTAAGCTCTTCAAAGCGCTCCACAGGACCTTCTCGACGGCCGTGCTGCATTGTTGAGCTTGGCCAATTAGTGGTACCTTGAAGGAAGCCTTCAACCTCAGCAAGCTGCTGGCTTGCAGTGAGATCTTCTTCGCGTCCTCTAATTCTCTGTATCTCACTCCACCATTCCTCTTGCCTGAGGACTTCATTCACATCTCCCACTATCTCAGAGACATCACCGCTACTGTTGCCGTTGACAATAATTTCGTAGGTTGGGAGATCGCCGCATGCTAGCCAGAAGACAAGCACCTCCGCTTCGATTCTCAGATTGTCAAGCAAAGTCTTGACTCTACCCCTTTCTTCTTCAACATCCGACTCATACTCAACGAAAACGGCAACACGCAGCTTATACGTCTTCTTCCATGCAGGAACAGTATTCAAGATGCAACCAAGCTGTAGAATGAGGGTATAGGTATCAAAATTAGTCGTCAACACGTTTTGCTTGTGATCCCCTCCTTCAGCAGCAATTTCCGCTGACATTTGAATCGGCCATAAGTCAATGTATTTCTTGGTGTGGTCTTCCCGGTACCGAGGCAATTCAAGTTGCTGGAACCCCTTGGCAACTGCAACGTTTATCTGAACCCTGAGCAACAGATCCTCTAATATCATGACATAGCTGGTCGGTTTCACCGCTCCCTCCGTTCTACAGGAGTCAGTCGGCAGCAAGCCGTGCAGCAAGTCCTCCCGGGTTTTCCTTCTTTGTGTCTTTCCGTCAGGCGTCAACCGGACTGGACTAGCCCGTCGGCTAGGCTGGCGCGAGGGTTGGGCTGAGGGGACGTCAACAAGTGGCTGTGTCTTCCGATACTCGTCCAAATTGTAGAATCCCATGACGACGATGTTTGGTCTCATTCCTCCAAGCCCGGAACTCATAACAATGTTGCGAGCGCCCCACTCGACCGCGGGTGAAATAGCAATATTGACAAATGCTTTCACTTTCGAAAAGTCAATGTATTTAGTCCAGGCGGCTTGTTGTCGTCGAGCTTCAGGTACAGCAGCTCCGAAATCGCTGGTAACAATAACATGACCAAGTACGAAAAGCGCTCCTTTTTTCAAAGAATTGCAGAATTGAATGAGTTTGTACTGTCGACGTGGATCATTGATGAACAACAGTATTTGTGGTCGCCAAAACTTGACATGCTCTTGTCGGAGTCGAAGAAGGTATTTTCGCACCTGATGATAAATCAGGGCTTGACTGACATCTCCCCAAGACTTTGGAGGCGAAGTATAGTGAATGATCAAAAATATCACAATAAGAATAACGACGCATCCGCTAGCATAGAGGCCATCGACGAAAAACATCGTCGCACCACTGGACAGTGTTCCAGCCGCGGCCGTCCACATATTAAAATAATGAAAGGAAGGCCGGAAATTAGGCGCAGAGCTGGCCTTGAGTAGGAAACACGCTAGGTTGGTTACGAGGAATGTCATCAAATAGGTCATGGTGACAAACGAAGCAATCTGATTGATGTCACAGAGCATCGTGATCTGCGCGACTATATAAGTGATGATGATGGCGACGGTTGGTTCATCTTTCTGCTTGGTACCCTGACCAAAGATGGAGAAGCCGGGGATGAGATTATCTCGTGCCAACGCCTGTAAAAGCTTGGCCGAGCCAATAACTCCCATTAAGCAGGAAAAGGCGGACGTTGCGAATTCTCCAATCAGAACCAATGGACCAGAAATGTTAATCTGTCTAGACTGTTAGTGAAATACTGATAATAATGCCACAAGACCATCATCTATCCTCACGTCTTGCATAATGTTTGCATCTCGATAGAGCGAGGCTCTAGTGACTGTCGCTGCTAGAGCAAGGATGACAATCGTATATGTAATGAATGTCAAAAGTAATCCATGTAGTGTCCCCCGGGGAATCGACCTGCTCGGGTTCTGTAGGTCTCCTGACATGCTCGCGCCACTATCAGTAGAAAATTAGCTTGAAACAGTGAAGTAGTCTCCAGTTGATTGGGGACCAATATGCTTGTATAGGAAGGTTGGTCATACGCAAAGATACCGCCCGTGGCAGGGAAAAGAATACCGAAGAGGTCTTGGTAGTTCTCCTTTCCTTTCAATTGGCTACCAGCGGCACCTCTCGTGAACTTTGGCAGCAGGTTTCCCATGAGCGTCTTTCTGCTCAGGCCAGTATATTCAATCCCTGTCATGCTGCTTTTGAACGGCTTCACGATAAAGGTCGAAAATGGTATGCTGAATGTAGCCAACAGCAGGAGCACAAGAAGTCCATTGCTACACCTCGCAAACAGGCCACTGCCCGCTAGACAAATTCCGGTGCATATGAGTAAAACGACGGTTGCCCAAAGATACTGCCACCAGTTACCCTCAGGCAACCACTGAGCCCAATTGCCAGTTAGAGACCCGAAATTTTGCTTGAAGCAGTCTACCAAACCGACAGCATTCAAGCCAGTGTTGAATACAAAACCCAAATAAAACACGATACCAATGGATCCACCAAATTCCGGTCCCAGTGAACGCGAGATCAGATAGTAAGCACCGCCTCCGCGGACAGTCCCGTTCGTAGCAATGGCAGAGATGGAGAGTGTTGTGACCAGATTAATGAGATACGAAGCAATAAGCATTCCTGCAAGATGCATTAGACTTTTCAAAGAACCACGACGGACAGAGGCCGTAAGCATCCTTACCTAGCATTCCTACTACGCCACTTTGACCCAGAATAAAGCCAAACCTCAAAAACATGAGAATGCTTAATACGTTTAGAGTCGTAGGCACGAAAACTCCAGAAAATGTCCCCAACTTGTCATGTCCACCTACCGGTCGTGGTAGCGACCCAGGCTTCGGCTTCCGACTCGCATTTTCGTGCTTGCTGCCGTCCAGTTGATGCATTTGAGCCGTGAGGGAATCTTGGCCCAGCACCGCATGTGAAGCGTGACGACCAAACCTGGAAGGCGAGCCTGTGGAATTGATGCTGCCATCTTGGAATCCGAAGATCCCGAGAAGTCTTCTGGTCAGATGGTGGGGGCGTGGTGCGGGTTCAGACCCAGTAGTTACGGGTTCATAAGGGTTGTCCACGGGCTCAGATTGGTGATCGGCCGCGTGCTCGGGTGGGCCCGAGGCCATAGAAAAACGTCGATTCAGTTGAGCCGCATTGTCTGTAGCAGTTCGTGCAAGAAAGCTCGATTTGTTCCGGGTCACAGTCCGCCGCAGCGGTTCAAGGTGGGAATCAGACATCTGCTAGGGCATCCAACGATAACAGTCCTTGACAGAGACTATCAGAGCAATGCAGGCATGTCGCGACGTCTTCAAGGTTTCCGGACCCTAATGTTGTCGTCGATATATTTAGTTTCATCATCTTATGCGTTTATAATCGTCAGCTCAAACAGGGGACTAACCAGTGGGATAATAATATGACTTGGCGTTTTGGTGATGCGTGAATTGGACCGTTACACACCCCCAAGCTCTAAAGAAGACAACGTCATCCACCAGGTATGCGAAATGTCAAGATAAGGGTATTGTCGTGGCTCAATCTCTGATCCAGCAGAGATTTGACTGTGAGAATGTAGTGATATATTTCGCAGCAATCACATTGGTAAAATTAAAGCTTTCCTTATGCCAAGGGACGGGGTAAAATACCAAGTGATCTCATTGTGTATACAAAGTTTGGCGAGAAACACGATTTTACACCTCACGGCCGTTGACCAAGATAAGGTGGCTTCTCAGTATTTGAATATGGCGAGCACCTTTTTTTTTTTTGTTCCTCTCAAATTCTTTAAAGATGCATCATTACAGTTATGGGAAGGGACCTCATTCGATTATCCAATTGTCACACTCCTGCAGCTGTCATTGATGAAGGATCAACGTCCAGCGTACGGCATAAAACAAATTCAGCGCATTAAGTTGCACAAATCCGACGTCATATGGTGCACAACTTGGTCGCCCCTTTGACCCCTTGAACTTGAGGCAGCACGTGTGATAGCTGTAGTCATAGCCAGGCTTACTAGGTTTCCGAATCATCAAAAGCCATAATGAGTGATCTTGTCGCCCAGTATTGAAGATTGCAAAACTCTCTAAGTTACTTGGTAGACTGTTCCTTGTAAGACTCTTGTCATTCTCTCCAATAATTACCCTTGATATCGGGCCGACCCTGGAGACCCGGGGGGGGAAAAGAGTTTCTGCGCTGGGCGAGCGAACCGGCAACAGCCCTACAGTCGGTGTTTTCGCTTCTCGCTCGCCTGTCATTGCTCACTATTTACAACTACACGTCTCATCCTTCCCGATCGATTGATAAGGCCTCAGCTCGGTTTTTCCCAATACATTGCTATTGTCAGGAAGCTCCATTGACTCGGTGACCAACGTCGCCTGCCATTTATCATGGCACAACGACAATATCCTGGCTCTGGGACAAGCCCCAGGTCGATCACCGCGGCGTCATCTCCACGTCCCCTGTCGAGAAACACTTCAACCGCACGACTTGCATCCTCTGTAACTTCGAGCATGCAAGCAGGTACGCCGCCTCCGATACGCCAGATTCCAGGTGCTACCCAAGCAGAAGGAGTTCGTTCAGACTCGCAAATCTCTCTGCCAGGAGGAGAAGTTTCAGGCTCTGTTACGGGGCCCGGAACTTCCGCCATTGCCGAAGCTCTGCGAGACGCCGAGGCAAGGAGTCCTCCACCGGTCAATTCGGCTCCACTGCGACCCCTCTCACCAGGAGCCGCTGGAGCAGCCCTCCCGGAAGTACCAAGCCTGATGGGTTCATTTGATGGAAGGCGTAGCATTGGTGGAAGGGGAAGCCCAATGACATACGAGAATCCAGAAATTGTGAGACGGCATTTGGTGCTTCCGACAAAAGGTCAGTCTACTGCGGACAGAGACCGAAAAGGCTCGGGGAAATCCAGTAGGCGATCACCATCTGCTGTCCACGGGAGGCAGGAGAGCAGCGATGAGGAGTTTTCAAGTCTTCGGCTGCAAGGCGGTGACATCACCAGACAAGTGTATCGATGGACTGAAGAGGCTGAAGCCGAATCTCAAGGCCGAGGCCGGACAAAGCGAAGTCGGAGTTTTGATGTGTCCCGCCCGAATCCAGCCAGCGAGGTCTTGGATATCAATTCCATCAAGCAGCCGGGCGGATTTCGCCGAAATTATCTTCGAAGGGCTGCAGAGAGCCCTTCTCCTGCACCAGGCGGGTACGGAACGCTTGATAGTGAGGCAGGGTTTAGTCAAGCGCGGCCGAGACCGAAACTACTTACGAGCAATTTTATCGAATTTCTCAGTCTTTACGGCCACTTTGCAGGAGAAGAGCTCGAGGAAGATGATGAAGTCCTGGGCCCGGATGAGTACTTTTCGTCTGACGCATATGATGAAGGGGATTACTTTACCGACGAAGGCGAAGAGGGTCGTGAGCCCGGCGAGGGCAGTGCGCTTTTGACACCGGGCACGCCTGGCAAAAGGAGAAGAAAGCGGAAGGAGCGAGCGCCTGCCGGTTCAAACTCGGCATCGGGTGCCGTTCTGTTGCTCCTCAAGTCCTTTGTGGGTACCGGTGTACTCTTCCTGCCCAAGGCGTATCTGAATGGTGGCATGCTATTCAGTAACGTGGTGTTGTTGGTGGTAGCTCTGTTGAGTTATTATTGCTTCATTCTTTTGGTCAACACGCGACTCGCCATTGACGGATCATTTGGTGACATTGGTGGAATTCTCTACGGAAAACACATGCGCAATCTGATTCTGGTTTCCATTGTCGTCAGTCAGATTGGTTTTGCTTCGGCCTACATTGTCTTCACGTCGGAGAATCTCCAGGCCTTCATCCTTGCCGTGTCTCACTGTCGAACTTTCATTGACATCAAGCTAATGATCTTGATGCAACTCATCATATTCCTCCCATTGTCGCTCATCCGCAACATTAGCAAGCTGGGTGCAACTGCGCTTGTAGCCGATTTGCTGATTCTTTTGGGTCTCATTTATCTTTACTACTATGACATCTTCACACTCGTGGCACAACATGGCGTTGCTGATATCGTTCAGTTCAACGCCAAGGATTGGACCTTGTTCATTGGAACCGCAATCTTCACTTTTGAAGGAATTGGTCTCATCATTCCCATTCAAGAGTCGATGAAAAAGCCAAAACAATTTCCTCCTGTGCTTGCCGGGGTCATGGTCCTGATCACCGTGGTGTTCATGAGCATGGGAGCGCTCTCCTATGCGGCATATGGCTCCAAGACCCAGACGGTCGTTATTCTGAACATGCCACAGGACAATAAATTCGTCAACGGCGTTCAATTCCTTTACTCGGTCGCTATTCTCCTCTCGACGCCGCTGCAGTTGTTCCCTGCTATCCGTATCACAGAGAATGAACTCTTCACGCGGAGCGGCAAATACAACCCCTACATCAAGTGGAAGAAGAATATTTTCCGCTTCTTCCTCGTTATGCTCTGCGCACTGATTGCTTGGGTCGGTGCCGGTGATTTAGACAAGTTTGTGGCTCTCGTTGGAAGCTTCGCCTGTGTGCCTCTCGTCTATGTATATCCGGTATGTATACCTAATTTCCGCCTCTTTCAATGTAATGCGAATTTCATACTAACAGCATATTCGCAATAGCCCCTACTTCATGTTCGTGCGGTTGCCCGCACACGCTTCCAGCGTATCTCTGATTATGCCATTCTCGTGTTCGGTCTGGTTGTTATGATTTACACCACGGTCTTGACACTCAAGAGCTGGGCAGGTGGCCCAGCGAAAGAAGCGCCAGGCTACTGTAAGAATTAATGATAGCGTCCCAGCGGCTCTCTATTTTCCTTATGTCCCACCTGTGAAGTCTCCGGCCAAGCCTTTTGTACTCATATTTCGACGTATATATTTTTCGCTAGCAATTAGGCCATTGTGTATGTAAAGCGTTTCGTTGAGGGCGGCATCAAAGTTGGTCAATCAATACAATAGATTTTGTAGAAAAAAAGATTTTCCGGATTTTTGTGCCATTTAGTGATTTTTTTTTTTTTTCTCTTTGGCTACGTGATGAAGATTGGTAAAATATTTCATCCCATTTTTCAAATGAATAGATTTCACTGCGAAAATAATAAATAGATAATAAATAAATTAAATAATAGATTAAACTCGCTCTATTTATTTCTCCGACTCTTATTGGTTTTTCAGATTGAATCACATTATACGAGTAAGAACCTACCCTTTACAACGCGATTGTATTGCACATATCGAACTTTCAGGAAAGACCTCCTGGGCACTACGAAGATGATATCAGCGCCACTGAAGGAGAACATGTTCCTCGTTCCTCCCTCACCGACAGGGGCGTGACGACTGAAGACCCACTCGGCTAACCAAATTACAGCACTACCGAAGTCTTGTTTCTGCCCTGAGACACAAGGTGTCTCTTATTACTGCGGTAGGAGATTTTGTGCTTGTTTTCACGGCAATTTGAGAGGTCAACAAACGAGCTTAGTTACCTTATCTTCGTCTAGCCATGAAATATCCAACTTCCTTGCCCCAAATGTCTACAAGATCTAGCCGTCAAGGTGAACCCCTGAAATGAAGCCATTTTCAAGAATGGCCTCGTCTAGACTTGAGGTACATTGGCCGTTGAGCTTTCTCCTGCTACGAGTACCCAGTTCTAGGTAGCCCCTGTGTGCATCCGCTCCACTTCAAGCAACGCTTCTCTGCGCTAACCCAGACCAAGGGCCGATGTGGGCGATGCTCCGGCAACAGCTATCCACAATTATCCGCGACCCAGCTGTCACCATTTTTGTCCTCGTACAGGATAGGATAAGTTCAACGCGTATGTGCCCTGCTTTTCCCACGGTTCTCACTGGTAGAGCTTTTCCTCAACCCTTTGCTTTCGCTCATTGACGCCATTGTTTACCACGAAAAAGACCATTCTTAGAGTCCTGCTCCGATTAGCTTAAATATCATACACCCCGCAATATCTACCCCGTTTTACTGGTTCTACTGCATCCTCATTTTTGAAGTCGCATATCCAGCTTGACGGTTTTTTGTTTCCTGTTGCAAAGCCCTTTTGGCCATCTGATCCCAAACGCGCTTTTTTATCTTCACGAGAATCCGCGATACGACCTATCAACGCAAAGTTTTGACGACCGCAAACCATCTTCAAACCGGCTCCCATTTATCGAATTTCAATTTCTTCAGCAAATAATTAACAAGATGCGCTTCAACTTCGCAGCTCTCGCCCTTACTGCCCTGGCTACCACGGCAAACGCTGCTGGGTACGAACTTTTGTCCCCTTTGTCAACTGATTTGATTCAGTACTGTCGTTGGCTATTCAATGCGCATGATGCTGACAGTTTCTAGATACTACAACACCACTGCACCAGCTGGTACTGGAACAGCTCTCGGGACGGCCGTAGGCACGGGCACCGCTGTTGCATCGACAGGCGGCAGTTTCCCGACAAGCACAGGAAGCCCAGAGATTGATAATGCCGCCCCTGCAGGGCGTGGATATTCCGATAGACTGACGGGCTCCATATTGGCTTTGGTAGTCGCTGCCGGCGTCGCTCTGGTAAGCTACTCCCAGCGTTTAACGCGTTTTCAATCTTTTCGATCCGTTCGTCAAGGAGCTCGAGGCTAGTTCCTATAAGATTTCTTGCGCAGACGGTGCTAACATTAAAATCAAGACGCTCTGAGTTCCTTTGAGAGAAAACACAAAGCAGCATATTTTGCAACATCTTGGGCGTTCGTAATTTGCTGCTGGCAGCAATTGGATTAATATTGGGCTTGAGAACTTAATAGAGGTTGCAATGACGACGGTGCTCGCAGCAGTAAAAATGGCAATGTAGAATAGTTAATGTCATGTTGATATGATAGATATTGTCAATGAATAATATTGTTTTCCTCCTCGAGATGAATATGAGAGGCGCGACCTATGACTCGTCGATATGCTGTGGAAGTGTAGCTATTTCGAAAGTCCGCTCTTCTAGCCGTTCAAACTGCCTTTGGCGAGAAACGTCAGCAACTCGCGACAATGAATAGCCACAGTATCTGCAAGTCTCTGGAACCTGCTGCAATCGTCATGTTATGCGTCAAAGTGTCGTACTCGCTACTCGGGTGTAACGTGGGCGGTCTCTCTGGGCACCCGTAAGCGACAGCTGGGCCCAATTGGCCTTACCTGGCAACCTCTCGGGATCGGTACCGTGCTGTCTAACCTCCTGAGCTTCATCTCATTCACGATTCAATCACAAGAGCACCTCGTCCCCTCTCATCACCTCTTTTCACTACATCCTATCTTCCTCTCCTGTACTTTGAGGGCTCGTCTTTTCTTCAGTCATTGAATTAAACCTTCTCTGATACCCTTTTTTCATCTCCTCTTCTTACTGCTTGATTGGTCTGTCTGAGGTGGATGAGGACGCGGTCCGGGCGTCGCATACATTATGGCTCCACTACCCATTAAGTTTACGGAGTTGCTTCAGGTACAGTGCCAAAATTGGACCCATATAGATAACTGGAGTCTATTGCAAAGGTGCTTTGAGCTAACCAATTGGCACAGTTGACGAATGTCGGAATAGCTGTATGTTTCCACTTGTCCTCATGCTGTTTTACCACTTAGAGACGCCTGTTTGTGATCGTCTCGTATTTTGAATGAAGATCTAATAAACCTCTGCAGCCGGCATCGATAGGCTTCAACTCCTGCGTAAGTTTGACATATGCTTGTCCTGTGGTAAACCTCCGTGTAACTAATGCATTGCCTCTAGACCTTAGAATCGGATCAGTACGTCTGCATTCGCCAAAAGCTCAGCGACGATGCCTCCCCAGAGGTCATCATCATCGACCTCAAGAATGACAACAACATCATTCGGCGGCCAATCAAAGCCGACAGTGCAATCATGCACTGGAACAAGCAGGTCATCGCCCTGAAGGCCCAGCAACGGACGCTCCAGATATTCGATCTCGCCCAGAAAGCCAAGCTAAAGTCAGCTACAATGAACGAGGATGTCGTTTTTTGGAAATGGATCAGTGAGAGCACCATTGGTTTGGTCACGGACAGTTCAGTCTATCACTGGAATATCCTGAATCCAAGCGAGAATTCTCCGCAGAAAATCTTCGATAGGAACAACAACCTTGCGGTACGATTTGCCATTCTGCTCACCCAATTTACCTCGAGTACTAAACAATATCTCTTTAGGGCTGTCAAATCATCAACTATCGCACAGATGCGGACGATAAATGGATGGTAGTCGTTGGCATTTCTCAACAGCAAGGACGCGTTGTTGGCTCGATGCAGCTGTACTCACGAGATCGAGGAATCAGCCAAGCTATCGAGGGTCATGCTGCGGCATTTGGTACAATCAGACTCGATGGTGCCCCGGCCGACACGAAGCTCTTCACTTTTGCAGTCCGCACTGCTACCGGCGCGAAGCTGCACGTTGTGGAAGTGGACCACCAGGCCACCAACCCTGTTTTCCAGAAGAAGGCCGTCGACGTTTACTTCCCTACAGAGGCTGTCAATGATTTCCCAGTGGCGATGCAGGTCTCGCTCAAGTATAGTGTCATATACCTTGTGACAAAATACGGATTCATTCACCTCTACGACCTCGAAACTGGCACTTGCATCTTCATGAACCGTATCTCTAGCGAGACGATCTTCATCACGGCCCCAGATGCGGACGCCTCTGGTATTCTCGGAGTCAACAGGAAGGGCCAGGTCCTCGCCGTGAGCATCGATGAGAGCACTATCATTCCTTATCTCCTCCAGAACCCAGCAAATTCGACCCTTGCCGTCCGACTAGCCTCCCGCGCCGGTCTCCCTGGTGCTGACCAGCTCTATCAGCAGCAATTCAATCAATTGTTGAGCACCGGAAACTATGTAGAGGCCGCAAAGACTGCCGCCAACTCCCCGCGCGGCTTTCTCCGGACCCCAGAGACCATTGAGAGATTCAAGGCTCTCCCTGCCCAGCCTGGTCAGTTGTCAGTCATTCTCCAGTATTTTGGAATGCTACTGGACAAGGGATCCCTCAACAAGCACGAAAGCTTGGAACTGGTACGGCCTGTGCTCGCTCAGAACCGGAAGCATTTGCTTGAGAAGTGGTTGAACGAGAATAAATTGGAGTGCTCGGAGGAACTCGGTGACATTGTTCGGTTGCACGACCTTAACCTTGCCTTGGCCATTTATTTGCGCGCAAACGTCCCCCAAAAGGTTGTTGCTGCTTTTGCGGAAACCGGACAATTCGAAAAGATTCTTCCCTATGCCAAGCAAAGCGGTTACCAGCCTGACTTCACTTCATTGCTTCAGCACATTGTGCGGGTGAATCCAGAGAAGGGAGCCGAGTTTGCTACTGCCCTCGCCAACGAGGAGGGTGGGCCATTGGTTGATATTGATCGTGTCGTTGATGTGTTCCAGTCACAAAACATGATCCAACAGGCTACTGCCTTCCTGCTCGATGCTTTGAAGGACAACAAACCTGAGCAGGGCCATCTCCAGACGAGATTGTTGGAGATGAACCTCCTGAACGCACCTCAAGTGGCTGATGCTATTCTCGGGAACGAAATGTTTTCCTACTATGATAAGCCAAGGATTGCTCAGCTTTGCGAGAATGCCGGGCTGTATCAGCGCGCACTTGAACATTATGAAGACCCCGCCGCTATCAAGCGTGTTATTGTGAACACCCAACAGCTCAACCCTGACTGGTTGGTTACCTACTTTGGAAAGCTTTCTGTCGAGCAGACTCTCGATTGTCTTAACGAGATGCTTCGCGTCAACATTCGTCAGAACCTACAGACCGTTGTCCAAGTCGCAACCAAATTCTCTGACCTCATCGGACCTGCCCGCCTCATTGATCTCTTTGAGAAGTACCGCACCGCGGAGGGTTTGTACTTTTACCTTGGCAGCGTGGTCAACGTGAGCGAAGATCCGGAAGTTCACTTCAAGTATATCGAAGCTGCGACAAAGATGGGTCAGTTTACGGAGGTGGAGCGCATCTGTCGTGACAGCAACTATTACAACCCTGAAAAGGTCAAGAACTTCCTCAAGGAAGCCAAGTTGACCGAGCAGCTGCCGCTCATCATTGTTTGCGACCGATTCAACTTTATTCACGACCTTGTTCTCTATCTGTACCAGAACCAGCAATTCCACTCAATCGAAGTCTATGTGCAGCGTGTTAATCCGGCGCGCGCACCAGCGGTCGTTGGTGGCTTGCTTGACGTTGACTGCGATGAGCCCATTATCAAGAACTTGCTGGCTTCTGTCAACCCGGCCTCAATCCCCATTGATGAGCTAGTTTCAGAGGTTGAGTCTCGCAACCGTCTGAAGCTCCTGTTACCGTTCCTCGAGGCTACTTTGGCCAGTGGAAACCAGCAACAGGCCGTGTACAACGCCCTTGCAAAGATTTATATTGACAGCAATAACAATCCGGAGAAGTTCCTCAAGGAGAACGACCAATATGACTCGCTTACGGTTGGCAAGTACTGTGAGAAGCGTGACCCCGGGCTCGCCTTTATTGCCTACCAGAAGGGCCAAAATGACCTTGAGCTCATCAACATCACAAATGAGAACTCCATGTACAAGGCTCAGGCTCGCTATCTTCTCCAGAGGGCCGATCCTGAAATCTGGGCATTCGTTCTCAATGGCAATAACGTTCACAGGCGGGCGCTCATCGACCAGGTCGTTTCGACTGCCGTTCCCGAGTCTACTGAGCCTGGCAAAGTTTCTATTGCTGTCAAGGCTTTCCTCGACGCTGACTTGCCGTCCGAGTTGATTGAATTGCTCGAAAAGATTATTCTGGAGCCTTCGCCTTTTAGTGATAATGGTAGCCTTCAGAATCTCTTGATGCTTACTGCAGCCAAGTCAGACAAGGGACGTTTGATGGATTACATTCATCAGCTGAACGCGTTCAATGCCGAGGACATTGCGCAGATGTGCATTGATGTTGGACTCTTTGAAGAGGCTTTTGAAGTCTTTAAGAAGGTTGACAATCATGTGGCGGCAACGAATGTTCTCGTTGAGCACATTGTCAGCATCGACCGCGCTCAAGAATACGCTGAGCGTGTGGAGCTGCCAGAAGTGTGGAGTATAGTTGCCAAGGCTCAGCTCGACGGTCTCCGTGTCAGTGACGCCATTGAGTCCTACATTCGTGCTCAGGATCCTAGTAACTATAATGAGGTCATTGAGATTGCCACCCATGCTGGAAAGGATGAGGACCTGATCAAGTATCTTCGGATGGCACGCAAGACGTTGCGCGAGCCTCCCATCGATACTGCCCTGGCATTTTGCTATGCACGAACCGACCAGCTTAGTGAACTCGAAGATTTCTTGCAGGCCACAAACGTTGCCGACGTTGAGGCTTCGGGTGACAAGGCTTATGAAGAGGGCTATCACCAAGCCGCCAAGATCTTCTTTACGAGCGTTTCTAACTGGGCCAAGCTTGCGACAACGCTCGTCCACTTGGAGGATTACCAGGCTGCTGTCGAGTGTGCTCGCAAGGCGAACAGCGTCAAGGTGTGGCGACAAGTTAACGAGGCGTGCGTGGCCAAGAAGGAGTTCCGTCTCGCTCAGATCTGCGGTCTGAACCTCATTGTCCACGCCGAGGAGCTGCAGGATCTCGTCAAGCAGTATGAGCGGAATGGTTACTTTGATGAGCTCATCTCTGTGCTCGAAGCCGGCCTTGGCTTGGAGAGAGCGCACATGGGAATGTTCACTGAGCTCGGTATTGCCCTGTCCAAGTACCATCCCGACCGTGTCATGGAACATCTCAAGCTCTTCTGGGGCCGCATCAACATTCCCAAGATGATTCGTGCCTGCGAGGAGGCACACTTGTGGCCTGAACTCATCTTTTTGTACTGCCACTATGACGAGTGGGACAATGCTGCGCTCGCGATGATGGAGCGCGCTGCCGATGCATGGGAGCATCACTCCTTCAAGGACATTATTGTCAAGGTCGCGAACTTGGAAATCTACTATCGCGCTCTCAACTTTTACCTTCAGGAGCAGCCTTCTCTGCTTACGGACCTGCTTCAGGCCCTCACCGCTCGGGTCGATGTCAACCGTGTTGTCCGAATGTTTGAGAAGTCTGATAACATTCCACTAATCAAGCCGTTCCTTCTCAACGTGCAGACGCAGAACAAGAAGTCTGTCAACAATGCCATTAACGATTTGCTGATTGAGGAGGAGGACTACAAGACTCTTCGAGACTCGGTCGAGAATTACGACAATTATGATCCCGTGGAGCTCGCCCAACGACTTGAGCGACACGACCTCGTTTTCTTCCGGCAGATTGCCGCCAGCATCTACCGCAAGAACAAGCGATGGGAGAAGTCGATTGCGCTGTCGAAGCAAGACAAGCTGTTCAAGGATGCCATTGAGACTGCAGCCATCTCGAGCAAGCCTGACGTCGTTGAGGAATTGCTCCGTTATGTAAGTACCACTGTATTTCTGTGTAGGCACGGATCGAACGTGCTAATCTTTTGCTTGTTTAGTTTGTCGATATTGGCAGCCGCGAGTGCTACGTTGGTATGTTGTACGCTTGCTACGACCTTATCCGCCTTGACGTCGTCATGGAAATTTCGTGGCGTTACGGTCTCACCGACTACACCATGGTAAGTCTAAGTCTGTCATAACATACCTAGTGAGATTTTTTTTACTGATTGAAAACAGCCGTTTATGATCAACTACATGAGTCAGCAAGCCTCGGCGATTGAGTCCCTCAAAAAGGACAATGAGGAGCGCAAGACCCGTGAAACTTCTCAGAGGACAGAAGAGGATAACACTCCCATCCTGGGGGGTTCTCGCTTGATGCTGACGCAGGGCCCGGCTCAGCCTAACGGCATTGCACCGCAGCCAACGGGATTCCGAGGATTCTGATTTTCGCATTAGGCCCTTGTCCTAGTCCTTGCTATCATGAGCGAAACGATGTAACATTTAAAATTAAGGTTATTTTGTGGCGGCTGGATCATGTGTGGATGACGGAAATTCCATTTAATGCTTTTTTAAAAACTTTAGCTTAAACAGCATCTTTCTAATATTAGGTCGACCTGGCCACGGCAGGTCCATTCTTGTTCAACTATGCAAATGTTATGTTATGATTATTCCAGATTTACATTGTCTTTCTTTAATCACGAGTTTTCATTCTAGTCAAGACCATGCTCTCCTTGATTGTAGTACATTTACATACGCCACGCACGTCAAACATTTTGACATCTGTGTTTGTCATGTTGTCATGTTTCAGTTCCGTATCATTCTCCTCTACCTTCCCCTGGACCTTTTGTTGATATATATATGATGGCGAGAAGCATATAGCACGAGTCACAATGTGTCGTCCTGTGATTGAAGATTGAATGCCATCGAGTAGAATTCGTCTTGCTTTATTACCACCTTTTTCTTTTCTCACACAGTACAGTTGACTAATTTGGTCCTTGCCTCGTAGCAGTCATTTTGTTATGCACGGCCTGACGATTGTAACTCGTAACTTTGTAACTTGTTAATCTGCATGTTAGACTATCCCGTCGAGGTACTGCCTATCGCGTCTAGGCCGGTTGTAGGTCTACAGGTCTTCAGGTATTTTGTCTGGTACAGCACGCTGTGTGCTCCGTAAAACATACGTAGTGTATGAAATGGAAGTTGAGTTTGGTTGTTGTGTTGTTTGGTTGTCGAATTGTCGGGAAGGTCCCAGGTGTCCCCTTGGTCAGCGGGAGCCTTGGAGCTTGGAGCCTGGAGCGAAGGGAGCGCTACGGTAGTTAGGGAGCTGTTGGTGCCAGGACGCCAAGACCAGTACCTGGCCCGGTCCATGACCCGGCAACGAAAGACGATGGACGACAGACGAGGGACAAGGGACAAGGGAAGGGGAGGTTCCGCGTTAGTTGACTACCCGCGGCATCTTTAAACCACAAACCACAGTTAACATACAGAGTCTCCGTCTCTGCACCGCACCTAAGGATACCATGTAAGGTAAAGGTGATACGTATTACCTACTCCGTACATAGTACCTCAACTGTCAATTGTCGAATTGTAACTGTCATGTATCAACTGACAACTACCTTCCAGATCTACAAAGTAAATTACACATTGATTAGTATGTACCCGTAAATATATAGGCACCTCAAATATAGGTACCTGGTAGGTAATATACTGCGACGACTGCAATGTACAAGGAACAATTACAAAAGTACTTTGTAACAAGGTATGTAGTACGTAGTAGGATCACCCTAGAATAAGAAATTAGGAAGCTAGGAAATTAGGAAACAAATGAACAAGTGAACAAGTGCAGGCAACGGATGCATAACACCAAGGACATAAGAAAGGGAAGGCACCTTTTAGTAAGGTAAAGGTAACTGGGTATGGTAGGTACGTATGTTCGCAGAATCAAGGGTACGGAGTAAAATGAAGCCGGATATTGGACATGGACGTTGGACAAAGGACATTGGTGGACGTAAACATTAGGCAAAGGATGTGGGAACGGACGCGGAACAGACGGGTCCGCTGGGTGTGATTTTCCCGCGCAAAGTTCCGCTCCGCGCCGCGCTTGGTTATGCTCCGTAAGGTATACCGTATGTCTAATCCAAGAGGTGACGAGGTCCCTCCCTTCAAAACATACCGTGGCTGTGAGGTCTCTGTACCTTCGTATGGTCTGGGCTTTACTTAGTATTCTGTACGCACGATTGAGTAAGTGAGTAAGTGAGTGAGTGAGAGCTGTTATTTGATCCCAATTGCATTCTAGGCTTCTAGCCGTAGGGACTACAATCTATGTGAACCAAAAATATTTTATGTCGGAGTGATATGTACAGTTTGAACATGAAATTCATGTCCATTCTCCGGGGGAAAAAGCATTCCTTCTATCGTCGTGTCTCGTTCTGCATTTCTGTCGTGAGTGGCCACTTGCTGACCTCTTGACGTTGCCCATATTGAAACTTTTTGCCGTAGTCTTTCAGAAATTCAGACCATGTCTGCGTATCCAACACATTTTATCCAGACCCAAAAACGGCATCGAATCCATCGAACCCCACTGTATGAATAATTTGAAACCCCATTCTATAATTCTCGCAATAAAATTGAAAGGAATTTTTGAAACGATATTGGAAGGTAAAGAAGGAATAGTCGTGAGTTGACTATATCTGCGTCGTGCCGTCAGGCTTTTCGAGTGTGGGCGAGCCACTTGTGGGTACTCCGTAGAACGACATGTTGAGATGATCTGTTCTTGTCCGCCTCTATATTTTTAGGGCGGAAGAAGGAATGGCGGTTGACTGACTGTATATGATGAAGCGCCACGGATTCACAATGTTCGCTGGTGGAACTGAGACAGGATAATTTGAATTGCGAATGTAGTATTTTCTATGTAGGTTGTAACCAGAAAAAGGAAGGACAGGTGAGGTTTGAATGTAGTATGAGAAGAAATTGAGTTCTGGGAGTTAACGGTTTATGTAGATATTTGCTTCAACGGCAGTAAACATACTGAGTATTACCGACTTCATTTCATGATTTCTTTTTTTGCGGCTTTCGGCGTTTGCTTACATTGTCTTTTTGTTACTAGCCACGTATAAGGATGCAGACACATTGCTTTTTGTTTTCGATTGTTCTTCGTTAATCGATCGTGATGAGGAAAAGAACCAAGTAGCTGCTGCTGCTGCTGCTTTAGCCTGTTCGTTCTGCGTATGCCGTCTCACTGCCGAGTTTCCGGAGTGTTCGTTGCAGGACGATTTGGAATAAGCATCACCATGTCCTCGTATGGTAATCCAAGGGTATGCTTGTTTTTTTGCCATGTGCTTTTCGTGTTCGTGGCTCGTTTGCAGGATAGGTGGATGTTGCATTGCGCCTTTTTCCTTACGGTTAGTGCCAAGTTAGAGGTATTTACGGTACACCCTGGAGTATAGTCTTGTGCAGGAATATAACTATCTTATTGGCTTTTTGATCAAAGAGCAGCGTATCTCCGTAAACTGATTTGTCGGTCCTGTATAGCACTATCGTAGTCAGCTACATGGTACGGGTGGGGAGAATGGCGACATGGGGTTGTCTTGCCGCGGAGCACGGGAGTGGGCCGTGGAGGAGGCGAATCATGGAGATAATGCCTCATCACTCGTAGTCCTCCGTAACGATCGCCAGATCCTGTAAATGTACTGTACATGGTATATCTGGTAGTGTCAGAATGAACGGCTGTTTGTACTCGTTTTCCCTTGCTGTCCTCTCTTTGGTTCTTGGCGCAGCGATTGATCGGGATAAGCTGATGATACGCAGTCCCAGTAGTCAATGAGCATAATTCGAAGGGTATACGTCATTGTGCATAAAAGTAATATACGGAGTACATAATACCTTAGCTATGGCATAACGCTTCACAATGAACCTCAAGCAGCACTTTGAGGGAACACTGATATCACGGAGGACATTGTGATTGCTAATACGCGTGTATTGGGCTGATTTAGGTGGAAAGGAATAGCAATATCTTCTCCTTTGGTGCTCTGCTTTTTGCTGAGACGTTGGACCATCCTATGAGCGCAGTATGCCAAGCCATGGTGGTTACTGAAATGAGTACGGAGTAGAAGTAAAGCGTAACACGCAATATTATGATGCAGGATATTGCATCAAATAGAGTACACTCCAGTCTTGGCTTCCGGAAGATGATCCAAGGCCCCGGCTGGATGTCCCGTCAATCCCGTCGTTAATGCGGCCCGCCCTGTCGATCATGCATTATGGGAGCAACAGAGATGCGGATAAATATGGACCGAGCAGGGGTTGAGGACAAGGTGATGCAGTGTGGTGCGCGTTCATACCTCTCCCACATTTGCTATAGCCTAGTACTCGTACTACGGTACTACGCAGAAAAGCATACCGATAGTGCATTGAGGCAATTAGAGTCAATCTGTCTGCTAACTTAGACTGAGCATTGGTGCCCTGATCTATCATACTGAATCGTCGCGAGCAGGCTTGATCAGCGGTAGGTGGCTGATGAATATATGTAGAATGTCCAATTCTTGGCGTTGCGATACCAAGATTGAGATTACAATGGCTCAAGCCTAAGGTGATTGCAGTGTCGAGTAGGACAAAGCATCATTCAATAGTTGGACTACGAGTACATGATATCGATTGACGCACCTCCCTGCAGGATACATAGATTCTGAAGGTGTGCGTTGATGGTAGATGAATGGTGATGTGGTGATTGGCGGGAACAGCTGTTTGCATATTGCCAAGATTGGCTAACTTGCAGTGCTGAACAGGGCACGCCACCACTAGGCGAACCCAAAAGGTGGCAGACCTGGCAGCTGCCTGAACCACTTACCTTACGACTACGTACTACAAGGTGCGTAGATCGAGTGGTGATCAACAGAAATACTCGTGTACAGAAATAAGCTGGTTGTTCGGTGGATAGAGGTGGTACAAAAGTACATGATAGATGCAGCCAAGATGCTACTACTGTATAGAGGTCGATCCACCCACCAAAGGCAGCAAGGGTTTCGGCGTATCAGAAACGGAAGATTTGACAATAAAACTACAATCCAATTTGATAAGGCCGCTTAGTCTCCCACGGGAATCGGCCCCGAACAAACGAAGCCGCATCAATGGAGTGCAAGGGTGGGCAAATCTGTTATTATGTAGAAATAATCTGGTAAAGAAAGTTGGATTCTAGTGAATCGGATCTAATGGCCGAAAGACACGGCGGATTAATGGAAGCAAAAAGATTGGTTGATGGGCCGATGAGAAATGACGCGATGGAGAAATTCACTAGCCAGGTGGGACTGCCATGGTCCGTTTGCGGGGGGTTGACAGAAAAACGAGCAACAGAATCTCGAGCGCAAAGGACCGTCGTGGGTGAAGAAAAATCAAGGAGAGGAGATTAGATGCCCAGCCGAGACCGGAGGAGCATCTGGTTGTACATCCTCTCTTCTGGGAATTGGTGTCGTTGAATTGGATGGGTCATAATAATATGGAGGACTAGAGGTGCCCATGCCAAATCATCTCCGCGGATAAATCATTGCTTTAATTATGCATATGAAACGGGCCTTTTTCACACACACACACACATCAAATGACGGTCAAATTTAGTAGTAGAGCAAGGTCAGGCGATGAAACATCACAGACATATAAGGTCAGTTGTTGGCAAGCTGATTTCTCAGGCGGCTTTTTGTCAGAAGCTCGGGGATGGAGGTGAGGTTATGGTGAGGTGAGAATGAGTCGAGCTCGCTTGTGTCGAAAATGGAACGACTTTTGAAAATCTACTGAGGATGATGCTGTACTCCGGTAAACTCATAGACGGCAAGCTTGGCTTTGCTGTGCTAGGTACTACGCTGCCCCAGAAATTGCTGTCGGTTGGGGAGATCACTCTCTACTGTACGGAGTAACCTCTGTATTTTGAGGGATGGCAGCGCTGAGTCAAACATTTTTTACCGCTCAGCCAAGACCAGAACTAGCCGTCATCCCAGAAATCCCCCACCGCCAAATATTTCCCCAACCAGCCGATCAATCTTGAGACTTGAGTACAGCCATCCTTCTGACCAGGTCGATCTCGGCACTGAGCTTCCTTGCGAGGATTTGGGAGTGGGGACGTAAGAAGGAAATCAGCTCCCCTCCGGCTTGGCCGCCGATTCAGTATGGATGATTAGGTAGCACATGGCGGATCAATTCCAGAAAGGAAAAAAAAAAAATAAGTGTCAAAATTAACTACTGGATAGGGCTTGTTTAGTCTGGATTATTATTTTCCTCCTTCACTTTTAATTTCTCATGAGGGTCTTTGCTTATCTTTGGCCTTTTCATCATCGTGCGGTGGGTAGAATTTTAGCGCGGGGTAATTACCGGCCCATGGGAAGTTTGGTGTACCGAACAGGTCGAATTGGCGTTGATGAGTGAGAGAGAAAGGTGAGGCAGGAAGGTGATGATTCATCCGGTACCGCTACTTTGCTCGTGTCGATGGTGGAGAGAGGTGAGTACCTCTGGGGCGGCCCCCAGTTGCATGACCAATTCCCTCGACACACCTGATGCGCCAAGTACTCTTCCCCCACCAACCATCCCCCAGCCGATAATCCGAGCGAGTAGCGGTACCTGCTGTACCGTGCCGTCCAATAGTTGCGTTGTTGTATCTGCGCAACTAAAAAAGTACCTTACCTTGTTGCTCTGCCACGCGCGGTTGTCCGCGGTGCCGGCGGAATGCGTCGAGGGGCACCGCTGAGTGGAGTGGAAAGTGGAGTGGAGGGGCAACAACTCTTTTTCCAGTACAGTATGCACGTTGTTGCTCCCCCACCCCTACCTCTACACTAAAGCCAAAAATGACCTACAAACTATGCTTTTGCGAGTAAATCCCCCCCAATTTGCTAGATGCCGCTCTTTCGATCAAACGAATACGTACGAGCGGATGAGCATGAGAGCGGCAAAAAAAAAAAAAATCCAATGAGTGACTTTGATTTTGAATGAGTGACTTGAGTAGCGTGCGTGATTAGAGTATGGAAATCAAGTCACGAACCGTAGCTACAAGCTAGCTGGGCCCTTCTTTGCCAGTCTAAACCTCTAGAAGCAGCAAACAACGAGAGGATTGCGTTGCTTTTGGTCTCTCTTGACCGCGCGCGCCCCATGCCATCTTGAGAACAGAACCGGATCCCTACACTGCCTTTTTTGCCGTCATCCTAAGCCTTCTTCGTTCTGCCCCTAACGCCGCGATCCTCAAACCCATATCATATCTTAGCTGTACCCTCCTAACCGCTTGACGCCTTATTTTTCTCTCCCTCACCTCCGACCACCCAGCCCTTCTTCTACCGGCTCTCGTCCTCCTTCTTCTCTTCTATCCTCACCCGTCCCTACTCTTCCCCATTCATACTTAACACTTCCAACTTCCATCGACCACTTCTGGTGAAGTCCCCTTCGTCGCGAGACTCTTGCTCTCTCTGCGACGACTGGCCTTCGCGGTCGATCGACCCTCTTAGTCTTTTCTGAGGCTTCCGCTTCTGCCATCATCAACCATGGGTCCTGCTCACGATGAGCCCGAGGTGCTCGAGGGCACCATCGGTAACAAGCACCAGCACTCGGTGCACCACCGTCTGCGGGCCAATTCTTCTATCATGAAAGTGAAGAAGATTCTCGGTAAGCAGTCAAATCTCCGTGGAGCACCACCGGCGGGAGCCCCGCGAGGAAAAGGTCATTCTGGAGACGATTGAACATGTTAGCTGACTGGAGGTTTCTGCTTCTACGATATACAGTTGCCAACCGTGGAGAAATTCGTAAGTATCTCTATTCTACTGTGTGATGCCAAATGGCTGAGCTGGTGGGGCTAACTGTTGTGTCCAGCGATTCGAGTACGTTACATCATACCAGAATGCTGAGAACCTTACGAAAACAGTACCACTAACGCTGAACGCACGCAGATCTTCCGAACGGTAAGCAATCCCCCAAATTTTTGAACACAGAATTGAGACATGGATTTGTCCAATTGGCCATATTACCGGAGTTTTGTGATTGACAAATTTTGTTTGTATAGGCCCACGAGCTCTCCCTCCACACGGTCGCAGTCTTCAGGTAAGGAGAGATGGGTCTTAATATAAATTTGTAAACTCAACTGACACGACTACAGTTACGAGGACCGTCTCGGCGCTCACCGACAGAGTAAGATTCGGAACAATCTACTAAATCAGTTTTTATCGTGGCTAACAATAATTTCCGCAACTTTGCAGAGGCTGATGAGGCCTATGTTATTGGAAAGCGCGGCCAGTACACCCCCGTGGGTGCTTACCTTGCCGGAGATGAAATTATCAAGATTGCGCTCGAGCACGGTGTCAACATGATCCACCCTGGTATGTCGCTTTTTCCACGTCGTTGATTTGGAGCGGATTTGCTAATCAATGTCCGATAGGCTATGGTTTCCTTTCGGAGAACGCAGACTTTGCCCGCAAGGTCGAAGCCGCCGGCATGATTGTATGTCTAGAAAATCGAACTGACCTTCTTTGCAATCTTGCGATAATTCTAATAACTTGCCGTACAGTTTGTTGGTCCCTCCCCCGAGACCATTGATGGTCTGGGTGACAAGGTTTCGGCCCGTCAGCTCGCCATCAATTGCAATGTCCCCGTTGTCCCTGGTACTCCCGGTCCCGTCGAGCGATACGAGGACGTCAAGGCTTTCACCGACGAGTACGGCTTCCCCATTATCATCAAGGCTGCCTTTGGAGGTGGTGGTCGTGGTATGCGTGTTGTCCGCGACCCTGCCGAGCTCAAGGACGCCTTCGAGCGTGCAACTTCAGAGGCCAAGACCGCCTTCGGTAACGGCACTGTCTTCGTCGAACGATTCCTCGACAAACCCAAGCACATTGAGGTCCAGCTTCTCGGTGACAGCCAGGGCAACGTCATCCACCTTTTCGAGCGTGACTGCAGTGTTCAGCGTCGTCACCAAAAGGTCGTCGAGCTTGCTCCTGCCAAGGACCTTCCTCGCGAGACCCGCGATGCTCTCCTCAGTGACGCCGTCAGACTCGCCAAATCCGTCAACTACCGCAACGCTGGTACGGCTGAATTTTTAGTTGACCAGCAGAACCGTTACTACTTTATTGAGATCAACCCCCGAATGTAAGGTTTTGCCCTCGCAAGGAAGCCCTTTCTGAGCGTTTGAACGAAGAAGCTGATCTTCTCTCCTTTAACAGTCAGGTCGAGCACACCATCACCGAAGAGATTACTGGCATCGATATCGTCGCGGCTCAGATCCAGATTGCGGCCGGTGCCACGCTTGAGCAGTTGGGCCTCACCCAGGACCAAATCTCCGTCCGCGGTTTCGCCATCCAGTGCCGTATCACCACGGAAGACCCCACGAAGAACTTTGCTCCGGATACTGGCAAAATTGAAGTCTATCGTTCCTCGGGCGGTAACGGTGTCCGATTGGACGGTGGTAACGGATTCGCTGGTGCCATCATTACGCCTTACTATGACTCGATGCTTGTCAAGTGCACTTGCCACGGCTCGACCTACGAGATTGCCCGGAGAAAGATGCTCCGTTCCCTGGTTGAGTTCCGTATCCGTGGTGTGAAGACGAACATTCCTTTCTTGGCTTCGCTGCTCACGCACCCCACTTTCATCGACGGAACCTGCTGGACCACTTTCATTGACGATACGTAAGTTTTGAAGGACCGCTAATTGTTGGCCGTGTCCATGCTAATCTCTTCTCCTTGTACACCAGTCCCGAGCTGTTCGCTCTTGTGAGCAGCCAAAACCGTGCTCAAAAGCTCTTGGCTTACCTTGGTGATGTCGCTGTCAATGGCAGCAGCATCAAGGGCCAGATTGGCGAGCCCAAGTTCAAGGGCGAGATCGTTATGCCCGTTCTCAAGAGCAAGGCTGGCGAGGTTATCGACACTACCGCACCTAGCACTGAAGGCTGGCGGAAGGTCCTCGTCGAGCAGGGACCTGAGGCATTTGCCAAGGCCGTTCGCCAGAACAAGGGCTGTTTGATCATGGACACCACCTGGCGTGACGCTCACCAGTCTCTGCTGGCCACCCGTGTTCGTACTATTGACTTCCTTAACATTGCCAAGGAGACCAGCCACGCCTACCACAACGCCTACAGTTTGGAATGCTGGGGTGGTGCTACCTTTGACGTCGCCATGCGATTCCTCTATGAGGACCCTTGGGACCGTCTGAGACGCATGCGCAAGCTTGTTCCCAACATTCCTTTCCAGATGCTCCTGCGAGGCGCCAATGGTGTCGCATACTCCTCGTAAGCACCCCTTTTCCATGATTCTGGAGTAATTTACAAAGTTTTTTTTTTCATGGCTAATCTCTGTGATATAGGCTCCCTGACAATGCCATTGAGCATTTCGTCCTTCAGGCGAAGAAGAACGGTGTGGACATCTTCCGTGTCTTTGATGCTCTTAACGATATCGACCAGATTGAAGTCGGTGTCCGAGCTGTTAAGAAGGCTGGTGGTGTGGTTGAAGCCACCATGTGCTACAGTGGTGACATGCTTAACCCCAAGAAGAAGTACAACCTCCAGTACTACCTGAGCCTGGTCGACCGCATTGTTGCCATGGGCACGCACGTCCTGGGCATCAAGGATATGGCTGGTGTTCTCAAGCCCAAGGCTGCCACCCTTCTCATCGGCTCTATCCGTGAGAGATACCCTGACCTCCCCATCCACGTTCACACTCACGACTCCGCTGGTACGGGTGTCGCTTCGATGGTTGCGTGCGCCCAAGCTGGTGCCGACGTGGTTGACACGGCCACTGATAGCATGTCGGGAATGACCTCGCAGCCCAGCGTTGGTGCCCTGCTTGCCTCTCTCGAGGGCACTCCTCTCTTCCCCGGCCTGGATAGCTCAGCTGTTCGCGCTATCGACACCTACTGGGCGCAGCTTCGGTTGTTGTACTCTCCTTTCGAGGCTGGTCTTACCGGCCCTGACCCTGAAGTCTACGAGCACGAAATCCCTGGTGGTCAGTTGACCAACTTGATCTTCCAGGCTTCTCAGCAGGGTCTGGGTTCCCAGTGGTCGGAGACCAAGAAGGCGTACGAGGCCGCCAACGACTTGCTCGGCGACATTGTCAAGGTTACTCCCACCTCCAAGGTCGTTGGAGATCTGGCTCAGTTCATGGTCTCGAACAAGTTGAGCTACGACGACGTCATCGCAAAGGCCGATCAGCTCGACTTCCCGGCCTCAGTGCTCGAATTCTTTGAGGGTCTCATGGGTCAGCCTTATGGCGGTTTCCCCGAGCCGCTCCGTACCAAGGCTCTCCGTGGCCGCCGCAAGCTGGAGAAGCGCCCTGGTCTTTTCTTGCCATCCATGGACCACGACAAGATCAAGCTCGAGCTCAGCGAGCGGTACGGCAGTGCTTCAGAGTGCGACGTTGCCAGCTACAACATGTACCCCAAGGTCTACGAAGATTGGCAGAAGTTTGTGGCCAAGTTTGGCGACCTGACCGTGCTGCCCACCCGCTACTTCCTGTCTAAGCCTGAGATTGGCGAGGAATTCAACGTTGAGCTTGAAAAGGGTAAGGTGTTGATCCTGAAGCTCTTGGCTATCGGCCCGCTCTCAGAGCAGACTGGCCAGCGTGAGGTCTTCTACGAGGTCAACGGTGAGGTTCGCCAGGTCACCGTCGACGACAAGACGGCCGCTGTGGACAATGCGACCCGCCCCAAGGCTGATGCGTCCGACTCGAGCCAAGTCGGTGCCCCCATGTCTGGTGTCGTTGTGGAAGTTCGTGTGCAGGAGGGTGTTGAGGTCAAGAAGGGCGATCCTATTGCCGTTCTCAGTGCTATGAAGATGGTATGTTTACCTTTGTTATTTTGTTTCTCGTATTAATGCTAACTGCATCTGAAGGAAATGATCATCTCCGCACCGCACCACGGCAAGGTGGGATCATTGCAAGTCAAGGAGGGTGACTCGGTCACCAGCCAGGACTTGATTTGCAAGCTTGTTCAGTAGAGGATATGATTCATGTGATGTGTATGGTTTTGGAAGCTTTTAGAGATTCTACTTTTTTCCCTTGATTACCTGCCCGAAAAGGAAATGGGCCCTTTTTTCTATTTAAGCGTGTTTGACTACTATTATTATGTTCTACTTTTTCTACGACAAGTTGTACGAATGATAAATGAAATGAGATTTTAATGACTTTAAAATTCCATAGATTCTTTGAATCCAATGAGCTTAGCATATGAGACATCACACGCCTTTAGAGTAAGTTCCGAGGAGTTAGGTAGTTAGACGAAGCAGGCGAAAATGGTTCGAGCGTTTTCTCGCGTAATATCTAATCAGATCTTTTAGAATATAAGATTAGATTATCCCATCGGCGCCAGGCCGCAAAAAGTTCCGACCGAAACTCCCAACTTTTGATATTTTTGTTGCTGTTCTTTGGATAGATTCGCAACACTTTCAGCATCTCCCAATTCTGCTTTCACGTAGGCTTTCGCCATCAGGCCTACAACTTATAGCAGAAATTATGTCGACAATAGAGACAGAGACTCACCAGGACTCGACCACCCAGGTTCGGGTGCGTCTTACAACGCGGGATGCCGACCTTGCACTCCCACCAGAGAGTTCTGGACCAATCTTGGTTTCAACAGGTGAGAGCAGTCGTACATGCTCTACGAGGAGCAATCGGCATTGTTCTATAAGAAAAAATCTATTAACTGTTTCTAGGACTCCGACGATATGCGCTCTCAACACTGGTCAATACGCTCCTTGAATCTGAAAAGCCTGTCCCGTTTGAATTCCTCATCAATGGCACATTTCTCCGCACCTCGCTCGATGAATACCTGACTGCGAACGGAATCTCTGCTGAGACGACACTTACGCTTGAATACGTTCGTGCGCGTGTACCTCCTTCCCACATTGCCTCGTTCGAGCACGACGACTGGGTGAGCGCAGTCGATGTCCTTTCCTCCAAGTCTGCAGCTGCATCCTGGGCCACCGATGCGCCCGTTGCACCAGGTCAAGAGCGGATTCTATCAGCCAGCTATGACGGCCTCTTGCGCGTGTGGAACACATCGTCTCAGCTTCTCGCAACATCACCCTCTCCCTCTGAAGGCGGTCACTCCAACTCAATCAAGGCCGCCAAATTCCTGTCCCCCAGCCAGATTGTCTCGGCCGGCCTTGACCGCACCGTGCGTGTATGGAACTACACCGCCGACAACACGCTCAAGCCCGCTCTCGAGCTCTACGGGCACAAATCGAGCGTTGACGCTCTCGCCGTGCACGCTCCTTCGAAGCGCATCCTGTCCGCTTCCGCCGACCACACGGTTGGAATCTGGTCAACCACCAAGTCCGGCGCTCCTGCCGCCCCATCCTCTCTCATTTCCTCTACCACCTCTTCATCTTCATCTTCTAAGCGCCGCAAGGTCGCCCCCGGTCCCGCCGTCTCAGCCCCCCAGCGTGGCCCGCTCGGCCTGCTCCACGCCCACACTGCACCCGTCTCAGATGTCATCTTCTCCCCCGCCGACTCCACCGTCGCATACTCGACCTCTCTCGACCACACTCTCCGCACATGGGATCTGACAAACCCCACTGCCGCCCCCGTCTCTACCCGGACGACCGCCCACTCTCTGCTCTCTCTGACCGCCCTGCCGTCCCTGCACCTTCTCGCGGCCGGCACGTCCGCGCGACACATCACCCTCATTGATCCTCGCGACTCCGCGGCCTCCATCTCCGCACTCACGCTCCGCGGCCATGCCAATGCCATCGTCTCTCTCGCCGCGGACCCCAGCTCGCCGTACGGCCTCCTGTCCGGCTCCCACGACGGCACGGCCCGCGTGTGGGACGTCCGATCGACGACGAAGAACCTGCTCACCCACGGCGTCGGCGCAGGCGAATCCGTCGGCGAAAGCGTCTATGTCATTCCTCGAGAGTCGAGAAAGGAAACCGCTGCCAATGCGAACGCTACCGTCGTCGGCGGAGAAGGCGTCAAGGTCTTTGGCGTCGCCTGGGATCCGGCTGTCGGTATCCTTTCTGCCGGCGAAGATCGTAGAGTCCAGATCAATCGCGGAGAAGGCGTCATTCAGACTGCATAGTCTTTGTTCTAGATTAGGGTTGTCCGATACATTTAGATTCGTCTTTGTTCGTTCGTTCTATTATTGTTTACTGATCTGTTTGTTTTTATTTTTTTTTTTTATGTCTTGGAGGACTGGCGTTTTATTCTCATTTTCCCTTTCCCCTTTTGCCCTTTCCTTTCTCTTTCCCTTTCTGTCCCCATAAAGATCTTCTCAGACGCAGCGTATCTTACGCCCTGTTTCAGTTTCACATTTTCCAATAAAAGTTTATATATTGTATATATATATACTTATATATATGTCTCTCTGTGTGTATGTCTATATACCTTATATTTGCATTTGCATTTGACATCCGCATTGCGGATTGTGTATTGTGCACATCCAAGACATGCGAAAAGGATAAGAGGAGATGCCAAAAAAAACCCCCCCACCGCACGAAAAACAAAAAGTAACGTTAAATATACAGAAAAAAAAAAAAGACTAAAACTATTATACATAGGTTTCCATAAAAGTCAACTTGTAGTTGCATTACCTTGGGGATTCAACATACGACCAAGGAAGACATGATGCGACCAAGACATAAATGCGGAACCATGACATAAAGCGACCAGGACACATAATGCAAGACTAAGACTCACTAGTCAACGGCGGAAAAAGCACGCCATCGACGCCCTTGCCCAGGCTGACTCTACTCGCGCCATAGTCTGCATCCTTGCCCAAGACGGCATCGTCAAACGATCGAGCGCGGTCGTCCACGCCCAGCGTGTCGAGCAACTGCGCGGCTTTGGTGGGCATGTATGGCTGCAGCAGGATGCCGGTGACGCGCAGCGCCTCGGCGCAGAGGTAGATGGTGCGGTGCAGATGGAGGGACGTTTCTTCGATTGCGGCAGGGAGAGTGGATGCGGGGGTGTCGAACGTAGACGAGGAAGAGGATGAAGAGGATGAAGAGGAAGAAGAGGAGGAAGGAGAGGAAGGAGAGGAAGGAGAGGAAGGAGAGGAAGAGGAAGAGTGTTTGATGGATTTCGCGAGGGCCCATGGCGTGGTGCGGTGAATGTATTTGTTTGTCTGGATAAAACATGGCGGTTAGTTATATTGAGCTTGGGAAGCGGGATTGAATATGCAGAGCGGGGAAAGGAAAGACAGAGCCAGGGAGAAAGAAAGAAGACAGAGGAGGGAAGAAAAAAAGATAAAGGGGTGGTCGTACCTCGTAAATAATCTCCATGGCGGCTTTCAATGCGCCGCTAATATCACACGCGTCTAGCTTTTCCTTGTAAATCGCTGGCGCGGCGGCAATGGTGTTTTGCTGAGACTGGTTGACGCCCTCTGGGTCAGGGAGGTCGTTGTATCGCCCGGCAGCGGCATGCTCGACAGCGAGACGCACGTTCCAGCCTTTGCCGCGGACGATGCGGCTGGCAAGGTTGCCCAGGCCGCCTTGGAGGCTCTTTTTGTAGCGCTCAATGATGAATTCGTTGCCGTAGTCGGAGTCGTCGACAATGCCGCCTTCATGTGCGAGATAATAGCGCATGGGATCTACGCCGAATCGATCGAGTGCGAAAAAAGGGTTGACGACATTTCCTGTCGACTTGGCCATTTTTTGGTGGCCCAGTGTCCAGTGCGCGTGGGTAAGGATCTGACGAGGAAGGGGGAGGCCCAGTGCCATGAGGAATGCCGGCCAGTAGATGCAGTGAAAGCTATTGATAATGGAGTGATTAGCAATGATATTTGACAGACTGGCGTGAGAAAAGGGGAGAGGGGAGAGAGGCAGGTATCTTTACCGAACGATATCTTTTCCGATAACTTGACAGTCTGCGGGCCAGCCGCCGGCGGTTTCTTGGCCGGGAGCCCAAGGGTAGCCTGCTTTGGTGAGATAGTTGAGCAGTGCGTCGAGCCAGACGTAGATGGTTTGAGACTCGTCCTCGGGCACGCGGATACCCCAAGTAAGCCGTTCCACGGGTCGGGATATAGAGAGGTCTTCGAGACCAGAGGACACGGCTTGCACCACGTCGTTCATCCGGATTGCAGGTAAAACGAATTGTGGGTTTTGGCGGTAGTGTTCCAGAAGGCGGTCTTTGAACTCGGAAAGTCGGAAATGATAGTTTAGTTCGGATGTCCATTCCACTTCTTTTCCCGTTTCGATGGAGGTCTAGGTGTTGTCCTTTGTTAGAAACAGCAGAGTTCTCGAGGTCTTTATTCGCTGACGCGAGCATACCATCATTTTTCGCCCAGTCGCAGGATCGACAATCAATTGCACAGCCGATTGAGGATAGTATGTCTCGTCACTGACACAGTACCATCCCTCGTGCTTCGAAGTGTATATGTATCCGCGTTGCTCCAGTATGCGCTTTTTCAATTGTTAGGTCCTGTCCTTCAAAAATCTTCATAGTCTCTGCCAAGACGTACCCAGACATATTGCACGGCTTCAACATGGTCCGGATCGGTCGTTCGGATGAAGTGGTCATTGGCAACTCCTGCCCGCGCGGCCAAAACCTTCAATTATACAGCGTAAGTGTCCGTGTGATATTGAGCATTGCCAGTCTTCAGCGTACCTTGAAGACTTCTGCTCCCTTGTCGCAAAACGGCTTGGGATCACTGCCAGCAAGCGATGCCGCTTTTTGGATCTGAAAGTATATTATATCAGTATGTACTATGCACATCAGGTGGAAATCTAACATACCTTCATCCCGTGTTCATCCGTGCCTGTGCAGAGCAGCGCCTCTTTGCCCTGAAGTAATTGCCATCGTTTTAGGATATCCGCCAACACCATAGTATATAAGTGCCCGACATGAGGTGCTTTTATTTTTTCGTCAGAACTGAGAGTTCAACTTCCAGAATCATATTACAAACCGGCATTGACGTAGAAAATGGGCGTCGTAATGTAAGATGGTTTACGCTTCGGCGCTGGCGGAGCCGTCGCAAACCGTCGGCGCGAGTAACCGGTTTGCTGTTGGCATGATTGACAGACCCATGGCGAGGGACGCCATATAGATCTTGTCCAAGTCGATTGCGCCCTTGAACTCAATCTCAATGCCGTGGTTGGCATGGCTCTAGGGTTGTCGACTCTCGGCGTGTTGCGGGATCAAAGTTATAATTGTGAGAAGAGGCCTGAGCAACAAGGGAAATTCAAGGTGGTCCAAGCTTCTCTAGTTCCCGCGCATCCCGCAATCACTTCAAAAACTTTGGGGACCTGCAGATCCAAACTTTTCCCCCGCCATCATCTCATTACACTGGCGCAAGGGTTTCACGCAAGAAAAGCGTGGGTTCTTATATATTTCACACGTCGGATTCTCAATCCATTTCTACCGAGGAATCATACTCACCATGACGGCTCTCAACGTTGATGTCGCAACAAGAGTTTCGACTGATGGTACAGTCACTGCATCATTATCACCCCTGCACACACAGTTCTCTGGCTAACAAAATGTAAATGCGCAGCCGCTGAACGATTCGTGGAATCATACTATCCGGCTTTGCAAAATGCGCGGTCTACTCTCGCCTCTTACTACGTCGCACCGTCCGCCATGCCCGACGGCAAACCTATCCCGGCAATCGTTTTCAACGGAAACATTATACAAACCGCCGCCGACTTCCAGGCCATGTTCGAGAATCAAATGCCTCCAGTATTCTACGACGTACAATGCTACGACTGTCAAGTGTTAAATCCAAGTCTCGTGACCGCTGGTGCACAGACGGCGCCTCCAGAGTCCGGAAAGAATATGACCATCCTACTCATGGTCAGCGGCTATATTAGATTTGGAGAGCTGAGAGATGGACCGATCCGCGGTTTCAGCGAGACAATCGTTCTTGCTCCAAACCCAGAAGCTGCAGCTATAAAGGGACGCGGAAAAAGTGTAAAGGGCTGGCTGATTCAAAGCCAAAACTTTAGAATGGTGGTATAGTCGGATATTGGTATTGTCAGGAGATTATTGGCATTTTCAGCGATTGCATTTTTCTTCGAAAGGTTTAGATGGCACTGGAGTTGTGGGGTTTCTTTATTAAGGGTATAAAAAGAAACGGAAATGGTCCCAAAAGTCTGAAATTTGATATACTTTGAAACAAGACATATATACCCTTTGATAACAATTATTCAACAAAATACTTCAAAACGAGGCTATACAGTATGATATTCCTGCAAGTGAGATTGGATATATAAACCCAAGGAGGGTGTGCCACCGTAAACAACAAGCTGGGGTGTTAGGTGATTGACGTCCGATTTCCAGTGTTATACCCACGCTCCCTAAAACGCAAAGGAATGATGCTTGCAAAATGAATAGGGCCAAAGAAATGTCCGTTTCTACCACGCCATGAAACCCGGTTGGCTTTTCGGTTCACACGCAATGTGGCAAAAGTTGAAAAGCGGCCGCGAAGCGCTCCAACAAGCTGAATTCTAACAAGCCACAATAGAAGAGAAGAATCTCAAGGTCGAGGTGGCGTTCGCATATTGGCTTTCACCCTCTCAATCAGCTCTTCTCGAGTTGCTCGAGCATCAGGGTGAAGCTTCCTCTGAAATGGACCTAGTCAGTCAAGGGGCAAGTCCCACAATGCCAGCAAAGCAATAAATATAAATCAAGCAAAAGACGACGTTCAAACAAATGTCGCAAAGGTCTGTATAATTAGGCGCAACTTAATCAAAAATGGAAAAATCTTCTGACCGCTTCAAGCCATCTTCTGAGTTCAGTTGTGGTCCAATCCTCCGGATCTAATTTTGGAAAAAGTTAGCATACGTATAGAGTCCAGACTTTTACTTAATTAAATTGAGATGTTTCAAGATATTCGAAGTATACATACTTCCTTTGGGATCAGATTCTGCTGGGAATATATCACTGCCCCAAATGGACCATGCTGCAACGGCTGTCACAAGGCCAGTAAATGCGACGAAAAGACCCTAGTGATTCATCCAGTCAGTCGTTAAAGCTAAGCAGACAGCAGACACCATGCAGCTGTAGGGAAGGCATAGATACTGACCTTCGACTGTAGTGCCCGGTCGAGTTGTGTAGGCATGATGTCGTATTTATCAAGGCAGAATGTTTGTTTATTCCACGACGATATGTAGAGCCAACACCAGGTAGAACTTTCAAGTCCAAATCCGAACACTAGGTCAAGCTCTGATGAAAGCCAGATAAAACCCAACTATAGAATAAATATACTACGCGTGATGATACTAGAGCTTAGAATCGAAAAAATAATTGAAATGCAATCAGGCAGACATACGTCGATACAGCTGCGCCACGCCCAAGCGCCACGTGGCTAGAGCACCCCCGGGAGATGATTACATAATCAGAAGGGTTTGGCGGCTTCGGAAACCCTAAACCCACAATGCGAGGACATGCGGTAGTATTGGCGATACCCGACCGACGACCGACTTTCGAACGTTTGGCCAGTCCGCTCACGAATTCCCTCCCAACCCGACACCTCACGCGGTCGCATATCCATCATTCACCATGCCTTCCGAGATCTCCGACATCAAGCAGTTCATTGAGATCTGCCGGCGCAAGGATGCCTCCTGTATGTGGCTTTCCCTACCGTTTTTACACTTCCTGGAATAGTTTTTGGACATGACGGATTTTGCCGAGACATTGGAGTTTTGGAAATTTGATTTGGAAAGAGAAAACAAGGAAAGAGGGGGAATTATATGAGAAAAATATTGGGGGAGGAGAATGCAGAGCATATACTTTGAATGGCGGGTTTTGTTACAGAAGTGCTGACGAGATATTGCGAATTTACAGCTGCCCGCATCAAGCGCAACCGCGTGACCCAGCAGATCAAGTTCAAGGTCCGCTGCCAGCGTTACCTCTACACTCTGGTCCTCAAGGACGCCGACAAGGCCGAGAAGCTTAAGCAGAGCTTGCCTCCTTGTACGTTATTTCCCGCTACCAACACCCGCATTTGAACATATGGATATTATACGCGATATCAATGTCGAATGAATTGGAGGAATCAAAATGGCTAACGGCAACCTAACTACAGCGCTCTCGATCTCTGACGTCCCCAAGAAGAACCAGAAGGGCAAGCACATTGCTTAAATGAGATGTCGTTTTCATAGCTGTGTCTGTTGATGGAGCGAATAAAATGAGTTTCCTAATAAAATTTGGGTTGGGCTGCATCACCTTAACGTCTGTCGGTGACACGGCACGTGAGGATCATGTCAATTAGGCGCATTCGTTGAATACGATATCAATGGGCTTGTCAAGCAATGTTTTTGTTTAATACTCAACATCAGTCATATTGTGATGCCCGCTGTATATTTGTCCAGCTTTCTCAACGATGAACCTGTTGCGTGGGAGAAAACGGTCCTTCGAACCATTGGAATCAACGCAGTTTCAACCCTTCACCCTGAAACGATATTCATCTTTCCTATCCAAATACACCACCTTGTCATTCAATCCAGCTTCTTCAATGACCTTCTTAAAGTCTGCCAGAGGCGACAGAAATACGTCATAATCGCTATAAATGGAACGTCCGGGGTCAGTATTGAACGACGTTCGTGTCCCCCAGCTCTTAAATGCAAAAAGGAGCGAGACCAGACGTACTCGTAATGAATGGGAATTGTCAAATCCGGATTGACCAATCTTATCAGCTCCAAGCCCTGCTTCGCATCCATTGTAATCATCAAAAGCGGAACTGACGGCGATGGAATTCTTGTTCCGCCCAGATGAATCAGCATGAGGTCGATATTCTGCCCCTTGTATCGTTCGGGGATTTGCTTGAGCTCATCCACCATTAAAGTGTCTCCAGAGATGTATATTCTACGCTCTTAGCAAGCCGTTTATTCCATTGCGTAGATGCCTTCCCAAAGCAACGGGGACATGGATACTTACCGATATCCACATTCAAAAGTCGAATCGATCCTATTACGTCCTTTGTCAACGCCCAGTTCGACCATCCAGCCATTTGTTGGCGGAACCTAGAATTATATGTTAGATTCTCATGTCTTTGCCATTAACACTGTCCCAACGACTCCCAACAAACTATCAATCAGTTCGTCCTCTTGATCAGGTCCGCCTCTAATCTGAAAGCTAGTCCTAGTACTTACCGCCTGCAAAAGGTCATTCATGCTTGATAACACGCCCGAAGGCACATGCTTCCCTGGCATTCCAGTCACTTTGATCGCAGGTTTACTATGCTCGGCGACATCCCCGACTTGCACTCCCGGTGCGATATCAAGCATCATGCTTTCGAAGAAATCGAGAGCATAGACCTGCGAAAATGATTCTTCACGAGACTTTTGGAAAGTCAAATGTTCTTTGGCATGGGGCGTCGTAATGATAGGTAAATCCCGACGTAGGGACTGTTCAACCTGCCGGTCAAAATGGTCCCTGCAAAAAGGTTAATAACTAGAAAAACAGTCGAAATTGTTCCATTCCATACGCGTGATAATGTGATAGCAAAACTGCGTCAATGCGCGGCAGGTCATGCAAATCTACAGCGGGATTTGTGACACGCTTGCCTGTGACCTAGCGTGCTCGTCAGATAGGAAAAAAGTCTCGAGCTTTAATGGAGAAACAATATAGAAAAAAGAGATTTCCGCAGGTAATTTCATGAATGCCTAATATTTGGGAGAACTGTGGAGGAAAGTCCAAATGATACGGGGTTATAACTCACTCCAGGGCCCAAATGGACATGGTCTCCAGCATGCAGGAAATTGGGCTACCAGGAATTCATCAGCTGATCATTTCATTACATATTTCTTTCATATCAGATTTGTAGAGTTTCTCGGTTCGAAATAGGAATCAGGAGAAATAGGTGGAGGTACATCGGTCATGATACGTATCCCCTGCCATTCTCTGTAAACAAAGTCAGCAAAGAGCAAATAGTCAGCCGCCTTATTAGAAGAATATAAAGGAGCACATTAAGAGAGCATAGAAACATATAAATCACAACAGAGCATGAGTCTAGTAAGCTCCAATGCTGAAGAAAATCCGTAGAATGACTATACTTACAATACAGTCGTTGCAGTCCCCACGAAGAAAATACTGGCATTCTCATTTCCAGAAACAGTTGGATGTAATTTTGTTACATTTGCTTTAGGTAGACTCTGTCGGTGCGGGTGTGAGGGCGGATGGTCCCTCGTGGGAGGCAAAACATTCTCTGGATCTAGGATCAAATGGTCCATAATTTGTCGATGTTCTTATTCCGACTCCGCACCAAATTGGTTTGACGGGTATAACTCAACAGACTCTCACAATCCATCAGAATACTGGGTACAAGTATTTCGGGATCAAAAAGTCACGTTCATGGACTCTTATTTATGTTTGGCCCAATCCCTACGGCAGCATGTCGTCACTAAAATGGTGGAGATTTTCGGTTAGACTGGAAACAGTCAGCGTGGGGAGATTTAGCGGGGAATCCGGCCAAAGGTGAGACGGAGATAACTCTCTCCGGTTAAGGCTGACACAATTAAACCGGTAAGAGACTCTTGCCAAGAGACCAACCTCGAGCAAAGTTTCGAGCATGTGGCAACTTTAATCAGACCTTAGGCTTGCTGATAGGTGTCACGAGCGATCATTGGGTCTCTTTTAACAGTATTCGATTTCCCGATTTTGGTCGAGGCCACTCTGTTACTGCAGTAGAGCAAGACTGAACGAGTTTCGGGGGCTTTCTAAGGTTGTATTTAGGGAACATTCTAAACCTGGGTAAACCATAGTTAAGACTCTCACCTAGTACAGTGATAAATGTTTAAGTGGGTATCAAACTTTAAACAGCCCTTTACCTGTTCTCTCAACTGCAGGATTGATAAGCTTAGCAACACCTCCATCTTAAAACATGGCGAGGAAATGCGAGGAGGATTAAGCCATTGACTGACTCAATAACTATGCCATAATACGTTCAATAATTCTGGTCTATCACTAGATACAAAAGTCTTCTTCTCTTACCCGGCAGGATCAATCCTTCCTCCTATCAGAGCAGATCTCTATAGCCCATCAACGTACTTCAGCTCTCTGAAGCCTTCAACGCCATATTTTCTCATCAACATATCCACCTTGTCCTTTACAGTCGCAACTTTCTCTCCGCTTTGCTGCTCATTGCCATCTCCAAGTTGCAGTCGAAGCTCCAGTTCTCCAAAGTAATTCGGCTCCTCGGAGATCTTTTCCAACCCTATGCTTTCAAATAGTCCAATACTTCTGTCATTGGACTGATGGATCTTCACCCGCAAATACTCGAATTGTTTCGGTACCTTTACCTTCCTCGATGAATCAACACTCGCAGAAAATTCAGCCAAAATCCCCTCTTGGTTATCCACTACATAGCGTAGAAAAGCCAGTAGACTTGCTCGTCCTAGACCGGTGCCCTGATGCGCCTTTGATGCTATCATTAACTCAAGCTCCCCAATTGCGCGAAAGTGCTGGTCAGTTTGTGTTGAAACACCTGCGTCGGCTTCCTCGTCAAGCTCCTCCTCATGTTCGGAGATGAACAGATTGACGTCCCCGACCATGCGATCTGGTGAATCATCCTTTTTGGCCGATATAGATTGAGACTTCTCGTCATCTTTTGATCGTGAGGAAAGCGAAGAATCATTCTTTGGTAAACACGTGATGAAGGTCAACTTGTCCGCATCGTTGCGCCAACTGCGTTGCATGCCATATTCTTTCTCTAATGTAAGCTGCTCTGATGCGGTTGCTTCTCGAATATCCTATTTCGTCATGCAAAACATTAAATAAGATATTTTATCCTTCTCATTTTCAGGATTGTGGTAAAGAGATGATCGAGTGAAGTTTTGGTATTTCGCACCTCGTCTTTCATCCACTCATGATATGTCGGCACATGATGTTCCTGGTACGGCACCAGGAGAACATTAGATGTGCTTATTGCTGAAAACTTAGGGGTCAGTCTTCAATTATGTTTTCCATCATAAAGAAGTATTACCAATGCTTGTATTTATTATCATTTTTTGATCTATGCAAAAAGAGAATGGAGAAAAGGGTTCCTCGGTCTGCTTTCGGTTGGCGATCAAGCGAAGATCGCTCCCGAGTGTCGGCTCATTTTGCGACAGCCCTGTCCAATTAAATTGATAGCGCAGTCGTGATAAGCAGTCCCGTGTATGTTGGCAAAGATGAGCAGCCATTTCATATACAGATATTTTAATGATTCAAATCCATATTTCAGCGTATTATGCATTCTTGAATAATTCCATGAATATTTTCTAGAAGAGGTTGAAATATGAGTACATCTTCGTATGCCTGTCGTTGAAAGTGCTTCCAGACTTTCAATTCAAGTATCTGAAAAAACATATCTACGAAGCGCTATCCGTCAGACGGGTGCATCTGAAAAGTTTCGACTCCGAAGTCGTCTGTAGCTGAGCCAGTCGTTAAAGACCGGCGCTGATGCTGGCCAATGCCTTTAAATGCCAAGACTAGCTTGGAGGCCTTGGACGGCTCAATAACTCTCTGCCAACGCTTTCTGTTGTCCATAAGAGCAGGCGTAAAGGCTTCAGTTCTTCAAGGTTCCATTAGACTGGTCTTTTATTTCTCGTTGATAGCCTCGAATTTCACAACTTCTGTTTCGAGTGTGTCCATATCTAGCAGAACGACCTCGCCCGTTTCACTGAACTTAGGCAGCGCAATTAATCGGACTGCCTGTCCAGCAGGTCCGTCAATGACGATGGTATCATATTTGGGTTGGTTCCCGACAAAATACACGTGAGGGCATTCTTCGATGACAAACTGGTCCTTGTCTTGAAATGGATAGCACCCTGGACAATGTTAGGATAAACAGTGCGGCTCCTACAATTGCAGGTTGCAATTGGATATCTTAGAAAAGGTGGAAACTTACAAAGTGTATCTGGCGCCGTAGGTGCTCCACATCTCCACCGTAAAATATGCTCCATCATAACAAGCCGGTCGTCATCATGCACATATTTAAAAATGTCATCAATCGGCTGCCCACCATTGCCCATGAGTCGCCATCCGTCCACGTCTCCTTCCCACGGATTTGTGACAGGGTCGAACCAGCAAGGTCCGTCAGTTGTAGCTGGCGCGTTTGCGTATGCCCGGCTATGCGGGAAAAGTGCAGGATGAAGAGGTTGCTGGGGCATAGCAACGTTGGCCGGGTCGGAGGCACCCGGAACGAGTGTGATAGGGATAGATGGGAGAAGAGTGGAAAGGAAATTATCAAGATGCGTCGTCGGTGCTGAATTATAAGACGAGGAGTCATAGCCGTATCTCTTGCTCGTCTTTTTAGTGCTGAGCTCATCTCTTGGGGGAATTGGTGATGCCTCAGCCAACGAGTTGCCTGCAATGATCAGACGCGAAATCTGAGTGGTAGAGGCCTGCTCATCCCCACCAGCTGCTTCGCCCAACAGCCATTCCATGAGCATTTCTGTGAGAAGGCCAGACTCTTCCTCCCCAGTAATACTGAGTCCACTTATGAGAGCCACCCTATTCCCTGATGTCCTTGCCTCTGATGTCTTGTTTTTGGATCCAGTGACAGCTTCGGCATCGTCTCGCTCCCATCGCTGCGGTTGTCGGGGAAGATCGGGCACCTTCATATCAATAACTTCAAAATCGCCATTGGCGTTTTCCGTGCCCATCACGGCAATAATACATCCCGTCACCAACATTTCCGATTGTAATGGTGTGCCTATCATTCGAAGCCGACCAGACTCGTCTTCGAGCATGATTTGATCTAAACCATTCGGAGATACGAATTTCTCACGTGGAGGAGGAGCGGATATCCAATGCTATTCGCATTGCGCACGTTAGCAGGCATTTTTCGAAGCAAACCGAGAATCACTCACGTCTTTAGAAATATCGTCCAGAATATTCGGCTTTAAGGGCATGTCCATGTAAACAGTACCCACGACCCAACATAGCTCTCCTTGTCGTACGTCCAAGACCCGCTCTACACGCCGCACTCGATCGCCGGCTATCTATTATCCAAATTTCAGTCAGACCAAATAACAAAGCAGTCAAAGAAATGGTGTACCTGAAATCCTTCCCAAGCTTCGCTAGCAACTTCCTCAACAGCTGGCTTCAATTTTGCAAGTCGAAGGAAGTACATGTCGCCATATTGCTGCTGGTAGTGTCTCTGGTCCCCCCGAGCTAATTCGAATGAATGAAGTGGATTGTACGAGGAGGGTTTGCGTTCCGCGGCAACAAACTCCTCCTCCCTGCAATTGTTAGTTTAGATAGAGATGATTACAAGAATTTCATGCTCACCCCGGTGCCCTTAGAAGCTCTCCATCTCTGCTACCAGCCATTTTCGCTGCCATGCTTGTGCCAAGCACATACCAATTTTGTGATCTGTTGTATTGTTCGTGTAGATATCGCGTCCCTAACAGAACGCGATACGCGACAAGCGCGTAAAGTGGTGCCGGTTTAACCAGCTCGGTTAAGCACTATTCGCTATCACCTATGCGGGGATACAGGGTCAAATCGTCCTAACGTCACGTCTCATGGGAAAAGCGCACAGTAAAGTACGCATTACTGATTCAGATAACAGGTGTGCCCGCCATTACGATGCTTGAATACCAATGCAAAGCCTGGCATTAGCTAGAAACCTCAACCAAGAAAGAAATAATGGCGTGCTTATCAGCAGTTTCCTACGAAAACACCGATATGTTATCTTATTAAGGAGAGCAAAGCTCAGGCAAGTGTACCATAAAGAGCAGGATTTTTTTCAAAAGATCAGAGACAAAAACAAGACTCAATTGAAGCAGCTACAGATCCTTTGTGCAAACTTGCTCGAAATTGTGAGATGGAAGGACACAACCCATGTCACAATATTAACTCCCTCGTGAATTTCATTGAATGCTCAATTCGATTCTTAAGGTCACGTTCTACAGTTTCTCCTTGAAAAGGTTCGCGGCATAATTCTAGAGAAAAGGGTACTTGAAATGGGAATGGTGGCGCAGATTTGATGCTTGAATGATATTTGGATTCTTTTTGATATTTAACAGTAGGAGTACAATGTACTCACTGAGGTTAGGTTGATAGGAAACGAAGGACGACACATAATAGCACAAAGTAATAGACCAAGAAAGTAATTCAGTCCAGAGGTAGAGCACTTCGATCTTAATGCTTTGTCTATCCTTCGACTGTTACCTGGCACCGTTAACCGCGGCAGCCACCCCGCCAGGGAGACGACCATTAGGCAAAGGCTGCTGCTGTTGCGGCGGAGGTGGAGGTGGAGGCGGGGCGGGACCAAATGTTGGCGGCCGTTCCGAGGTAGGAGCGGCATGAAGGGCCTCCTCTTCGGTGTCTTCATCATACTCGCCTTCTTCGCTGCCCTCCTCATCCTCCTCATCGTCGTATTCATACTCGCTTTCAGTCCCATCATCCTCGCCTTCTTCAATCTCGGCCGTAGCGGTATTGACAGGGACCTGTCCACGCCCCTGAGCTTGCATTCCACGGCAGAGCTTTTCCAGATTGGCGTTTTTCTTGCGGAGCATTTCCAACTCTTTGTTGACACGTGTGCGCTCTTCGGCCATCTCGAGAATGTTGCGATTCGTCAGGTCATGCTTTCGAGTAAGATTGAGGTTCTCCTTTTCCAATCTCTTTGTCTTCTTCGACATTTCTTCCATTTCCTTTCGGAAAGTCAGAAATAGATCGTTGGAGTTGTTCAACGTATCCTCAACCTGATAACGGGTCAGTCTAAGAGCAGTCATGTTGCAAGCGCATGCGTGGTTATCCTAGTCTCACCTGTTTAAATTTTTCGACGTAGATATTTAGCTGACTTCGGAGTTCCGTCTCCGTTTGAGAGAACGTCGATACTTGGCTGCTCAGCGCCCGTGATCTACTGGCCTCTTGCTCTGCAGCCTTCTTTTGCTGTTCATATCTTGCCAGGTTGTACTGCACCTCCAATTCCTTGGTGCGAAGCAGCGAGTGAAATTGGAGTTCCCGAAGCTCAAACTGTTCAAGAAATGACTTAAACTTTTGCCGGAATCTGAGATGGGAATTGTGAGCAAATGATTTTGCTTATCCGAGGTGCACCAAGTACTTACAACTCGTCAGCCTCCATGTTGACCTTTTGAGTTTGTGGGTTTTCCTTTTGGTTGACGACTTCCCGAACTTCCCACAGCATGCCATCGAGTTTCTCGTTGAGATCTTCTCGGCCCCTTTTCTCCGTTTCTTCAAGCCTCTTATGTTCCTCCTGTACAAGCAAGACATGTCAGCAGTCTAGCAAGCCAAACCATTTTCTGACAATCTTTCTCCCAAACACACCTTCATCTTTTTATTCTCCCGAGTAAGTTCCCGGCATAGCTTCTCCAGCTTTTCTTTCATAGACATGGTCTTGTTCAGCTCAGTCCTTCCGGAGTCTTTCTCCTTTTGCAGCTGATCGGCCTTCTTCTTGTTCTTGACATGTTCGCGGTCAAGTCTGCGCATGTCCGCAAGAAGCTCTGTGTATTTCTTCTGGACGGCCTCCAAGCGAGAAAGGGGTGACTCAATATTGGAAAGAAGATTTGAAAGGTCACGATTGGCCTTTTTAACTTCACGCTCTGTTTTCACATGACGACCAGTTAGTGGCATGCAAGCAAGAGATTTAGTGAAGGCGGGGGAAATGTCAATCGAGGCTTGTGGCATTTTGAGGCTGCACAGACAAGGCACTACCAATAGGGACGAGCCAGGAATGATCAATGAATCATGACAGAGGCGCTGGGGCTAATTGAATTCCCAGCCATGACTCCTTGTGTCGACGCACCCAGATTCGAAAAGGGAAAACATACCAATCTCAGCTTCCTGGTCCTTTTCGCCCGCTGCATCGGATTCGAGTTGTGATATCTTCGCTGCCAGCAATTTCGATGTTTCAGTGGGATCCGCAGGTTTCTTTGCTTTTCCCTTCTTCGAGGCAGCTACTGCCGGGGCGGGGGCCGGCGCGACGTTTGCGCCAGGAGACTCTGTTTGGGGGTAATCCCCTTGACCATTGCTATGTCCGACCGCATTTCCGCCGTTTGCCAACGACCCTGAGCGAGATCCGGCGGGGGTTGCATGCTGTTGTGAAGCAACCGCTGCCATAGTGCTTGTCTAAGTGTACCCAATCTCCCTTCGATGCAGTCACGAGACGACAGGTTGGTCGAGTGTACAATCCGCAATTTGACAATGTGAAATAGCCAGGAAAGAATGAAAATTGCCGTTTCCTAGCGAACAGGCGCAGCAAGAAAGCTGAAGCGTGCTGAGCAACCTCGCAATAGCAGACGGAGTGGAATTTTCTCGAGGGCGGGCAAGCGGCCCCTCAAAATTAGATCCGGCTGACAAGGGCAAACGGATCCCCGAAAGCTCAATAGGAGTGTATTCGCGACAATCCGGAGCAAGGATTGACAGAGTTGCCGTAAGAAAAGGCTGTTTCGGAGGGCTATAGGTTTCGTACCAGTCAAGGGCGTGGGACGAGTCGGCCGGGGAAGAGAAAGGCCGTAATTTAGTCTGGGGATGTTGGAGGTTCTCGCACTTTGAATTCACTAAGTTAAACTCTCGCTCTCGCTCTCGGCTCGCAGCCTCAAATGGGAAATACGATTGAGTGTTATCCTCGGGCAAATGTCAGGATCAACATATAAAATGCGTCCAAGCATGAGAGTATTATATATTCAAATACAACTATTCAAAAGCGTTTCCTACATAAGCGCCTTCTATTCAGTCATAATCATTTAATTCCTTTTCGTCATCAGACTCTGGGTAAAATCACTGACTGACGACGAGATCTGAATGGCAAATCATGATTGGTTGATCACACTTGTCATTACCCGATCGGGTTCAGTTTGCTTGATTTGCCGTCACTTTGACCAATCTGGCCCTTCTCGGCCTCGTCCGAGAGTTTGACGTTGATGTCGACAATATTATCATCCCTCTACATCCCAAGAAATCATCACCGAGATCTGGGTGTTCTCAAGCATAATATGCTAAGAGCATCTTCGGCTTGCGCCTCAAAGGCGAGCACCAGGTCCGTTACTTCCGGTCCCTCGTGGCGGATTGCTCGTCCGCTACGCTCGGAATCCTTACGGCGCGGATATGCCTCTATTACCGACCTCAGTAAATATCCTCAGCCGGGAGACCAGTTGCATGGCTTCACATTCAAGCGTGCCAAACACGTTCCAGAGCTGGAGTTAACAGCTCTGCATCTGCAGCATGATAAAACTGGTGCCGATTATCTGCATATCGCTCGCGATGACAAAAATAATGTCTTCTCAATTGGTTTTAAGACAAACCCTCCAGACGACACCGGAGTGCCGCACATTCTCGAGCATACGACGCTTTGTGGGAGTGAGAAGTATGTTTCCTGTCGCAAAGGTCAGACATTGTTTGCTCGGACATCTTTTTCTGACCTATTCATAGGTACCCCATTCGTGATCCTTTCTTCAAGATGCTCCCTCGATCTCTCTCCAATTTCATGAACGCCTTCACTTCTTCAGATCATACCACCTATCCTTTTGCGACAACCAATCCACGCGACTTCAATAACCTGATGTCTGTTTACCTCGATGCCACGCTTCATCCTCTGTTGACGCGGAACGACTTTAACCAAGAGGGTTGGCGCATTGGACCTCAGAACCCTGTTTCGGCCCTCTCGGAGGATGCTCCTCGCGGAGAAGACGACAAGCTTGTTTTCAAGGGTGTGGTCTACAATGAAATGAAGGGCCAGATGTCAGATGCCAGCTATCTTTTCTACATTCGGTTTCAAGATCATATTTTCCCAGCCATCCATAATTCCGGCGGCGATCCGCAGAAGATTACGGACTTGACATACCAACAACTCAAGGATTTCCATGCCGAGCATTATCATCCAAGCAACGCAAAAGTCTTCACATACGGCGACATTCCTCTGGAAGAACACTTGAAGGAGATTGGGTCCCGCCTCGAGCGGTTTGAGAAGATCCAGAAAGACAGCGAGATCAGGGGCCCAATAAGTCTCGATCAGGGTCCACAATACGTCACGGTGAAAGGTCCTATCGATCCCTTGGTTGATCAAGATATGCAGTTCAAGACTTCCACCTCGTGGCTTATGGGAGACATGACGAACATTCTGGAGACCTTTTCCTTGGGTGTCATTTCGTCGTTGCTGTTGGATGGTTATGGCTCGCCCATGTATCGCAATCTGATTGAGGCTGGCTTGGGACCCGATTTTAGCCCCAATACAGGTTTCGATAGCTCAGGCAAGACGGGTGTTTTCTCAGTTGGACTGAACGGTGTCCGAGAAGCCGATGTTCCTAAAGTTAAAGCGGCCGTTCAAAAAACTCTTCAGGAAGTCAAGGAGTCTGGTTTCGAGAAGAACAAGGTTGACGGTCTGCTGCATCAGCTGGAACTGAGTTTGAAGCATAAGACCGCTCATTTTGGCATGGGCATAATGCAGCGGCTGAAGCCTGGATGGTTCAACGGAGTCGATCCTTTTGACGCGTTGGCCTGGGACGAAACTGTTTCCGCATTCAAGGAGAAATACGCACAGCCTGGATATCTTGAGAGCCTACTGGAGAAGTATTTGCTGAATGACAACACTCTCACTTTTACCATGGAACCATCAACAACCTTCAGTGAGGAACTCGCAGCTGAGGAGGCTACCCGCTTGGCTTCCAAGATTGCCGAGGCGGCTGAGAATGCCGGCGGTGAGGAAAAAGCTCGTCAGCAACTTGAGAAGCAAGAACTTGAACTTCTTGAGATTCAAGAGGCGGCCAGAAACCAGGACCTCAGCTGTCTGCCAACCGTCCACGTCAAGGATATTCCTCGTCAGAAAGAAATCAAGCCCGTAAGGGATACCCTTGTGGGAAACGCCAAAGTTCAGTGGAGAGAGGCGCCGACGAATGGTTTGACATATTTCCGTGCCGTCAATTCACTCGAAGGCCTGCCTGATGACTTGCGGTCGCTCGTTCCCTTGTTCACCGAGTCTGTGATGCGACTTGGTACCAAGGACAAATCCATGGAGGAACTTGAAGATCTGATCAAGCTCAAGACTGGTGGCGTTAGGACAATGTATCACTCATCTACGTCTCCTACAGATCTGACGAAGTACACTGAAGGCTTGGCTTTCTCAGGCTACGCTCTGGACCGCAATGTCCCCGCCATGTATGAAATCCTCCGCACTCTTATTCTGCAGACGAATTTCGATGGGCCGGACGCAGCAGCGAAAATCCGACAACTCTTGCAGGCTTCAGCTACGGGTGCAGTCAACTCGGTCGCAGAGGTTGGTCACTCGTTTGCTCGGCGTTTTGCCGAAGCCGGATTGACTCCTGAAGGACGCCTGGCAGAGCAGATTGGTGGACTTACCCAGGTCGGACTTACCGCTGAGCTCGCGGCTCGCCCTCTTTCAGACGGCTTAGCCGATGTCATTTCCAAGCTGAAGTCGATCCAAGAATTCGCCATTTCTGGAGGCAGTGGCTTGCGGGTCGCGCTTACGTGCGGACCCGAAAGTGCGTCCGCCAACGAGGCCGCCTTGAACAACTTCCTCTCTGGCCTGCCTCAATCATCGACCCCTCCAAAGGCATCGTCGCCACCGACTGTCTACCCTCGCAATTCGAAATCCTTTTTCCCACTACCGTACCAAGTCTACTACACGGCTCTTTCCCTGCCCACTGTCCCTTACACGCACGCCGCTGGTGCTCCGCTCCAGATCCTTTCGCAGCTCCTCACACACCGACACTTGCACCACGAGATTCGGGAAAAGGGCGGAGCCTATGGCGGTGGCGCCTACTCCAAGGGCCTAGGCGGCCTTTTCGGATTTTACAGCTACCGCGACCCCAACCCCCAGAATACGCTAAAGATTATGCGTGACGCCGGAGTTTGGGCGCGCGAGAAGGAGTGGACCGACAGGGATATCGAAGAGGCGAAACTCAGCGTCTTCCAAGGACTCGATGCCCCCGAGAGCGTCAGCGAGGAGGGCATGGTTCGCTTCCTGTCCGGTGTCGATGAGCAGATGCAGCAGCTTCGACGAGAACGTTTGCTCGATGTCAATGCCGAAGACGTAAAGGAAGTTGCGCAAAAGTTCCTTGTCGAACAGCTCGACAACGCCAGCACGGCCGTTCTCGGCGAACGTGGCGACTGGGTCACGGACAAGGATGGCTGGCAGGTAAGAGAGCTCGGCATGTCTGAGCCTGTCCCTGACAGTGCTTGAGGGTATGTAGAATGACCCTTTCCCTTTTCCCTCGTCATAATTTTGCTTGTATTATAATTTCCCGCTTTTCTCTGTTTTTGCATATTGTATATGTGTATATACATCTTCTCTCTCCTCTCCTCTTGGCATACCCGGCGTTTTCTGAATTTTTAACCTTTGGCGACATCTCAACATTAGAAAAAAGCGCCTTTTGTTGCGCGTTACAGCATTTTTGTTTTGTTGAGGGGGAAAAAAAAGGTAAACTACTGTTTCGTTATCTAGAAGGGGCATCTATTCTGATGCATTGCATATAAAACTCATTTTACCAACGCGTTTTATCTATACATACTTTTCCTTTTCTTCATCTTCATCTTCAACACTTCTTCCTTTGCGCATGACAACGCTAAAGGCTCTCGTTTCCTGTTTCATATCTTCCTTTATTGGTTCCCCTTGCACGCGCTGCTCAGAACAGATCTCAAGACGTCTATCAACCTTTTTCTTCTTCCATGGTTGTATAGATCACAAGTCAAAACAGTACGACAATACGTACTAAAAGCGCAAGATCATTAGCCTCCTTTTTAATTTTTCCTCTTTTGCCCCCCTCTTCTCCTTGTTACGGCTCTCCCCATTTTCTTTCTTTCTTTTCTTCAATTGCTTTGCTTCTCTTCATCTGCTTCTGGACATGCAACCTTGACTGGGAATTCCCCCGTTTTTTTTTCCCTTGTTTTTAAGGTAGTATCGTGTGTTGAGTTTGTGGTTCTTGTCTCATCGTCGCCTTCTTCTTCTTTCTCTTCCTTGTCTCTTGAGAATCCTCCTTCAAAGAACCCGTTCGTTTTTTGAAATCCCCCAGTGGGTGAGAATGAATGTGGACGCTTGAAAGGACCTCAAGATGGGGCCGGCAGGAAGTAGATGATGATGATGCGGGAAACATAGAACTCAAACATAATACATGATGTTAGTGAGAAAAGCAAGGGCGGGGGATTTTCTTGTAGTTTTGAGGGAGTTTGTGGGAAAAGGAAAAGGGTGCTGTCCAGTTGCGGGAGGGGTGAGGCGGGTTGAAAGGGGGAAGGGGGGAAATAGGTGGGGAGTCTTGCAGACGAGAAGAAGAAAAGAAGAGAAAAAATAGAAGGGGCGCCTCCGTCTTTCAGACCTGCTCGTTAGCAGAGCTTCGCACGGGCGGACTATAGACGCGAGGACATGCATGGTGGCATGGTGTATGAGAAATTTGTCCTTCTGCATGTTAGCCCAAGTCTTCACGAAAATTCACGATTAACAAAGTGATGTCAATGAAGTGTAACGAATAAAGAGACTGCAGGCGTGCCAGGCAAGGCAGTCATGTAATTCAAAAGAAAGGAAGAAGAAGAAAAACTTTTTCCCTGATTAAGCCATATTTCTAGCAAATTATGATAACACAACAAGTGGGTAAATATTATGCAGCAAATGATAGTCTAAAGCTTGTTCATTCCAAAAACAACAACAAGTCCCCAGTAATGACAGTATATCATACAACCAATCAAAAGACATGGACTAATGTAGAGGTTGGAGGGGATAATGAGAACCATTGTCCAAATCTACAATCCCAACAATGCCGACGCGCCCGGCTCACTGCTGACGTAGACGACATCGTGACTGTCGGGGAATCCGTTGAAGCGAGTGGCGGAGCACCGGGTATATGCTCCCATTTCCTCAAAGTAGAGCCAGTCGCCCACGTTCAGGTTCTCCGGAAAGTAGCAGCTTGCCGAAATGCAGTCAATCCCATCGCAGGTAGGGCCCCAGACAGAGTATTTGGTGGTAGGCTGAGTAGCGTACTCGGCCTCCTCTCGATCGTGCAAGAAGCGCTTGTTGGCGGTCAGGATGCGAGGAACAGGGTGCTGGTGGTCAAACATGATGCTGGAGAAGTTTCCATAGACTCCATCGTTGATGTAAAGCATGTGAGACGGGACCACCTCCGCAGGATCCTCGATGGTGCGGCGAGCGATGACGTTGCAGGCCAAGGTAAAGGCAGATGCAACATAGTACCGTCCCGGCTCGCCAATAACGCGGACGTGCGGGGGAAAGTGGTCATCCAACGCCTGGGAGAGGATGGCAGCCATGGGCTCGAAGCTCTCACCGGAGAAACCACCACCGACATCGAGAGTCTTCAACTCATAACCAAAGTTGGCTGCCTGGTCGAACACAGCGCGAGCATCCGACACGGCTTTGAGAAAAGCCTTGGGGTCAGAAGCGCCAGAACCCACGTGGAAGCTGACGCCAACGACATTCAATCCCAGCTCCTTGGCAAGCGCGAGCAGGCTCTCCGTACTATCCATGGAGGCTCCAAACTTCATGCTGAAACGACACAAGCTGCCAGAGTCATCAGTCAGGATGCGAAGATAGAGCTCCGCATCCGGGAAGAGCTGCTTCGTCTTGTAGAGCTCATCGGCATTGTCAAAAGTCATCTGCTTGACACCTTCGCGAGCGGCGTAACGAACATAGGACTTGGTCTTGCACGGCTGCGCATAGATGATACGGGATGGATCGACACCCAAGCTCAAAATCTGTTCGATTTCGCTCTTGGACGCACAGTCAAAGCCAGTGCCGAGCTCTGCGAGGAGTCGGAGAACGGTAGGGTCCGGGTTGCATTTGACCGCTGTTGACAGTTAGAATCATATTTTTTTCCCAAGAAAAAGCGCCGCAGATGGCTCACCATAAAATGGTTTGACTCGTTTGAGGTTCAGTTTCCAACGCAAATGCTGTCGGTAGACCTCGCCCAGATCGGCCACGAAGAAGGCATCCTCTTCTCCGGGCTCACAGTCATCATGATCGATGCTCTCGACGCGGTGTCGAAGAGCCTCCCCAATTAGTTGTTTCGGATTGCCAGCTGTCTCATGGTGAGAATCAAAGTGGCCATTGGTTGTCTTGAGGTGATTGGCATGGGCACTATTATGAAACGTGATCGTGGGATACGCTTCAGTGACCGTAGAGACAGCGGAAGGTGCCATAACCTTGTGCAAAGGTTATTCCTGTTCTCTTTCAGAATGTTTTTTTTCTTATCCTTAAACACTCGAAAGTGCTGTTAGGGAGGGCGAAAGCGCTCGGGATCGAGACTGATCTGTTGGCGAGGCCTCCTCGACTCTTCCTCTGAGAGAGGAAGAACCCTTAGAAGCGTCCTATGCGGCAGCTGGTAATTTTCGGGAGACCGAAGAAGAGAGTTTGAAGGAATCAAACTAAGCAGTAGAGATTCGACGGGATCGTTGAGCGAGACCAGTGGGGGGAGGCAAATCGTTGAGAATGTCTCGATGTGGGCGAATGGATACAAGTTGAAGAAGTTTTTCCGTCCGTGCCAACGAGGCCGTGATGGAAGGTGGTAGCCAGAAAAATACCGACCAAAGGCCGGGATCAAAGAGAATCGATAAGGATCTTCACGTCGTCGTCGGAAGGCGACAAAAGCGTGAGTCGGGGGCAGATATTGTGCAAAAAGGGAAGAGGGGGCAGAATGAATTTAAATAACGAACGCGGGTCAAAGTGGGCGAGGGAAGTTTTGGTGGTTGGCCCAATAGGCAAAAGTGGTGTAGCTAAGAGAAGTAGTGTGTGGTGGAGGCGCACCGGGGACCAATGACACTACAAGACCAGGTTGCCGATGACGTTCTAACGAAAGAAAAACGCACAAAAACGACAGGTTTCAGCGGGGAGTTGAAGGGGACAAAATATTAAAAATGCCTCTCAGCAACATGTTCATCATTTTTTAGAGTTTGGTCTCATATATACTAAAGTGCTAGTGATTGTGCGGAGAGGGGTGAGTAAAGAGGGAGTACAGAGGTGAGCACATGCTATTAAAAATAATGTATCTTCAGCATTTGGCAGCGTGGGACCCGGGGAAGTTTGGTGCTCGGTGGTGGGAACCCGAAATAATCTGCAGCTGTACGAGAAATGTGACTGGCCCCTTTGAGTCAGCAGTCGTACAAGTAAGATAACTAACTTGACTGCTGAAGAAATCAAAGGAGGATAAGACCGAGGGAAGGGAAAATTTTAGAAATCCCCCGACTGCCCCTCGCCCTAACGAAACGAGTCCCGATTCCCCGACCAAGTAAAGCTGCCGACGCGCTACCACCCTTAGCATCGTGGTACTTTGTATTAACTTATGGAACAGCCTCCATGTATATAGCTCCTGACCTTAATGCGTGCTATTGGTCTTCTCTGCAAAGAATGCGGAATAGAAAAGGACTCCATAGTTTGATAAATCTCGATTCCCAGCCATAAGGCAAATGTTTTCTTCAGAAACTATCGTTAGGAGGAGCCGCAGGCGGATTAAACAAATCCATCAATCCCTCAAATGCACGGCGGAGTCGAGTATCTCCATCTCTTCCACATCGATGCCTTCTTCCTCCATAACCATTTTGAGATCGACCATGACTTTTTCTGCACTGTTATACCTTTGATTCCACCATTTCTGAGTAATTGCTCCAGTCGGAAGCATCAGCGCTGCTACAGTTTCGCTGAATGACATATCTCTTTCGTTCCAGTCCCGGTCGGCCTGCGTCTCGCTCAGGATGTAATAGAGCATGGTTCCAAATGCATACAGATCATACTGCGGTGTGATCCAAAACATTAGTGCATGGTATGTCATCACACGGTGAGCCCATGTGTGTGTTGCCCACAAACCATGAGACTCTGTCTGGCCTTGTGTGGCAGAATTGATTCAAGCTGTGTCGAGATTCGGATACCAATGGTCAGTATGACCTTGATAACCTCTCGTCTCTGGCACCAAAGGCTCAGAAATCATGTTATCTTGTTCTGTCCATCCCCGTCCAATATCTGTGGCTAGCAGTCGTACAGAAGAAAGTCGTCCTAACTGTAGATTGATTGAAATCTCCCGCAGTCAAGGGCTATATCATGAGATCATTCCCCGAGATTGAAAAGTAAACAGATCTGCTTTTTCTAGTTCTTCCTCTTCGTAATCGTCCAGCGACGCTTCTCTCGGCAAAGGGATAGCATAATGACCGCTCTGAGCAAAGCCGGCACTTTCCATCAATGTGAAGAAAATAGCCTCACTCTGATGCCGCACTTTCATTGCAACCACAATGACAGCTGAAGGTGAAGCAGCAACCAATGCTGATAGGGTTTTAACCAAAGCCGGCGTTGAATCAGGATTGTACGTGCAGTCTGCTACCAGGATAAGATCAAATCTCTTCGTAGTACATGGACTGGGCAAGTTTTCCTCCCAATCAAGCACCTTGAATGACACTCTCGAGTGGACCTTTGGCGACAAGCATGAGAGATTCGTCGTCATGATCTCCTCCGCTTCTGGAAGGTCAGTGAGAAGGACCTCACAATTGGAAAGCACGTGAGCAAGACCAATTCCGACAACCCCACAACCACTACCCAATTCAATCACATTTATTTTTCTGCGCCCTGCCAAGGACTCTGTTATGAGCTTGTTAAGCTGTGGTAACCCTGGATCTTGTAGGGATACAATGCGGTCGAAATAAGAGGTCAATGCGACGCCGGCGTCCCTATTTTTGTCAGCGCTGGTCTAGATGTCCCGGCAGAAAGTGTGATAAGCATACCATATATGCCGGGCAATGCTTTCTCCAGTCTCTTCCCAAATCCCAACAACAGGGCCGCTGAGCAAATGAACTCGCCGCTCGACCTTTTTAGCTGCATCAGGGTTCTGAGGATCCAGCCTCGAACTCCAAGCAGAGATCACAGTGGGCAGACTATTTCCAGAAGAAGACTTTTCCGGTTCATTGAAAATGTCCACTAATCTCTCTCTGTCCAATCCGACATGAATTCTGATGGGCCATGAGAATTTCACGTGACCGACATCGAGTTCAATCTTCAGCGCCCGGGCACCTGGATTCCAATTGCAGTCCTTTTGCGCAATAATTTTGTCTCCAGATAATGCTGATGAAACTAGATTGAGCTCTCCGGCAAAGAATGATTCTCCAAGATCTGAAGTGACTGTCACGACGGCAGATATTGATGCCTTTCGTCCAGTAGCGAATGACAATTTTGGAGGTTTAAGAAAACGAATGTAATGCATGACCACTATGTAAGCAGTCAGTATTAAGTTCGTCTCGCAATGTGTTATGTAGGATACATTACGATTTGTTTTACGAAAGCATTGGGCTTCCGGTCCTTTTACACGCTCAGCCTCTGCTTCGTGCGATTAATTCTAAGTTTACTTCAGTATACTCGTAGACGGTTAGTCTGGCTAAGGTACAGGAGGCTCGGCAACTTTCTTTTAAGAATTGGCCGATCAATCGCCCCAACCACTCGCACGAGCTTAGTAAGAAGGAAAGCGCTTTGCCAAGGACGTCAGAGGTCTCGTTATAGCGGGAGAGACGGAGGCAGCAGCGGAGAGGTAACTTGACCGTAGAGTCAGTATTAGCAGTCACCCCCAAAGGAGGAGCACGTCCTTTACACTTCCCACGATTCAGGCCTGGCGCAACTACCGCCATCCTGCCCTTGCAGCAGCTACTAGCAAATGCAGCGGATGCCAGCAAACTCCCTTCATAATTGAACCTCTGCCTCTTCCATATTCCCGACCACAATGGTTAGAGCGTTTCCCATAGGGAACAACAAGACGGGCTACGACTATCACCTCTAAGCCCGCTATTAGGATTATTCCTTTCGAAGGTTATCTTTCTGCCCATTGAGTTGCCTGCATACAATCTCAGACAGTCACGTCAACCCGACTTTCGACCTGCTATAGGCCAACAGCAATAATATATTGACAAGATGATGCGACGTAACGATCCACGAATTCGTCAAACATGGAATCAAATTTCCCAGAGCGTTGAGTCGGCCAACGAATCAGCGCAGGCTAATATATTCTCTTTCTCCCACAACTATATCGGCCCTTGCCTTTCTTCACTTGGCAATTGCATCGGATCCTGCACGGCACCATGCTTTCCAACGCGGGAGGAAAGACTGCGGCGACAGCGCGGTCGATCACGAGGCCGGCCCGAGCTCAGCTTCGACTTTTACGATGACTGGGAGGACGATGATGGCGCTCGAGATGGTCTATTAGGATGGGGGAATGATGAATTAGACAGATTACTCGCGGGGTCAAGCGCAGGACAGCAGCCCACAGGGCGGCATCGGGCTATGAGCTACGGTGCACGCAGGGGGAAAGATGGGCGCGGAACACCCGGCGCAAGACGCAAGACTGTCACTGGCGAAGGACCCGATCCTACAATTATACCACGAACTTCGATATTCGGGTTCTTGCGATTGCCATGGAAGCTGGGGACCAATTCGCTCCGGTATACCCCCTCGGTTGCAGACCTCCAGGAACATCCAGGAAGCGGCAGACGGATGGAGTTAGAGGGCGAGCCTCTCCTCGAAGAAAACGATGAGGGTGCAAGAAATAGAGAGAGCGAACAGAGTCGGAAACGAAGCGACACACAGGGCTCAGCCGCAACGGTCGAGTCCTACAGTTCGCGTGGGGACCTCTTCTCCAGCGAAGACGAAGCCGATGCTATCCCCCTAGATGACGAATTCGCCGTGGTTCTGGAAAGACGAATGACCCTCTCCGGTCCCGATGACACTAAGAGCAGCAGCAGGACCCGCTCGGGCAAGCGCCCAAGCGCAGGCTCGCGCACGTCCACGAGAACGTCCTCTTCCAGAGACATACGGTCAAGTCTGAAGAGATCTCGAGAAGAGTCGGTTTCCGCGGCACGCCCGCCGAGCGTGTTGGAAACCCCGATGAGCGAAGCGCCATCAATGGCAGATCTGAACAGAGAAGAGGAGCAAGCACGAAGAGACGAAGAGGCCGAGATCGAAAGAAAGCGATTAGCAGCTCAGCGCCTGGCCGTCAAGCATGGTCTTAGTGTCCCGCCAGAAACAACAGAGCAAGATGAGGTTTGTCTCTCCCTTTCTCCTTCTTTTCCTTTTTTTTCTATTTTACTCCTTCTATCCTGCCACACGTTTCAGTGTAGCTTGCCCAAATTCTGACATCTATTTTCTAGTCTGTCGAGCAAGATGCTCATTCTCAACCCTCCGTGCCACATACGAATCCCTCTCCTGCAGAGTTACCTGATACGACACACGCGGAGCCGTCTAGCTCAGAAAATGATGCCGCAGCATCCAATTCCCCCGCCTCTGGCCCTACAGCCTCTGAATTCGTACCAGCGCGTCTCCCTCATTTTCCGGGTTCTTGATCGCCGAGATCACCTCATCTATCCCAAATAATCGCGCGTTGGCGTCGTCTAATAGACTTGAGCCGGTTCACGCCTCTTATCTTTCTGTGACATCACTTATACCTTGAGGTTTATTCTATTTCTTTTTATTATTTATATGCTTTGGGACTTAAAGTCTATGGACCCCCTTTTTTGAGACCTCTTGGGGAATGGAGTTTAACCACGGAATCGTTTTCTTGAGACGCCGGGTTTTCGGGTTTTATATTTTACGAAAGATATCCTATAACGAATGTATATTGTTGCTCGAATGAATGTTTCTCTCATACATCTTATCATTTCGTTCGGGGTTTAGTGTAGTGTAGCGACTGACCTATCGTTTGGTTTGGCTTATCTCTTCCTTATTGACCTGCGTGCCAGATCACTGCCGCAATCTAGGCATGGATATTATGTCATTTATGCCTGCTTCGAGGAATTCTTCACCGTTTTTATACAGAGAATACATGGTTAATGAACCGAATGCAAAGATGTCAGCGGAATAACTTCTCCGTTGAATAGATTCTTAATGATTGATTCTAAATTGTAAACGCCTCATCATATATATCAAAAGTCATCATCTAAACCCAATGCCAACGCCCATGGAATCTTATATCTCTATATCCAGCATGCTCTATCGGATATCCAAGAATGAAAAAGAAAATCTAAGTATTTAAATCATGCGCTCTATCTTGAGGCTGGTCTCCTCTGGAGAAACGTTCGACAAACGAAGGTAACCACTGTTTTCAATTCGCTTTTGCCATTTCACGGCCTCGTCGCGAGCGAGGATTACCGTCATGCGCAAAGCTGGCTCCTCGGTCGAGGGAGCGGGGCTAGCCCTGCTGGAGTCAGGCGGCGTTGGCAAGGCCGTCGTCCTGACATCTTGCAGGGCATTGGGAGCAATTGGAGTGAAGGTCCATCGACCAAACGCCCAGTTCAGAATGTATTCGTTGAGATGGCCGGAGAGTTCGGTTTCGGAACCGGCAAGGTCGCCGGTGGACGATTTGGGCACTTGATTCGAGGCAACAACAGCCTTGATGCGGTAAACCTCATCTTTCGGAGCAGCAAGCAGCAGTTCCTCTAGCTTTTCCAGGTTCACGGACGCTGGCTGCTTGGGGGCACCGAGTGTAACGGATAGTACGTTTACTTCGCTCTGGTGAGCCTTTGTATCGTCATGCTGGTGGTCATGGTTGTGAGCATGGCCGTCGGTGGAGACTTGAAGTTCCCTTGCAAGACCGCTGTCAATTCCAACAACAAGATCTTTGGCCACAACGCCTTTGTCCGATTTAACCCAGGCGGTGTCAACTTCAAGGTCCGCCACGCGGTCCAAGCACTCGTCGAATCTCCGCTCATCGCAGTGCTCCCACTTGTTAAAGATGATGAGATCGGTATATCTGGCTTGGATCTTGGCGGTGTAGCTGGTATCGTCATATCCTTTCCAGTTTTCGACATCAATGACCGAAACAACTCCGTCGAGAACATAATCGCCCGTCTCTTTTCCAAGTCTGTTCACTTCCATAGCCAGAGTAGCCGGGAAGGCGCTTCCACTAGTTTCGACGATGATTCGATCGGGCGCAACATCTTTGCGAAGATCACTGAGAGCGTCGCCCAGTTGGCCAACCAAATTGCAACAGATGCAACCGTTCAGCAGCTCCTGCACACCGGAGATAGAGGCATTGGAGGCCAGCTTAGTGTCGATTGCGACATCACCAAATTCATTCTTGAGGAGAGCGAGCTTGTATCGAGGAGGCAGTTGAGGGATGAGATTCAAAATGAGAGTTGTCTTGCCAGACCCGAGGAATCCGGTAATAATTGTGATGGGAATAGGAGCCATGATGTTGACGTTCAAAAATTGATGATTATAACTGCCTATTAACAAAAGAATAGGAGAAAGGAAAAAAGGCTCAGGGATCTATTATGAATCAAAAAGATGTCTCCCTCTAGACTTTTGCCATCGGTCGGCCAGGAACGGATGATCCATCGCGCGATTTCGGACGTTAGCGAAGCCGCATGACGCGAAGTGCCGACTGGGGAAGGAACGAGGGGCAACTGCGTGCGAAATGGAGGGGCAACCAGACAAATTAGGGGACCTACGTCACCCTAAGATCTCGACTTCCCCCCAGATTGGCAACACGTTGACATGGAGAACGTGTTGACCTTTGCCATCATTGGAGAAGATACAATTCGAGACTGTCACTAACCCACATTTAATATTTTCCCCTATTTGCGCCAAACTCTATACTTCCTCTTCACTGTCTGGTATTGTGCTTTTGCACCTTCCTGCTCTGTGCGCCAGCCAAGACATCCCACGTTGCGAATCAGGTTTTATTCCTCTTCAGCCGACGTCACTCTTTATTCTCGGCCGGCATTCTCTAGCTACAAAAGCATTTCTTGAATCCCGACTATCGAACAATCAAAAGGAAAATAATAATCCATATCCATCGTCTTCAGTCCTATAACCATCCCAATACCTCGAGCAAGAAAACAAATAGGATAACTATGGACGCCCTCAAGAACGCCGTCGGTATGGGGAGTAACAACGAGAATGGAGAGCAACAACCACAGTCATCTAAGCAGAGCGGTGGCTTCCTTGGTGGACTGGGTGATAAAATAAATAGCGCTGCTGGCGGAGGAAAGGAAAGCGAAAAGGATGAAGACCTTCTCGACAAGGGTAAAATATATCTGCTTCGGTTTGCCATAGGTTGACTGTGTACTAACATCCTCCCCTCTAGGCGTCGATGCCTTTCAGCAGTATGCTCTTGGGCAGGGTCCCCAGGATAACGAGTCGGCCGTTGAGCAAGCTAAAGACGAGCAAATTTCCGATTTTATCCGCTCTCAGTACAAGAGCACTACAGGACATGAGTTCCCAGTCAAGGACAAACCTACGAAGCTGGATAGAAATGCCGATTGATAAACTTGTTGAAGCAGATTGATTGGAGGAAGAAGGGGAGGAGAATCCCGTCTATAGTCTGACTGAAAGCACATTATTACGCCTGCAGGAGCATACGTGGATAGCAACATTTCGGACTTTTACCAGCACATATTGCATTATTAGCATACAAAGCATTATTAGGCAGTGTCGAGCATTTTCCGCCGCATAGTATCTATTATCATATCTGAATAATGTATTCCTTTTTTATTTGATAGGTGGACGCTATCATAAGCATAATTATACTCCGCCGAAACTAATTCATCATTGTTGGAAGCACGATGAACTTTTTGATTTATACATAGAAATACAAAATGAAATACACGGAACAAAAAAAAAATTACCGGAGAACTAAATAAAGTATTCTTAGCAGATTAATTAGCAGCCTGAAATAATTAAAGATTCTGAATTTTCATGATTATTTCAGTCAATTTAATTGGCTTTAATAAAGTTGTAATTAAAATAGGAACTACGGAGTAGAAATCCCTGACTACTTCAGGTTCAGGCGAGGCTTCGAGATTGATGAAAGGCATTATCTTACGGTACACTCGTTATTAGTACATAGGAAAGATTGATTGATATCAATTCAACAAGCGTCGTCTTAGCTCAATTGGGAGAGCGCCAGACTGAAGTCAACTTCTGTCTAAACGCAAACGCGTTATCTGGAGGTACTGTGTTCGATCCACAGAGACGACAAAAGTTTCTTTTTAATTTTTTTTGGGTCGTGAATTCCTTTGTGACTCTGGGACCCTTTTTTTTAAGATACCATGCTGCCCGCATTTTCTTTTTTATAAATGTGGGCTTTCATCATCCAGCGCAATCTTCATTATTATAATGTTTGCAATGGCAACTTTCATTTGTCTCCTGGTTCTTTAGTTCATCGCTCTTGCAGAGATCTCAATGGGATCTTTGACCTCGTTTCATGCTTTCGCGGTTCAATCAACATGTTACTTGCAAATATGTCCTATGCCTTGATTATATTTGACGATGCCTTTTACTTCTAACTGCGTTTGTGGTAGGCCTTTCAAGCAGCCCATCCCTAAGTCGCGCCTGCCATTCATGGAACGGCCAAAAAATGGATGCCCATTGCTTTTACCACAACATAAACATGGGCCCGGCTGACACAATCGCTTTCTTTTGCTTCGCGTCCTGTACCTTGTTCATCAATCATTCATTTTCTTGGAATCATCGTTGCATCGATATCGTCGTTGAGACCGGGTTACACTTGCTTTCAGAATCTTGACATTTTGGCTTGGAGAACCAACAACCTTTTGCAGCCTCTTGGCTTGAGAAAATAAACTTCAATTTGCTCTTTCATCGCCTCAGCATGAAGATCGGTCCTCCTTATCCCTTTAAAGGCGACCAGAGTCCGCAGCGTCCCTCACGGTCGACACAGTCGGTGGATGAAGAGCCACCTCCATACACAGAATGGGAGCCTTTTGTCAGGGACTTGAGCAGAATCGCAAGCTCCGGAGCTCAGGCATTTCCTTGTGAGCAGGATACTAGTTCTTCTACCGAAGAAAGCGACTCCTTCCAAATTTCAAGTGCCCAAGGTGATTGCACACCTTACAAGGAAGAAACAAATCCGTTTGGCCAGATCGATGGGAAAGTCCATCAGTTCATTTTACCGATTCGCGAAAAGCCGCAGAACTGCTTTGCAGGCTCATATGCATCGTTACCCGTCTTGCTTGAGAATCCGTTGAACGAGAATGAACTCAGCAATTTTTCACATCAGTGTGCGGATCAAAAAGAAGTCGAAAGGATGGCTTCCATCGTCATGGGCCAACCTGTGATTGTGAATATGTCTCATGTCGACCCGCTAGCTGCGGAATTTACAGCCCAGGAGTTGGGAGAGATGTCAGAGAAGCCCGAAAATTCGTCCATGCAGAGATCTGAGAGCTTTGCACCTGGCGATGATAAAGCGTTTTCATCAACGCCGATTAATGAAAAGACAATCTCCGGGTCCGAAGAGGAAGGACGTGGCCAGCATTCGGAAACTGACAATAACCCGGAATTAGAAACAGATGTTATTCCAGAGGAAGAGTCTGGTCATGAATCCGAGGAAGATCACCTCTCACCGGAAGAAAAGCTCAGGAAGACACTCAAGCAAGAAACAATGTCAACTCGTTCCTTACCGCCCCATGGTGACCGAACCGAGATAGCTGAACCACTTCCTATGCTAAGAGAAATCCCTTTGGGATCTATACCGATATCTGCAGCTCAATCTGCGGACGATAGTCTTATGCAAACAGAAAGCACCTCTGGAGACTCCGTGAAAATTGATTCTGTGCAGCCACTCTCCAGCAGCTCTGGAGTAACATCTCAACTTGCAGGGGTTTTGAATAATGACGTTTTTGGGCCTGCAGCGCCGGTTAGTCTTCATGCTCCCCAGAACCCGGATAGCTCTCATAGCGACCACAACATTCATCAGCCGGGCCTAATGGCATCGATGCCTCAATCGGGACATATCAATGTCAGTGCTTCCAAGACCAACAAGTATCTGCTAGATCATTTTACGGATACTCATGTGTCGCTGACATCATCTGAAAATCCCAATTCACCAATTCCGAGCATCACTGATAGCTGCATTGGGTCAGGATCCATAGTTGTTGCCGTGGATTGCAGGAGGCTAAAATTCGCCACGGAGGATCGTCAAGACGACGAGTTTTACACCAGGTTCGGCGGAATTTATATGGTTCTGCAAATGTTTAACGATCAATGGGCATTCTGCTCGAAACTGCGGATGACCACAGCACTCTGCCAGTACTGCTATGACCGAGAACAGGAGAATAAGAAATTCAGTAGGGCTGGGCTGAAGAGATTATTCCGCAGAGGTTCGACCAAGGAGGTAAAGAAACCTGATTATCGGATTCAACCTGAAGTGGATCCTCGCATGGGACCGCTCCTCGGATTTCTGCCTCTCAGCGCTGTCACGTTGCTTCCAAACATGGAGGATTATTGCGCGCGCGAGAAGGTCCTGACAGGATCCCATGAGGTTGATATTGATGTGCCGATGAGAACATTGAGTTTGCAGGGGGCGAGTCGCTACTACGACTCGGATGGAGTTCTTGTCAGCGAAGAGATCTATCAAAAATGTTTTGAAAATTGCGGAGGGCGCTGCTTCCACCCGCTAACGGCCAAGAAGATTCTGAAGCAGCTGTACAACGAATCTATTCGAGAGAGCTCACGGGAGCGCGCCGAAGAATCTGCCCCGAAGCTTTCTACCAAGCGCTCCATCAAGAACTTTTTCACAGGCACATTTTCGCGACGCGGAAATGGTCACAAGCGAACTCCACTTCCGAAGTAGAGAGGGGATATTCCAAGGGTTTGTCACGACATTTGTTGGCTGGAGGCTCGAATGATTTGGTTCACGACTGCTGCGTTGTCGCTGAGCTCGTTTTTTTGTTTTTTGTTTTGTCACCCAACGGCGGCACGAATTCTTTGTTGGTTTTATCAGTTCTTTATCAGTTTTCTCGCGCTTTGACTGCGGTAATGTATATTTATAGGCGCAGCGTTCCTTTGGCAGACTTGGAATGATAGGCGCGGTGTTTTCTTTTTGCGGGTATTGGAATGGAGCTTGGAGAGAGGAGTCCATCGGAATACCCTTAGTTACTTTTTCTTACGCCGGCTGGATACCACGCTTGGTCGCTCGTAGAAGAGCGCGTTTATTGTATTTTTCATTCCCTTGCCGGTACTTTTCGAAGCCCGCAGGCATTTTGTTAGGCGTGCAGATGAGCAATAGTAGACAGCCCCTTGGAGGCTTGGTCTTGCTCGTAAGAGCATTAAATGTATCAAATACGACTCCTTAAATCTACACCACGACCTCATAATACGTGACACTACCATTCCACTACGTGTTCTTTTTATTTCCGAAATTTTTTATCATTACTTGGCTTGACACTGAGTTCTCTAACGATTGCCTCGGAGTAGGTAGGTAATATAAAGTAGCACGCGTTTTCCAGCGCTTCCTTGCAGCTACACATACGCGGGCGCGTGACATGCATTGTAGAGTCAAACGCGACAGCATCAATCGCAGTCAGTAATTATTAACACCTTTTTGAGGGGGTTTTTTTTTTTTTTTTTTTTGAAGGGATCCTTTGTCATTCTTCCAGAACCATGAGTACCAAAATGATTTCTATGCACTCAGTTTTGAAGAATGTGCATACAATGTCGACAAGTCGCGTTCGCTGGACGTGCCCTTAGACCACCTGTGGCTGTCATTTACCTACCTACTTTACTGTTTTGCTTTTGCTCTTCCTGGAAGACTCGACGAGCAATTCATCTATTCTCGGGCCTGGTTGATCTACTACAGTCAATGGTAGAGCTTACTTGCTTTTCTGCTCCAAATATGATTCTGTCATAAAATATATACGAGGTTAGACTGTCGGATATAAATCCCTTGAATCTTTACTTCTGTTGATGTAGACAAGGTGAGCAAGAGATGGTTGTTGATAAAAATGAAGGCGGTCGATCTGGTTCGTTTTATACATCCCAATCTAGGTAATTTGACACGCCTACGTCAATGTGTCTGGATCCTACGTCCAGTCTGGATTAATTTACCACGGCACATTAAATAAATTTAAATTAGATTATGCGCTGTGTAATAGATTGGGATATTCAATGGTAGATTTATTAAACCAATTTATTTGAATTTATTTTCTTCATTATGTTGAGTTATCAATTTGTTATTTCGATAAAATATATAAACATTCAAATAATCATGACGTTTTATCACTACTTTCTCAAACAGAACAATACTGTATCTACAGAGAATGAAGACACGAGATATCATCTCTATTCAATCACAGTCAATATATTATATAGCTCCGCATAACGTAATTACCTCTCCCTGTACATCTAAACATTACATCTTCATCTTCACACTGACTTACTCTCTGTTTCACCAGACTTCTCCCCGACAGGGAAAAACACTGCTTACATAACCTGTCTCACTCCTCCGCTTCCCGAGACAGATTAAGCCAGAAACAGTTAGCTCAAAGTGAAACCTACCAATAAGCAGCGTTGTTGAATGAAGCGAGATCTACGAGATGGAAAGGGCTATTCCGGAAATAGTAATTCAGACACACAGGGGAAACTGCGTTGGACGTCTACGCCTTCTGTGTCGTCAACGTGCCGCGGGATGGCGCCGTCAATAAAGTAACTTGATCCCGAGGTCCAGGATTCCCCATGAGTTTGCCTTGTGCGACAACACTGCAAGGCTACAGCGCCAGGTCCCCTTCGCACGAGTACTCTGTACGTATCTGTAGGGCCTTTTGGATTTGGATGGGGGTTTAGATATCGGCTGCAATTATCCTTGTACAATAATACTCCGATAAGATTAAGCATACTACGTACAGCGATACTACGTTTTAAGCGGCCGCGGGAACCCTTGGGCCCAAGACATGACTGAAAACACTCGCGAATGGCTTGTGTAAGTGGATGGTACAGGCAACAGGGACAACGGACATGAACGGGGCTTGAAAGGAGTCAACCAAAAAAAAAATCATCGTGTGCTGAGAGTTGAGATATACTCATATGATTGAAGCTTGGAAAAGCGGGCATAGGGAAATAAACGCTTCGAGTAGACACGAGCTTGACTTGTCAACTAATATACGATATAAGTTATGATTCACACTACGGAAAATGGATGTCCTGTCTTTCGAGTGCTGCTGGAGGGAATATGATGTGGTAGGATACGGGGATGCAAAGTTTGAACAGGCTTGGGTTAATATATGCATTGCAGTATTTTAAGTCGTCTGGGCAATTTGATGACTGCAGTCAGTGGGCGGGCAGCTCGGTGTTTCGAATACTCCGTGGAAATTAGGCACAAAACAATGTCACAGTGTGATGTTACATGCTGGCCAAAATGTACGCGTCAGAACTACAGGATATACGTCACTGGTCCGTCAGAAAGGAATGTTACTCTGGATTCTTTCATGGTGGGTGTTGTTTTGCGAGAGAAAAGAAGGGAGAGAATGAGACGAGGTCATGTCTGTCGGAATGTAGTGTCAGACGTGGTTGTAATCAGGTGACTGCGCGGGTCGAGCGTGTCTTTTCGAATTCTTCGTTGTCCTGGCAGCAGGGCGAGTCGGAGGAATGAAAACATACCTGATAGTGTTTATGGATGTCGGAAAGGAAAGAATGGCAGTAACTGTCGATCGACGTGTCAAGTCCCCAGATAGAGATGCTGGTAATTATTGTATCATTATTTCAATAATAATAATAATAATCTTATGACTAAGGATTAAAGATGACAATGGCTACATGTGCAAAATATCGTTGACCATACAGAATGAAAAGAAAAGTAAATAAATGAAATTCAGATCCGACCAGCGTGTGCTTTCCCAAATGGACAAAATGATACACCAATAAAGATTGCCTATAGAAATACATAAAATGAAGAAATACAAATCCAAAAAAATCCTTTCAAACACCTGAAGAAGAAAATGTTTCTGCCAAGACAAAGAAGAAAAAAGGAGGTTAGTTTACATGCCGCAAAGATCTGGGAATATTCAGCTTTGAACAACGAACCTTGGATCTAGCAAAAAGCAAAACTAAATGCATCTCAAAGGTTACCCAATCTACAGGAGATAGGCACCGCTGGCAATGAGAGCGACGAGAGCGGCAACGGCCTTGAAGCCGAGAGCATTGGCAGACGAGGCACCGCCCTCGAATGTCAGAGGAGCGGCAGTGGAAGAGCTGCTGGCGGAAGCAGACGAGGTAGCAGTGCCGCTTGAGGCAGAAGTAGCGGTCCAATTGCCGGCAGGAGCGCCTCCGGCGGGGGCGCTACCGGCGGGAGCCCATCCACCAGGGTGGTGGCCAGCATCAGTGGGCGCAGGAGGCTCGAAGGTGGTGCTGGTGGTGTCGGCAGCCTCTGTGCTGGAGGCCTCGTAGCTGGTAACGCTAGCGGAGGGCTCGTCGCACTCCTCGCTGCTCCAGTCGGCAGTAGCAGTAGCAGAGGCCGCGTCAGAAGTGGTGTAGTAGGTGACCGTCGGGGTCGGCTCATCGCACTCTTCGCTGCTCCAGGTGGCAGTATCAGAAGCAGTAGAAGTGGCAGTAGGCTCGTCATCGCAATCCTCGGAGGCCCAAGAGGAGGTTGTGGCGGTGGCGGAAGCGCTCCAGGTAGCACTGGAGCTCCACTCCTCATCACATGGGTCCGTGGTGGTGGCGGCAGCGGAAGTCGAAGAGGAACTTGTAGTCCAAGTGCCCTCTTCGTCGCCGCAAGGTTCAGGGCTTTCAGTTGCTGTTGAGCTTGCATCAGCCGACGTGCTGAAGGAAGTGGGCGTAGCCCAAGCAGGGTCGGTGACGGTGGCCTCGGCCGCAGTGGGCTCGGCATAGAAACCAGTAGGTGTTCCTCTGGTACTCCACTCGTCGCAGGGATCGGTGGTTTCGCAGGGAGAAGTAAAGGTATCGCATGGGTCGGGCTCTTCGCAGGGAAGAGACTCACTAGCGGGAGTGACCATTGCACCGCCTTCCTCTGTGGTGGTGGCCGGCGCGGCCGCGACGGTGGTGGTTGGCGCTGGCGTTGAAGTGGTAGCAGCAGCCTCCTCCAACGCGGCAGTGTCAGTGGGCACCAAGGTCCAAGCTGCAGGAGCCGCCATGGCTCCTACAGCGGCCATCACAAGGGCGGTGGTGATAGTGGTCTTCATTTTGGCTATAGTATTGCTGTCGTTTCCGGCTCTATAGGATGAGTTTGATTGATGGCAAAAGAATACAAGAAAAATAAAATTGGATATAAGTGAAGAACTAATATCAATTGCGCAAAAAACTTCAAAGCTCAAAGGAGTGACTGGAAAAGAGCGGAACGGGGCCTGGGCAACAGGGACTCCTTTAGAGCTCTAGAGATCCGGAGAATGAACGACGGTTGGACGAGAAACATGGTCATGAAGGCCAAGACGCAGATTTTATAAACTCAAGATAACAAGATTGGATCATCGCAGGGGGAATGAAGATGAATTCCATTGCACATATTTCGCGTGGGACGTGGGTCAAAACAACAACGCTGGATTTTGGTGAGTGTGAAGAGCAAGAATGAGGATAAAATTGCAAGCGTATAGTGCTGGACGTGCCAATGTTGATGATCAAATCTCGCCTCGGCGGCCATCGGCCAAGAACCCACGCAAGGGGTGACCCCTCGAGGCCATGCCGGGCAGGACCGTTCCAATCAAGCTCCATGAGAGAGAGCAAATGATTTGGCGCAGTTACATCGTTGAAGATGACCATTCTTGAAGTCCCCTGTGTAATCGGGCACATAACTAAATCGCAAGGCTTTGTTAATCACGCGTATCATTTGGGGTGCATCTTCCAATAATAGCGGCAGCGTCTGCAACGCCTCTTTCTTTGTCGAATTGCAAGACAGAATGCATGACGCTCTGCTCCATTGCCGCGCGTTATGACGAACGTTTGGTTTGGCAACGGGGCGAAGAGAACCCGTTCCCAGATTCCTTGCCAGATGAGGATACTGCCCGCGTGAGACAGGTATACCGTAGTAATCGAACGATGATGATGTCGGCTCCTTTGATGGCTTTTTTCAACGGTTTCCCATGCCAGAAATGCCCATAGGTCTACAAGGCACATTCATTACTCATCCTACGACGCCCATGGAAAAATGTTTGCACAAGATCAGGGCTCACAAAAAATGGTTATAGCACATATAAAAAGCATGTCATGTCTCCCATCTATCGACATTCACCCCCCATCGCCATCAATGAAGACGACACATCGAGAGGCAAACTTCCTATCCGGGACTATTCCGATCTCCAGAACCACTGGGACCTCTTTCAAGAAAAGGTCCCATGGCAACGCGCCCGCTGTGGAAGAGTTAAAGCGGTGGTCGTGGCTGGTTCTGTTGGCTTTTTGATAAAGAGAAAAGAGGATCGGAGGCTCAAGGTCGCGAGCCTTTTTGTGTTGCGATGAAGTCACGTGCGTATACATAGTGGGTCTGCCTACTCGAATATACCAATTACGCGTAATTATTAGAACATGCCAAAGTCTTCTCGCTTAGATTCTCCTTACATAATATTGATCAATCATGAGATATGATTGGCTTTTTGAGATATACGAGTACGGAGTACTTTAGGAACCATGATGGGAAGGTAGAAGAAGAAGTGCAGAATAATTGAGGGGACCGAGGACCTTGGTGACAGCAACAGAGATGCATAAAATTGCCCATTCAGCTGCAAGCAATGGTCAGCATGCTTTTCTCTCCCCTTCACACGTAGGGCTGGCCTGTAGTTGAATCTTCCAATGGTAAAGCTCCGGCGAGAGACTTGAAAAACCCCCCATAATGCTCCGTGCGACCCTCCGATATTAGCCGCGGTGTCTAGCAATCGTCCACCGTCGTCGGCCCGCATCAAACCATGCCCATCCGAAGCAACAAGAAGTCATGATCCCTATCGGCAGGTCTTGTCGAAGTTATCAACGCTTACCACTACATCTAGGATATACCTGCACTTAGGGGAATAGAACACACGCTTTTTCACTTTTTGGACAATCAATGCCCGCAATACAAAACGGCAGGGAAAATCTGTTCCCTTCCGCCGTTTCCCACTTTTTTCTTGATCCTATCTGTCCTTTTTAAACGTTCTTCATCTTGAGACAACTCTTCCGCCTCGTAGTTGTTTTTTTCCCTCTTCCCATTTCCACCATATCTGATACCCCGCAAATCCCACATTTGCTATATACCAATACCGTTGCCTTTTTCGAGAGCCACTTTTAATTTTACGAAATCCCCATTTTCTCAATCTTCTATCCTTCTCTCTCTCCTTTTTTTCTTCCCGTTTTTAGCACAACCATGAGCGCTCCCAACGGCACAAACCTCAAGGCCACCGCGCCTGCATTCCAGCCCTCGGCGCGCTACCACGCCGCGTCCTCGGAGCAGGCCATTGCTCACGAGCACAAGTTTGCTGCTCACAACTACCACCCTCTTCCCATTGTTTTTGCTCGCGCCAAGGGCACCTCCGTTTGGGACCCCGAGGGCCGTCACTACCTCGATTTCCTCTCCGCCTACAGCGCCGTCAACCAGGGCCACTGCCACCCGGAGCTCATCAAGGCTCTCACCGAGCAAGCTTCGCGCGTGACTTTGAGCAGCCGTGCCTTTTACAATGACGTCTTCCCTCGATTCGCCGAGTTCGTCACCGAAATGTTCGGCTACGACATGGTCCTGCCCATGAACACTGGTGCCGAGGCGGTCGAGACAGCTGTCAAGCTTGCCCGCAAGTGGGGATACAAGGTCAAGGGTATCCCGGAGAACGAGGCCTATGTTCTCAGCGTGTCGCAAAACTTCCACGGCCGTACGGTATGTTTGTTTTTCATATGCATCTTACTCTTCTTTTTATTGTTCTTCTGTGCAGGCTGCCCGTCGGGGGGACCATTGACCGCAAAGACTAATAAGAGTTATAGTTTGCCGCCATTTCCATGTCTACTGACCCCGAGTCTCGCGACAACTACGGCCCCTACCTGCCCAACATTGGCTGCCACAACCCCGTGACGGGCGAGGAGCTCAAGTACAACGACATTGAGGGACTGCGCAAGGCGCTCGAGGCCCATGGCCCCAAGATTGCTGCTTTCCTGGTGGAGCCTATCCAGGGAGAAGCGGGCATTGTCGTGCCCGACGACAACTACCTGCGCGAGGCCAAGGCGCTGTGCGAGAAGCACAACGTCTTGTTGATTTGCGACGAGATCCAGACCGGCATTGCCCGCACGGGCCGCATGCTCTGCAGCGAGTGGAGCGGCATCAAGCCCGACCTCATCCTGCTGGGCAAGGCCATCAGCGGCGGCATGTATCCCGTCTCCGCCGTCCTCGGCTCCAAGGAAGTCATGCTCACCATTGAGCCGGGCACCCACGGCTCGACCTACGGCGGTAACCCGCTCGGCTGCGCTGTCGCCATCCGCGCCCTTGAGATTGTCAAGGAGGAGAACATGGTCCAGCGCGCCGAGGACCTCGGAAACCTGTTTCGCCAGGGTCTGCGCGACATCAACAACCCCATGATCGAGACCATTCGGGGCAAGGGCCTGCTCAATGCCATTGTCATTGACGAGTCCAAGACCAATGGCCACAGCGCTTGGGATCTTTGCATGCTCTTCAAGGAGAAGGGTCTCTTGGTACGTCACAAAGAGAACCATTAACTATTTTTGATTCTTTTACCCTCTTCCGGAGAACAATGTCCTTGCTAACCACGATGCGCGCTTACAGGCCAAGCCCACTCACGAGAACATTATCCGTCTCGCTCCCCCGCTCGTCATCACCGAGGAGGAGATCAGCCAGGCTCTGGCCATTATCAAGGAGTCCATGGCGGAACTCCCCACCCTGACGGGCGACAAGCTCGACAAGATTGTTCCCAACGGCGAGAAGAACATCCACATCAACCTTGACGACTAAATCAGGGGGCGAACATTGATGAATTTCCCTCTGGCCCGTTGCGCCGAGATTTCACGAACGTATATATCATGAACGAACCAAGTTATGAAAAAAAGAGAAAGATTTTGGACAGTCTGCAAAGACGATACAAAAAGAGGAAAACAGAACATCTTTGCGAATTGGGCTGGCTTTTGACTTTGCGACTCTCTTTCCTGTTTTAAGGAATTGCGAATTTATACCATTGAATTATCTCGTGTAGATTAGGTTTAAAAAAAGGGGCATAGATTCAAAGAAGAACAAGAGACGCAAGTGTTCATTGGCAGCCATTCTTGGCTAGTGACTTCGTTGTCGACACCATATCACGATATCTCCTTTTCGTCGCCAGTCGTCGTGCCAATGGGTGTTAAAGGTACGCCAGCATTCTCGATAAGAGATATTCTCATAAAGTTCTCGAGTTTCTTTGCTGGCAGCAAGGTCGTTGAAAAAGGTCCGCAATGTAGGCTCAGCCTGTTCAAAAAAGACCAGATATTGAGGCCAGTACTTTTGAACATTATTTTTGTTGCCTGCTTTTGTAATGTTCTCATCAACATATACTTTGTTACGCGGTATAAGAGCCATCTCTGTTCGTAGAAACTCCAGAGGGTTGGCATAGAATCGATCTGCCTCATCGACATAGACTGCTCGCTCGGCGGGGTTGAGTGAAATTGGAGGCTCGCAGCCAAGTGCCCAGGCATGTAAATTCGGATAGACAAGATGACTGCGCCAGGGGGTCGAGTGGCATGGCATGAGAAAGCCAACCGTGCTGAATGTGTCTGAATCGGAAGCACTGTCAGTAGATAAGGAAGAAGCAGGGGACACTGCGAGATTGCGTTTCTCGTGCTCCTGTCGAAGGTGAGCCATCACGGATAGTGGCCCAGACTGATGGACTTGTGTAGTGTAGTATGCTATGGCGATGTTGAGAAAGAGAAGAACGTAGAGGGGTACTCCTTTGCGAAGAGTAGATTGTTTCGGGGTGAGGTTGTTAGGGCTTCCGTTATCGTGCTCTTCACTTTTGCTCTCCTGAGCACTACTGGCTGAGGTGAAGAATGTCGCTAATGGTTGCGATGCTAGAATATGCAGTATTGGAAGAAGTGGGTATATGAAGCGAACTTCTTTGTGAGAGATAAGTGAGAGGGTGGATACAAGGATTACGACAGTGAGAGCGAGTTGGTATCTTATTTCGTCTGCTCGAGCCTGAGATGATGTTGTTGTCTTCTTTGAAGAGAGCGGCTGGCGGATCGCTTGCCATAGTCCGAGGAGACCAAATGGCAGAGCTGTCGTAAGAAGGAGCGGTATGCCTTGGGACAGGTAATAGTGCCAGTCATTCCGGCCGTAGAAGACGGCTAATGACTGTGCAATGTTGAAGTGGAGAAAATGATATGGGGGAAAAGTCCAGACTCCATAGTATAGGCGGTCCGAGAATGCGGAGATGGCCAAAACCAGTGACCTAATCAGCTTTAGCAAATGTAAAGGAATTAAATATTTTCCCGTATGGCTATTGTTACCCGCACAAAACACTCTCACGGACAAGTAGAAGGAGCTCGCGCTTGCTTGTCTGAGAAGGCGTAGCAGAAGGAGCCTTAACCCATGCAACTGGGTTCCAGTATGGGCACAGGTTAAACCCATCTAACACAGCAAATGTTGACAAACACAGCCATATTAGCAGGTTTGTTGGACGAAGGATTGACGCCGAAGCGGCTAAAATGAGACACAGTCGAAGCCTTTCATAAATTAGCATACATCAGGTTCGCCTGACAGAAAAAAAGCTGCTTACTTTCTGAGCTCAGCACGAGCGGAGCGAGCGGAGTCGTCGCCCTGCTTTTCGCTTTCTCTGGGAAAGCCTCGAAACCGGTGCCACGGCCAAAGGAACAGCGCTGAGATCGTCAAGGTTGTCTCGAGACAGTTCGACAAGGTTCGCGAGGAACAAAACCACTGCCATGGACTACATACAGTCAATGCAAGCTGCATAGTTCCGCATATCAGCATATACTCCATGTACTCGAAAGCTTGTGCTATCAGTTTCTTTGATAACATACAGTAGCCCACGCCGCGTTACTGCCTCTTCCATATAGTTTTTCTGCCAATTTTGCAGTATAGTAATCGCATAGCGCCGCAGAGATAGCTTGAAGTACGTGGGGTGCTGCGACCAATAGCTCAGCTGTATAGGACGGTGCAAAATGGAGTAACGTAGCGATTTTCGAGGCGATGAAATAGACCGCGGCAAATATGGCTGGATGAATCGAAGAGCGAAGTCGATGCTGCCATTCCTTATAGAGAGAAACATCGTCAGCAGCAGATTCCTTAAAATTCGAGTAAAAGTAGCACTGCTCTTAGAAGAAATGCTCTCCGGTCTGAGCGGTGATATTATAGCTTCTCAGAAGCGCAGACTCGGTGGCAGTGTGTCCAGAATGACAGCCAGCCCAATCCATGTTCAATCGCAGAGAATAGTTAGCTTACCCAAGTAATCCATGCGCCGCTATCAGACCCAAAAGTCATCTGCCATGCCGGCTCAAGCGATTGAAAATATTCATCTGGCTGAAAAAATGTCCGAATGGACAATGCGTTTAGAATACGAAACGCGAGCAGGAAAAGGAAAATGTCGCGCCATTGAACCTCCTGCTTGTAGTGGGCAAGCTTCTTCTTGAAATTTATACCATGATCTACCCCCTCAGGAGGTTTCCCTGCTCGCCGGGGCTCTGAAGGCATGATAGGCTCCGCTATCTGCGTGATTGGGCTTGGTCAATGGAAGCTTCATATAAAATAGCGTGGTTTCGCGTCCGTCACCTCGGCTCATCAAGATACCCTTTCGGGCAGGAGAAACACAAATACGTCAGACTCGAAGAATTTCAAGATTGCCAAGCGTAAATGGCGATTTCGCCTCTAATTGACAAATGGACAATTCTGTATAATAGAACTCAATCCAAATTTCTTCATGAGAGAATGAAAGTTATTAACGTTGCTGCCACGACCTTGTCGGTGTCGGCGGACTATACGGGAGCAAGCTACGGTGCCGCCCTTCAAGCTTCATTTGACTAAATACAGACTGTAAAATAAGGAAACCAGATATGAAAAATGGCTCAAAAATGACCCTCCGCCCATCGCTAAATAGATTCACGATATATAAAAAAAAATACAAGCCGCTCCAGTATCGCCATGAGAAGAGGACCGTGCATCTGAAAACAATGAGATGAAAGAAGAAGAAAATAAAAGTATAAATGCCAAAATAATCCACTGAGGAATATTACCAGCTGGTATCCAAAGAAAAACAAAACTGCATCTGGCCTGCGAGAAGAAAGAAAAATTAATAAACCGAGAGCCTTCCACAGTCTGACAAAGACTAGGAGCCACTTTTCCAGATGCCGCCTCCAACGGCCTTGGAGATTCCGAGGCCAAGTCCCACAGCGAGGGCAATGATAAATAATGCAATGACGACTTTGATCCAGATGATTTGTTTCTTGCTCAGCTTCCTGAAGAGACGGAACTCTCGCTTTTTCTTCTCCAGCTTAGCTCTATCCTTGATGGTCTGGCGGCCTGGCCACATGGTGCATTCCTTTGGCTGTCTCTCGGGCGAAGGGGGCAGAGATGGTTGGGCCTCCAGATCATAGTGAGCCAAAACAAGTTTGCTTTCCGATCTTTGTTGCTCGAAAGAGCAACGCGTGGTAGGATGGCAATAGAAGGCCGAAAAGGGATTTTCCTGACCGGTCTCATCATCTTTTGTGGTGGTGCATCGCGATAGATTGTTCGATGCTAAGCTGTCATCGGAGGCTTTTGTATGAAGAAGGGCAGATGGCTCCCGGACGGGAGATGGGCGCAATGTTGGTGATCGCAGCGATTCATTCTCAATTTCGCGTACGTCGGTTTCGACCGCGGGCTTCTCAATGTTGTGCGCCATGCGGAAATATGTTGAAAGGGACGCAAGAACAATGGCGTTGTTGCGGTAGGGGCGAACAGAATATTTCAATTCAATTGCCGGATTCTTCCAATCCACGAAAACCAATTTGATCTCAAATTGAATCTTTAAACAACGTCCGGAACAGAGACGGATTGAGCTTTTGCTGGGACAGATAGTTTCGCTGGAGAAATTCGACCGGTACTCAAAAACCAGAACAAGGTGCGCAGGACACGAAAGGAGGAGAAAATCAGGTCAACTGCAACGCGGTGAATTGCGCAGGAATATCTGTAGCAGCGATGGTAACAGTAACGACAACAGCAGCAGCACGAGGACGCAGAGCAGAAGTAATAGTAATAATAGCAGTAGAAGCAGCACGCAGATGAAGATCCGCCTTCATGGTCCATGTGGAGACGGGGCGTCGAAGCCGTCGAAGAAAATCTTCCCACACATCCCTACTCTTCCTGTGTACGGAGTACACCTCCATCAAACTATCTTGGTTCTGCTGCGGGTTCAGCCTATCTTGCATCATCAGCCCATGCTCAAGCAGGCAATATGTGTGGATCTGGTGGCCGCATAGGCGTCTCCAGGGAACCGGCTGGATCGAGCATCGAACAATGGCATGACAGCCAAAAATCAAAAAAAGGTTCGGGTCATGCAAGGGTCAAGAAACAAGCTCGTCGCGAAAAGGGAAATGACCGGGCGAAAGGGGGGGTGACGAGCAGGTCCAGTTGGAGCTTGGCAGGCGAGCAACGCGAGCGAAGTTAAGGGCGCTCTTGGCGGCACATCATGCGTCTTCGCCGGGGCCTAGGAAGGCCATTGAGCAGCCATGTCACACGCCTCTACCGCTCTCTTCTTTTCATTTGAGGATTTTGCATTGGAGGAAAATGGGAGGAGACGGAAATTGATCGATGATCGTTGATGGGAAATAAAGAGCATGGGATAGACTCGACGATCCCGTAGTCACTTATTTAATTGCCGAAGTGCACTATGGTTGAATGGTCTTGCAATTTGGAGGATTTGGGCTGAAACTAGATAGCTTATGTTAGTCGCAAGTCTCATTCGGAGAAATACCCGGGTATACTTCTGCTACTCCCCTCGTCCCTCTCCGGTAGAACCTCAAGCTTTATTGATTGACCGTTACCTGACGGACTGAGAGACACAAACTACAGTTAGTTGATCCACAAGGTGGATATCAAGAGTCGTTGGAGTCCAGACTTGGGACATGGGGGTGGAACGTCCTAACTGTATCTTGCCTCAACTAAACGCCATGCGGGGGATACAGATACGCCAATCACCTTTACACACTCAACAATTCTATAGTATAAGTGACGAGTAGTTGCTGGTAGGTCAACTACAGTAGTCTGAATAGTCTAAATAGTCTGGATAGTGCAGAGTGCAGAGCTAGGATTCACGGTATAACTGATACTACCTAGGTACAGTACTAGCCCATAAATGACGGCAATTTCCACAAATGCCACCCCAACCATCCTCCGGACCACAAAATATATTCATGGATAACTCAATGAGAAATTGATATTAGAACTTGTATTTTGGCATATAAATAGAGTAGATAGTGACTTTAAAGAATATCAATTTATTATTGCTAAATCCTGGGTCAGTATTTTGTGTACCATCCACCTGCTGCAATTACTGCCTCGATCCGTCGGGGCATACTCTCCACTAAAGAAACAAATATTTCCTCACTAATTGCATCCCAGCCTGCCTTCAAAGCATCAAAAAGTCTTCTCTCAGCCCTCCAATCTACCGATGTATCGTCAAGGAGCTCTGGATGGTGCTTATAAAGCCATTCTTTAAGCATATGCCAGGCGTGCTCTATAGGGTTCAAATCTGGTGAGTACGGGGGCCATTCCATCACTGGTATTCCATGATCCTGAAGCCATTGTCGCGCAATTCTTGCCCGGTGTATTGAGGCATTATCATGCATGAAGGTGAGGCCTGGCTCATAGATCTGGGGGATCCCTTCTTCAAGAACTGAGATATATGATGCTGCACTAGAGCCACCCCGAGCGGAGAGGGGATCTCCTGGCATATCAATTAAATCAGTCCTCCCACCAGTGTAAAATCCACCCCAGACCATGATGGTTAAGTCCCTGCCCTTGCTGTATGGTTGAATCATAACTTTCTTCCATTTTTCATGTGGCTTTCGGAAGACCCAGCAGCGCTGTTTTCCTGCACCACGCTCCACCAAACACTCATCTGTCCATATGATGGAATACCACTCCTGAACCCAGTCGCGACGTGCCAAACACCATTCATATCTCTTCCGTGCAGCCTCAGGACCAAGCCGGGGCTTTTTTTGAGCGATCCATTTTGAAATTCCAGACTCTCCAAGCATTCTTTTGATGGTGTTGCAGGAGACATCAAGCTGAACTTCTTCGATCAATTGCTTATAATTTATAGTTGGGTCTTTGCGAATTAATCGCTCAATTAGTCGTATTGATCGATCGCTCAACTTTTTAGGCCGTCCAGGACGTTTTTCAGGGCTTGGATTGCCTGTATCATGGTAACTTTCCACCGTACGTTTGACAGTGGAGTATGGTATTTTGAACTGCTTAGAGATCTCAGCATTCGTATGCTTCAGTTTTGAGGCCGAACAAACTGCAACGCGTTCAGAGTTACTCAGCTCTCTCCGCCTAACAATATTGCTGGCAATTGGAGCCAGCGGCCTCCTCAGCATGTTGCTGTCTATTGTTGAATAAAAATGCTCATGATGGTGGACGCGACGCGTCGGAAGAATTGCCGTGATTTTTGGCGAGGTACTGTAGGTAGGTAGTCAATCAATCCTCGTGTGGATTGACAGGAGACGTAGTAGCTTGGGGCATAACTTATGGGGTACCAGTATAATGGCCACATGCCAAGTCCCCCCAACTGGGCGGGATAAGAAGCTTGTGTCTAGGCCCCAGGGCTAACAGACCCGACGTCTAGGCGAGTCCAGGAACCAAAACACCCGAGGACCCCAAAGCTGAAAGTCTCCTCCTTATCTCGCATGACCTGGACACCGTACTTTTTGTGCCACTGTACAGAGTCAAAATCCACCTACTCTTTGTGGCTGCATCTATCATATTCTTTTCTTTTCTTTTTCTTGAATCGAGAATCTAATCTGTGTATCCTTGAGGACTTATCTTTGCTCAAATTGGGACACCTCCCGAGGCTTCCCAACGCAGAATTGGGCACGTGGACCTGTCACCTCCTTTGGCATGTAAATTAACATACGGTAGGTACCAGAGTTAAATGTATAACCAAAGCTAGTGGGGCCCGCTTTGGCCTCGGCTCCACACTCATCCCATTCGAACGCCCCCCTTTAGCTTGACAAAACGCTGGGCCACGTATACTGCACCGCCGCATCGTTTGACAGCCTGCGTCGCACAATACCTCACGGCGCGCAACGAGGACCAAAAACATGTTCTGAGATCATGCTGCGTCATCTTCGGATCATGTCTCGCCAGTTTCCTGACCATTTTTCCACAAATTATCTAGAGTCCACGCAATTGTTAATGAATATTTTCTTATTTCTTGCACAAACATATTGACACATGACGAGACGTTTAATTAAACGGGTAGTACGGAGTAAGGAGAAGCCACATTGTGTCGAGAAACTATGATCCTTGGTAAATTTCTATGTATAAGAGTTGCGTAATCCCATGCTCATGTGTTGTTGCCGAGGGAAGAGAAGAAGAATAATATATATAAGAAACAAATGCCCCGAAGATGAGAATGCGCAAATGCAATGCTGCAGAGTGGAGGGGAAAAAGAGGCAAAAAGACAAAGGTTAAATGCCATGTGACAAAGAATATCAATCATGTACAGTGATAATGCAATGCAATGTAGCAGTTGTCCGATAAAGACGCCAGGCTATTGGGGGAAAAAAAAAAAAAATTATGCTGCCGAGCACTGGATGGATGCTCCCTTCGGACAAAACTGCTTGAAACGATAAAAGACCTTCATTACCTACTCCTTCGCCAAGCGTTTCGCAATCTCTTCGCGAGGAATACCGCTTCGGTCACACATGCTTCGGAATATTCCACTCTGATCGAAAAGTTCCAGCGGTGTAGCCAATTCTGCGATCCTTCCCTGGTCCATAACACAAATGCGATCATAATTGATAATGGTTCGCAGACGGTGAGCGATGCAGAGCAGCGTTCGACCGCTAAACGCCGTAGCCATTGTTTGCTGGATCTTCTCGTCCATAGCAACATCGACGCTGCTCGTGGCTTCGTCGCAAATGATGATCTGCGCGTTGCGTACAAGGGCCCGTGCAAGCGCCATCAGCTGGCGCTGGCCCAGGGAGAAGTTGAGACCCTCATCTTCGACCAATGTTTCCAGGTCCAAAGCCTTGGTAGTCTTGTCATCTGGCGAATTGTCCGCCGATATGAGGCCGGACTGACGGAGAGCCGACCAGAGTTCGAGATCGGTGTGTTCGCTGAAAGGATCCAGGTTGGAGCGAATCGTGCCCCGAAAGAGGGTTGGGTCTTGAGGAATGATCGCAAGCCTCGAGCGGAGATCCTGAAGGCCAACCTTTGCAATGTCGAGGCCGTCAATTGTAATTGAGCCTCCAGATAATTCAACGAGTCGGAAGAGCGTCGACATAATGCTCGATTTTCCGGCCCCAGTGCGTCCCACAATTCCAATTCGTTCTCCACCCTGCACGTGTAAGGAGAACCCATGCAGCACCAATGGAAGCCCATCTCGGTAGCGCATCTGGACATTATCAAATAAAATCTCTCCTTGTTCCGGCCAAGATTGGCGAATCTCTCCTAGCTGCAAGGGCGCCTCCTGCTCCAGGGCGACACCATAATGGTAGAGCCGCTCAGTCGAATTCATTGCATTCTCGACTTCTGCCAATTGCCGGACGGTGAACTGCATAATTTGTACAATCGAGAGGATATATGAAAGCACCAATCCTGAAATACTCGGCGAAACATTAAATCGGGAAGTGACCACAAGGATGCCTGTAGTGAAGACTAGCAGATTTCCAATAGTGTCCAAGCGTAAGCTTAGCCAACGCTGATTTGAGAATGTAAGAAAATATGCACTATTCATATTGTCAATGGAGTCACGGAGACTGCGGATAAACCGGTCCGTGAGCCCGTATGCACGAATACAGGCTGTGCCGGTGAGCCCTTCTGAAAATCGCGAGAAGACAACCGAACGCAAGACAGCTTCGAATCGCTTCACCTCTCTAGCCGATGCTCGATAGTAACCGGCTGCAAATAGGAATAATATAAATAAAGGCCCAAGGGCGATTGCGAACTGTCCAGATTTGTCAACAAAAGCAGCTCAGGGAGGCAAAGCAGGGAAACAACATACGTAATGGAAATATACAATGATTAAAACGAAGACGGCAATAATCACTAGGAAGCTTATGTCAGTAAACTGAAGATAGTACCCATGACTTTTGAGCGCCGGGTTGCGCATTCTCCTTCTGATTGTTATTGCATCAAAGGCAAAACTTACTGCCAAGAGTTAATCCGTACATGCGTAGCGCATCAGTTCTAGTTTCTGTATTAGCAAAGTCTCCAATATGAAGCATGAAATACGACTGACAGATTGTTATCCATAGTATCCACATCTTTGGCAAATCGGTTGGTGATGCGCCCCATAGGCGTAGTATCGAAAAATGACATTGGTGCTCGCAGAACACGGAACATGGCCCGATGAAGCATGACTTTACTGGCATGCGTACCCAGAGTTGAAAGGCCAAAAGCATATAAGAACATCATGAAAGCCTGCGCAACACCAAGTGCCGCGTAAATCCCAATCTATAATTAATAAGGATCAGCGAGAAATCCAAGGATAGCAGCCATGTGTCCAAATTTTGGATGGCTACAAAACAGGAAAAACTTACATATGTACCGGTGGAGTAACCAAACTTATTCGAGGTCCACCATGAGAGCCACAAGCTTGTGGCAATATTCGCAACTTGAGTAGAAACTAGGAGAGCAAAGACAATTGGGCCATTGAGAATGGTTCCCGATGCGCGGAGGTAGGCCACGTAGACACCCCAGGAGACACTTTTCGTCGACTTCTCTTCCTGCTGCATAAGAGCACCTGCAGGTTTTGGCCCAGTTGACTTCTTGACATCCTTCTTTTCCTCTTCTACTTCTTCATCACTCGTTTCCCCCGCCTCTTCCTTTTTCTCCTCTACTGCTGTTGTCTTCATTACTTCGGCGAAGCGTGGATTGTTTGCCATCAATTCGTGGAAGGTGCCAATAGACTCGATGCGCCCCTGATCCATCCAGACAATACGGTCACAGCGGTTCAGCACGTGGAGCTGGTGAGTGGCGAGTATTCGACATTTCCCCTCAAGCAAACCGCAGATGGCGTTGTCAAAGATATTACGCCCAACGTGCTACATATTTGTCAGCTTTGCCATCGTACAAAAGACCACGGGCAGATACTAACCGCATCAACTGCGCTTAGCGGATCGTCCATAATCACAATGTCCGCATTGAAATATATTGCTCTTGCAATGTTAAGTCGTTGCTTTTGACCACCACTCAGCGTGATACCGCGTTCGCCAATCTCCGTTAGATCACCATTTGGCAGTATTTCGAGGTCCTGGCGAAGTGAACACGCGTCAAGAACTTTCTCATACCATGCTTCATCGAAATCCTTCCCAAAGAGAATATTATCCTTTAGAGTAGCGTTCTGTATCCAAGCATATTGGGGACAGTAGGCACGCGATGCGCCTATCATGATTTGTCCATTTGTTTTTCGCATTTCGCCAGCCAGTGCAGCTAACAGTGAAGTCTTCCCAGAACCAACGCCACCAATGATTGCAATGAGCTCATTTCTTCCAACCTCTAGGTTGAGTCCCTCAAGCTTGAAAGGTTCCGCTTCACTCAAATTCGTTGCGCTATTATCAGGTTTCGGGGTTTCTTGTGCTTGCTTTTCCTCGTTTTTGTTAAGGTTACGCTCCTTCTTCGCCTGCTTTTTGTTCGCGGGTGGACCTGCAGGCTTTCCGCTTTGCGAGTCTTGTGTAGAGGTTCTTTCCCACGTGAACCCGGCTCCCTTTAGAACCACAGCCTCTTTAGCTTGCTCGATGCTTTCGACCTCTTCCTTGGCTTCTTCAGCGAGCAGAAACTCCTGAATGCGTCCAATTGATGCCAACGCATCCACACATTGGCCGATGATCAAAGGCAGAAAATTTAGAGGCATACGAAGGGCGTTGAATAAAGCAAGTGATGAGAAGACGTGAGCTGCGTTGAGATCGTGACTGGAAAGACGGTATGTGATAAAGGCAAGCATCGAAGCGAAGATTGGCAGAGACTGGAATATTCAGAAAGTTAGAAGTGTAAAACTACAAGTGGAGCTTTGTGCACTGCACTCACCATAGAGACAGCATTGATGGCGTTTCGCATGGCCAACAATTTCTGAATAGCATTTATTTCCTTGTTGCGAATCTGCCTAATCCTACCGAGAAAACTGCTCTCCCATCCGAAAAGCTTCACGAAACGTACGGCTGAGAGAATTTCCTGGGTCAGGCTGACTCTTTGATCCGTGATCTTGTTGATAGCCTTTCTCCGCGTAAACAGGCTCTTGACGCCACGCCCGATGATAGGTACCGCGAGGACTAGAAATCCAAATCCGGCCAATGCACTATAAGTTAGGTTGATTAGAAGGAGAACGAGCGTGATAATGATAGCCACAGGAGAAGTCCATATCATGTGACACATTGCACAGGCTTGATCGATACGTTGTGTGTCTGTTGACATGAGATTGACGACTCGACCATTAGCCCAGCCAGCGCCATCACCAGCAACACCTTTAGCCAGTTTTGGGTCGACTTTCGATTGCTTTGAACGCTTTTTGCCGCCAAAAAACTTCTTGCTGGCTTTGGAGTTCGTTGCATTGTTATCGTCATCTTCTTTTGGCGTTGCGGTCTCGAGTGCTTGACCTCCAGCTCTAGCTCTTGCTGATATCTTCATGGCTTTTTCGAAAATCAGGCTGATTAAAACTGCCCTAGACTGTCCGCCAACCATCATTCCACGATACATTGAATGACTCATGCCCAAACTCTGGAAAATTTGCATCAAAGTGATGCCAATGACCAAGCCTATACCATGACCTATATTGGGGCCCGGTGTGCCCCGGCGTTGAGCAATATAGGCATCGGTTGCGAAACTGATCAGATAACGCATGGTGAAGGGTGAGATTACTTGAAAGATACTGCCAGTCAGCTGGCATAATCCGCCGATCCAGAATTCAACTTTAAAAGTGTCATGCATGGCCCAAAACAAGGGTTGCTTGTCGCCGCGGGCGACACGTTCTCGTAAAGATGCATCTAGCTTGGCCACCATAACGTCAACGCTTCTATCAGGGTTGACGAGCCAGATATCATTGAGTTCGAGAGGCCGCTGGTAACCAACCTACCGCAACAAATGTCAGTAGTTTCATGTTTGTTAGGAGGGAAGGGCAAACTCACCGCCATAATTGGACTCATCCATTGGAAGGTTAGCCGGCTAAAGAAGCCGGCGCCATGTTCCCTTGAAACTATTCTTTCTTGAGGAACAGCTGGCTTGCTACTTCTCTTCAGAGGGTTGATCCTCTTGTACCATTTCTTATCAGGGTTTGCCGCAGCTTGCGACACCTTTTCTGGTACCGTCTCGCCATCTTTAGATGACACGGAAGCACTACTCGGTGCCTCGTTTTCCGATTGATTAAAGTTTTTTGAAAGGTCCGTTTCTGCCGGTGGTTGCTCAATTTTCACAGAGAGCAAAGGCTCTGGGGCAACAGCCTCAGTCGAAGCCAGATTGTTTGCGGCATGGGCCGCATCTTCAAGTGGTCTTGTCATGCTTTCCTTGGATCATAGCGCAAACAAAAGACTGTTGAATGAAGTATAGCAAATCACAGCAGACTGAAGGGCATAAAAAAAAAGAAAAAGTCACAGCTTAATCGTGCAAACTCGCATTTCTTAATAAATTTGTCATCAACAATGGTTCGTCGTAGATATGGAGGGGAAGTCTGTGCTTCCAGATATTGAATGGCCCCCAGGGAGCCAACCAGGAGCATTGTGGTAATGGATTATGCAACACGATTCTCGGCGGTCGGAGTTCGTTAAAGCCGTCCCGTGTCAACAAGCCGCCAAAATTCTAGATTTGTTTAGCTGATCCGTCCATGCAGACGCGCTATGTTATTTCTATGAGTCTATGCAACCCTTTTGCACCCGGAGATCGGCTTGATGGGTCACCGATGTTTTCTTCTTTCGGGTGATAAGCTAAAAAGTACTCCGTACTCCGGTAGAGTATGAAGGTTAATAGATATGAAACATTTCCCTTTCTGTCAGGGCAGGCAAACAACGGCGACCCGTTCGATCTCCTAAGCCAGTCTTGGCGTTGCTTAATCTGACCGCTGTTTGTTCGTTGTGCATACCACGCCTCGTACCAGTATTTAGGCAGTGTTAGGCAGTATCTAGGCAGTATCCAGGTAGTAAACGCCTTAACGAATCTGGTTGCCCCTTTGTCGCCACGCGGCCTCCTTTGATGCGTTACAGTAATGTCGTGCAGGTGCCCGCACACTATCTGATTAACAGAGCACGATCCGATACCGTAGCAAATTGTTGATATTGTTCCTCTACAATTGGGCTCGTCGTTTACAGCAGGTGAAGTGATCCCTATCTTCCGGCAATGCTCTCTTTGTCATATGCTACACAGATCTCTCGAGCCTCGAAGCATTCATAGGGCAAATTAATTGTATTGTTCATATGTTCTAGTGAACTAATACGTCTCGGGATTTCATGACATGTATTGGTCGTAAACTGCCAAAGCCAGAGTACATTAACACCTCCAAACCTTCCCTTTGAATAACGCGTACATGGGCGGTGCCACAGTGATTGTACAGGATGGGAATATGCTATGCCAACTCCAAGCTCTTGAAAACCGCAAGTCAAAATGATGCAAATGCAGGGGAATCTTTGAAAGAGATAATTTGATCAACAAGAATCTGTACAAGTGAGGGAACCTGAAAAGCAAGTCGAAAGATTGAAACTCCTTCGTCTTTATGATGAGGACGATGTTGTAAATCGTGCCCAAGAAATTGCGTGTCATGCCGTCGTCATTGTACTCTATCGTAGATACCTTGAACTCAGACTCGCAAACGCATCGGGGCTATGGCGCCCACTTGGCGAAAATCCGGCGAAGTCTACGCTTTCTTGGCTGACATGTCTGGACTGCGCCATCAAGGGATTGCTTCCGAGACCGGGCCGGGTTTGAGAATGGAAAGGATTGCGGCTTCCTGGACTCGCTTCGATAGATGGCGGACCATTCTGTTGCGCCGAGAGGGATGGGTTTGGTGCTGTTGCTGGCGCTTCCAGACCAGAACCTACTGTACTGGCAGAAGTTGGTTGCGCAGGGTGACCCATCGTCTGGGGAGGGGCTAAATGAGGATGATTATAAAGGGCAAGAATAGATGCCTTGTCAGCGCGCCCCGTCTGCTGTGGCACCAGCGACTGGACAGGAGCAGTGGGATAATAAGGGTTGTGTTGTGCATTTCCATAGCCCGAGAAAGGCTGCGCCTGCCATGATGGGTTTTGATATGGCTGCTGATAGTACTGGGGTTGCATTTGAGGTGGTGGTGGTGGTGGTTGTGGAGACGAAGGCATCTGATACAGAGTATTGTTTGGCGTGGAGGCGAACGCAGAATTGTACGCGCCATTGAGGTTCATAGCCGACTGCGAGGCTCGGAGAAAAGGATTTGCAGTTCCGGATATTGCTTGCCCAGCAAAAGCTTGATTAGGCTGTGCGGTGGACGAGGAAGGGTATGTGGTATATGTCGATTGCTGCGAATGCACAGGCGACGCAATAGTCCCGCCGGATACGTACTGTCCTGGCTGACCAACTTGAAGATTTTGCATGGAGTGATTTAAAGAAGAAATACTGGGTGTGGGCTGGCTTGGAGGAGCGAAAGGGTTGTATGAAGCAGGTTGACTGGACGCTCGGGCCATGGGAATTCCTGCGTTTTGTTGCTGCTGAGGTCCTAGAAAAGGGTTCGGACCAGTTTGATTTGACCCAGACAGCTGACTTTGCGCATCAAGTCGATCGAAAGGATTCGAACTCTGCTCGACGGGAGTTGTGCCTCCTGAACGTTGAGCAGTTGATTGGGCGCCACGTTCTCCAGAAAAAATAGGCCTGGGTGACGGAAATAGTCTGGTGCCTTCACCAAGTCTGGCAAGCGTCTCTGCCGCACGATCCACATCCCCCCCAAGACCTTTGAGCACAGTTGCGTTTCGGTTTTCGTCCGGGAAGCCCATGTCCTTTAGCGTTGCGAGTTTAATGTCCATGCTCTGGCCGGTACTGACAGATGCTCCAAAAACCCTTGAGGGTTTATTGGAAAGAGGCGGAGAACTGGGCCTGCGATAGGAACCGAATTCATCAGATGGATTGGAAGATGATTCCGCGTATTTCTTGCCAAGGGGGAATGTAGAAGACGATGAACGCAAGCCAAAGCTGAATTTCTTCCCAGGTTTCGGAGGGAGAGGCGGAGGCTGATCCTCAGAACTTGTACTGCCGGTGTGCTGACGAGGGTTGGCGTGGCCATTTTCTCCCGAAAACACTTTGAGTTCATATTTCTGACGGATATACTTTTCCATGGCAGATTCGACTTCATCAACATCGATGGGTATAAATGGCTTCACGTTTGACGGATTAAAGCGTCGGTTTGACGTCACGTTCCCGGTGCGTTTCATATTCTGAAATCCATGTAAGCCTTTCGAAATCGAGTCTGAACGGAACGGCGCGTGCTGACCTCTACTTGATCGATTGACCAAGTGTCCATACTGAGGGATTTGACCTTGGAGACATGCGTTCCCAGCTTGCGATGGAGTCCTGCGCAGCGCATGCAAAGGAAGATGCCCAACTATATGGAGACGGCTTGTTGTCAGCGAATTTTATTCGAACGTGAATCAATCGTATAAGTTGATAGGAAATCGGGATTACACACACTCCAGCTGGCCCATCCTAGATTGAGGATATTATTAGCCTTATGCGATCAAACTCGGACAGAAGCGGAGTGTAAGCCAACCTGGATTTCTAGCCTGGCAGTCTGCACAACGGTCATTTCCAGGAACATTTTTAATTAAATCTTGCAATGTGCGCTCATTCCGCGCCTGTTGGCGCTTGTTCGGGACAGAAGACATCCTGTATCAAGATAATTGGCTAAAACTTCCATGTGAATTTCGATATGGTTGATGTGTGCTCGATTAATAGCGTAGAATTGGACGATAGCCAGGCAGATCTAGATTACTCCGTATGCCATAGCAAGTCGTGGACTAGTGAAAGAGGGGTATGTAAAAAGAAGTCACAGCGGTCATTACAGCGACTCCAGGAGCCCATGTAAAGGGGCTCAATCAATAATACGGCGGCAAATTATCCGAATCCAACCTGCCAGACTGCCACCAAGTTCCCGCTCGCTTCGAGACCGATACCGTGGCTCTCCCTCGCTCCTCGCGCGTTGACAAAGGCTCTCTTGTTTAACTAGTCGAGACACAGCGACATTCGTCAGAAACAACCAAAGCAACTTGAAGGCATATTTAATCAGTAGTGAAGGTGTTGAACTTGACCTTATAGACATGGATGCGTCGAAGACCAGGCGATTCAAATTTTCATTCATCCAGTCTTCCCTTTTGATGCCGCTGCAGTCTGGCCTGCAAAACCAGCTTCTGATACCTGGGAAGAGGAATCTCTTGGTCCTTTAAATTCACCTACGCTCATCTACATCTGCTCAGTTTTTCCAAGTTAAATTTTTTCAACCTTGCAAAGACTGAGCATCATCAATGCATTGAATAAAAACAAGTTTTTACATGATCTGTGTGGCACGCAGGTGACTGTCCAAGCCATCGAACATTCATTAGATGATCCGCTCAGAAGCCTTAATGCGCCTCTAGATTGGTCTGGAACGCCAATATGACCGACCAGTCTATGGAACCGTCAATAAGACGAGAAGCATTGGCGGTTGATTATGCGTTCGATTATTATGAAGTGTGATGAAGAAGAAAATTTTACCATGAGGCAGAGTGAGGGGGTTTTCAACTGTCTCCTCGACTCGGTAGCTGACTCAGCGCTTCGCTTGTCCAAATAATTTCGTTAACGAAACAATCATCGCATAACTAGACTGCTTTGCCCAGCTTTTCTTCCTTTTCTTTTTTTTTTTCCCCCTTCATCTCCTGCCAGATTTTATCAGGCATGCTCTTGTACAACATGCCTCTGCGGATATGCAGTGGCATACTGAAATGATTCAACGCCATGTCGTTCTTTTTACTACATATTTCAAAATTGGAATTGCAGCAAGGGTTTCCTCTTAGTCGAATGACTGAGACAGACCTATACGAGCTGTCTTTCTAGCTACTAACGCTTTCCTTTTTCTATTGTTTTACTTGTTTTTTTACTTGTTAAAGGGTTACACCACGACTTTGCCTACCTCTTGAACCTCCTAACATGATCTTGAGGCATACTTTTTAACGTCAGTGGAAGAGCAAAATAGGTTTTTAGCAGGACCGCGTCTGCTCCACCCTGCTTGCTTCTCTTCCTTGGGTAAGCAGGACTATTTATCAGACGAACAAATATGGATATTATTTACATAGAACGTTACCTTCATGATTCAATACAATTAATATAAATCAGGACGATATGCCTACGTACAATTGAGCTTTGTTAAATGCCCCTCATCAATCACATTTGTGCGAGGCTTAGTTGTATCCAAGGAATTGCTGTGCAAGCTGTCTCCGATGCCAAGACTCACCCTGGAGCCATTATTAATAGTACCAGCTCCTACAGGCAAAGAATTGACCCGTCTCTGCCAAATTACGAGGACGGCGTGGGAGGCAGCCAGGCAGCTCATGACCGCCCAAGATTTGCCAGCTTGTGCCTCATAAATTTGAGCGTTCACCACAAGCTCCTACTTGCGACGGCCAGAATATAGGATGAAGATAATGAACCTGCGAGGACTCGTTGGCGCATTATTAAACAGAGGTTTCCTGAAAACGAAATATGACAATTGCAGCTAGCTACGACGATCTTCCGTGGGAATCACCCGCCTTCGACCATTAAGCACAGCTAGCTCCGGCTCTAGATTGCAGGACATGCCTATTTCTCTTTTCTATGGTCGGTATAGGTGCCGGGCATACACTTCGGGACAATTCAATTGAGCTGCAAAATATGACGAACGTTTTTCCCCACCCGACCGGGATTTGTTTAGCGGACTCGTACCTAAACTGCATCATAACTTACCTAAAGTTTACCCGAAAGCTGGAGCAATTTACTCGTAACGAACTTGGACGAGCGGGAGAGGAAAGTTGGAATGCCGAAAACGTCATTCTAATTTTCGAGATCGACAACCTGTTGCAGCGCTGATCTCCGGGGAATGGTGATTTTCATCTGGCCAAAAACAAACAACTACACGCTTCAGATGCCATTCCATCCCACTGAACTGTTGCGCACAGGCGTTAACTGAAGCTGTTGATGATTAGTCATGTCTGGAGCCGATGACGTTGAAGCTCACAAATCCCGGCGGAAGTTCGGAGGTCCGTATAGTGGTCAGCACCCTGTACCGACGATCCAAGGCTACGAACAACAGCGCCAATATCGTCAATCGCTGGCACGTTCGAATGAAGATGCAGACGACGTTACGCAAGAGAATGGTGATTCTCTTTCCAGCCCCCAGACGAGCAATGTTGGAAAAGATGCAAGTCAGCCTGCGCAACGGACTGTAGAGCCCGTCTATCAAAGCGAGAACAAGAATATACCGCGTGCCGCAATCGAGTCCGACCAGAATAATGCCCAGGGATCGAGAGATCGGGAGCGCGAGAAGCAAAAGTCTAGTCGAGGACAGAAAACTGGAGACACACAGCCTGATGAAGAGACTCCCAAGGACACATCACAAGCCGTTGCCGGAGCTTCGAGTCAAAAAGAGAAAAGAAAGGTGCTAAAGCATCTAAAACGAAACAATGCCGAGCGTGAGGTAACAGATCCGGTAACTCATCTACCGGTTCAAATTCACGATTTTACGAATGCTGAATTAAAGCGCGTTCCACAAAATGAACCATCTTTTGGTTCGCAGCTCTGGTCTGCAACTGGCCTCGATGCCAAAAATAAAAGCGATGAGCACCTTAGCAGGGAGAAAGAGTCCCTTCAGGAGACACACGCTGGCTTGGAAATGCTCTTCCCTCCGCCAGATTTACAGGAGACTTCCGATGAACTCAGAAACACCGTCCAACACGTGTTGACAACGACGATCTGGTTGGCAATTTTATCATCATTTTCACTAGTCAGCATGGTATTTCTCTTTCGGATCTACCGGACAGAGAGCCATGGTGCTTGGCGCAATATCGAAATGAATAACCCTCTGGTTACTTTAGTTATGATAGTAGCGGGCATTATCCTCATTGGGACTGCACTGAGCTGGGGCCTTCATCGCTTTGCCAATAAGAAAATGCAAGGCGTTTGGGAAAGCGAGGTCTGGGAGTCAAAACGCAGACAAGGTCAGGAACAAGTCAATACCTCTGTTCCCGAATCTGTCGAATGGCTAAATTCGCTTGTTGGCTCTATTTGGCCCCTTGTTAATCCCGACCTTTTTACCAGTTTGGCTGATACATTGGAAGTAAGTCTCCACGCTCCAACACTAGATTTTCGGACACTAATCGTTCATTTCCGCCGTCCAGGATGTCATGCAAGCCAGTCTTCCAAAGCTGGTGCGCATGGTAAGCGTTGAGGATCTTGGCCAAGGAAGTGAAGCCCTGAGGATTCTTGGTGTGAAATGGCTTCCAACTGGCGCGGCTGCACGATCGGTATCTTTGGATGGCCAGTTAAAGAGCCAACAAAGCCCGAATGATAGAATGATTCCTGGTGCCAGTCAGGAGACAATTGATGACTCTACGTCGACAGACCAGGGAGCGGAAGGCGAATCAGGGGGACGACAAAACTCTGGCCGAGATACCCCCGAGGATGAGGAAACTGTTGCAGAAGGAATGGAAGCCGAAGAAGGGGATTTCGTCAACGTTGAAATTGCCTTTGCATACCGCGCGAGGCCCGTTTCAACGAATCTTCGAAATAAAGCTAAGAACGCACACCTCTATATCGCATTTTATCTTCCTGGTGGTCTCAGATTTCGTGAGTGCTCTACGATTCCTTCTGTTCTTATACAAGCTTATGCTTATACGCTCCAGCGGTCTGGGTTGAATTAAGAGGACTCGTGGGGTGCGTGCGCATGAGGTTACAGCTCACACCTGACCCACCTTTCATCGCCCTTTCGACTTTCACCTTTTTAGGGCAACCCAAGGTGGATCTTTCATGCGTCCCGTTGACTAGCCGCGGACTCAACATAATGGATCTTCCCCTCATTTCTAGCTTTGTACAAAGTTCTGTTGATGCTGCTATGGCGGAATATGTTGCACCGAAAAGCTTGACTTTGGACCTTAAAGATATGCTTATCGGTGACGACTTCAAGAAGGATGTTCTCTCATACGGGGTCGTTGTCGTTCACATTAAGCGCGCGATGGATTTTAAAGAAGGGGATCCGGGGTTTGGCGTACTCAAAGAGGGCACTGCTGACCCTTACGTTTCAGTCGCATGGGCCAAGGTGTGTATTGACGACCCCCACTACATCAATTTAATAATCCGCTGACCCGACCGGCTATAGTTTGGTAAGCCCGTGTGGTCTACAAGGCTTCTACTTAATGAAATGAAGCCTGTCTGGGATGAGATGGCATTCGTTTTGGTGGGGCCAGAGGAAGTTAACGCGGAGGAGAGACTACGCCTACAGCTGTGGGACTCGGATCGTTATACGGCTGATGATGACCTCGGTCGTATCGAAGTCGATCTTAAAACGATAATGAAGAGCCCGAAGTCGAACGGGTCCATGTGGGACAGAACCGATGACTTTCAAGCTCTGGATTCGAAAGAGTCAATGCCCGGACGTTTAGAATGGAGCATTGGGTATTATTCAAAGACACCAATCCAACCTTGCCAGATCCAGCATCAAAACGCTTATCCCGAAATCAAAAGTATTGAACAACTGAAGGAGGTTGTGTCGGACACAGCTCAGAGAAAATTGCGAGAAGCATCGAATAAAGATGAGGCATGCGAGCTTGAGCAGATTAAAGCTCAGGATATGAAGGTAAGCAGAGTATCACTTTTTCCGAATTGACGTGTTCCGAGCCTTACTGTGACCAAGACACGAGAAGACTCCATGATCATATCTTCTCCACCACCGGACGATTACCCGAGCGGCATATTTTCCATACAGGTCCATCAGATTACGGGACTCGAACTCGAAAAAATCAAGAAGCAAAGAAATCCAAAAGATCAACAGGATGTGGAGGGGGTTGCTGGTGATCTCCCAAGCAGTTACTGCAATATCATCTTAAACCACCAGACTATATTTCAAACCAGGACAAAACCGAAGAATCCAAAGCCTTTTGTAAGCTACGGCATTCATTTTTTTTTCTTCCCCGATTGAATTCCACAAAACCTAACTCCTGCTTCAGTTCAATGCGGGCACCGAACGATTTATCCGCAACTGGCGAAACACAGAGGTGATTGTAGCGGTTCGCGATTCACGGGTGCATGAGGATGATCCTTTACTGGGAATTATTGTCTTGCCGCTTGGGAAGATTTTTGAAAACCGCTCCCAGGTCAACGACTTGTACCCGTTAGCTGGAGGATTAGGTAAGATTTCCCATCCTAGATACTTTGTTACGAGTGATTTGTTGATTGTACCAGGCTATGGACGGGCGAGAATTTCCATGGTATTCCGGTCTGTTCAGCTTCAACCTCCCAAAGAACTACTTGGATGGGAATATGGGACTTTGGAGATTCGATCGGGAATCAAGTCTAAGGATCTACCTCACGACCTCTCCTCCTTGCGACTCTCGTTCCGCACGTCTGCTGGAAAGGCCAAAATGCACAGTTCCAGATCAGGTGTCCTCTCTAGTCATCATTCCGATGCTGATGACACTACTTGGAACAGCACGCACTCTCGGCGCGTCTATCTTGCCGTTCGCAAACGCTACAGCACATGCTTATTGATAAGCTTTCGGCGTAACGCTCTGGGACCAGACAAGACGCCCGCTTTTTCAATTCTTTGGCTCAAAGACGTTCCCGATGACGAACCTCGCACATTGGATTTGCCTGTTTATCGCTCTTCAGAAGTCCGTGTCTCCCGAGCGAGGTCGAATTGTCTATCTGCCGAGGAACTGCCAAAACCAGTGGGATACATTACGCTTTCCCTTATCTTTTATCACGGCTTAAGTGCGCATCACATATCCCTCGCTCGGTCTGACTCATCTGTGGGAGTCGTGTGTGAGGTTCTGGAAACTGCCCAGCAAAATTACGATTCTCGACCAGGAGATGGAACCAGCTCAGACGAGGATTCTAATGAAGCTTCGGATAATTCAGAAAGCGATTCGGGCGATGATGATAATGAAGATGGTGAGAAACAGCATGACATTGGAGATAGAGGTTCAACAAAATTGGATGACCATAAGACGGATTCTCCCAGCTTTGAGAGACCTTCCGGACCTTCCATGACAAGCAATACACATAGAAGCAAGCGCAGCGAGAATCTTCAGGCAAGCGGTAAAAGAGGTCCCATTGATACTATTCGAGATTATCAAGTACATCGAAAGCAATTGCACCATTCTCATCGAGGTGCAATGCAGTGGAGGGTATGTATTCCTAACTACCCTGCATCTGCGTCATACATCTTGAAAAAGTTCAGAACTAATATATTACTCTTCACGTGTAGGCTCCTCGAACGATGGCCTGGGCACTGACCAAAGTTAAGAACACTGGTACCGGGGTGGTAGGGGGTATATTCAAGCGTCACGGCGACCGTGAGCCGGATATTGAGACTGAAGTATGACGTTGTGATCTGTTTTCTCCCTCCGTTAATAGCATAGATTCAGCCGACTGCACTTTACTGTAGATAATGTTTTTGAAGCGTTCACACATTTTCATTGGCGTCGATTAAGTTTCAAGGACTCTGGTTTTTTATAGATAGGACGGATTCTGTAAATACGCATGGACTGCATGTTTTGGCAATGATTGTCTAACGACGCTAGGAATTTTGATGAATATCTTCGATACCATTTCCCCCCCAATTCTTCTTTTTTGTTCTTTCTTCTTTCGATTGTTCTATTATTACTCTATTCTTCTTGGCAGAGTCCAGATAATTTTTTATACCCATGTCTCTCACGCTCACAACGTCTATCCAAAATATGCGGCTCGCTAGCGGTCAAATTGTCTTCATTTCCCCACCACACTTTATCCCTCTGCTCCATGACCCAAGAAGACATTGTACTAGGCTAAATACCCAGTTCAACTCGCTTTTCCCAGGTCGATTTCCACACAGCCACTTGGGACCGACACCGTGTCTCCGACCTTAATCAGGGCATAGAGCTGGGTGATACCGAGCGATGTGTCGCCTGCAACAAATCCCGTTCACTCAGTCAGCATCCGTTTCTGATCAGTCATGGCAATCTTCTCAATCTATAGCTTTATCCGCTCGTTTACCCGAAGCCAGACCCAGCTCACAATCGATATTTTCTTGAGCACCATTCCTGGAAGGAAAAAGAAAGGTAGACTCACATGCCAAAAACCCATCAAATCCAGCAACGGCCGACGTCCACAGCCCCGGCTGCGGTCCAGTATCGTACCCAAACCCTACCGTCCCATTCTCAGGCTCAATCGCGACCGGCACTGCCGTCGATTGTGCTACGCTACCGCTTGGAATCTGCAGCGTCCAGCGGGACTCTGATGCAGACGCATCAAAGTCAAGCAGCACTTCAAATGTCGTCGTATTGGTAATGTACCCCTCCACTGCGAGCGTCTTGTTCGACGTAAATGCCGCCGCCAACACACTTGTTCCGGAACCGCTGCCGGTGGAGTACGCGTAGAGGTATTCCCCCTCATGCGGCACGGGCGAGTGGCCGTACCATGGCGGCCGCTGGACAGTGTAGTAGCTTGCCGAAGAAACGGTGTCGCGGCGCTGAGCACCGTCCGGCGGCAAAAGAGATGCAGATGCGAGCGATGCGAGCGATGCGAGCAATGAGAAGGATGAGAGGAGTGCCAACGCCGTGGTGGAAATGGCGAGACTCGATGGGTTGAAATGCATTTTTTCTTTCCCTTGCTGTGTCTTGTTTCCTTTTCCCTTTATTTTCTTCTTCTTTTCTTCTTTTCCTTTTTTCCACCTGTATTCTTTTTGTATCTTCCGGTCAATCGTAACGTGATGTTGGTAAGAAGCTCATAAAAGAGATAATATGAGATATACCAGACCAAAACACGAATCACTCAATCCATTCGTCTGACCAACCTGACCAACTCTCGAACACGATATTTGCATTCTTATATACATGTATATAGATGGATGCCCCAGAAGGTTCTAAGCATTAGATACATGCATACGTGCCCACTAAACTTTCTTAATACGAGACAAGGTAGACATCTTTGGCCGTTTCCAAGAGCTTCTCGTACTCGCTACACGATCACAACTGTCCGAGAGAGCCCGGTATCACGCGAACTTGGCTGCTATGATTCCATGAAGTGTCGGGTAGCAATGTAGTATACTGTATACAACTGGTCAGGAATGAAGTGAATAATCAATGATTACAAAATCCTAGCCAAATCGAGGTCCCTTAAAGTGACAAAGGTAGCGGGAGAGAAATGTACGGCTTTTGTCGAACTACTGACTTACATGTCTAGCCTAGAAGGCGTTGGTAGATCCGCATACCCGCGTACCCGTGTACAGATCGTTGGCGGTCTTGACAGTTAGCGTTCAATGTAACGTCATGTATGTTAAGTACCTAGTATTCCGACTTTCAGTTGACTTTTTTTGGGACCATTATCGAATTATAAAGCAATTACACGAGGCTGAAACACACCGTAGGATACCGTAAGTGGGACAGAATGTTCAGTATTCCAATAAGTTGTAACGGCAGCGCGGTGTCGGCGTAGAAGGGTCCCCCCTGTAAGTTCGTATACATTGTACTGGACTTCGGATAGATGTCGTACTTGATGGTGTTGTAGTAAACAAATGTGGGATTGAGAGCGCATTTGTAATGCTTAGTTTGTTTAGTCATGGACAAGGGTTTTGAAACTCGTATGGCAGTCTCTGCGATATAAGATACCTTATTTAGCCCGACAATTCGTGCCTATGAGTTACATTGTCTGGTGACATTGGATGAAGACGTTCGACGTTCCCAGCTTTTCTCTCAGAACAATGTGATGAACTAAACGACAATATTAGAATCAATATGCCTTTATAGATCTAGTTTAGTGTATCTCTAATAGATCTAGCCGTGGCGAGCGTAGGCCGCCATGCTTTAAAATGCCACTGCTGGCTGTGACGCAGATGGAGGTGAAGAATTAAGTACAAGATGCTGCAACGCTGGAGAATATTTTCGCAAAAACAAAGCTGATATCACACCAAGAAAAATCGCAATCCATTCAAACAAAAGCCTTACAAGAACAGAAATGTTTCAAACGACAAAAGGTTCGTTGGTTCACTCGTCAGTGCTAGCCTTGAAAGTGAATCTGTCGCTCTCGGAGCTGGTAAATGGTACACCAAGTTCGAAAAGCTTGACAACGCAGTCCCGGAATTCGCCAAAGAACACATCATTGTCTTTGGCAAAGCGCTCGACATGTGGCTTGAAGGCCTTGTCTTTGACCAGAGCCATGTCGGTGGGAAGCATCATGAGCGACTTGCTGGACTTGTCCTGGAACTGCTTGGGGCCGTTCCACTTTCTCCAGTTCCACTGCTCATCAAGCAGGAGGCGGTAATATTCGTTGGTAAGGACAGTAGGACTGAAAGTCCATGGGCCGTCATAGCCACTACGGTCCGTGTGGCAGCGGCCAAGAGCATGGGCACCACTAAGAGCAACGATTTCGCGGTCATCGAATCCCATGCGGTGGAATATGGCTCGAAGGTGGCTTTGCTCCTTAGAGCCATCGGGAAGACGTCCATCAGGCGTGCAGAAGCTCACGTCACGATCTTGACGACCGGGTCTCCATGGAATCTTGGGTCCCTGCATCTCCTGAATGGCACAGACGCCGCCAAGGGTCCAGAGATCGGAGTGGGTAATCCAAGGGAATTGTGCTACAAACGCGTTAGCAACACTAGAAAGCATGGCTTTTGAATTGCTGTGAGGCCCGCAAACCTTTGATGGGCTCAAGGAAGTCGCGAGCGGCTTTCAGGCCAGCATTAGCTCCGTGGTCACCCTCTGGAGCAAATCGCATAGTGGCTCCATTGGAGCCACCAGTGCCGGTCTCCTTGTCGTATCTGTCAATTATGGTAAGAGTACGCTCTTTTCCAAGATATAGGGAATGGTAATATGCTACTCACGTTCCACTGGCGTGCCAGGCAAGTCTCAGAAGAACAGGGCCATAACTGCCATCATCATAATCGTCGTGCTCCTCAAGTGCTTTGGCAATGGCATCGTACACAGCCTGGAAATCCTCCTTCTTGGGCGTGAAGACTTGCGGCTTGCTCTTCTCCGCCACTTCGCCTGCGCTGGTGCTCTTAGAGTAGAAGTAGTAGCCAGCACCGCCGGCAGCTACCAGACCCAGACCCCACGCAAGGCCAGAACCACCAGACTTGGGGGAGGCTTCAGTAGCAAATCCGCGGTGTGAATTGCGCACTGCTTGTCTTGGGAGCACAGCACGAGCATTCGATTTCGCAGCAGCTCGGAAGGAAAGCCCGGAACGCAAGGCGGAGCGAGAGAAAGTTCTCGCGGCAGAAGCCATTTTCACAAAGCTAAATTGGAAGATTTCAATGTTTATTTCAAGATAGCAGAGCGTCTATGCAACCCGAAGATCGAATTGAAAGAATGACTTAATGGAAAAGGGGACAAGAAAAGAGTAGATTGGAATAGGCCACGTGGAAACGTAACGCTTGAGGAGATGAGCAAAGAGGAGATCCGAGTAGGTACAGGAGAGCTTATATGGGAGATAGGCGCTGTAGATAGGATTACAGTTGGTAGCTACTGGATTACAGACCTCGGCAGGGATTGGATTAGGGGACCGAGGGGACCGACAACTCCATGACGAGCACGACCCACAAATTTCCCCAGACGACAGCCCAAGCGAAGGGCAAGTAGCCAATGGGATATTGCAGATTTCCTGCTGACAAGCTCAATCCATTTTTGGGTTCTAGAACCCGAATGCCTTACTAAATCCCATCACAACGACCCCTTTCAACCCTGTCATCAACCTCGCCCAACTAAAATTTTTCTTTTTTTTTTTCTTTTTTTGCAAGATGGCATCATTGCGAAGATAATTTATAAACATGTTTCTTTTGGCAAAACTACGGATTTGATTATTAAAGCACCAATTTGCCAAGGAAAAGGTTTTCAGAATCGATTCCATTGATTGTTAATAAATTTCAACGTCTGATATTAGATAACTCTCCCGATCTTATGGGCCCAGGCTCTCCCCTATAGACCATCGCTTGCCTGGGAAGAAAGAATAATGACCATTGCGCTTAAAGTACAAGTAAGAACAGTTCATATCAGAAAAGTTTGTACAGATTGATGAAGATCATCCGACGCCGAAGAAGTAAAGTTAGACCTGCCCGGATGCTCGCATGATAAGACAAATTAACATGGTAACTGTCGCGCAATGGGGTATCATGCAATTCAAGAAAATTGCAGCAGAAAGGCAATAATGCATGCACCGAAACAAGAGACAAGGCAAAAGCCGAGTCAAGACAACGCTGAAAGCTTTTCTGCAGAATTCAGAGGCCATTAGATCGTGAGAGTATAGTTAATCATCCCTGATGGGTGAGGGGAAAGAGTTCATCGAAAACGGCGACGGCGAATTGCGCGCCTGGGTCCGATGAAGAGCTGCATGCCCGGAGAGCTTGACTGAGTTCCTTGTCGCTGGGCAGAGAGAGAAGCTCTCTATCCCAGTCATTCAAGTTGTGAGTGCTCGAGTAATGAGTAATAAGCTCGCCAAAGCCATGGGCTTTTGACCAATTTTTGGCCCGTTGAGCCGTGGGGCTGGAGACACAATGGCCACATTTGACGTGATTAAACACATCGTAAAGCCCGCGAGTAATCAAGACCTTGTCAAGTGAATGGATGAGATGGAAGTAATACATAAATTGCACGGGCCCACCCATCGTCATTTTGCGAATGCCATACTCAAAGGCAATCTGCCTTTTGAATTCGGTTGCGAGCGAAGCGTTTAAAAGTCGTGTCACCGCGTAGACGACATTCTCAACAAAGTCCCAGGGTGCATTCCCGCTAATCGAAGAAGGCCGACGCCCCTCAAAAGCTGACACACCTTCACCAGCATCGTCATGGGAAATGGGTGCAAGAACGTAGGGACGGTCATCATCTGGATCCCATCGGCCAGTTGCGTTATGATGCTCTGCCAGAGCGGGTAAATTGACCGGCCATTCAATGGTACACCAAGGAAACATATGTCCAGACGGCAACGCTTCCTCACGCAGTCTTCTAAAATCTCCGACGTGGCAAGCGTGTTTCTCATGGATGTGGTGGAATAGGTCCTCAAAAGTGAACCGGTGACGAATGTCGTTCCTGACACAGCCGGGACACTTCAAAAACTTTGCTGCCCGGATCCTAGCAGGGTCATCCCAGCTGTCAATGAGGGGACTAATTTTGAGGGTGTAGACCCCCCTCGCATCGTCAAGCAAAAGCCTATAATGGGCCCATCTATTCTCAATGCTGACAACATTGCAGGATTCGTAATACAGAGCTCGCACGTTGCGGAGCGCCACCAGGATGAAGTCAGCATCAGGAACGTGGGAAGACTGTAATCTTTCAAGGACGTGATCGGCCACCGCCAAGAGCCGGACTTGTTCAAGCGCTGAAAATGGAAGCCTTGAAGCTGCAAGCGCCTCGTATCCCGCACGTCTCTGGTTTGTGATTTCGACATTCTCCCGCGCCTGCCGGATTTGCAATTCCGCTCTTTCGGCCTCTTCACGCTCCTGCAGCAGCTTTGGCAGCAAGATTTCCCAAGAACGCAGACTCGGAGGTTTTGCAATTTCAATCGCGCGCTTAAAAGCAGGCATGAGCTGGAGCACGCTCTCGGTGATTGGTGGGTCCAGCTCCACGGCTCGAACAGTAAAATAATCAACGCGAAAGCCCCTCCAGGCAGCGGTCTGCCTCTTCTCTTCCCGGGACCGCGTTTCGACCCAGTCCTCAATCAGCTGGATCCTGCTCAAATGCTCCTTGGCTTGCGCCTCTTTGATGCTGTACCACTGCTCGATCTCCTCCTCAGTTTTACTTTCCGTCGAACCCAGCCCCTGGCCAATGAATTCCTTGTATTCGTGCAAGATAGAGAGAAAATCGGCCCAGAGGAACACTCTTTGACGCGAATGGCCCGATCTTTGCCATGAGCGCGGATAGAATCCAGCACTTTCATATCCTCCCCAAGAATCAATTACACCATGAGGAATGCACTCCATCAGTCGAGGGTACGCGTCACGAATTCCGGCAGCAGCACTTTCCTGCAAGTAAAGAAGATTGTTAACGGCTATCGCGAGGTTTCTATAAGAGGATTCCATTTCACTCACCTTCATCACCTTCGCATTAAAGCACGCCCAGCACCATCGTTTCTGAAATGCCCAGTAGCATTTGCGGATCCTCGTATTCTCGCAATTCATACAACCAACACCATCGAGCAGGTTGGAGTAATCCCATTCTTTCATCCCCGGAAGAGGGCCGGGCATCCCTGAACCATAATATTGAAGTCGATTCTCTCGCCAAGCAGATTCATAGGAGAGAGCGTGATGAAAGGCCTTGTTGATACGCCGCGCACGAGCCAAAAAGCGTGGCGGACAGAACGACAGGATATGAAGCCAAACGTCCATTGGAACTTTCGCAACAACTTCCCTTCCCTTTCGAAGCCGTGTCGGTTTGGATTCTCTTATGCGCTTTGCATTTGCATCCAACTGTTGTGGAGCTTTGCGCTTGCCATGAGAGTAGGTAGCATCTTGCTCATGAGTGTCTTGCAAGTCAGAAGGAACGAGGATCCGGAAGGAAGGTTCGGTATTCTTTGTCTCGTTTCTCAACTTTTCAAGGGCTTGAGAACCGAGTATAGTTGGCAGTGTCTGGTTCGAGGCCGCAAAGGAATGTCTGTTCTCATCTGTACGATGAGCCGTCAAAGGATAATTTCCGACTGCCTCAATCCTATGAAGTGCATTTGTTGGAGCTGAGGATGGACAAGAGGATGTTAATGACAACATTTGACTGCATTGTTGCGGCACTTCGTTGATGCGTGCTATCCCTGGTGCCGAATGAAATGTTTCACCAGCAGAATCGGAAATGAGCTCCCCAGGATAGTACGTCGAAGAATTTGTGAGTGGGTTCAGCCAGTCATGAGGAAGATTAGTCCCAACGTAGGGAGATGGAGAAGCATCGTAAGAGGAGTTCACTGCGTTATGAGGAGCACTAAATCCATCGTCGCGAAATGCCGAGCTAAGGTATGAGTTCACCCGAAAATAAGGAGGGCTAGGTCCAACATATTGGGATGGCGCAGGAACGTGAGAAGAGGAATTCATGCCGAAGCGATCGTTCCAAGCTTCATCGTCAGACAAGTAGGACTCATAAGCCAAGTTTGCCCTATGATTGACATAACCTCTCGCATAACCCATGCTGTTGTGAACGATGCCAGACTGAGCAGGAAAGCTCACAGTTGATGTAAGATTGATACGAGGATCAAGAGAATGAGAAGCGGAAGGTGCCACTGAGCCGTTTTGAACTAATCCTGAAAAAGGCTGAACAGTAGAGGACGGAGACTGCTGAATAGCAGTTGCAGCTGCCCTTGGCGCGGGAGCTTGTTGATCACAGTTCAAAGCAGAGGGCATGGCTGCGTAGCTATTGCCATGATCATGACGATAATTCCGAGAGTCCATCTCTGCGTTGTCACCTCTGCTGGTCCTGAATGGAGCAAACGCGTGACTCGTTTGACGAGGTGGAGGACCTGCCATCCTGGACACAAAAGGCTTCCTGTCAGGCCATCGGCTTCTATCGCTGGAGAGTTCTTGATATCTTGAAAGAAAGGAAAATGAGTTTCACCCTACTGAAGAAGGATGATGGAGACTGATGTGTATTTTGAAGGGCGTAAGGGTCTGGATGGCAGTGGCCAATAGACAAGGCCAGACTCTCATTGTCGATCACTACTACAAGTGAACGAGGGGCAGAATAGACCACTTTATTTTCGCTTAAGGGCCAATCGCATGTCTCACACTCTCGTTAACTGCAGCGGGCCGTTGTTTATCTATCGTACCCCAAGTTATCGATAGCAGCATAAGGCTTCATCCTCAACGTCAGTTATCGTTCTGCAGTATACATCGATGTGTAAGGGATCCCTGATCTAAATCCTCTTCTTTTCCACTGCACAAGAAAAGGTGCCTTTAAATGTAAAATGTACCTTATGTGAGGTAGATCAAAATCTTTGTCAAGGGTACTGAGCCGTGTACGGCCCACCAGTCGAAGAAGGCTGATCGAGAGTCCCCTCCTCAATTTTTACACCTGAGGTCACTGGAACAATTTACCTACCCTGGGTTATTTCTTACTTCCGGAGCACCTAAATGCAAACAAAGTATTGCAGACATGTGTCGATTGCTCGAATACCAAACTGCAAAAAGGTGGCGTAGGGTACCGTAACGGAGTAAGTAGCTGGGTTGGGGTCACCGGCGTGGTGTGGCTGCCTTACAATTGAGAACCCCTCGCCCCGCCCCATAATCTGGCGCTCGGATTTAGTTTAGCGATGAACTTACCCGAAGTGGATGAAGAGTTGGACCCCTGGCGGGTTCCGCCTATTCCTTTCGGGGCTGTTCCTGCCTCGGATCTCGGACTTTAGGTTCTTCCCTTTTCGGCCCGTCCAACTCCAAAGGTAAAAAAGGTGACAGGACGATCCTTCCAACAAAAAGAGTCATGATACCGGCGATCCCCATACACAATTTTCTTCCGCGACTGTATTGTCTCACAGTAATGATTTTGTTTACTCTCTGTTTCCTCTATCTCGTTCGATATGGACAGGTCCTATCATTTTTGCTGCCATAGCGACCTATGTCGGAACATTGCCCTGTAGACATTGATTGGGTGATGGCCCGACTCAACTACGAGTACTGGACTCGCAATAAATTTGCTGAATGATCGGTCCCTGTCAGATTAAATTACCCCGCAAACTGAAATAGGTAAGATCTTCCCTCTCTCGCAACACACTTGCGCTGTAACAGCCGTAAAATTTTCTGCTTCAAGCACCGTAGTATTCGCCATTAATCCAGACAAAGAAGAGTTTGAGGGGATGCTCAAGATCATATGAATCATTCAAAAAGATTTTGGATAGAGATAATCCCAGAAATCTCCTTGTACGTAATAATCGCATGGTTAATGGGGATAAAAACATATGGTGGGCGACGCCAAATTTTTTTTCCTTCCCGTCCGGCGATCGGCGGCCGGGGTGACTCGATCTTGACTCAAACCTGTCCGACCTCGCTGTGCGACAGCACGGGGAAGCTTCGTGCATGGCCAACCTTTATAAGCTGCCAGTAACGCAAAATGTCACATATTCCTGTGGTATTGTCTTACTTAACAGTGCCGGATGGGCCAGCAATCCGAGTAAATTTCATTTGTCATTTGTACCATTTATTTTCACCTTGACCTCTGATTCCGATCATTTTGAATGACTTTTGGCGATTGACCGTCGCACGCGAATTTTGAACGAAAATGCGATCTTCTCCAAGTAAATTTCTCCTTCGCATTGACATGGCCTAATGGACGGGTTTTATGCTCGCAAGGATGCTGATTATGCTGTCTTAGAAGAGGACCCCGAGGCGCCAAACGCCTTTCCAATCTATAAGCAAGAGGATGCTCCCATCTTCGATGATGATATCGAGATTAAATGCCCGTCGCATACAACTGAGGCCAAATTAATGGCCAAAGTAGATATGCGAGTAATTCCGTGCCTTTGCATTTTATACCTTTTGGCATTCTTGGATCGGTAATTCCGCCCGTTGAGTATACGCTGTGCCTAGGCCCGACTGACAAAGGATCAGGGTAAATATTTCTAACGCAGCAGTGTTCGGCTTGCCGCAAGATATTCATCTCACAGGCACTGAATACAACACCGCATTAACCATATTTTTCGTTCCATACGTGGTGGCAGAGATTCCCTCAAATATTCTGATGAAGAAGCTGCAGCCGCACGTCTGGTGTACGTTTCCGAACCCAACCGTTCCCGTTATTCTCTTAATGGAAATCTGAAGCTTACACTCTCTAGTATCCGCGTGTATGTTCTTTTTTGGCATAGCCGCTCTCTGTCAAGGCTTTGCCCACAATTATGGAGGGCTTTTGGCGGCTCGATTCTTTCTTGGCTTGTTCGAGTGTGGAATGTTTCCAGGCTGTAAGTTTGCGCGATGCTTATTTTCTGACATTTCTTGACCAAAAATTTCTAATATAATGGCAGGTTTTTACCTCATTGGTATGTGGTATAAACGCTCCGAAGCACAGCGTCGTTATTCCTTCTTCTTTTCTTCGACCACTCTGGCTGGTGCGTTTGCCGGCCTCCTCGCCAGCGCAATTGGGAAGATGGATGGCGTCCGTGGACTGCAAGGCTGGAGATGGGTCTTTATCCTCGAAGGTCTCTTCACCTGCGTCGTCGCAATTATATTCTTCTTTCTCTTGCCAGATTTCCCTGAAACCGCACGGTGGCTGAAAGAGGATGAGCGCGTCTATGTCAAGGCGCGTCTTCAGGTGGATCAAGGGCGATCGGCTGCCGACAAGCCAATTACCCTAAAAGATGTAGTCAATGTCTTCAAAGACTACAAGGTCTTCTTGGGGGCTCTCATGTATTTTGGCCTCATAGTTCCAGGATATGGTGGGTAGCGTTCTTCAAGGATAGACTTGTCTGAAAACCGCTCTAATTTCTTGAACTCTAGGATATGCATACTTTGCTCCAGGCATTATCAAAAGCTATGGATACTCACCAATTAGCACCCAATTACATTCGGTGCCGCCTTGGGCCGCCGCCTTCGGGTTTGCTATGCTCATTGCTTTTCTCTCTGACAAATTCAAACACCGATTCATCTTTGCCTTGATCCCTCTTGCCGTGTGCATCGCGGGCTTCGGAATTCTGATCAAGGTCCACGACAACACTAGACTTCAATACGGAGCGCTATTTCTTGTCGCAATGGGCGCGTACTCTGCCATGCCAGTCATTGTTTGTTGGTTCAATATGAACCTCGGTGGCCATCACCGAAGAAGTGTTGGCAGCGCGTTCCAAGTGGGCTTTGGCAACATTGGCGGTATTATTGCGACATACTCATTCCTTGCAAAAGATAAGCCGAAGTATATCCCTGGATATAGCATATGCATCTCTTTTGTCTGTTTAAGCGTGGTGAGCTGCATTGCCTACTTTTTGGCAACTTGGTCGCAGAACAGAGCCCGCGACAGAACGCCACAAGATCTCAGCTTGACGGAATATGAGAAGACTGAAATGGGGGATCTCAGCCCGGATTATCGATATCTGCTGTGATCATCACGACTTGACGAGTTTTAAAAGCGGTGTATTCCTGCGTACGGCATAACAATTAGCCATTTTTGGATCTCAGTTCTTCTCTTCGAACTTATGTACATAATTTAGTCCATAGTATACTAACTCAACTGGTTAAGCAAAAAGAGAATCAAAACTACCTAGAATTAGTCAACTTGCGTCAGCTGCCTCTCTACCGAATATCCTTTCCCGCTGAGAATCGGTAGTCCGATCGGGAACTTGACTCGGCTGGTATGATCGGCGTGCGGGGAACACACGCGAGGCTTGAATGGTGGCTTTCGCCTGTCATCGCGTCTCCCCACGCCAATGTCGTACTCTTTACGTATACAGTGTTTTGCTTTGTGTGCTTCAGTAAATGCAACACTTGTGGTGCTGTGACGTAGTCGTTACTTTTTGGAGCTTTGTCCTAATATAGGGCATTATCATTTGCGATGGAATTTTGCCGCTGTCTCTATTTATCCTTTTTACTATCTTGTATACAAACACAGGAAATTCCACCCTGAAACCCTTTTGTACGGGATCAAATTGTGGCAATGTCCTTTAGTCAAGCAGCAAACCTTGTTGAAACGGCATTTGGCCATCGTGGCAATACCACAACTGAGCAAGATGTTACCAATCCAGCCAAAGACCGGGCCAAATATGCTGATCCAAGTGGCGAGAAAATGAAAGCACTTGTTTGGGAAGGCAAAAATTCGGTAGCAGTTCGTACGTTAAATAAATGATTATAAAATTTTATCTTTTGTGTTCATGACTGACTAATGACTGTAACATCAGGTGAAGTACCGAAGCCTCGTGTGGTAGAGGATCGAGATGTGGTTTTGAAGGTTACTGGCAGTACCATCTGCGGCAGCGATCTTCATCTTCTCCATGCAGCAATTGTCCAGATGCAGAAAGGTGATATCCTTGGCCATGAGTTCTGTGGCGTAGTGGAATCCATGGGATCCGGCGTGAAAGGACTACAAAAAGGAGACAGAGTGGTTGCTTCTTTCCAGATTGCATGTGGCGATGTCAGTCTCAATCATTGTTCCTCTTTTGCATCGGAGCGAATAAAGCTGACTGTTCGAATAGTGTTTATATTGCAACCAGAAACTATCATCCCAATGCGAGAAGACCAATGCCAATACTCTGGAGCATGGCATGTACGGTAGCCCTACGGCGGGGATGTTTGGCTATTCGCACTTCACCGGAGGATTTGCAGGTGGTCAGGCGGAGTATGTCAGGGTTCCATTTGGGGATGTGAATTTATTGAAACTACCCGATAGTGTACCCGATGAAAAAGGTCTGTCGCATCCTTTCTATCCGAATGGCAAGAATGATTTTCGATGGCTGATATGTACTTCAAGGTCTCTACCTTTCTGATGTACTGGCAACTTCCTGGCATTGCGTTGTCGATACAGGTGTCAACAAAGGTGACGTTGTTGCCATATGGGGTGCGGGCCCCATCGGCCAGATGTGTGCCGATTTTGCATTCCTGAATGGTGCCTCACGCGTCATCATGATTGATAGTAACTGGCGACTGGATTATATCAAGACAAAATATCCCAAAGTCGAAACCCTCGACTACAGCGCTCTTCCTCGCGGCAGCTCTGTCACATCTGAGCTCAAAAACATGGTTCATGGCGGTCCAGATGTTGCTCTCGAATGCGTTGCTGGCGAATATGCCAAGGGATGGGGTCACTACTTTGAGATGCTCTTCGGAATTGAGACAGATACCTCGGAAATTGTCAACGAGATGATAACTTCTGTTAAAAACTTTGGCCGTTGTGGCATTACCGGTGTCTATGCAGGCTATGTAAGTTGACTTTCCTCTACGAATTGCCCCCACCGAAGAAGGAAAAAACAAGTACTAATAATGCTGACGGATGTACAATAGACTAATCATTTTAACATTGGATCCCTTATGGAGCGCGGTGTCCGCCTTATTGGTAATGGCCAGGCACCGGTCCATTTGTACTGGGAAAAGCTTCTTTCTATGATTGAGAAAGGGGAAATCGATCCACTTCGAATGGTCAGCCACAGAGTCTCTCTTGATGATCTAGACACGATTTATCACAAATTCGACAAGCGCGATCGGGCAGATGGATTGCAAAAGATTTTCGTGCAAACGAAATTTTCAGCGCCACCGTCTCCCGGAAGCCCGCAACTCACGAGATTCAAGGAGTAATTTGAACGACAAGCGCGACGATTTTGATCTGCCTTAATCGTCTTTCCTGGTTAAAAGTCCGGGCGGAATACACTTCGCGATGCCCTTACAACCATTGTTCATTTATCGACTCTCTTTTGAGCTACATTGGGTCCTTGCTTCCTTGCTTCATTTCTCTGTTTGAACCTTCCATTACTCTTGGGTTTTAGCCCGGACAAGGGAAGGTACGTAAAATCGGACCCTACGCTATGTTGCTACCGGTACAGGTGGAGAGTTGTGTCAAATCACGATCTTTTTGGTGCACTTGGCAGGAGTATTTTGAGAATCTGGGTCTGGCGATGGGGAGCTTTTCAGCTATTTTTGTTGATAATAATTTTTCTTTTTGTCTCCAAAGGGCATCTCCATAAGAGTCATACCATTTTGTTGTCAAGGCGAACGCGTTATATTCTCAGCAGAATTTCATGTACAGTGCCAATTCGACCGTTGTGCCGTAGATAAATGAACTTCCTCCGCGGCGTGTTCAGTGTAGCGTCGGTTTGCTGACTAAGACCAGACCCTGAACCTGGACGATCTGGATAGAGGCCCGGCAGGGTTGCAAGCAGGCCGTACTCATTCTTACGGTCCAGCTCTATTGGAGTATATGTATCATGCAGCTTCGATGTATACTTTAGCTCAGTGTCGGGCATGTTCTACTTTTCAGAAAATCAATTAGACTCGACACGACAAAGCTACTCATGGAGGAGATTGTAACTGTGGATGCAGATGCAGATGCAAATGCCCAAGGAATTGACCCTATGAAGCATGGCAATCTACTTTATACAACTCCAGGCATCTGTTATGATTCTTTTCATTCAGATCCATCGGCCCCCCCTGGCCCGGATAAAAGTCTGGGCAATGACAACCTCAATGAGCTAGGTGCACACTTAGATTCAGAGTTCTCAAATTTGTCTACGGAGGTTAAAGAGATTGATACAACTTTATCACCATGCCAGATTAATAATTATTCAGTATTACAGCAGCAGCAACAGCAGTCTTTGATAGGGTTTGACATTTTCTGGCCAGCTTCTCAGAATTTAAACTCCGAGTTACTACAATATCCCTTACCAGCATCGTCAAGCAGGCTTGAAGAGCACGATCCTGCACATCAGGGGACCGAATGGACAGCTGAGTTTGGAAACATTCAGAATCTTGGTAGTATTTCTCATAAAAGCCTTGGGGACCAAGAATTTATACACGACTTCAGGAGAATCTCTCCTACCGGCCTCGATGAAAGCTTTGAACAAAATGCAGACAAACTCCCTCATGACATAGGTCATACATGGTCTTGGTCAAATCCAACAAGTCTACACAGCTCAGTGGAAAGCAATACAATTTGGCCCATAAATGAGCCAAGGAACAGGGAGCCGTCTCACTCGGCATCATCTCATGCAACACAAAACGTTGTAGCCCCGCGCTTAAGCAAAGGCCTGCCAAGGCGGAGGAGTATATATCGATTTCAGAGATCAGGACCAAGGACTGCACCAATATTCATTCCTAATGCTTTGCCTGGATATCCTGACCGACATGAAACGCTGGATCCCATGCAAAGATGGCAGCAGTCTCCGCCTGAGGACGAACCGGCATCGCTGTCAGCCATACACAATGCGATAAGGAATGCCTCCAATGTGGAGCCCAATCTCGACCGCCGACCTTCCCAGCAAGGCTCTGGAAGCCTTGACTCTTTCCGCAGCTACGCTCGAGCTGCTTCCACAACCAGCTTCGACAGCAGGAGCACGTCATCCAAGCAGTCTCTCAGCTCAGCACACTCTGCGGCGTCTGAGGAAGGATTTGGCGCACTGCGGCATAAACGGCACGGACGAGTCTCAAAGTCGAGGTGTAAAAGAGGCGACAAAATGAAAGAGCGGCGGCGTTTTCAATGTACCTTTTGCTGCGACACGTTTCGAACAAAGTACGACTGGGCGCGGCACGAAAAGTCCCTCCACATGTACCTGGAAGAATGGGTCTGCGCGCCCCATGGGAACTCTATATTTTCTCCGGCTTCCGGCCGGATTCATTGTGCATTTTGCAATGCGTTGGATCCTAGTCCTGAACATCTTGACGCGCACAACTACAAATCCTGCCGGTCGGAGAGCACTCTGCCGCGCTCGTTCAAGCGAAAAGACCATCTAGTCCAACATCTTCAACTGACGCACAAGCTCGAAACAATACCCAATATTGAGGACTGGAAGGTGAAAGCACCCGACATTGCTTCACGTTGCGGTTTTTGTAATTTGCATTTGTCAAATTGGCAAAACCGGGCTGATCATCTGGCAGCTCATTTTCGCCAGGGATCGACCATGGACGACTGGCATGGAGAGCATGGCTTTGAGCCTTCGATCGCGGCGAAAGTCGTCAATGCACTTCCGACGTACCTCATTGGGCCTGAGTCTCGCAGTCTGGTTCCCTTTTCTGCCACGAGCCCAGGGTGCAAAGACCATTTTGCACAGATTACTTCCCGCCTAGATACTGCAGAAAATGTTCCAAGAGGCACAGACAGCCTAGCGGCGATGAGCTCCCTGGAAGAACCCAGGGTGAATCTATCTCAGCTTGATACATTTGGAAAAGTTCTTACCCTGCACTTGGGGCAGTATGCTCGAGAACAAATGACAAAGGGGGTTCTTCCTACGGATGACATGTTTCAACGAGAGGCACGGAAGGTGTTATTCGACTGTGAAGATTCGTGGAATCAAACTATCGTCGATAATCCAGAATGGATGGCATCTTTCCGACGACAACATGGGTGGGAGAATAGCAATACCGAGCCAGAACGTAGCGCAAGCTCATTCGAGAGATGATGATATCAGATTCCTGCCAACATGGACAGCGGGCCTTTGCATAACAGAATAATGCTAAAATACAGAAAGCAAACCAATAGTTGTACTACCAACTTTATCTATCGAATCTTATACAGGAATACTACGAAACAAAATAATGAGGGGAAAAAAGAAAAAGGGGTGGCTTAGTCTTCGCTCACTTCATCAACCCACGGACTAATCTCCTTTCCATACATAATATCCGTCATCCAGCCGCGCAGTGCATCCACATGCGGAACTGCAGCCTCGTTGATATCAATTGGTTGACCACGGAAAAGAATCTGAGACACTGGTGTCACAAACGCTGCGGTTCCGACCGAAAATGCTGCAAGCAACCTCTCCTCCTCCGCAGCCGCAATGATATCGAACATACTCAGCTTGCCCTCGAGTACTTCCAGTGCCTCGATATGGTCTCCATGAGCATTCTGCTTCGTCGTTGCAAACCGCTCCCTAGCCAACTCAAGAATACTCTGCCGGGTCACTCCTGGTAAGATCAACTGATCATGCAACGCTGCTGTCACAAGTTGCAGTTTGTCCTCTTGGGTTCGCCAGATGACGAAGAAATTCGACGATCCAGCTTCGGTGATTTGGCATTCTGGACCAAATAGCCATAACACCTGATCATACTCCAACTTTTTAGCCTGGGCGTGCGACATCAATGTGGGACCATAGTTCGCAGAGAGCTTCGCCGCCCCTGTACCTCCAGGCCATGCGCGCACCGTGTCTTCTGGACTCGCATACAACCGCAGTCCTCGTGGAGCCGGTTTTGCCCTTGTGCTACTTATGCTCAACTCATTCTGGCCAGGAGCAGCCCAGTACGAGATAACTACGAACAGCAGTGCCTCCTGCGGCACCTGAAATCCGAGGCTATGATCTGTTCCGATCAAAGTTGGGCGAATATACAACCCTGAACCCCGTGCCGTATCCTTGGGCAACCATTTTGGCCCATCCACCGTGCAAAGCGCACGCACAAGCTTGAGCAGCTCTGCCGGATCAACGCTCGGTAAGGAGATGCGCTGTGACGACTTGAGCATGCGCTCGCAGTTGAGCCATGGGCGGAAGAGTCGTAGCTTCCCGTCGACTCCGCGATGCACTTTCATTCCCTCGAAGCAGGCTGTGGCATAGTGCAGCACGCTCGCGGTTAGCATGAGCGTCAGCCCGCCATGTGGGACAATTTCTGGATCCGCCCATCCTGATGCATCGTCCCACCGTGCGACGAGCATGTGGTCTGTACACGCGGAATGGGAGATGACTTCCGGTGCGTCGGACGCTGGCACGGGTTTGGGCTGCGTCGTGTACTGGATCTTAAGTTTCGATGCATTGAGGGTTCGGAGAGGGGTATGAGGAGAAGAGACAGTCATTTTGGTTTCGAGATTGACAATACTTGTTTTCTCCTTGAAATTGGATGGACGAGTTTGTTTTCGGCTGATTCGAGCGTCTATTAGCCGGATTTTCCGAAGAAGTAGGGTCTCGTGTAGTTTTATATTGCAGACGGAATCAGATTCAAGAGTCTCTGTGTTAATACTCTGAGCTTTTTACGACCATGTCTGTAATTGTCTGTAATCAACGGCCGGTCTAACGCCGTGGCACCGTATCTTTTGGTGATGTTTTCTCAAATAGGACTGAAACTAATCTTATCTGTACTGCACGTATCATCCGAGATACCAAGTAATGATTCATACGTCAATTGGAGTTTTGTGGATGGACTTTTTCTGCCTGTTTTCCTCTGTGCAAGGTCAAATATGTCATATCAATTGGGCCCGAAAATATGGCCGAAAACAAGGCCGCGATGAAACGACCTATAGTAAAGACGTTGATCACTCTATTATTAATTTCCCACTCTAGCAACGCATAGATTTTTATGGGCTGCTTTCCATGGTTCTTGTGGTGCAATCATCCTTGGTGTATCCACAGGGCGTTGGGCCAGGGCGCTTGGCCAGGGCGCTTCCGCAAGGCGTATGAGTGCAGCAGCCTACAGTATGGATTGGGATTTGAGCTGAGATCTTCTTCCACCATTCCACATCCCTCCACTAACGTCAGGGCAACCCCTCCACCCGAATAATTTTCTCCCCGAAGCGCGCCCTGTAACTTTACGCCTTGTGCGAACCTTGCGCCTTGTCTTCTCTGACTCTCCATCCTTGGCCATGATATCTCAACCACAACAAATTTTTCTGCCGAAATGGCACCAAGTTTGATATGAATTTTCTTCCATGCTGTTCGTTAATTTTCTAGCGCATGGGTATGCTGCAAAGCAGGATATTTCCCTCCCACTTGCACCATAACTATGGTTATTGTTTGGTTTTACTCTGCATTTTAGCAAGCATTGGGTAACGTGTTTATGTCTTGACTTTCAACTTTTCCCCGCCTGTATCAATTCTATTATCAATTTAATGAATCATATTTTCAGGTCATGGAGTTAGTGGACTGGTCTGCCTGAAGCTGGTTTTTCCTTTCTTCCTCTATTGCGTTTCTCAATCCTAGTGTAATCTTGCGTTATAGTGGCAAACCTTTTCACTCTTGTAGTGTAGGTAGCTTTCCACTATATATGGCAGAGAAAGATATTGAGAATGCTTCTTATGCGAGTAAGACAAAACCTGTGCAGATTAAATGATATTTTCGCAAGAACATCGTATCTCAGGTCTGGGCGGAGTCATAGATATCATCATTACATTCAAGTTCAAAAAGGAACACCTATACACCATCGCCACCAACAATCGGCATTGAAAAGAAAGGCTGAGAAAATTTCTACAATGGAGCACCAAGTTCAGTCTCGCATCCATGTCCTTGGGCTGGGGAGCATCGGCACGTTTGCCGCTCATGCACTTGCAGAAATCCCGGATCATCCACCTGTCACGTTGTTACTGCACCGCGAGTCGTTGGTTGATGCATACTTTCAGAATGGAAGTCAAATTGCACTCAAGACCAGTGACGGAGATACAGTGAGGCATGGTGGTTATGATTTGGAAGTTCTGCGGGATGGAGAGTGGTATCATGCGACGACCTCTGCAGCAGGTAATACAGGAGCCACCTCGTGCGAATGAGGAATATTAAATTATATGAGATTCATATGCTAATGCGCCTCTCCTAGCCGGCTCGATGGCCACCGAACCCATTCAGCACCTCATCATCTCAGTCAAAGCAACGCAGACGGTCAGCGCACTTGAGCCCCTCCGCTCCCGATTAACGCCCGCCTCGACCATTCTCTTTCTTCAAAACGGCTGTGGCATGATCGACGAGGTCAATACGTATCTGTTCCCAGACGCGTCAGCACGCCCAAATTACATTACTGGCGTCATTTCGCACGGAATCTGTTTCAACCGGCCCTTCGATATTACGCATACGGGCTTTTCGGCGACTTCGTTGGGCATGGTGCCAGACCAGAACAAAGCCATTGACGACCCATCACGATCACGACCGTTACTTCTTCGAAGCCTTCCGCTCGTTTCCCGCCTCAATGCGACTGCCTATGCCTATCACGACGTCCTTCAAATACAGCTCGAAAAATTGGCCGTCAACGCGTTTTGCAACCCGCTCTGCGCCCTGCACGATGCTAAGAACGGCTTCCTATTCACCCTACCGGAGATGCGGCGGAGGATCCTTACCGAGATCTCGCACGTAGCGTGTGCCCTCCCTGAGCTGAAAGATGTGCCGGGCGTGGCGGAGCGTTTTGCCTTTACGCGGCTTGAGAACACTGTCAATGCAATTCTTGAGAAGACGAAAGAGTCGACATGCTCGATGGTATGGGATCTTAGGGCAGGACGGGAGACCGAGGTGCTCTTCATCAACGGGTACTGGTCGCGCCGAGGGAGAGAGACGGGCGTACCCACGCCCGTCAATGATACGCTGGTCCGGCAGATACTCGAAAGGCAAGCCCAACAGCAACTGTGAGATATAGAAATGGTCGATATATGAGGTTAAGCAATGAAGATGTACATCCAGAGGGGTATGTTGATAAAGCCATCGAAAATAATGTAATGCATGTTCAAATAAGTCGTAGCTAGATTTAGAAAGCAGCAATAAAGTGTTATCGTCTCCGTTATAAATTTTAGGTATAATAACCCTTGTCAAATTAGATTCGAGGCTCACCGAATCAGGCAATTATTCAAAACTTCGTCGAACGTCTACACCAAAGGGCGCGCGGGCAGGGGGTCTTGACATGCCCATATTCATTACATGAAGTTGAAGCGCTCGGATACCCTTTCCGGCCCACGCCCTTGTGAGGACATCATCAATGACGGTGATAAGAATACTCGTGCCGACGATAAGGGGGCTCAATCAAATGTTTGGCAGCTTCCTATTCAAGAAGGCAGGGCTGATTTCTATATAATGACACGTTCTTAAATTGTCATCTATTCTCTGTTCAGATTTAAGAGAGAACCTCACACAGGTGGATACTTGGAAATCTCGAATACGTCATAACAAAATAGCCATTCTAGGCGAGATTTTGGCTCAAATATCTTTGACAGCCTGACAGATGATTTGATCAAGTCATCATTGAGTGATCACAGTGGATCCACTGTCGGCGGCCGTCAGGCGCTCGCTTGTTTCAACTGGGACGTTTAACTGGATTAGGCTGGACCCTGCGGCTCCTGGATCCGCAGTTGTCGCCTCTGTAGGGATAGTCTTCGCTATAGCTACCGGTAGTGCCACTCGTATTCCCTATAGTGGCATGTTTCGTCTCGGCGGCAGTAAAAGATCTTCCCGGAAGCTTTTTATGCGATCCGCATTTGACACTCCCGCGGGACGTTTTTGTTGTCAAAAGCGTGTCTTCGCAAAGTCTCAACTTCGTCATGAGGACTTCTTAGTATTGCACATTGTTCAATCGCATGGACTTTCTTGACTTCGACGCTGTTCCTCTCCTGGGTTGGGACCGCATGTTGTCGATTTGAAGCTGTCGCATTTTCATACTGGACTTCCATTCTTCCGTTCTTTATATCAGCTTTATAGATGGATGCTTTGCCAATGATTCCAGTCCTGTTTACGCATTTCTTTTTCCTATCTGCATTTTCATCAGGAATTGAGCTTCAAGATCTCTTCTCTTAAAGTATTTGTGTCTGTCTGTTTTTATTTCACGTTCTATTTCCGTCTTATGATACCCCATTTTGTCTTCTCGCATCAATTTCTTTCAGGGATCTCTGGAAAAGGTAAGGTCCACTATCAAGATGGATCCTGGGGCTTTCGAGTTATTCTCCGCGGGCGAGGAGAAGCGGCGAAACCAGGCCGGAACAAAAGGCTTTTACCCTCACGTCTCGGAATACCAAAAGCAGACGGACTCAGAAGACGGCTTCACCACCAGGACGCCGAGCAAGGCTTCAACCAGTACTACTTTGGATCCGGGTACCTATCATGCTGGAGCTGAACATCTCACTGGAGACCTCGTGGACGGACACGTGGTCGACCCGCGAGACGAAGCCCGCTGGGTCCCCGGCACGCTTGAGCATGTTCCGTGGCTGGCGTTTGTCTGTCTTGCCATCTCTCTTGGCTGTATGGCTTTGAGCACTTCGATTCTGGTCATATCTAATGGCCAGCCGGTGGAGAGCTGGAGGGTACAACCTCCTGTCATTCTAGCCATTGCGTCCGCCGCTGCCAACGTCGCACTGACATGTGCCTTGTCCCAGGGGCTCACAATTTCCTGGTGGTACAAGGCATTGCGAGGTGGGACTGTCGGGGATCTGCACAGAATATGGAAATTCGGTATGTATATTGTCATAGTCAACGATCTTCTCCTCCCAGATCATATCAAGTTTCTCACTATCGCCTTTCATAGAAACGCTCTGGGCATGTATATGCGCCGGCCGGCACTTCAACATCATCGCCCTCGCAACTATCCTTGTGTCCGTGGCCGTCATCGACGGTCCACTTCTGCAGCGAGCCTCGACCGTCGGGACAAGCCAATTCTCTCAATCCGTTACACTAGACCTTCCCATTGCGCAACAACTCCCCACGGGCTACACATCCATGATGCTCGGACGTGTTAATTACCCCGCAGTCTTGAACGCTCCGTTTGCGCAGATCCTGCAAGACTACTCGCAGCGCAAACCCATCACAGTCGACGCCGGATGCAACGGGACATGCTCGACCACCGTACAGGGCGCCGGCTTCGCCATTGACTGCGACCCTCCTGCGACATCCCACGTCAATTACACCGCCATGTACATGCTTCAGCACCAAACATACGACCCGAGTCCCGTCTTCAACGTCAGCCTCGAATGGAGCGGCGGCAACTACGCCGTCACGAGCGACCCGACAACCGCAACGCCCGAACAACTCATCCTCTCAGTCGGATACTCCCACACGACCGACTGCGCCGGGGACTTCATCACCCGGAAATGCGTCCTGTCCGAAGCAATCGTCGAATACCCGCTCCAACTCGACCAGCGCACCGTATCGACCTTCACCAACCCTACACCACACCTCAACGTCGTCTCCAAGGGCAACTCCACGCCCGACGTCGCACCCACATACCTCCCCAACGAGAACGTCACGCTCGGCGGCTTCGCCCTCGCAGGCACAGACATGTTCTACACAAACACGGGCCTCATGTTCGTCGGCGCCGCGGGCATGTATCAGCTCGTGGGCTTCAACACGTTTGCAAGCAGATATATCATTGATCCCAACTTTTACATGAACTGCCAGTTTGCATGGCATGATCCGACAGACGACATTTTGGACGCATTGAACGAGATTATGTTCCGCTCTGCGCTGGCCACTGCTCCACTCTCGGACCCAACTGTCTATATAGACTCTCCATCATCATCATCATCATCATCATCATCATCGCCCACCTCTTCGTCAGCCTCTAAACGATCATCATTCCACACTCATCAAACCCCCTCAGCAGTCCAAGCGAGCAACCACACCGTGTACGTATCCCACTTCAAATACCTCGCGGGCGCACTTGTCGTGATGAGTCTCGGCATCCTGTCCGTCCTCCCGACATTCAACGGCTTCTGGCATATTGGGCGCCACGTGACGCTGAGTCCGATCGAGACGGCCAAGGCATTCAACGCGCCTATCCTGCGCACAAAGCCCTCGCATTCCAACGCAAACATGACGCAGCTGCTGAGTCTCTTGGGCAAGAAAAGGGTCAAGTATGGAGAAATCAGTCATGCCGTGACGCGCACCACGACGTCGTCATCATTGTCGGGATGGGGAGATGACGACCAAGAAAGAGATGAGTTTGGCACTGCCAAAGTAAAGAGGAACCCGCTCTTGAGAAAGAGGTTGGAAATTGCGCATCCGCGGGATGTCGTCTGGCCACGGGAGGGCATGAAGCTTTGACGTTGGGTGCATTTATCGTCAGTCTGTATCGGGTTCATGTATTATATTTACGGCGGTTGGCTGCATCTATTATTTTAGACCAGTTTGGGTCATCTATCGCCTGTGACTTTCTGGGTTCGTCATATACTTTTCTATAAGGACACGCAATGCTTAGAATGACTACAGCAAAAAGAATTAATAAAGGACATATGATTGATTCAATTGGCATAATACAATCAATATCAAAAGCAGGAAAAGCATATAAAAAAAAAGAAATAGGTATCCCCCCCATTGTGTGACCCGCATCCAATTGAGTAAAAAAAAAAAAAAAAAAAATAGTGACTAGACGCCGACCCGCGCTCCCCTAGAAGAACAAGACACACCCCGATCAAGGACACCCCGCATTTCCAGATTCTAATTTTCCCATTCACCTTTGTTTTCAGAGGGATGAGACTTTAAACATACGCCGCACACACACAATTTCGCCTTTCCATCTTTATGCTCCACACTTCGCCAATGCCCCTTAGTCACCCATCATGACGGGTATCAATTGACATCTGGGTCTAGAAGTCTGGCGCCGGTAAAGATGTAGATCGGGATAGTATAAAGATAAGAGGAGAAAAATCATCAAAAAACCAGCCAATAGCAGCAAGAAAAAGGTAGGCGAGGATGGAAGAGCATATAATCGTAGCAATGACCAAACTTGGGGCCAATTGAAGAGAAACAAAAACGCCATCGACAATGAGATAGGATTCAGAAGATGAATGACCACAGCGAGGTGATATGAAAGAAACAAGAGGAAAAAGGAAAAGGATAAACGCCGCCCCATGACTGTCCAAAACTGATGCGAATGTAAGAAGAGTCAGAACAAATTCAAACACGGCAAAAGAGAGAAAAGATGATCTCCAGCAAATCTACTTTGGAGGAGTCGTGGCAATTACAGGTGTTGGAGTTGTGCTCCCTCGTGACTTGATCGGTGGTGCTTGAGCAATAGAGTTTCGTTTGGATAAAACGGCCATTTTCTTTCTCAAGGCCCCCAAGCGGCCGCGAATGCTGATGACAACTGGATAATTTGAGTTAGCTCAAAGTTCTTCTAATGATACTCAGTCCTCATAGGAGAACTTACGCTTTTCCACAACCTGCCGGTCCTCGGCCTCCATACCGTGGGCGGTTCCAGCGTCTGCTCGTGAATCTCTCTTATCTCTATCGGTGCTGCTGCCCTTTTTCGAAAGAGGATCCATGTCGCTCTCGATAATGGCTTCCAGCATCCTGATGGCAGTGACATAGGCAATTTCGCAGCCGGGAAGATCTTCGCTTACGAGTTCGTTGACGGCGGCCGCCCGGCTCATCTCTAGTGCTCTATCATACATCAACTTCTCAGCAGTGACACCTGAGCTGACAACCACATTGTCGGCCGAGGTGCCCATCCCGGTCGTCGAAGTAGAAGCAGATGGATGGTTGTTAGGATGGCTGGGGTGATCAAGCGGTAGCCGTCTCTGCGCTTCAACAAGCTTGAGCCGCACAAACTCGGCCTTCTCAAGAACTTCATTAAAGCGGTTCCGAACCCACTGCACCACGTTGTTGATGCGGGCTCCTGCAGCCAAACTAGTGGCAGAGGTACCCTCGGCTCTTCCAGTGGTCTGATCAAAGATTACCTCTCCTCGATTTTTGCGAGACCACCAAGTCCCTGCAATGTCCATGCAATTCGCGAGGAGAGAGAGCGCCTTTACATAGAGCACAAGAGCCTCTTCAGAAAGGGTCACAATGGCATCAACGGTCAGACCTTCGTCTTCGCCTGCATATGCAACAGCTCCGTCTCGTTCAGAAAGGCCGGCCTGACGTAGGCCTAGGCCGTGTTCAGCCGAAGGGGCCAATGGTATAAGCTGTTTGTATTTCACTTCTGCAAAACCATATACCACATCGCTACGCGTAGCTGATTCTTCGACAACATGGATTGCTTTTGAATCTTCATCTGAAGGTCTCGGGCTTTCACCAACCATGATTAGGCTGCTTTGGCCGGTTGGATATGCAGGAAACGCGCCATACACTTGCGGCGGAGATGGCCCCTTGCCGACGGGAGGGGAGAATCCCATCCCAAAAAGCCGGAAATTAGCCATGTTGAGCGCTTTGGAAATCGCAGATGTTGCAGAAGAGGGGCTCGAGCCGTATCTTCTATCGTAGGAGCTTTTTCGATGGTGCGTCGGATCCGGACGGGGTTTGCCAGAGGCAATCTGCATTGCTCTAGACTGGCTTGGTTGTACACTGGGAGCTGAGCTTGGAGCTCCCTGAACTGTTGCTCGGCGCACAATTGGTCCATTTGGGGAGGATGATTGACGGTCGCGCATATTGCCTCGCAACTGCGGACTCGCGGCCAGCTCGTCTGCGAAAGCATTGACTTCAACGGCACGCTTCTCCACAACGACATAATCTCTCTCAAATGCAACATCCTGAGCGGCTCGCTCCCGTTCCTCTCGCAGAGCCTGATCATCACGACGTTTACGTTCGCGATCCTGGAGTTGTTCATTCAATAGTGATGCGCTGGGAGACGCGCTAGCCCGACTTGGTTTTCGCTGCATCACCTCAGCGGCGCCGGGGTTGACACGATCCGGATACAAGTCTTGTCGAGCAGGAGCAGTAGCATGAGAAGTGAGGTGCGGTCGCTGTGCTTCGCCCAGGGAACCCCGAGCCGTCCGGTCCGGTTGTGCTCCTTGCAGCAGCTCACCAGGACGCATTGCATTTCCAGTACGAGGAGGTGTGCCCGAAAGACGCCGGGTTATCATGGGCTGCGAGCTTGTACGGGATGCCTGTTGTCGTATTTGAAGCGCCCGATTTCCTGGCGATGATGAAATGGGAGCTTCAGGCTGCTCCTGTGGCAGCCCAGGCTGTAGTAGTGGTCGTTGTTCTCGAGAAGCACTTGTTTTACTCTGCAAGTGTGCTTCCGAAACTTGTCCCGGCTCTCCTTCAGAGGGCCGCTTCGGCAAGAGTCGAGGCCGGTCTTCCCCAACCAGACCTGGAATATCGTCTCTGACGACTGCATTATCAAAAAAGTCTTTGAAGCCCAATCGCTCGACGGGGTTTCGTTTCAAAAGCGACCGGATCAATCTCTTCATACCATCACTCAAAAGAGTATCTTCTGGAAACTTGATCCGGTCTTCACCCCTCTCGATCTTGCGAAGAAGCTCCACGTGATTTGATGCTCTAAAAGGCGGCTTCCCAACCACCATCTCATAGAGCACGGTACCAACGGACCACAAGTCTGCCTTTGCATCATACTTTTCATAGCGTAGAATCTCCGGTGCCATATACAGCGGAGACCCACAAAGAGTCTCGGCGAGAGAGGTGGAAGGAAGAGACCGTGCGAAGCCAAAGTCTGCAATCTTCAACATCGGGAGCGACTCCACGCCCACGATTGGGACCAAGGAGTTTTCGCTTGCAGCTAGAGGCATTACCTCTGGCTGGGCTCGGGCAAACCACAACGGCGATGGATTTAGAAGAAGGTTCTGTGGCTTGACATCGCGATGAATAAAGTTTCGCGCCCGCAGGAACTCCAGCGCGCTCGCGAGCTGCTTGAGAAAATGCCGGACCACCACCTCGTTCAAGCCACCACCGGGGGGGTTAGGATATTTCTTGATCATCTCCGCGGTTGCAGCATGCCCTGAAAGCTTATCTCGTTTCTTGATAAAATAGGACAAATCTCCGAGCTGGCAAAACTCCATGACGAGATGAATGTGAGCCGATGATTCTTGGCAATCGATAAGGGCGACAATGTGTGGATGATGCAAGCCCTTCAAGATGTGTATTTCGGAATAGAGGTTGTCCTTGAGCTTCTTGTTGAGCTTTTGGAGGTGGACCGACTTGATGGCAACAAGGGCTCCTTTCTTCTATACGTCCCAAACATGTCAGCCTATACGATTCAAGAAGAGTCTTTCAATTAAAAGAGGAATTACGGCAAGATGAGGGAGGAAGATTATCGGGTAGCCCTTCTACTAGCTGAACATAGGCCCAAAGAGAGGACATGATATCGGGGAGCGATGACATACCACATGTAGCCCCTTATAGACAGTAGCAAAGCTACCCCGTCCGATTTCTTCGAGTCGTTTAAACTGGCCGATTGTCACTTCCGCTTGCGAAGAGTCCGGCAATCGCCTCGGCGTTGCCGATGGATGTTGTGATGCCATCGTGCCAGTACAATCTCCTCCACGTCCGCGTGGGTCGAAGCAGACAAATCTCCTTGATCAAGTGGCCACCAGCTCCCATTCACGTGCGGATGAATCGTTTTGAGAGCTGAGACGGTTAAACATCGACCGTGCTTCCAAATCACAAGGAGCGACACGCAGAAAGGACGTAGTAGTCGGACGGTCTTCTAGTTGTAGGTATATATATATGTGTGTGTGTGTATATGTATATATAAAGGCGAAATAGATGTGAGAAGATAGGGCGGCGATAATTGAGGTGAACTCAAGAAGTTGATCAAAGTATGTATAACGGTCGAGGGTCAAGCCAAAGTCACGTCAGTGTGGGACAGGTGTCTAGGCAGTACTCCTGACGGCTGGCGGTGGATGGTGGTTGAGTACGATCGATCTCGAAACCCTCTTTCTGCAGGCTACGGAAGCAGGCTACCAAGGGTCATGGTCCGAATCTGATCGGAATACCCAGATGGGGTCATGGGTGCCCTATCGATGGCAAGACGATGGACATGAAACGGGGGGCGATGATGGGAGATCCTCAATAAAGGGAGATGCACGAAGATGATAGTAAAGTGGAAAAGATAAGGAGGAAGGGGGGGATGACAGTGACAGCCAGTTGGATAAGAGGAAGAAGGTGTGCGGTCGTACTCGTAGCAGAGAAGAGCAACAAGCAGTCAATAACAGCTGTAGGAGCAGCAGTAGTTAGCGTAAGAGTGTAGTGTGAGGTCTTGCGTAGCGGTGGGAGGTACTCTGGGACTGCACAGTGCCATGCAGCGTATAACGGGCCTAGCAGGGGGGGGAGGGGGGAGGGGGGAGAGGCCTGTTAGCCGCCCGAGAGGTAACGTACCGTACTGGAAGAGTACCCTGGGATCGTCGCAGGCTATCCGTAGATGGGAATTATAGTCAGTGCCGTGCAACGGACTACCTGGAGTACCCTGGAGTACGGAGTACAGGCGCAGTTAGAGTCCGGTCGGGAAGAGCAAGCCGTGACTGGGGTGGGTGGGTGGGTGGGTGTGTGTATGGGAGAGGAGAGAGAGAGAGAGAGAGTTGATGGTCCGTCTGCCTGGCTTGGCTGGCTGCTGGCTGCTGGCTGGCTGGCTGGTTGGTGTCCTTTTTTCCCTTTTCCTGACATGGACATGGAGGAGCCATGGGGAAAAAGAGTCAGATGGATGGTCTCGGTCCGGATCATCCCAACCCTCGTTGGGACAAAGCGTCTCTCAGTATCAGCCCTGCTACTCCATTTTGGGCGATTCTTATCGTGACAGATGCGGTCTTTATGGTCCTCCCTAACACAACTCCATAACAGCGTCCGAGGCGTCCAGCTGATAAATACGGGAACCCAAAGAGCTGCCGATGGCGTCAGATATATAGAAGATGACGCACCCCTGAGTTGAAACACATTATGATCTCTGATGACGGGAGGAAGAATCCTTCTAAAGAAGGTATCCGGATACCGCTTAATTCCTCTCTTCACATGCTTGCGAGATTTTTCTGTCTGAATAAACTCTGTCTTTCTGTGGCTGCACCATTATAGGATGTACACATATATATATTCGAGCAGGCGAATGCGCCTGGGATGGCGATATGGCATGAAATACCCTCTCCAGAAAACATCTCCCTGACTTATTGACGGGTGCCGCAATTGAGCGCGGGGTCCATAATAAAAATACAATCGAAATGAAATTAAATCAAGTGGATTATTTGTCTAACTTTTACTCCATCCAATGCAATCTTTACATTTCATATTCCGAGTCCCCGAACCAGGAGCCACAATATCACAGGCACAACGACATTATCATTTGCCCCTGTCAGCACCGCTTCAGTAAAGCTTGCGCCTGCTCCGGCAATGACTGACTTGATAACTGAAGTGACCCAATGATCATCACTGCCGCCAGGCCATCCGCCCAATACCAACCAGAACCTAGCAAAAACTAATCCACTGGCAACGGCCAGCGCAAATGCAACGCTGCCCTCTAGACTCTTGCCACCAGTCCAGGGCCATTTGCGACGGCCGTAACGTCGACCGATCAACGATGCCGCAGCATCCCCCATACCTACGCACACAACACCACTGATCATACTAACATCTCTTGAAGTGACTTCCCAACCGTCCCAATTCGATGGTCCAGCGCGAGATGCGTCAGCTAAACATAGCCAGAGAGGAATCGCACATCCAATTAGGAGAAACATGTGCGAGACGACGACAGGGCCACGAAGATCTCGACCGTCGACATAAGGTGTAAGAAAGGCGGCCAGCGGTTTAGAAAGGGGCGGTAATTGTGACGCCCGGAAAAGGTCGAGGAGAATGAATAGCGAGAGGGCTAATGTGAGAGCAAGACCAGCAAAGGCTGGATCGATATACGTCGCAGGCAGAAACATTGCCACCATCATGCCATGGAAGACTTTACGACGAGTGTCCACCTCCACGACAGAGCTGAGGCGTAGAACAATCAACATCCCGATAGTGAAGATGCCAAGCCAATATCCGCAAATTGCAAGCCTCGTATTAGCCTCGCCCAAGTTGCAGAACCGTACTTGATCGACCCAGCCACGACCAACGGAAGGTGTGTCATCACGATCGCGCCTTGGTGGCAATTGAATCCAATTCTCCATGTTCGCGCCAACCACTGCCATTCTGAACGGCTGAATATTACCCAATAAGTACCCAATAGCCCAGCCAACGGGCTCATCGCCATTGAAAGCCCACTTGGCAGTATAAGTTCTGATGCCCAGAACCAGGATAAAGAGAATGGAACAATACACATACGCTGCGTAGAGAAGCTTGCGATTCTTCGCTTGAGATGCAGTTAGATCCAAGTATGGTCGGAAGGTGGAGGAGATGTGGCGCCTATGACGCCCGCCTGAAGTGAACTTGGAAGACCTCGGAAGGACAGAGCCGTCAATTGATGGAAGCGTGTACCTCCTGTGAGAAATAACGGACTGGACGGGCTGAGAAGCATCTCCTCCTAACATATCAAAGCTCTTTGACGGATCTCTAGCGGACATTGTTTGGCCGCTGTTTTCTTCCAAGCTGCGAAGCTCAACCGTATTGGGCACCTTCAGATGGAGACTCCGATTACCCCTTCCTACATGAGTCCCAGGCGCTCCATCCTCATCGGCATCGCTATCCCCGCTGTCTACTCTTCCCTCAAACGGCTTGAAGCCGCCAATCCTCTGCCCTCTTGCGTGGTCCAAAGCTTGCAAAAACAAGTTTTTCGCTTTAACAACGTTGGCTGCACGCCGAAACCTCCATTTGGGAATCTTTGCCAGGGCTACTCCCCATTGAATGACGTGCCGACAAAGTATGAATGTACCCAGGCCTCCACCCCAAAGAGCAGCTTGTAATATGACAGCTTGAGGAGACGAGGAGTGAAGTAAAAGGTTTATCAAGGCAATTGACAGAAGTTGGATCTCTGCTGGAAGCAGGCTGGTTGTCGTCAGATACTGCAGTGGAGACAACAAGGTCTGATGCAGAGGGTAAAGACATATTAGGATTCCTGGGGACAATCCTTCCGGAGGCGGCGATTTCAGAAAGTAGGGCATTGGCGGAAACAGCTTCGATGGCAGAGCAGTGTACTCAGAGGTGATGAGTGGTGCGATTGACAGAAACCAATGAGTAAAGCTTAAACCCAAAGGAGTCCCGACTTCAGGAATGACTCTGTGAGGCAGCGCAGCAATTCCGAGGATGAGATTAGGAAGTAGGAACTTCTTATTGTTTGGAAGCAGCGACAATGCAACCAATTCAGGGATTAAAACTGGGTATATAAGCGGCGCAGGGTCGAAAGATGATGGAACTCGAAAGCGCTGTTTTCTCCCAGGCCCCGGTGAGCTCGGTGCTTTGCGAGCGAAACGAAGAAGTCTGATAGGATATATCATGAATAAAAATATAATGATACAGGCATGGGTGTATAGTTCTGCTGAGTTCGAACGAGAAATAATCAGTAAAACAAGAATATAGACAGATTATCAAGGCACGTACCACGATGCCATAGTTTTGCGGCTTGCCGCACTCCGCCACCACATGTTGTAATTAACCCTACAATTCCAACTATGAGAAATTCCGATGTTCTTCTTATCAATTCTGCTCTTCGACGTCTTCTGTATCTTTGCTCTGCCTTCCGCGCCTCTTGGTCTTCAAAAGGCTGGGTTTGAGAGAGCCATGCTGAAGCCTCGCCCGCATGTAAAGAAAACTGATTATCGTCCTCATCCAGTTGCGACGGCGTAAGGAATGGGCTGGATGTACAAGTGCCCCGCGTGTCGCGCAACCCTTTATGGGGTCGCGACGGTGGGGCAGGAAGGCTTTTCAGAAAAGTAGCACTTTCATCGTCAGCCTCCGTTCCACTGTCGCTCAAAGTATCCACGCTCTTGGAGCCTGAGCTCCCTTCTCCATTGTTAGTATCGGCGGCAGCGCCTTCGTTGCGTCGTCGGCTCAGGCTTCGGTCATCTCTCGGACCGTAGTTTCCTTGGGCCTCGAGATAGGATTTGGTATGAGGTTCGGCTTGCTGTCGGTGGTATGGCTGTCGAGATCTTGATCGAGACCGTAGGCGTTCTGCATTTGCCCCTTCAGGGTTGGACGAGGAGGCTGAGACAGGACTCAATTCAAAGTCATGAGCTATTCGCATATTGACTGGGGCAAACGATGTGCTCATAGGAAAAGAATGTCTAGATCATGGTTATCCCTCGACATCGAATCGGGCACTGAGCCAAGAACAGTCAATGCAACCCCAGTGACTGTAGACTATGCTAGTGAAATAATTGAAGGGCGATGATGCTGTGATAGGAAAGATGTTGAGGTATTAAAAGAAGCAATGGGGTTTATCTGGCGCATTACTCGCGCCGAGTCCAACCAAAGCGTTGTATGTGCATGTGAGGGACCACATTTTCCACCGTGTCGAGCTTCTGCTTGCGGGAGTGTTAGTAGTGGTACGAATGCGCCTACGTAATTCCTGCCAGCGACACTAGTATCCTTGTACTGTAACCGTCGGTCTCAACCGCAGCTAATTTAAGCGGCTCCTCGAGCGCTATTACTATTCTGTCCAAGAGATATTTACTTTAAGTGATTTGGAGCCTTCGGCTTTTGAATCCTCGTATTCCACAGGTTAGATGGCAGCAACTGTTCTTTGAGGGACAGTTTGAACAATTTCTCTTCCATTGTGTTTGCTTCTGCTCGCTCAGTTCTGGTAGAATCGTTCATATTATTTCCTATTTATACACATGCTGGTACCCAATTGATCACTCTTGCTGTGGCATTAAAAGTTAGTAGTTGGAAAATTATAGCAAAGATTCTTTCTGGCCTTTACAATTTCTGGCCTTTGCAATTGATTGCTTGTGAGATAGAATATTCATGTATTAATCAGAGCTAAGATCCTATGGCGTGTCCAGCACAAACCATTCAAGGACAAAAGGCTATGCAAATAGAGATACAGCGAATGAGAAGAAGATAAAAGCATGGCTGCGCGGCTCTTCTGCCGAGCGCGCGAACCAGAAGATACAAAAGAAATGTCGATATGTAACAAGGTCTACCCAAGTTAGTGTGGGGGCGAACGAGACATAGTTTTGGAGAAACAATTGAACGTTTCTTGTAGACCTCTGCCCTGTGTGGAACAAGCAGTCCGCGCCCAAAACCATCGGAGGACCGCAAGTAAAAAGAAAGTACAGAGAAAGCCAAGTAAAGGACAACTTTTTGTGATTAAAATACCCTTTCCCCCCAGACAAAAGGATTGCGCCTCGGAAAGCCATTGCGTGAATGGCATTCTCCATGCAAATGTGAAAAACCCCAAAGAGTGTTCGAGCAATGTTGTCGACATATTAAAATATTGTATTTGTAGAAATCCCGGTTGTCGTAGCTCTTCGTATCTTGTGTCGCACGAGTAAACAAGTCTGCCAGCGACACCTCCAGTGCCTTCTGCAGAGTCGCAAGCTGACGACGTGTTTTTAGCGACGCTTGGATCAAGTCCAGCCATCTATTCGTCCCGCTTTCTCTTCTTGCGGGAGTTCTTGTTCTCTGCAGGGTTCGGACTCGAACTTTCGCGGATTGAGTTTGTTGCGCTAGATGAGCTGCTCGTTGCGTTCGCTGCGGCAGCTTGAGCAGCTTCAAAGAGAACTGCGCCCAACGCGGCGCTGTCCCCCTCATCAGAGGACTCTTCTTTGGTGTCCGCGGGAACTTCTCCATCTTCCAAGACCCCCATAACGACAGCACCACTTCCATGAGTGCGAGCATGCTGGGAGAGGTTGTCGCTGCGTGAGAACTTCTTGCCACACTCCCCACATTCAAAGGGCTTGTCCTGGGTATGCAGAGACCTATAGTGGCGCTTCAGATGCTCCTGCCGACGGAAACGACGAGAGCAGAGTGTGCAAACGAAAGTCTTGGACGGGTCATCTGTCAAGGACTGCTTGCGACCGCGACGGTTGACCGGTCCCATGACCGGAGGAGTGGCCAAGTCAGAGGGAGAACCCGCAGCAGGAGTTCCATCTGACGCGCCCGCCTGGATATTTTCCGACTGCTGTTGACTAGATTTTTCCTGGGACTGCGCACCATTTCCACGAGTCAAAGTACCCATTTGCTCCCTCTTGACGACAACCGAGCCATAGTCGGACGAATCGCTAGCTGGAGAAGATACCTTGTTGGATCTGCGATATTGACTTCGCTTTTTTGGCTTCATCACGGCCGAGGATTCAGGAATATTGCTGATCAAATCGCCGGATTCAGGGGGCGAAAGGTATCCAGGGACAGCCAAGTGATCTCTGTCCTCGAATTCCTCGGAACTGTCTTCGCTCAAAAAGCTGTCTTCCTCGAAGGGCAAGACGTCAATGCGCTGTCGCTTGGTATTGACAGGGTAAGTGCTGTCAACAGGACCAAAGTTAACTATGCGATTGACAAAGTCTGTTTCTGAGTCCAGATCCGAGAAGTCCTCAAAGCTGGGGAGCTGGCCAAGGGTGAGGCCCATGAAATCGCAGTTCTCGATTGACGGAGGGTTGGGCTCTGAGCCGAGGGCCTCGCCCCCCGGAGGTAGCTTGCACTCGTCGTCGTCGCCAGGGCTGAAGGTGGGAAGAGACGGGAAATCAACCGCTGAGAGAGATGAACGGGTAATGTCCGACGAGGCGACAGTGAGATTGCGAGGGTCGCAAAAATCAACCTCTGTATCAGACACAACAGAGCGTGGTAGAGGAGAGGGCGAAGGTGAGAGCGCAGGGCAGGCGTTTGCAGAAAGGAGGTCGGAAGACTGGCTAGCGGTAACCGAAGGGGGGTGAATGAACACTGTAGAGAGGAGAACGTTAGACGAGATGTTACCGTTAACCTCCGGCAAAAGCACACGCTAAATAGCTCCCCTACGAGACGGGAAAAACGAAAACAATATTACGCGCGAAACATTGCAAAGCACAAATTAAATGAATCCACTCGATTGTATAGTGAATACTTACCTGGAGTGAGTGGTGGAGATCCACATCGAGTCCAATCCCCGCCAGCGAGGATTTCAGAATGGACCTCGCCCTCGCATCCTTCTTTCACGCCCTCGAATCGCTCAAAGCAGTGAACACTCGATCCAATTGGAGTGGGAAGAAATCCACAGGATGAGTGAGGGCTACCCATAGTGCTGCCCGAGGTGGACAGCGGTGGCGTTGATGGCAAGAAATAAACATCGGATCCGGCACAATCAGCATCTAGAGCAAGTATCTGCGGCGAATCCTGAATAAGAATTGCCGGTTTCTGGTAGACAGGGCGAGGCGATGCTATCGGAGTGAGGGTCATTTGAGGGATGCCGGATCTGGGCGCGACTGGAGTTTGAAGGCTGTGGCCATAGGCCACATTAGACGGAAGTGGCATGGGGGATTCCTGGCTCGAAAGGGTAGGTGGAAAAGACTGAATATGAGCCTGGGGAGGGAGGGCATTCGGGTGAGGCGTGAAATGACCGTGCTGTCTGTGTTCGGGGTGTGGATCGGGATTGTAATAAAAGAAGGACGATTGTCCCATCAACTGAGGGAAAACAGAATGTGTTGTCTCCATTGTTTTTTCGGGCGTCCAATATTCTGAGCTGCGTGGATAAGCATTGTCAGCGTCACTGCCTTAACATTTGCCTGCCAAAGCGTTGCGGGGCGGCCAATAGACATGGTAGGCTCACATTGGTAGGGTTCGAAACGATGCAGTAATAGAAGAACCTTTTCCAAGATGGACGGCGAAGCGGAAGTGAAGATGAATACGCGATTTATTAAAATTCCTGGTTCGAGAGAGGAGACAGTCCAGAAGAGAGCTGAACAGAGGAAAATCCAGAAGAGAGTGACTGGAAAGAGTAACAATGAATCCAAGGTCTGCCTGATATATTCGGGAAGGGTAGAATATACGAGACAGACAGAATAAAGATTCGGCCTGAAAATCGAAAAAATGTATGACGGATTGCAATTGATTAGGGTAAAAGTACGAGGGGGACCAAATGAGGGACTGGAAATCGATTCGAAAAGGCTATTGATGAGCACAATTCGAAAGGTTTCCAAAATGAAACAAAAAAAATAATTTTGATGAAATGGAACAAAAAGTAGGGGAGGAACGAGGGGAATAAGCTGAACAAAAAGGAAAATGGAACGAAGGGCGAGAAAGCTGGATAAAGTAACAGATTTCAAGCTATGCACGCTTTCAAAGGATGGAGGATCAGGAACGGGAAAAATAAGGGCACGGAAGAGATATGGGCGGGGGACCCTCGGGACGATGGCCGGCTGGCCTAGGGAGCGAGGGAACCACTCTCGCACCTCGTCATCCACCCTCGAGCTCGCACAAGACCGAACCGTCTCGATAGCATGTGGGACGCCAGTCAGTGTGAAGGCGGATGCCAGAAGTAAAAGTGCCCAGTCCGACACTACCGCCGGGGCGGTCCAGGGATTCACGCCAAGCAGGGGATCGAACCGTGGCCAATGGCCACTGGTCCACGCCACATGGGGTATCGCCTTGGCCGCCGGCGTAGCGTGGGTATATGGGTTACCGCTGTGGGGACCAGTGAGACGCTGAAGCATTGGGATGCCGGGAGATTACGACCGGCAGGTCGACAGTGGGAAGCTGGCCGCATTGTGTGTGCCTGCCATTCTGATGGTGTATGCCAGCCCACGTGATGACCGTGTGATAAACGCCTGAACCCACTTGTCCAGTGCTGAGTTAGGATTGGTCCTCTCTGCATATAGTGCGTATAAGTGCGGGTCAATGATTGTTTAATGCTGCACTCTAGACATTGTTCTGAGATGCCAATGGAGGATTTGCTCTTCATAGGCGCGATGCTCAGCGTTTGTGCCCATGAGGGTTGCAAGTAGTTTGGTGTCACCCTACCCACCGAGGGCACAGCTTCGCTCTTTCTCTCGCATTTTCTCCGTGAGTGTACTGCGTTGTGTGCTTGTTGTTTTTTGTGAGCCACGCTAATGTGCCGCGAGTGACGGGGAATCACCTCGGTGGTTGGTTGGTCGGACTCAGACCTACACGGCTCAAGGGTCCCCCATCTGCGTTGGGCGAGCTCGACCGCCCACCTCAACGGTATTAGTTAAGAAACCTTGTCCATCCATTGCTTTTTGAATAAACGAAGTTTTAGATTGGAGCATCCCAGCAGGGCACCCTCACTGAACATGCGCATCTGACTGAGAATCCAGGTTTCCATTTGCGGACTCTTACCTTCTCAGCTGTGCACTGCAGGTGGCATGACGCGAGGTCCAGGCTGCATTGCCACAGTGCATCGCATGTCTAACCGTAAGGTGATACAATTATGCATCCTCTGCTTTGGCCCGCATTCGATTTTCTGGGTGATGGGTGAGGCCCAGAGGCCGCCAAAGGGTCGCTAAAGGCCATCGCTTCAATAGCGGGCTGGATTGATTACTTGACGTCGTAGTCCCGACCTGGCTGTGCTGTCGCCTCTCCATACCCTGCCTGATAGTTTCCTAGAATACAGTATGACCTCGCTTGACAGATCGGATCGACGAAGAAATGTCTTAGACGACCCGCACTGGGCGAACAAAATCGGTAGAGAAGTGGCCTTAGGCCTCACGCGTTGCTGATGCACTAGAGCGGCTAGATTGGCGTTTCTTTCCAGTAAGTCCGTATCAGAGTAGATGGTGTTCGAAAGGTCTCGTAAAGTCTTGGGGCAAAGGACATGGGTTCCACTCGTATCGCGAAAGTTCTTGCCTATCAGAGACTTCAAGGCGGCAAAGAGAGGGTCTTGTCGTGCTTGTCATATTGTTTCCCTTGGTGACCCCATTGCGACCATCTCTACCTAATCCAAGTGGAGATTTCATAAGATGCCTTATGACGATTTTGAATCAACTATCTTCAAGCAGTATTGATAGGCTAGAGATAACGTCACTTCAGATTTCCCGAAATTAGAGGAACGGGAATAAGTACAGATACACTTTCATATCTAGGTAGCTGACAATTGTTGGACGGATTTCAGAAAGTTTTGAGACGGCCGACGCTACTTGAGGTGCACTAGAGTACTGCCGTGCTGTGACCAAAAAGGACCCCTACACACTTTTGTGATCGCTGTGCTTATTATTATCTGCAGGTACGGTTGAGTTGTGGACGGGCAGATGCAAGGCACCGCTCTAAGTTGCTCCGGGCATAAATATACCAGTTAGTCCTAGGCTCTCGTCGATCGTTTTCCCAAAAGCCAAGTTGCACCCAATTGTCTTCCGCGGAAGTGCTCGGTAAGAGAAGCACACGGATGTGTGGCGGGGTAGTCCCAGTGGCAGCGTCAGTTCTACCAGGAACCGCTACGTACATCGCGGAGGGAAAAGTATCGGACGTTCATCCGTCGTGAAATATCTTGTATTCAGTCTGTAGATCATGCTGTTCGGTGGCACGGCCAGAGAAGATGTAGGGCGACCAAGGCCTGTCGTTCGCGGGGCATTGTGCCGCATTGTCCAAAGATTCTTAGCCCGTTTCAGACGCGCCAAGTTGGTCCCAGACTGCTATCTGAGGGAGGGGAAAGAAAAACAAAATAGAGAAAAAGAAAGGAAAAAGGATAGCCTGGAAAATCATAGCTTCAGATTCATGATGCAGGCGACTTGGTGGGTTCACCTTCGATTTGGGCAGTTGTCGGCAAATGATCGACTTTATCGATACAGTTGAGTACATACACAACGCCGGGTTTTGGGCTTCCTGGCTTGCATCCTGGCATTCGTTGGGGCTGCTACGTACCAGCACTCTGGTCGCGTGCTGAGTTGGGATATCGTAACTCTTGCATCTACTTCCGTATTCGTGTTCATTATTATTCGGCCACCCACACATTCACGGGCTGTGCTGTGCCAATGGAAAAAATAGATCCTCGGCATTAACTTTTCCCGGGATGCGGTCAAGTCAACATAATACGTGCAACCAGTGTCTCTTCTTGTGTCATACGCTTACGTCTATCGCTTTTTGTCTAGCTATTCGGATGTGGGCTGCCTTGTGAGACATTGTTCAGGCTACGTGGAATATTTATTTTCTCCATATTATTTCCTCAGGGTCTTCCTCAACACGGTATGCCAAAGATAGCATAAACCACTTACCGAATGAGGCGTGACTGACGCCAAGAAGAGTGTATGTGCGCCCTTCCGTCCGTTCCCTTCTCGCTCCCCTCCTTGCCCAAGAGCAATGTTCACGGAACGTTTTATCTCAATGAGACCCGTTTGGGAGAAAAGCCGACTATCATCGGTGGCGAGGTCATGCCATCAAAAACCCATCAGAGCTTCGATGGACTGATTAATGCGCTATCTAAAATTTGTGTGCGGTTATTTAGGATGCTCCGGGGCCTGACCCGTTTGATAGCACGGTTCTGGAAAAGTTTCGAAACCAATTGTGTGTGTTTCGGCTCACCTTGCCCAAGTTGGGAGGTGGCATGACAGCAGATATCAGTAAAAGTCAAGGGTTTGAACGACGGTCAGTTGTATCGAACCTCTCGATATCTCCAAGTGGATATTTTCTTTATCATGATTTTCTTTCCTTGTCTTATGTATAATGTATCTCTATCTCTTTTTATCTTAGAGCAGGCCGAAAATTAAAAAGAAAAGAAAAGCGAAGAAAAGAGACGGAACGGCATTGATTTCAGAGGACTCTTCAAATCACGCATGGATATAGAGACGCGGCTGTTTCAGATGCTGGCCTTCGACAAAGGACCCTGTGCCTTCTTCAGGGATTCGATATTGAACGATCGGCGACCCACTAAATCAGGAAAACGAGAAGAATTCTGCATCATCCCTGTTCCATACCTGTTTGGAGAAGATCGACTTTGTCGACCCTGGACCGTTGGATATAAAGTACATTGATTATCAGACGCATCGCATCATCACTGCGAATGTCAACTTGTCGATCAAACATTCTAACGTGTAGCAGCTTCACCTAGTATACTCTTCGGAGAAAGCTTGTTCGAAGCTTGAGTGCTCCTTGAAACCACTGCGGGGCAGTTCGCTTTTTTTTTTTTTTTTTTTTTTTTTTTTTTTTTTTTTTTTTTTTTTTTTTTTTTTTTTT